AATGAGGAACCCCGACGTTTTTTTTTTGAGAAGGAAAAAAAGAAGAAAAAGAGGCTGGTGTGATGGATTTGTTCGCTGCCTGGAATTATTGGTGGAAATCATTTATATAATGTTTATATATAAAAAGGGACACGGTGGCTCAGCGGCTAAGACGCTGAGCTTGTCGGTCGAGAGGTCGGCAGTTCGGCGGTTCGAATCCCGAGCGCCACATAATGGGGTGAGCTCCCGTGACTTGTCCCAGCTTCTGCCAACCTAGCAGTTCGAAAGCACATTAAAAAAAATGCAAATAGAAAAATAGGGACCACCTTTGGTGGGAAGGTAAGAGCGTTCCGTGAGCCTTTGGCATTGAGTCATGCCAGCCACATGACCACGGAGACGTCTTCGGACAGCGCCGGCTCTTCGGCTTTGAAACAGAGATGAGCACCGCCCCCTAGAGTCGAGAACGACTAGCACACATGTGCAAGGGGAACCTTTACCTTTAGGTATATATATATATAAATATATATAATATTTCGCTGATAAAGAAGTAAAGGGAGACTAGTATAGATCTATTTCAAGCTATTTAGCTCTCATCAGCTAGCCATACCCTTACTAGGATTCAAACTTGGGCTGCCTGCATGTTAGGCAGTTGTATTAATCTCTGAGCCGCAAGATATCTATATATCTATATATCTATATCTATCTATCTCTATCTCTATCTCTATCTCTATCTCTATCTCTATCTCTATCTCTATCTATCTATCTATCTATCTATCTATCTATCTATCTATCTATCTATGTAAAAAACCCCTGGACAAACAGGTTTAAAAACAGCTTCTATCCATGGGCTGTCAGACTCCTAAACACAATCACAATCACTCCACGTACATAGGGAAACGTATGACTAGGTTTTTTCCCCCCCAAATTACTTGTATACGTATTATTTTCTATGCTATTCATGTTTACTTGTATTTTTTTGTTGTTGTTGTTGTTATGGATTGCACCAGTAGAGGCAAAACCAATTTCCTTGTATGCATGATGTACAATGACAATAAAGGCTAATAATAATAATAACAATGAATAATAAAAGCAGGATGCAAAGAAGCAAAAATACAATGCTACAATTAAACCTCAAACAGCATCTTGCGTATGTCTCTGATACTTTCCGTGTGGGGAATATTATATTTATTTCGCAGTGCTTATTTATTTCGCCATCTGTACTCTAAAAGTGGAAACCCAAGGCTTTTCATTAACAGTGTCATGCCAGTTGCAACTAAACCTCCAAACTTCATGAGATCGAAATGCTGTTCCCATTTATTCAATTTCCTACCAGCCTCTGCCAATCCCAAACAGCTTCCAAATAAAACCCACTTCGGTGTTTTTGAATACATTCTCCGAACCACCCACCTCCATCGCTACCGGATCAGGCGATCCGGTCCGAACCGGTAGCATTTCACCCCTGCTCTATTGTGTTTGGGGAGTGACTAGACTCCTTCTGCATTCAGGAGTTATCAGTGTGAGATAAGAGCTGGGTCATGTCAAGAGAAGAACAAGGGCAAGAGACAAATCTTGATAACGGAAGTTAATTACGACAATTATAGCCATGCGTGCTTTTGTGAAGAGCGCACACCCCTGTCTATCACAGGGGGTTTGCCATCCAGCCAAGTGGAATGTGTATTCTTTGAACCCTAGTGTGCAACTGTATGTCTTTTCGAACAGTTTCTGATATATTCGTTCCCTTTTCAACCCATTTCCCTCCCCAAAATGAAAACACATTGGAAAGAAATGAGACTATTTAGTGGTCATCCGAAAGTTGTAAAATGGGGCAAAACAACTATCCCACTTAGCAACTGAAATTTTTGGCTCAACTGTGGTCAAAAACTACCTGTATCTTTTGCAAGCTCTAAGTTGCATAGACAGGCAGACAGACAGACAGATAGATAGATGGATATAGATAGATAGATAGATAGATAGATAGATAGATAGATAGATAGATACTATAGATACGATAGAGAGATGATAGAGGATAGAGATAGACAGACAGACAGACAGACAGACAGATAGATAGATAGATAGATAGATGGATATAGATATAGATAGATAGATAGATAGATAGATAGATAGGATAGAGAGATGAAAGAGGATAGAGATAGATAGACATACAGACAGACAGATACTGTAGATATATAGAGATAGAAAAGAAAAGAAAGAAAAATAGAGATAGATGATATAGATAGATAGATAGATACCATGTTTCCCCAAAAATAAGACCCTGTCTTACATTTTTTGAACCCTGAAATAAGCCCTTGGCCTTATTGCCATGCGTTCAAAAGCCCGATTGGGCTTATTATCAGGGATGTCTTATTTTGGGGGAAACAGATACTGTAGATAGATAGATAGATGATATAGTTAGATAGTTAGTTAGTGAGTGAGTGAGAGAGAGAGAGAGAGAGAGAGAGAGAGAGAGAGAGAGATGATAGAGGATAGATAGATAGATAGATAGATAGATAGATAGATACTGTAGATAGAAAGATGATATAGTTAGATAGATACAGTAGATGATAGAGATATAGATAGATGAGATAGATAAGATAGATAGATAGATAGATAGATAGATAGATAGACAGACAGACAGACAGACAGACAGACAGACAGACAGACAGACAGAGACAGACATAGAGACAGTCAGACAGACAGGAAAATAAGGCGCCTCTTCCTTGTAGAAGGAAGGAGAAGACGGAGATTCTTGAGGTCAACAGTTCTGTCGGATGCCATGTTGACTGGAAAGGATGGCGCTGTCGCCCAAAAAAAACAAACACCTGGAGGGCAATACCAGAGCCAGCCAGTTGTCTCACACCCTTCCTCCCCGCTGGTTCTAACCCGGCCTCCCCACTGGGGTGAAAAAAATCCTCTTCCCGCCCTTGGCTGCAATGTTTTTTGCTAGATCAAATGCTTTGAGACTATCACGTTGCTTCCAAGCCGGGCAGTCAGCAAGCCTCCACTGTGTACACCCAGAAGTAATCATTAACGGAGAAAATTGCACAGATTTTACAGTCTCTCTCTCTCTACTTCTTCTTCGGTGCCATCACCAAGAGGTCAGCGTACTTGGAAACGCTCTGAATAGAGCATTTCTACAGCCCCGACCATTAACGAAACGAGGAGCCAAAACGACCCGATGATAAAGTAAAAAAGGAATTGAAGATATATGTGAATAAAAATCGGGGCTGCTCGAATACGCACCTCAGATTGAATTGAAAAAGGAAATAACAAGGGAGTGGAAAAGGGGAGAGGAGTAAAGAGGGGGAGGGAGGAGAGTTGGGAGGTGAGAAGAGGAGAAAAGAAGAACGGGAAAAGAAGGGTTTGGAAAGAGGAGGAGAGAGGGTAAGAAAGGGAGGAAGAAGAGAGGAGAGGAGAAAGAGGAGAGGAAGTAGAAAAGGGAAGGAGAGGAGGAATGAGGAAAGTAGAAAGAAACAGAAGAGGAAAGGGAAGAAAAGGACAAGTTGCATTAAAATGAAGGAAGGAAAAGGTAGAAGAGCAGACCCGAACAACTAACAAGCAAATGGAAGTTAAAGAATAAGATGAATGAATAATGATTAATGATGGACAAAAGACTGTACATTTGAATACGCCGACAAAAAAATAAATAAAAAACGTAAAAGATCATTAACGAAACGAGGAGCTGAAATGAGGAGCTGATTCAAATCCTGTCCCCAAATCCTGCTAGGGAAAATTCTTTTACTGGCCCAGGATGAAAAAAACAAAACAAAAATAGCTGATCCGGACTAGCTTTTGCACGCCAAATCAAAATACTTTTTTGAAATAATCCCCCCCCCCCCCCCCGGCATTATTCTAACTGCTCGTTCGGTCAAGCCACTCGATCCGTCTGATCACGAGATAACCTTGGTTTGGGAGGCAAGAAGGGATCACCTCGATGAGGTCACCTGGAATTGGTTCCGGAGTTATCCGGGGACAGGAGGACGCCTCATCTCTCAAGCTTGCGAACTTTGTAATTGCTGAGTTGTCTCTTGCCAGCCCTTTATGGCCTCGGATTCAAGGTGGTGCAAAAATTATCTCTCCCGCACACTTTTGCACATCCCGGTAATCTATTAAAAGCTCCCTGCAAACCCCCCCCCCCAATCTTATTGCCACGTCACAAAATTACCCAGATGACACAGCTGGAAAAAAAAAACACTACTTCGGAAAGCACATCAAATGTTGACTTTCATGCCGTAAAGTCAGATCTCATTTAGAGCTAAGCTTCTTCCACCTCGAATAATACGGCCCTGGCTTTTAAAAAAACAAACACATGGATCATCCAGAAGAATCGCCAGTATTTTTTTTGGAAACGCCCTACGTTTAAACGCCCTAGCTTATTTCCTTGATAATCCTAAATTTAGGCTCCTTTTCCGTTCTATTCCCTTACTTAGAACCTCTTTTTTTTTTGCTATATAACCTTGTTCCCGTTTATCCTAAAGGTAAAGGTTCCCCTTGCACATATGTGTTGGTCGTTCCCAACTCTAGGGGGCGGTGCTCATCTTCGTTTCAAAGCCGAAGAGCCAGCGCTGTCCGAAGACGTCTCCGTGGTCATGTGGCCGGCATGACTCAACGCCAAAGGCACACGGAACGCTGTTCCCTTCCCACTAAAGGTGGTCCCTATTTTTCTACTTGCATTTTTTACGTGCTTTTGAACTACTAGGTTGGCAGAAGCTGAGACAAGTCACGGGAGCTCACCCTGTTACGCGGCAGTAGGGATTCGAACCGCTGAACTGCCGACCTTCCGATCGACAAGCTCAGCGTCTTAGCCACTGAGCCACCATGTCCCTTTTTATCCTAGAGACCCGTTAATCCAGGGTCTCTCAACCTTGACCTTCTTAAGAGGTGCGAACGTCAACTCCCAGAATTCCCCAGCCAACAGGAAGAATTCTAGGAGTTGAAGTCCACAGAGTTCTACTAACGTTGAGCAGAAAGGTATTTTTTTCAGGAACCTGACAGCACAAAGTACTGGTACCTTTTACATTTACCTTTTAGATGAAGGAAGGCAAAGACGGCGCTTCCAGCAACACGGCGGATCAGTCGTAAATAGATAATAGATAAAACTTTCTTCCTGGTTCCTGCTCGGGGCAATTCCAGTAACACCCACTCAGCGTTTTTTCCAACTCCTCGACACAAAATATTGGTGTTTGCTCACTGCAAAGGAAGGGGGAGAGAGAGAAAAAAAAAATGCACACACACGGATTATTTACTCAGCAGAAACGCCACTCCGAAAGCTCTTGAAACAAGAGAGGGCTGCAATGGAAAAGGAGGGAGGGCGCTTTGCGGATTTCGGTTTTGGTAAACACGCAACCTAAGATCAGATAGATCTGGGTGGGTCAGTCACCTAAGAACGCGAAAAAGAACAACAGAACAATCTCGCTGCCAGGTGTTTTGACGCAACAGCTAAAGCAGCAGGCCAACCTACGACCACAATGGAGCCCGAGATTTTCCACGGCGAAACGAGACAAGTTTTTTTTAAAGTGAGCTTCGCCCCGTTTTACGACCTTTTCTTGTTCAGTGAATCGTTGCCGTTGTTAAATTTAGCAATGATGGGCGCGAAGTGAATCTGGCTGCCCCAAATGGGGCAAAGCTCACTTAACAAACAGAAATTTGGGGCTCAATTGTGGTCGTTAAGTCGAGGACTTAACCTGTACAGGTGCGGCTCTGAGAAGAATCAGTTACGCCCTTCTGGCATCCTGAGAATAGACAGGTATCCTGCAACGAGGTTTAGCTCAGTACCTGCTACAGGTAAGACAGAGAACCAGAGCAAATTTCTGCTTCTCAGGTAGCGGCTACAAAATGAGGGGAGGGGCAGAATATTCATGGAAGGTGGGGGGACTGGAGGAAATAAGGGATTACATCCACCAGTGGAGAGATGCTTTTCTCCTCTCCTAAAGTTTCATGTCTTACTATGAAGATATCGTGTGAAATCAAGGAAGGAAGGAAAGAAGGAAGGAAGGAAAGAAATAAAGAGAAGGAAGGAAGGAAGGAAAGAAAGAAATAAAGAGAAGGAAGGAAGGAAGGAAGGAAGGAAGGAAGGAAGGAAGGAAGGAAGGAAGAAAGAAAGAAAGAAAGAAAGAAAGAAAGAAAGAAAGAAAGAAAGAATAAAATTGTGCCAGATAATAAAGATCAGGTCATTCTTAAGGCTCTTCCTAAACCTGTTTTAAAAGGATCTTTAGTGAAGGTTGAGTTCCTAGAGACGTTATCAGAGAGAAAGAAAGAAAGAAAGAAAGAAAGAAAGAAAGAAAGAAAGAAAGAAAGAAAGAAAGAAAGAAAGAAAGAAAGAAAGAGAGAAAGAAAAAATGAATCACTGCTCAATGCCAAGAGAACTGCCAAGCCAGTTTTGTGCCCAAAGGCCTCGTAAGCTAGTCAAGAAGCTGGCTACATGCCTGGAAAAAAGACACACACACACACACACACATACACAGAAGAGGTGTGAGTCTCCAGCTACAGCCCGATTTCACAAACTGCAGCCGAAGCCTACAAAAACCACAAAGGCTTAAAACTCAGCAGCCAGCCAGCCAGCCAGCCGGACATTTTCACACAACCATCCCAGAAAAGAATCTTTGCACAGAGAGAGAGAAAGAGAGAGAGGGAGGGAGGGAGGGAGAGAAAGAGACGCGTGGAATGTTTCTTTAACTTTGCTTGGCATCCTCTCTAGAAAAACCTCCAGCAGTCCTCAAGGCTGAGAAGGAAGGGGGGGGGGGGAAAAAACCATTCCGCCCCCCCCCCTTAAGGGGGGGGGGCCCCCCCCCCCACTCCCGGAAACATACATTTCCCAGTGCCAATATATACGTGGATTGATTTCTGGAGATTGGGAAGTTCTTGAAACCTCTAAGCCAGGAAGGTGGGCAAAAAGGGAATCAACCCAATTTCAGGAGGTTGGCAATTTGACTCTGGGCATTAAAATCTACCTGGTATCTATGGTATCTATCTATCGATTGATCGATCGATCGATCAATCTTTCTTTCTTTTTCTTTCTTTCTTTCTCTTTCTTCTTTATCCTATCTATCTTTCTATCTATCTATCTATCTATCTATCTACCTACCTACCTACCTACCTACCTACCCACCCACCCATCTCTTGAAATCTTCCTGGTATCTATGGTATCTATCTATCTATCGATTGATCGATCGATCTTTCTTTCTCTTTCTTTCTTTCTCTTTCTTCTTTATCCTATCTATCTATCTTTCTTTCTTTCTTTTTCTTTCTCTCTTCTTTATCCTGTCTATCTTTCTTTCTTTCTTCTTTATCCTTCCTTTCTTTCTTCTTTATCCTATCTATCTATCTATCTATCTATCTATCTATCTATCTATCTATCTATCTACCTACCTACCTACCTACCTACCTACCTACCCACCCATCTCTTGAAATCTTCCTGGTATCTATGGTATCTATCTAATCTATCGATTGATCGATCGATCTTTCTTTCTCTTTCTTTCTTTCTCTTTCTTCTTTATCCTATCTATCTATCTTTCTTTCTTTCTTTCTTTCTCTCTTCTTTATCCTGTCTATCTTTCTTTCTTTCTTCTTTATCCTTCCTTTCTTTCTTTCTTCTTTATCCTATCTATCTATCTACCTACCTACCTACCTACCTACCTACCTACCTACCTACCTACCCATCTCTTGAAATCTTCCTGGTTTCCTTGCTTTTCTTTTTCAACAGGGTCTCCAATATACATCTCTTTTATTTTCCCGTCCTGCTGTTCTCCATCTACACCCTCTTCCCTCAAGCTGTCTTGGTTACCCACACCCCTGAAAGCCCCCTCCTCCAATTTGTGCTTCTTTCAATTTCCTTTCAATTTCTCCCCTTTGATCGTTTTCTCTTTTGGCCCTAGAAGAGCCAAGTTATATATTACACATTATATTGTACATTATGTTGCATATAAACAGGGAGCAAACCCCATTCTCTTCTAGCGCTGATAACGTTACCTAGTTCTGCAAGAAAGCAACAAGCTCAGAGAGCACCAAGTCCTCTACCTCCTCCTCTCCGTAAACCCCACTCCCTTCTAGCACTGATAATGTTACCTAGCTGGGTAATGAAAGGTCTGCAAGAAAACAGCCAAGGTCAGAGAGCACCAAGGACCCCACTGTCATCTCTCTCCACCTCTTCCTCTCCTCCCCTTCTCCTTCACTCCACAAACCCCACTCCCTTCTAGCACTGATAATGTTACCTAGCTGGGTAATGAAAGGTCCGCAAAGAAAACAGCCAAGCTTAAAGAGCAGCAAAGACTGCACCGTAATAAGAACAACCAACACTACTTCTGAATCCTTTGTGTGCATCCCTGGTTTTTAACACACCACCACACAAATCTCTTTTGTCAAGCTGTACAGCAGAATTTCCGCAGAGGGCTGTTAAGGCGTTGAGTCTGGAGGATGCCATTCAGGGCGAGTTTTCTCCTTCAATGCCTTCCTTCTCAGCCTGGATCCTCTTTTGCCATCTCCATCCCCGTTTACTTATTTATTCGATCGTTTTCAATATTTGTTCTACAGCCGCCTATTTCCTCCCATGACTCTGGGCTGCTTACAATTGCAATTTTTTTCCGATTAATGGAGCTGATTAAATACACCTGGAGGGTAAAGATGGGGAAGCCTATACATTTTATAAATAAAGGGAATAAAATCCAATTGAGCTACGTTGCTGCGCTGGGCTGGCGCAAAGCTTGCACCTGGGTTTGGCACGAGGAATGAACTCAGCACACACCCCGATCAGGCTGTGTTCCCACAGAGATTAGGGATGGATCCAGGGTTCGAATCCACCCACCCATCCAATTGGGGTTTGCGGGCATATTGCACAAGATGAAAGCATGGGTGAGTGGGTGGATTCCAGCACTGGAGCACAGATTGATCCTCAATGGCTACTTCTTTCCCCTCCTCTGTTCCCCCCCCCCCACTTTTGTTTTCTCTCCCACTCTTCCCTCCCCTCAACACTCTTTCCTCCAGATGCTTTGGACTTCCACTCCCATCATCCCCAGCCAGGACAGGCACTGGCAAAGACTCCATAAATAGATAAGAGAGATAGATAGAGAGAGAGGGAAAGAGAGAAAAGATAGAGAGAGAGAGAGAGAAGATAGAGAGAAAGGGAAGGTAGATAGAGAGTGAGAGAGAGAGAAGAGATAGATAGATAGATAGATAGATAGATAGATAGATAGATAGATGGAGAAAGATAGAAGAGAGAGAGAAGATAGATAGATAGATATAGAAGAGAGATGATTGATAGAGAGATAAAGATAGATAGTGAGAAAGAGAAGATAGATATAGAATATAGAAGAGAGAGAGATGATTGAGAGATAAAGATAAATAGATAGTGAGAAAGAGAAGATAGATAGTAGATATAGAGATATAGAAGAGCGAGAGAGATGATTGATAGAGATAAAGGTAGAGAGAGAGAGAGAAAATAGAGATAGATAGAAAGAGAAGATAGATTGATAGAGATATAGAAGAGAGAGAGAGGATTGATAGAGAGAGAAGATAGATAGAAAGAGAAGATAGAGATATAGAAGAGAGATGATTGATAGATAAAGGTAGAGAGAGAAGATAGATAGATAGAAAGAGAAGATAGATAGATATAGAAGAGATGACTGATAGAGAGATAAAGATATAGTGAGAAAAAGATAGATAGAAAGAGAAGATAGATTGATAGAGATATAGAAGAGAGAGAGAGAGGATTGATAGAAAGAGAAGATAGAGATATAGAAGAGAGAAGATAGATAGATAGATAGAAAGAGAAGAGAGATATAGAAGAGAGACGATTGATAGAGAGATAAAGATAGATAGATAGCGAGAAAGAGAAGATAGATAGAAAGAGAAGATAGATTGATAAATATAGAAAAGGGAGAGAGAGATGATTGATAGAGAGATAAAGGTAGATAGATAAAATAAATAAATACAATAAATGCATAAAAATAAAGACATAAATAATATTATATAAAATAAAATAATCTTTTAAAAAAAGCTGCGGGGGCGCAGCTTCCCATGCTGTTCTGTCGGGGGGGTGGGGTGGGGGGGTTCCATTCCACAGGGAGGGAGGGGGGGACTACAAAGCCCATACTTTCCAGAGGCGCGGGGAGTCATGGGTTTTGTAGTCCGGGGGGGGGGGGTTTCCAAATTTTATTATTTAAAGGTGGGGGGGGGGGGGGGGGGGTTTTTGGGGCGCTTCTTTCCTTGCTCCCCCCCCCCCCCCCGCCTGCGGAAAAAAACCAAAGCTGGGGGGGGGGGCACTCACTCACTCACTGACCGGCCGCCTGCTCCGCCGTCTCTGCTTTGACCTCCCTTCAGACGTGTCTCCCCTTCTTCAGCCGGACCCGCCCCCTCCGCGCGCGGATTGGCCGGAGGCCGCGTCACCTTGCCCGGACGAGCGTTCCGATTGGCTTAGAGCCGCTCCCTCCTCTTTTTTTTTTTTCGCCGCCGGCTCCGCCCTCTTTTTTGTGGCCAGCCTGGTTTCGCTCTTTGAAAGAGCAGGAACGTGCGGCGCGTTGCGGGGAGGGGAGAATTTTGGGCCTCCCCGGGTGCCGTAGTTGGGTCACGTGCCCCCGGAGCCGCTTCCTGGAGTGGGCCGGACTTCGCCCACAGGGCGCTTTTACGACACTGCCGCCAAGCACGGAAGCAGCCGGGCGAGGCGGACCGGCAAAAAAAAAAATGTTCGGGGGCGCCGAGGTGGGGAATGCCGACTTCGTGTCTCCGATGGGGGGGTGAGAGCGAGGGGGGGGGGGGGGGGGGTTGGTTGGGGGCGGGACCGGAAGAGGAACTAGCTACTTCCGTTCGCTTGTCAAACTTGGGGGGGGGCAACTTGGAGCACCCCTCTTGGGGCTAAAATATATATCTGTTATTTTAAGTGAGTGCCTCTGAGCATGTGCAGAGGGCATTTGAATTTCTGGGTGGGGGGTCTAAAGTCAGCTGGGTTTCTGAGCCCAGAGAGTGCCTCTGAGCATGTGCAGAGGGCATTTAAACTTCTTTTCATTCATTCTATGCATTCCAGCAAGAGAAACAGGGCCATTTGAGTGAAAAACTATAATCTTCCATTATTTATTTATTTATTTAATTAATTAATTAATTAATTAATTAATTAATTAATTAATATACCGCCCTATTCCTAAGGGACTCATTAGTAACACAGAAGCTGCGTTCTCCCCGTATATTTATCTAGGGCAGACTAACCTTGTTTGTGTCACGTGGTTGGCATGGTTTGTATTAACCCTGGTTTGTGTTTGTGGCTTGGCGTGTTGTGAGGACCCAGCCTGTTTGATTAGCTTGTATTGAGCAGACTCAGTAATCGGGCTAAGAGTGTGATGTGAACAGAGACATTTATTTTTGTATCTATCTATCTATCTATCTATCTATCTATCTATCTATCTATCTATCTTCTATTGTATATCTATCTGTCTCTATCTATACCTATCTATCTATCTATCTATCTATCTATCTATCTATCTATCTATCTATCTATCTCTATTGTATATCTATCTGTCTCTATCTATACCTATCTATCTATCTATCTATCTATCTATCTATCTATCTATCTATCTCTATTGTATATCTATCTGTCTCTATCTATACCTATCTATCTATCTATCTATCTATCTATCTATCTATCTATCTATCTATCTATCTCTATTGTATATCTATCTGTCTCTATCTATACCTATCTATCTATCTATCTATCTATCTATCTATCTATCTATCTATCTATCTATCTCTATTGTATATCTATCTGTCTCTATCTATACCTATCTATCTATCTATCTATCTATCTATCTATCTATCTATCTATCTATCTATCTATCTCTATTGTATATCTATCTGTCTCTATTCTATCTATCTATCTATCTATCTATCTATCTATCTATCTATCTATCTCTATTGTATATCTATCTGTCTCTATCTATACCTATCTATCTATCTATCTATCTATCTATCTATCTATCTATCTCTATCTGTATCTATCTATCTCTGTCTAATCTATATCATGTCTATCTGTCTCTATCTATACCTATCTATATGTAGCTATCTCTATCTCTATCTAATCTATATCATATATCTCTCTATATCTATCATCTCTATATCTATCTAATCTATATTGTATATCTATCTGTTTCTATTTATACCTATCTATCTATCTATCATCTATCTGTTCTATCTATCTATATCTATCTATCTATCTATCTATCTATCTATCTGTAGCTATCTATATCTATATCTATCTAATCTATATCATATATCTATCTGTCTCTATATCTATCTATATTTATCTGTTCTATCTATCTCTATCTTCTGTATCTATCTATCTGTATCTATCAAATCTATCTATCTATCTATCTATCTATCTATCTATCTATCTATCTCTATCATATATCTACCTGTCTCTATCCCTATCTCTATCTATCTATCTATCATTTCTTAACCACCCATCTCCCTATGTTCTCTCTCAAGTTACCCTACCTTGCAGGGTTATTGTCACCGTAGAAGAGGGTTGGGGAGGGGGGGTAGGCATACAGATTTTGTTTCCATGGGAGAAACTGAATTAGACTTGCCAACAAGGGCTTCTCTTTATGACTTGTGACCCCGCTGCTTTCTGCGTTTGTTAGTATGATAACTACAAGCATTTCGAAGCCACCCGCTTTTCGGAGTGAGATGGGCGGCACATAAATTGAATATCTAAAATAATCAGCAAGGATTCTCAGACGGGGAGTTCACACACACACTGCATTACGCCGCAACCTGACAAATTACTCAGTCGCATACTTTAACCAACATTAAGGCTGGTAAAATTATAGATCATGGCTTGGCGTGGTTTGTGAATTTGTAACTCAGTAAACCACAGCCCTGCACAGCCTAATTTAATGTGTTGTCCGAGGCCTCACAGTTGTATTCTTGACATCTGGAGGACGCCGGGTTGGCGAGATCTGCTTTAATAAACATTGAATCCTAGGTTCTTGTTTCAAAAATAGAGGCAGTTACTGGTTAAATGAAGCTTAATGGTAGTTTCTGTTTTCTTGTGTCAATTTGTACCATTTTCGTAAGAGGACATATTTCTTTCCTGCATCATGAATGACCAACCTATTTCCCAAATTAATGACATAAACAGGCATATAATAGTGTCAGAGGGATCAGGGTGGATTTGATTTAAATCGAGTTGATTTAAATCACAATTTAAATCATGATTTAAATCACTAGTAAAAAGGCTCGATTTAAATCAACTCGATTTAAATCGTAATTTTTAAAGAGCAACTGTCATCTCTGCTACTCCTTTGACCCACTGTTGACTCACCGATCGTCCCAGTGTTGCAGAATATACAGCCTCATGCTACCTAACTAAGCTCCATTTCATGCTGAATAAACTAAATTATTTATGTATTTTAAATAGAAATCTATCTTACGATAGATTTTTACCCCAAAATTTTTTTAATAAAATAAATTCGATAAAAATCAACAAAATCCGATTTAAATCAAAAAAATCTGATTTTTTTTATTTTTATTTTTTTAAAAAATCATTGATTTTTATCCACCCTGAGTTGGGATCCTTCTTGGTAGTTGTGTGGTCTTTAGTTAGCACTAAAGAGGCTATCTTGTCTCTGAATGTCGCAAGAATGTGCTTAGTTAAGCAAGCCAGCTTGCGAGATGGTGCAATAAAAGAGATCGGTCGGGGCAAAGGGAAGAAGCTCGTGTTGATTAGATTAGTGGTTGCGTGACTCCGCTGGCTTTGGAAATACGAGAGGAATTGGGGGGGAGATATTCCTGCCTGTCATATTTACCTACATTATTCCAGGTTAAAGCAGCATGCAGAAGCACAGAAGAAAAAAGAATAAAAATATGACGCCCAAGAAATGAAAGGCGTCGGAGAAAGAATTAAAATTTAAGCTACGCAAACCATCCTTCGCGGCACGTCTGACCATCATTCCGTGCTTTCCATCCCAAATTGGTTGTGGGGAACAGTGTGTTGGCTTGCAAGGTAGACTCTCGTTTCGGGATCGTGGTTTGCATACAGAATAGAATAGAATAGAATAGAATAGAATAGAATAGAATAGAATAGAATAGAATAGAATAGAATAGAATAGAATAGAATAAGGGTAGGGTAGGGTAGGGTAGAGTAGAGTAGAGTAGAGTAGAGTAGAGTAGAGTAGAGTAGAGTAGAGTAGAGTAGAAAATAGAAAATAATAGAAAATAGAAAGCTCCCTATCTCTACCGTTGCCAATAGTTTTGTATGGAAAAGACTCTCGGGAGGGAAGGGAAATAAAAAAAAATCCAAGATGGGAAGGTCAGGAGGAAATGTCATAATAGGGAAACTCCACAGTTGCATTCTCGTGATCAGCAGAGCTTGGATTTGCAAAAAGAGAGGAGGATTTTGCAACCCATTGGGCGGTTTCCAACCATGCCTTTCAAACCCTTGAGATGCAGAGATAGACCAGACAGGGAAGGTAGTTGAGAAGCGGCCTTCCGCAGCCTCGCTTTTTTGAGATAAACTGGGACTACAAGGCCCACAATTCCTTTGGCCTTTGTTGGGTGGACTTCTTGCACTTTTCAATTTGGGGATTGATGTTTGCCAACTTTTTCTCTCTCTCTCTCTCTCCTTCTCTCCCTCCCTCTCTTTCTCTCCCTCCCTCTCTTTCTCTCCCCATCTCTCTCCCTCCCTCTCTTCCTCTCCCCATCTCTCTCTCCCTCTCTCTTTCTCTCCCTCTTTCTCTCCCTCTCTCTTTCCCTCTTTTTTTCTCATCTCTCTCTCTCTCTCCCTCTCTCTCTTCCCATCTCTCTCTCTCCCTCTCTCTTTCTCTCCCCATCTTTCTCTCCCTCTCTGTTTCTTTCCCCATCTCTCTTCCTCTCTTTCTCTCCCCATCTTTCTCTCCCTCCCTCTTTCTCTCCCCATCTCTCCCTTCCTCTCTTTCTCTCCCCATCTTTCTCTCCCTCTCTGTTTCTCTCCCCATCTCTCTCTCTTCCTCTCCCTCTCTCTCCCTTCCCATCTCTTTCCCTCTTTTTCGCTCCCTCCCTCTCTTTCTCTTCCCATCTCTCTCTCCCTCTCTCTCTCTTTCTCTTCCCTTCTCTCTCTCTCCCTTCTTCCTTCCCTCTCTCTCTCTTTCTCTCCCTCCCTCGTTTTCTCTCCCCCTCTTTCCCTTTCTCCCTCTCTCTCCCCCCCCTCTCTCTCTCTTCCTTCCTCCGTCTCCCCCTTCTCTCTCCCTCTCTTCAACATTGGTGTTAAATACCCTTTAGTCATACAGTATATAAAATTTATATAAAATATCCTTTTAGGTGAGGCGGAATGAGGCTGACAGGGGAGAAGGGGGGTCTAGATTAGAATATCTCTCTTTCAGCTGATGTATTGGTAGATTTGGCCGCCCCGGGATTCTGCGGATCGTAGCCCAGAAAAAAAGTCTGCAGATTTCAAGAATGCAAGAAATACTTGAATAGGGTGTCAAGGATCCTGTTCCTTTCGGTTCAGCTTTACTTCCTTTTTCTCTCTTCCCCCTTTCCTTCCACCCAGAGCTAGCTCAGCAAATGAGGACCATGTGATGGACCAGCTTTCCAGGGGCTGCAATCCAAGCCAGCCCATGTCATGGGACACTGTCTCATTTCCCTTAATTTCATGTTCCAAGAAGGGGAAGGAGATAAATAGATGGTGTTTTCTTGAGTTGGGGAAAAAAAACCCATGAAGGCTTAAACTTTAATTGGAAATGACTGTCCTGTTCTGGGCTGTCTCTTTATCTTCGTGAATAAACACGAATAAACTTCGTGTGGATGAACAAAATGCTTATTTTTATATTATTGTTTAAAATGTTTATTAGCAGGCAGTGCAAATTTAAGTAACCATAAGGCAGTCTTTTTTTTATTATTATTATTATCCATCTGGCTATAGGCACCCTCTTCCTCCAGCCTCGTTTCATTAAAGTCAGTAATCAGTAACCGTAACAGAGTTGGAAGGGACCTTGGAGGTCATTTAGTCCAACCCCCTGCTCACGCAGGAGACCAAAATTGGGGATTCGAACCGCCAAACTGCTGACCTTTCTGATTGACAGGCTCAGCGTCTTAGCCGCTGGAGCCACCTAGTCAGGCAGAAAGTCCGTTCGTCTGTGGACTTTCTGAATCGGTTCCCCCAAATTTGAACTCGTCTTAAAGTGGGGTGCCCAGAATTGGTCTCGGGGACTTAAAAAAGGGGGTGTGACCAGAGCAGATCTTGCAAGCGTTGGTGTACTGACCAATAAAAGGAGAATATTGGTTTTCTTGCAGACATTTCGTGACCCAACTAGGTAACGTCATCAGTGGTTAGTAAGTGTTGTTCTCAGTTTATATTCTAGTGTCTTTCCCTGTCTGGGTGGCTGGCGGCGCTGTAAGAGATTCTTCGGGCGGCCTGTTTACTGATGACTCTTTGGCGGTTTCTTGATTGGGGTATTGTTTATTTGACTGTTGGTCTGATGTTAATCTTGGAGTTAATCTATGCCAATGATGGCCCAAACCGGAATGCGTGTGCATGCGTGTGCATGTGTGTACGCTGGAGCACCGGAAACCTGAAAACCAGCTGGCCTGTGCATGCAGACCTAAAGTTGGGGCTGTTTTCAAGCCATTTTTCGGGCCGTTTTCAGGCTGTTTTGGGGGGCATTTTTCTGGCTGTTTTTGGCCCGAAAACAGCCTGAAAATCGCCCCAAAATGGTGTGAAAATGGCCCTGAAAACAGCCGGAAAACGGGCCCAGAAATGGCCCGGAAAATGGCCTTCTCTTCCTCTTCTATTCTGTTCTGTTCTGTTCTGTTCTGTTCTGTTCTGTTCTGTTCTGTTCTATTCTATTCTAATTCTATTCTATTCTATTCTAACTCTACTCTACTCTACTTTCTACTCACTCTACTCTACCTACCCTACTCTACCCTACCCTACTCTACCCTACCTACCCTACTTCCCTACCCTATCCTACCCTACCCTACCCTTATTCTATTCTATTCTATTCTATTCTATTCTATTCTATTCTATTCTATTCTACTCTACTCTACTCTACTCTACTCTACTCTACTCTACATTCTATTCTATTCTATTCTATTCTATTCTATTCTATTCTATTGTATTCTATTCTATTCTACTCTACTCTACTCTACTCTACTCTACTCCACTCTACATTCTATTCTATTCTATTCTATTCTATTCTATTCTATTCTATTCTACTCTACTCTACTCTACTCTACTCTACTCTACTCTACTCTACTCTACTCTACTCTACTCTACTCTACTTCTACTCTCTACTCCACTCCACTCCACTCCACTCCACTCCACTCCACTCTACATTCTATTCTATTCTATTCTATTCTATTCTATTCTATTCTATTCTATTCTATTCTACCTACTCTACTCTACTCTACTCTACTCTACTCTACTCTACTCTACTCTACTCTACTCTACTCTACTCTACTCCACTCCACTCCACTCCACTCCACTCTACTCCACTCCACTCTACATTCTCTATTCTATTCTATTCTATTCTATTCTATTCTATTCTATTCTATTCTATTCTACTCTACTCTACTCTACTCTACTCTACTCTACTCCACTCTACATTCTATTCTATTCTATTCTATTCTATTCTATCTATTCTATTCTACTCTACTCTACTCTACTCTACTCTACTCTACTCTACTCTACTCTACTCTACTCTACCCTACCCTACCCTACCCTACCCTACCCTTATTCTATTCTATTCTATTCTATTCTATTCTATTCTATTCTATTCTATTGTATTCTATTCTATTTTCTATTTTCTATTTTCTATTTTCTATTTCTATTTTCTTCTTTCTCTTCTACTCTACTCTACTCCCTCCCCTCCCCTTATTCTATTCTATTCTATCCCATCCCATTCCATCCCATCCCATCCCAGTCTATTCTATTCTATTCTATTCTATTCTATTCTATTCTATTCTATTCTATTCTATTCTATTCTATTCTATTCTATTCTATTCTATTCTATTCCATTCCATTCCATTCCATTCCATTCCATTCCATTCTACTTACCGGCTTCTTTAAGTTAGGTAGGAGCCTCTACCTTTCCAAGGTCGCTCCGCAATTCCAGAGACCTGATCTTGTGCAAATTCAGGAATTTTTTTTTTTTTTTTGCAAACCCGAGCTTGCATTGTTATCTTTCCAACCCCCTCCTTGGCCTGCTGATGCTTCAAGATGGGCGAAGAAGGAGGGGAGGGAAAATGGGATTATCTTTCAGTAAAACCGTCATGAAGGTCGTGAGTAGACCGAGGTTGTCCGAGAGAGACGCACAACCAGGCGGAGCTGAAGGTGGCAATGGCAGACTCATGGCGGACCGAGTATTTTTGGCAAGCTGCCCACGGGTCGGTGGGTTTGCCTCGGTTTTCGGGGTGCGGGGGGGTGCTACGTTTTGGTGTGAAGGTTGTTAAAATTGCGCTTCCATCCCGGAATATTTAGGGGAGCCTGTTTAACCCCAGAACTGAATATTTTGGGGCTTGGCAATTGGATTGAGCGCTGATCAAATTCTCGTGCTTTTGTGATTGATTTTACTACACAAGTTTCTAGCTCTGAAGAATACGGATATAAACAGGGCAGGATTTCAAGGCAGAGCGGAATTCTTTTCATGCTTTGGCATAAAGTGACTCAGTTATGGCGCCGGTCCTCATTGTTTTGCTTCAGTTTCCCAGTGGGCGTGGTCAAAGCAAGGGGTAAACGATTTTGCAAATTTGCCTATTTAATTTGGGCAGTGCCTGGTTGGCTTAGGGGTTATGGCTGGTCACAGCTATCTTGTGGTTTTTTTTTTCTAAACTCCTAGCCTTTAAAAACATTGGTTCGGTGCAAATCAGAGTTTCCACGTTGCATGTACCATTACATGCAGGTTGTAAGTGGAGCTAATCGTTCCTGACTCTAGGGGGCATCTCCGTTTCAAAGCCGAAGAGCCAGCGCTGTCCAAAGACGTTCTCCGTGGTCATGTGGCCTGCATGACTCAACGCTAAAGGCGCACGGAACGCTCTTACCTTCCCACCAAGATGGTGCCCTATTTTTCTACTTGCATTTTTTTTTACGTGCTTTCGAAATGCTAGGTTGGCCAGAAGCTGGGACAAGTCACGGGAGCTCACCCCGTTGCGCGGCACCAGGGATTCGAACCGCCGAACTGCCGACGTTTCGATCGACAAGCCCAGCGTCTTAGCCGCTGAGCCACCGCGCCCCCTACAACATATAATACAATCACTTTATATTTGCCCTGAAACAAATTTCGTTATCGGCGTTCGCATCTTTGAGAGGTCCTCGGTGCTCTCTGAGCTTGGTTGTTTCCTTGCAAACGTTTCATGACCCAACTAGGTAACATCATCAGTGTTACGGAGTGTGACTTGCTCCCTGTTTATATACAGTAGCTTGGAGTTTGGTTGTTTTCTGGCAGGCGTTTCATGACCCAAATTAGGTGGCATCATTGCCAGAAAACATCCAGGTTTCAGAGAGCACAAGGACCTTTTATTTCAATCTCAAGCTACTATAAATATTATTCTAAATCAGTTCTCATCTTTATTTCTCTTTATTAACTGGGCATTTCCTCCTCCCCCCCCTTCTTTCTGCAGGGCCAGGCTGGCCTCTCTCTTCGGCATGGACCAGGCGACCTCTGGTACTGGGAACGAATTTTTCCAGTATACAGCACCTAAAACAGCCCAAGAAAAATCTACCGGCCGCAGGTAGGTAATGGTTGGCCAAAATCCAGAATGCGTAAGTAGAAATCACATAGAGCTTTTTCCAGCGGGGAATGAAATGGCGCCCCCCGATGGATCCGGCTGGGATAAAAGGTCTGAAAATGCTCGGCTGGTGAAGGGGTCCTTGAACTTTGTGGGACCGTGACCAGGGATGAAATGCTCCCGGTTCGGACCGGATCGCCCGATCCGTAACGATGGCGGCGGGTGGTTCGGAGAACCGTAGCAAAAATCCCTGACACCCTCCCATGCCCAGCTGAGCCCACGAGCTTTTTTAAACTATTTTTAAAAGCATTTTTTCTACAACCTCTTTGCCGAAAAAATGCTTTTAAAAGTAAAAAAACAAAAGGCGGCTCAGCTGGGATTGTCAGACGGTTTTAAAAGCATTTTTTCTACAACCTCTTTGGCGAAGAGGTTATAAAAAAATGTTTTTTAAAGCCTCTGACGATCCCAGCTGAGTTGCCTGATCGTCAGAGGCTTTTAAAAGCATTTTTTTCTGCCGAAGAGGTTGTAGAAAAAATGCTTTTAAATGTAAAAAAAAAAAGGCGGCTCAGCTGGATCGTCAGAGGCTTTTAAAAGCATTTTTTCTACAGCCCTTCGGCGAAGAGGATATAGAAAAAATGTTTTTAAAAGCCTCTGACGATCCCAGCTGAGTTGCCTGATCGTCAGAGGCTTTTAAAAGCATTTTTTTTCTGCCGAAGAGGTTGTAGAAACAATGCTTTTAAAAGTAAAAAAAAAAAAAGGCGGCTCAGCTGGGATCGTCAGAGGCTTTTAAAAGCATTTTTTCTACAGCCCCTTCGGCCGAAGAGGTTATAGAAAAAATGTTTTTTAAAAGCCTCTGACGATCCCAGCTGAGTTGCCTGATCATCAGAGGTTTTTAAAAGCATTGTTTTCTGCCAAAGAGGTTGTAGAAAAAATGCTTTTAAAAATAAATAAATAAATAAAAAGTTGGCCACGCCCACCTAGTCACATTAACCCTCCCACCACCAAGCCACGCCCACAGAACCGGTAGTAACAAATTTTACATTTCACCACTGATCATGACCCCCCCCTTAAATCAATGAATGTGGGGGTCCCTCTGTCGAATAGAGGTAACCCTCGACTGACTTACGGCCACAACGGAGGCCAACGTTTCAGACGCTAAGCAAGACGGAGTCTTCCTTACTCCGTCGTCAGAGCTTGGTTTTCCAGATGTTTCGACTTGCACCTCTCCGTAACATGTATGCCCAAGTTCTTTCCTGGTGTTCTGCTTCAGGTGCGGGGCCCCCAACGCAGAAGCCTCCTCCGCCTGCGGGAGCACCCTCCGTCTTCGTAGCCACGGCCGTTCACGCCTATCGGTTGTAAGTACCGTATTTCCCGTATTTACTCCCCACTTGTAAGGAATATTTGCCCTTAAGGGGGGGTGCGTTTTTGGAGAGGGAAGAGGGCAATCCTTCTCTTCGGTAGACTAGACATACCTTCAAGGGTTCATCTATTCACCATTTAGCCTCCAGCCCTCTAATCATCTTCGTTGCTCTTCTCTGCACCCCCTTTTTACAATTGGAATTCCAGCACAAACGGGACCTACGTGAAACAAGGCAAATACGGAGCAGCTGTGGTGGGATGCCACACCACCCAGGAGGTAAGAGGTGGGATTCATGCTTCCCTTTGCATCCTGTTTGGCATCCTCCCCATCTTCGTCCCATCTGCTACTCCTTCCTTCCTCCCCCTCCCTCCCCTCATTCCCATTTCCTTCCTTCTTCCTTCCTCCTTCCCTTCCTCCCTCCTTCCTTTCTCTCTCCCCCGACCTCCCTCTCTCCTCATTCCTTCCTCTCATTCCCATCTTCTTTCTTCTTTCTTCCTCCTCCCTCCCTCCCTTCCTCATTACTTCCTCTCATTCCCATCTCCTTCCTTCTTCCCTCCCCTCCCTACTTTCCTCCTTCCTCTCTCCCTCCCTTCCTCATTCCCATTTCCTTCCTTCCTCCTTCCCTCCCTCCCTCCTTCCTTTCTCTCTCCCCCGCCTCCCTCTCTCTCATCCTTCCCTTCATTCCCATCTCCTTCCTTCCTTCTCCTTCCTTCCTTCCCTCCCTCCCTCCCTCATTCCCATTTCCTTTCTTCCTTCTCCTTCCTTCCTTCTTCCCTCCTCCCTCTCATTACTTCCCCTCATTCCCATCTCCTTTCTTCTTTCTTTCTCCTTCCTTCCTTCTTCCCTCCCTCCCTCTCATTACTTCCCCTCATTCCCATCTCCTTTCTTCTTTCTTCCTCCTTCCTCCCTCCCTCCTTCCCTCCCTTCCTCATTACTTCCTCTCATTCCCATCTCCTTCCTTCCTTCCTCTCTCCCTCTCTCCCTCCCTCATTCCCATTTCCTTCCTTCCTTCTTCCTTCCTTCCTTCCTCCTTCCCTCCCTCCTTCCTTTCTCTCTCTCCCCCTCCTCCCCCGCTCATTCCTTCCTCTCATTCCCATCTCCTCCTTCCTTCCTTCCTTCCTTCTTCCCACCCTCCCTTCCTCCCTCTCATTCCCATCTCCTCCCTCCCTCCTTTGGTTGAACCATAATTCTAAATCCATTGAAACCTGACTGTAGTTGATGGCTCATCATCAGACTCAAGATGAGAACCGTTGCTTGGGCAATTCAAATTCTACCTTTCCAGGTATTGCACTTCTATCTTGACTTTTTATTTTACTTATGCCTGCAGCTACGCATGAAAGCTGCGGCTACATGTGGAAGCTACTGACCGAAGCCGTCTGGCTTAATCCCGGTTTACTGAGTCAGTCACAGTTGGCCGGATTCATATCAGACAATAAGCTAGAGCCAGGTTTTCAACTCAAGTCATAGGTTTTACGGGACACTTTAAACCTGAATTAAATAAGATCTTTTCCGTGTGAATTTAATTGCTGGGGGGGTCTCTGAACATCTCTTGTTTTTTCCTCTCCTTCCTTTTTTCCTGTGGCGTATGGAATCCAGTACAGGATCCTGCTTTATATCAACCAGCAGCAGCAGATCACCAGCACAAGAATACACCCAGGCTTCGTATTCACGGTAAGCCTTGGTGGTTAAATGTCGGGAAAACTTTGACATGGATCTGAAAAGGTGTCATGAAGTCCTGGATTGATTAACAGCAAAGATTAATTGATTTAATTAGCAGCAAAGATTCTGGTCCCCCTTGTATTCATAAAATACAAGTCCCAGGTGTAACTATAAAAGATGAGTCAGACATCACAATCTCCGGGACATCTATCTATATATATATAAAAGCAAAAACCATTCACGCATTAATCACAAAATCTCCAGAACCGTAAAGCCTACAAACTTGAAATTTGCCACCTATGTTCCTCTTGGCTTCTAGGTGCTCACTAGAAAGGATTTTTCGAAATGACCATCAGAGCATTAGTATTTCCTATATTATTATTAACACACTCTGATCCTAAGGAATTCTACTCCCCCTCCCCACCTCAAAAGGAATCTGTTCCAAATGCAAAAACACAAGCAGAGGAGGAGTTTCACTTTCAGTTTCACTTTCACAGCAGCAAGCAGCTTTACTACAGAACAGTTGAGCTAAGCCACGCCCAGCTTCCTTCTTGTTCACACACAGCAAATACTGTTTGAGTTTCCAAACATCCCTCAACTCTCTCACACACTGACAGGATGCTAGCCAGATGAATACCGATGGATGCTGTAGGCTGGGACATTCTACTCCCTGTCTCTCTCTGTTCCAACTGCCAGTTGCATTGTATTAACGCACTCTGATGCTATGGAGTTACACATTCTACATTACGTTTCAGGCTGCAAGTGTCAATTGATCAAGCCCGAGCACATCGTTTCGTAGCGAAGCACAGGCATCCAGCTAGTAAAATATATTATTCACTTAGCCTTAGAGGCTAACGAAAATTTGGGAGCAGGATTTGCTACTATTGGGTTTTTTGCACAACGTTGCCATCATTTTTATTTTGTAAGCATTTTCCTTAGCATTATTTTTTTTATGCCCTGTGATTTTTTCCCCCCTCACAAAACTGTGCTATCTGTAGAGGTTTGTCACACATACTAGAAGTTTTCTATTCTCTAAAATGTCTGGCTGGGATTTTGTTAACACTCTCCAAACCGTCTGCTTTTTAAAAGCCGTCAGCCATACTTCCTAACTAATTGAAATGATATCGAATTTACCATCCAGAACTGATGCTTGTCTTTTTTTATTGTTTATCTAGATCCAACCCAACAACTATGGAACATTTATGATGATCAGAGGCAAAACTGGTCCCTCATGTTTGAATCTGAGAAAGCAGCCGTGGAGTTCGGCAAGCAGGTGCCCACATTGTGCCCAAGCTAGTCCTACTCTTGGGCAAAATGAAATGGCTGTTTTGAGTGGCCACGCTGTCCTTCCTTCATCTGTCCTTGTCTTCCTTCCTTCCTTCCTTCCTTCCTTCCTTCCTTCCTTCCTTCCTTCCTTCCTTCCTCTCTCTCATTCCCATCTCTCTCCCTCTTTCTTTCCTTCTTTCCTTCCTTGCCTCCCTCCCCATCTCCCATCTACTATCTATCTCCTTCCTCCTTCCCTTCCCTCCCCTTCCTCCCTCACTCCATCTACTATCTCTCTTTTCTCCTCCCTCCCTCCCTTCTCTCCTTCCCTCCCTCCCTCATTCCATCTACTATCTCTCTTCTTGCCTCACTTCCTTCCCTCCTTCCCTCCCTCCCATCTCATCTCATCCCATCTACTATCTCTCTCTCTTCCTTCCTCCCTCCCTTCCCTCCTTCCCTCCCTCCCTCATTCCATCTACTATCTCTCTTATCTCCTCCCTCCCTTCCCTCCTTCCTTCCTTCCCTCCATCCCCATCTCGTCTCATCCATCTACTCTCTCTCTCTCTCTCTCCCTCCCTCCCTCAATCCAATCTATCTATCTTCTCTCCTCTCCCTTCCCTCCTTCCTTCCTTCCCTCATTGCATCTACTATCTCTCTAATCCCTTCCCTCCTTCCTTCCCACCCTCCCCATCTCATCTCATCCAATCTATCTCTCTTCTCCCTTCCTTCCCTCCCTCCCCAACTCATCCCATCTACTATCTCTCTTCTTCTCTTCTCTTCTCTTCTCTTCTCTTCTCTTCTCTTCTCTCCTCCCTCCCCTCCCTTCCTCCCTCCCTCCCCATCTCATCCCATCTACTATCTCTCTCCTCCCTCCCTCCCTTCCTTCCCTCCCTCCCCAACTCATCCCATCTACTATCTCTCTTCTTCTTCTCTTCTCTTCTCTCTCTCTCTCTTCTTTCTCTTCTCTTCTCTTCTCTCCTCCCTCCCTTCCCTCCCTTCCCTCCCTTCCCTCCCTTCCTCCCCATCTCATCCCATCTACTATCTCTCTCCTCTCCCTCCCTCCCTTCCTTCCTTTCTCCCTCCCTCCTGGCGATCACGTGACCCCTGGATGCCACAATCCCATAAGCCCAATGCCAGTTGCCTGGCATGACTCAGAGCTGGAGTCTTCTTCTCGCTCACAGCTCTGCCTCGCCAAGTATAACAGCAACCCTTCCCCTGATTCGGTGGCGTGCCAGGACCTCATCCTCGGAGACGGCCCAGCTGTGGAAATGGGCGACGCGCTCGAAGTTGCCTTCACCGGCTGGCTCTTCCAGAACTCTGCTCTGGGGCAGGTAAAAAAAACCCGGGAGAAAAAAGAAAGGATGTTCTCAACTCCTGAAGACCTGGGGGGGAGGGGTTCAGTGTCGCAGGATTGCCCTCCCTCCGTGCGACGAAGCGCTGCATTGTCCATCCCCCCCCCTTTTCCACAGCCCCTTTGCATTTTATTCCTTGCAGGTGTTCGACTCCAACGTGAACAAGGAGAAACTCCTCCGTCTGAAGCTGGGCTCTGGCAAAGTCATCAAGGTGTGAGGGATGCAGTCCTGCTCCGAAGGGGCTTTTGGTTTTTTTAAACCTTCGGCTTTTCCATCTCAGCTGGGTTGCTTAAGTAGCTTTTGCTCAAAAGGTTGGGAAGACCTTGAACTCAGATCCTCGTGTTTGCAATCAGAGAGAGAGAGAGAGTCCTCTCGAATTGTGAAAGGGGAAGGTGAAATCTCCTTCCCCTCCTTACCGGTTCGGAAGTGCACGCGCCGATCATCTGCGTATACGCAAACCCTTCTGCGCATACGCAGAGGGTAAAAAACAGGTTAATTCCTGGTTAAAACCAGGAAGTAACGACAATCCGGGCGAGTGGGCAGAGCCTCAAACTGCCATCGCTACCGGTTCTCCATATTGGGAGCATTTCACCCCTGGAGAGGGGAGATAATATCCTCAGGAAAATAGCTGTATGCTTGCAGGTATTAGCTAAATCAGCTAGCACTGATAATGTTATCTAGTTTGGTAATAAAAGGTCTGCAAGAAACAAGCTCAGAGAGCACCAAGGGCCACACATTGTTCTCCTCTTCACATACTCCCACTCCTGTGAGAAGGATATTGCAAAATCCCCATTCCCTCCCTACTCCTGAAAAATCCCCATTCCCTACCCACTCCTAGGGAAAGGACATTGCAAAATCTCCATTCCCACCCCACTCTGGGGCCAGCCAGAGGTGGTATTTACCGGTTCTCCGAACTGCTCAAAATTTCCGCTACCGGTTCGCCAGAACCTGCTGGATTTCAACCCTGGAAATTAACCCCTTCCATATAATTTAAAGCTCTTTTTTTCAGCCTTAAGAGAGCGAGTTAAATCTCAGATGTTCTTATTGCCTGACTTTCTGTTTTGTCCCTCAAAAAGGGCTGGGAAGAAGGGATGCTTGGTTTGAAGAGAGGAAGCAAGCGTTTCCTAGTTGTCCCTCCGGCCTTGGCTTATGGGTCCCAGGGAGTGGCGAATCGTGTTCCTCCGGACTCCACGCTGGCCTTTGAGGTGGAAGTCAAGAGGGTAAGTCATTCTGTTTTTGTTCAGTGGTGCTTCAGAGCCAGCTGTGGCTCATGTAATCTCTGCCTCTAAAAGAGTGCAGAAAAGAGAGTAATAAAGATGATTGTAATTGCTGATAAGCCTAAGAAAATTGGACGTAAATTAATAGAGGTTAAGATAGAGATTTGATGAAATGGGTCCTGAGATTACAGAATATATATATATATATGGAATTTTGATTTATAAAATGACATAAAAATTAGAATTCTGTTTATTTGGAAACTAAAGATCGCGTAGAAAAAGGAGTTGCGTTTCATTGGGAAATTAAGATTTATGGTGATACGATAGAATGCTAAATGTTTAGATTAAGATGTTAGAATTTGTGATAAATGGTTTGACTTTTATTTTAAAAGATGTAAACGGATGAAATTTGGAATCGAGTTTGTTAAAGAAGTGTGAGCAATTGTACCTATTTATGACCGGACCAAACTTTCGCTCTCAAAAGATGTATTTTATGTTTAAGATATTAAAAATATATATATATATTTTTCAAAAAAAAAAAAGAAAGAAAAGAGTGCAGTAATAAAGATGATTAAGGGGCTGGCATGCATGCCATAGATCGCCATCACGGGTATAGGATCTACCTGAACGGGGTTAGACTAGAAGATCTCCATGGTCCCTTCCAACTCTGTTATTCTCTCTCACGCCACGCCCACCCTCTCTCCATCTTTCTTAGGTGAGATTGGCCAAGGAGGCTGCTTCAAATGGGCAGAATGTGGCCCCCAGGGACTCCCTCGCGCCCTCTCCAGGCCCAAACACTGAACATCTCAGCACCGACCCTGCAGGGTTGCCTCCCACCACGCTACCACCGAAGCCTGGGTGAGTTACCAGTTTGATTTGAATTTTTCAATCCTCTCCTGCACGTGGATGTCTCTGTTGGGCAGTGTCTGCTGCTTGAGGAAGACTTGAGGAAGGCTAGTAACTCTTCGTATTTAACTCAGAGGCTTCAGGCCAGTGCTTCTCAACGTTAAAGGCAGGTGGGACTTTTTAACTCGATGGGGGAATTCTGAGATTTTGAAGCCCCCGCCTCTCAAAGCAACTGAGGTTGTAACAATGCTACAGGCTTTTAAATTCTTAAAAACAGACTTTCTACGCCGCTCAGGCTGTTCTAAGATTGTACTTTTTGTAATGCCACAGGGAGCCAGCTTTGCGGGCCAAATCCAACTCCCTCAGTGAACAACTAGCGGTAAGTCTTCGGTTCATCCAGCTTGGCTTTCGTTTCTCCTCGTCATTTTTGCAGACCTCCCTTGCATCCTGGGCATAAACTGTTTCAACTCCTACCCTCAAAACGACGCTATAGAGCACTGCACACCAGAACAACGAGACACAAGGACAGTTTTTTCCCAACGCCATCATCTGCTACAACAAATAATTCCCTCAACACTGTCAAACTATTTACTAAATCTGCACTACTATTAATCTTCTCATCGTTCCTATCACCCATCTCCTCCCACTTATGACTGTATGACTGTAACCTTGTTGCTGGTATCCTTATGATTTATATTGATTGTTTCCTAGAAGGATTCGATTGCTTATTTGTAGCCTATGACTATCATTAAGTGTTGTATCAGGAGTGAAATGCTACCGGTTTGCTCCAATTCGGATTGATTCTATCTATCTATCTATCTATCTATCTATCTACTCTATCTATCTATCTATCTATCTATCTATCTATCTATCTATCTAGAATCCGGTTTCTATCTATCTATCTATCTATCTATCTATCTATCTATCTATCTATCTATCTATCTAGAATCCGGTTCAGATTCTATCTATCTATCTACTCTATCTATCTATCTATCTATCCATATCTATCTATCTATCTATCTATCTAGAATCTGTTCAGATTCTATCTGTCTGTCTGTCTATCTATCTATCTATCTATCTATCTATCTATCTATCTATCTATCTATCTTTCTATCTATCCATCTATCTTTCTATCTATCTATCTATCCATCCTTCATCCATCCATCCATCCATCCATCCATCCAGTTTTTAATTTCAGGGTTTGATCTAAACTCTGTTCACCTAAACTGAATTTTGCTGACTGCAGCTTTCTGTCAGTGTGAACTCATTCTGAGTCGCTGGAACGAATCCATTTCCGATGAACTGAGGGGACTCAGCGCTGCCTGTGTTTTTTTTTTTCTTCAAAGTTGAAAGACGGGACTGATTTTTACAGGCTGAGTTCAGGAAATCTGGATATTTTCTCTCAACGTTTCCTTTTCTCTCTCTCCCTCTCCCTCTCTCTCTCTCTCTCTTTGTCCCTTGTCAGAACCCCGACGTGGCGAAAGCAAAGCTGATTTCACGAATGGCGAAGATGGGTCAACCTATGCTGCCTTTCCTATCCGGTTCGGCTCCGGCCCAGCTGGACTCAAGCGATTCGGAGATCGAGGTGGGTGGGTGGGCTTCGGAATCTGGAGGCTACTGCAAAGGGAGGGGGGAGGTGGAGGGAACTCTCTACTGTTTGCCAGGATCAACGTTGCTCCAAAACTCGTGTGAGTTCTGAGAAACTATTCGATGGATTCTTCTTTCCAATTCTTTCCTTAGACTGATGTAATTTGTTATACTATGTAATTTACCATTTTATCGTAAGCTGCCTAGGGTCACATATGTGAGATGGGTAGCTAGATTGATTGATTGATTGATTGACTGACTGACTGGATGCAGACGTGGGATTCAGCCGGTTCGCACTGGTTTAGGCGAACCAGATGTTAATTTTAATCTGGTTCGCCGAACCGGTTGTTCCAAGGACTGGCTGACCCCGCCCATCCCCTCCCAGGAGTCTCCACGCGGCCCGTTTTGGATGCCAAGTAAGCGCAGGGCACTTGCAGAGGCTCTGGAAGGGTGAAAAACGGGCCTACCAGAAGTTGGGAAACGGGCCTGTTTCCGGCCTCCGGAGGGCCTCCAGTGCCCGGAGGATGCCGTTTTCACTCTCCCGGAGGCTTGAGGATAGCCTCCAGAGCCTGGGGAGGGCGAAAAACAGGCCTACTGGAAGTCCGGAAATGGGCCCATTTCCAGCTTCTGGAGGACGCACGAAGTGAACTTGTTACAACCGATGAATCCCACCACTGACTGGATGTATGGATGAAACAATCAGGGAAGGCATGACAAGATACAGATAGTTCTCAGTTTACGGCCATATTTGAGCCTGCAGTTGTGGCCATAAGTCAAGAGACTTATATGGCTGTCCAATTTGTGCTGCCTTCAGAGCGGCATATCAAAGGAGAAAAGGGATTTAGGATGAGAAGGAAAAAACTAACGCAAAGCCTCCCCTGTGTATTCCAGGACCCCAACACCTTGCGACAAGCTGCTCATCCCGTCACCTCTTCTCCGCTGAAACCATCCTCCCCAGCTGCTCTTCCTCAGATAGCAGCCCAAGGCACGTAAATCCATCTAACTCTCAGCCTGCATTTCATTTTCAACCTACGTTTCTTAGTGGAAAGTAGTGGAAAAAGTCCAGTGCCTTTCCCTGGGGCCCAGTGATTTTGACATTATGTTAGCGTGATTCCTGCGGGACCAGAGGGACTAGAAACTTGGTTGAAGAGCGTAAACATTCTTCCCCTCGTCTTTTGTGTTCTTTGCTGCTGTAAAATTCTCCTGGGTATCTTGAGTTCTAGAACCCACCCAGAAATCCACCTTCGGAACAATTATTTCTAGTTCCTTCTGGTTTCTGCATTGGCTTACATTCTGGATGCTACCAAGATCAGACTTGGGTTCCAGAACTGACCCAGAAATCCACCTTCAGAAGAATTATTTCTATTTTGGTTATAATGGGGAGAATTATAATTGCTAGATATTGGAAATTAAATGTTGACTTAAAATTAGAAGAATGGTACAATGAAACATGGAAATTTGCATTAAATGATAAATTGACTTGTGATATTAAAATTAGAAGTGGTATATATAAAGAAAATGTTTTTTGGAACACTTGGCAACCATTTGTGGACTTTGCACTTGGGAGATTGGATGAATCGGCACCAGTACCTTATCAAAGAGATTTCTGGAAGAATTGAAGACTTCAAGTTCCTAAAACTTCCTTTCCGTTTGTATAGCACGTTGGGGGAAAAAATTTTTTTTTCTTTCCTTACTATTGATTTTTTGTATTGGTTTTTTTTCCTTTTTGTTATTCTTTAACAATAAAAATATAATAAAAAAAAAAAAGAAGAATTATTTCTAGTTTCTCCTGGTTTCTGCAGACATGTGTCTATCTAGCTCCTGCACTGACTCTTATTTTTCTCAACTGCGTGACTATTCACAGCCTCCGTTTTCTTTTTCCAGGGCCCCAGGTATCTGCGCCTGGACTCCACGTGTCCTCGGCCGCTGTGATGCCTGCGGCCTTGCATCCACACCCAGCGCTTTCTGGGTCCACTCAGAGTCTTCAGGTATGGAGGTTTTATTTGTTTGTTTGTTTGTCTGTCAAACGTGTACAAGATAGCAGATATGAATATGAACATGGACATGAACGAGGGAAATGAATACAAATAAATGGGGATGGTAGGACAGGGACGGAAGGCATGCTGGTGTGCTTATGCACCAGAGGTGGGTTTCAGCAGGTTCTGACCAGTTCTGGAGAACCGGTAGCGGAAATTTTGAGTAATTCGGAGAACCAGTAGCGGAAATTTTGAGTAGTTCCGGGAACCGGTAGCGGAAATTTTGAGTAGTTCAGAGAACCAGTAGTGGAAATTTTGAGTAGTTCAGAGAACCAGTAGTGGAAATTTTGAGTAGTTCCGGGAACTGGTAGCGGAAATTTTGAGTAGTTCCGGGAACCGGTAGTGGAAATTTTGAGTAGTTCAGAGAACCAGTAGCGGAAATTTTGAGTAGTTCGGAGAACCGGTAGCGTTTTTAAAAATTAAAGTCGGATTTTTTAAAAAATTTAAATCGGATTTTTTAAAATTTAAATCGGATTTATTTTTTAATTTTTATCAAATTTATTTTAAGAAAATGCTTTTGGAGTAAAAAAAAATAATCTAAAGATAGTTTTCTATTTACTGTATTTTTCGGGGTATAAGACGCACCTACCTTTTTTGGTGAGGAAAAGAAGAAAAAGAAATCTGCCTCTGCCTCTGAGCAATTTTGCCTCGTTGCAGCAAACAGCAAACAGCCTGCTTTACTTTCATTTTCGTTTTAAGCATAGCTTGATTGCTGGTGGCAAATGCCACCTATAAAATATTTTGTAAAAGTTTTCTTTATAGGCCGCGTCCAAGATCTTTCTATCTTTATTTCACCCTTTTAGGCCTATACAGGGATGAACTACGCCTACCCACAAGGCCCTGCGGCAGCTTCCCAGCTCCAGCCTATTGGGGCCATCTTTCCGGCTCCTTTCCAAGGTAGGCCGGGCCCTGCTCTTGCAAGGCTGTCTGTGGCTGCATCGACATAAAATGCTAAACCAGGATTAGATACAACTAGACGGCCTTTTTTCTGACCTGGGCTTCCCGAGACAGTAAAAAGCACACGATTAGTCCCCAAAACCTTCTTTTTATTTCAACGGCTGTGAATTCTGTTCATTCCCAGCCCGTGATAGTGTCACAAATAGTTGGTAAAGAGCCCGACAGAAGTCTGCCACAGTCTTTCGGGACAAGGCTGATAAACACCCACCTTTATCTCCCTTGGCACGCTGCCAAAGACCTAATTGGCAATTAGCTTTGCAAGGCCACACGGAGCACAGAGCCAAAACGGAGCTTCAGAATTTAAACCGACCAGAAGAAACAAAGTTGCTTCCTGCAAAGGCTCACGTGCCTTTGCTCCTCCTTTAGGTCTTATGGGAGGGGCCAATCATCTCCAAGCCTTACTCCCGAGTCGCCCCTTTTGTCTTAACTGTTCTTGCCTTCTGGCAACTCTGCACATGCGCGCACTGGGAACAGGCTCCCTCTGTTCCTCTGCCTCTCTGATGTCCGACTCCGGAGGCTCCGGAGTCCGCGCATAACTCCCAGATGGCCCTGGCCCCATCTCTGCCTCTGACGCAGAGCCTTCCCCTGACTCCAGGACTGGCCCATGTTCCTCCCCAACCTCCTCACTGTCCGACTCCGCTGCCAGCAGACCACAACAGCAAGTTCCATATTACCAATTATTAAACCTGGAAAGAAACAGCTTCGAAGAAGCCCAATCCTTAGACATAATATCTCTTTTTTGTTCTGCAACTGTCAACATTTTTATTGATGGATTGATTCTCTTTCTTACCCTTCAGGGCATCTCTGTTTACTACTCTTTTCCTCCGTTGCTGTCTTTTTTTCAAAAACTGTGTTTCCTTCCAAAGCAGCCGGTGATATTGGTTCTTTCTTAATGACGGAAGCACGGCAACAGAACACCGAAATCCGCCTGTCGGTGGGCAAAGTGGCTGACAAAATAGACCAGCTAACGGCCAAGGTAATATCAAAGTGATGGATTTGCTTGTCTACAAACCATACTGATTAGTCTAGGACGGGGTCTGCAATTTTAAACACTCAAAGAGCCATTTGGACCCGTTTCCCACAGAAAAGAAAACACCGGGAGCCACAAAACCTTGGTGGGCGTGACCAACTCGACGTCACTCACTTCCACCAGTCACATGACACCCCTCCTAACCACGCCTACCCAGCCAGTCATTAGGGCAGAGAACCGGTTGTTAAAAAATACCGAGAACCACAAAACCCTTTTGACATTTCTCCCTCCCCACCCCTCTCTCTCTCCCTCTCTCCCCCCAGTTTCTCTGTATCTCTCTTTCTCTGCCCCGGCTGCTTCTCCATCCCCTGCCGTTCCTCTTACCTTCCCAGGCCTGGCGAGGAGGGACTGGAAGGGGAGGGCGAGCCAGTAGTGGCCACAGCAGAGGGCCCAAAGAGCCACATGTGGCTCTGGAGCCGCAGGTTGCTGACACTCGGTTTAGGAGCTTTCTTCCCAATTCGGCTGGCCAGATGTCCTGGAAATTCACAAGCCCACTAGCTAGTAGGCAGTTGGCTATCTCAAGTTGAATTGTGGAGTCTTTGGTGCTCTCTGAGCTTGGCTGCTTGCTTGAAAACCTTTCATTACCTAACTAGGCAATGTCATAAGATGTTGTAGCAAGGATTCCCAACGGTTGAATCCTGAGTTACTGATAGTGTCTTCTGTTGGAATATTGGATGTCATTTTTCTGGGCAACGCTTAAATTGCCACTAACTGGGGCAGCTTTTTTTGTCCTTCTCACATCTCCTGTAGACTGAGTTCCGGGTGGGTGAGTGGCTAGGATTTATGCATTACATTCAACAATAATCTCCTGTGTGAATCCCATCATGATTTAAACTGAGGCTCCTTTGAATGCATCCTAGCTATCATGGATTGAATTGAGATACCTTAGCCAAGGTGTGATCCAAGACCTTCTCTTTCATCTTACAGGTGGAGGAGCTGCACAAGCAGAATTCTACCCAAAGCTTGTTACCAGGTCTCTCCTCTGTGACAATGGAGACAACTATGATTATGACCAACATCCAGCGCATCGTCCAGGTAAAGTGAAGATACATTCAGAAGTGTCCTGGAGAAACTTAAGTTCAACATCTCACTCTCGCTCTCTTCAGAGTGAGGTGTTGCTCTTCAGTCTCTCTGGGATACTTTTGAATGTTTGTACATGCAGCTCAACCTCCATCATAGATGGTTAGTTCTTCATTGACAAAACAACAACAACAATCAATCTTCTTGTCCCGGAGGTACTTTTTTCAAGAGGCAGATTGACTTTCTGGGTTTCCTTCATCCCAAAGAAGCTTCTTCAGCTCTGACTGTGGATGGTGGGGAATGGAAGTCAGAGCTGAAGAAGCTTCTTTGGGATGAGAAGCGAAACGTCTTCGAAAGAAACTCAAAAAGTCCAGTTGTCTCTTGCAGAAAGCACCTTTGGGACAACCATGCCTAGATGACTGAGAAGCTCCACGGACAACCAATCTTCTTCCATTTAACATGATTGCCAATTCTCTGGAATGGTCCATCCTGGAACTGACACATTTTGTCCAACTTTAGTTGATCCTAGAACATCTGTCCCCTCGTTGAAGGAGAGGGAGAAGCCCGTCCTACTTAAGAAGAAGACCTCTCCGATGGCATGCGCAATGACGTCCATCTGCGAATCTCTAGTTATTAGATGCAGCTTCCACCCTCTGTCAGCTTTGGAAGCCATATTAGCCCCAGAAGCTTCCACGCTGCCACCTTCTCGTGTGTGGGAAAGTAGAAGGGAGGATTTAGCAGGGGTGAAATCAACTTACCTTCCCTACCGGTTTGGAAGTACACGTGCAGCACATACGCGGACTCTTTGCACATGCACAGAGGGTAAAAAACAGGTTACTTCCTGGTTAAAATCAGGAAGTAACAACGACCGAGTGAGTGGGCGGAGCCTCGTGCTGCTGTCGCTACCGGTACTCCGAACCACCCACCACCATCGCTACTGGTTCAACCAAACCGGACCAAACCGGTAGCATTTCACTCCTGGGATTTAGTAGAGGGAATGTAGTTAGACAAAATAGCATTCTTCCTTTCGGTCAAGGTCAGGAGAGCCCTGCATCTGGAGAAGGAGTGGTTGGAGTGATGTCTCGAGATGGGACGGATGGCGATCGGACCATGTGATGGACTGATGGGTGCAGGGGATGGTTTTGGGGGTTTTGATTTATTGAGGGAAAACCTGGAACTCTCAGATTAGGGTTTTCCCAGGTGTGCCAGTATACCTACTCTAATAAATGAAATTTTGAGAGAATGGTTGCCCCGGGAGTTTCTAATTGGAGTTGGGGGTTTTCTGGAACGCTGACACTCTCTTTGGCTGAGGTGATGGGACTTGTCCTACAGAGCCATCTGGTGGAGATGCTCTCACAGGAACCCCTAGCCGCTAATGCCAAAGAGAAGGGCGTTTTCCCATCTTTTGGGGGTTTTCTCTCTGCAGGAGAACGAGAGGCTGAAGCAAGAGGTCTTCGAGAAGAGCGGTCGCATCGAGGAACAGAACGAGAAGATCAGTGAACTGATCCAGCGAAATCAGAGGTGAGAACTCTCCTTTTTTTTTTTTAGGAAAAAAAGTTTGTTATTGTTTTTATTTTTTATAATAATGTCAAATCAACGCGCGAACAGCGTGGCACCTGGGCGCCATACATCCCAATACAAATGAAATTGATCAGAGTAAACACGATTATTACGTTCAATCAACATGTTTTTTCCTAATAACAATACACATCTATGTTAGGTTACGGTATGTCATTGTCCAATTATTCCACATTTACTCGTTCTTTCTTTCATTTTGCAAGCTAAAAATGTATACATTAATATTCCCCTTATTTCTATCACTTATTCTAGCTTTTAATCATGTCATCCTTTATTACACAACTGTTTCTTTCTTTCCTATCTAACTTCTAATCATGTCACCTGCCTAAAGAAAAAAAAAAAAGAATAGAGAGAGGGAGAGGGGTAGAAGCAACTCAATACAGCAACAAAAAAAAAAGGGAGTCATCCATCCATCATCTCTTGCCCGCTTTGTACTTTAATTGCTATGCTTTAAAAGAAAGAGCAAAGCAGAGACATCACCCTGCCTACAAAAGTGTGTATAGTCCCAGTTGCAATGTATGGCTGTGAAAGTTGGACCCTAAGAAAGGCTGAGAGCCAAAGAATTGAGGGCATCACTGCCCTAGACCAATCTGAGTTATTATAGATTGGACTTCACACGAAAACTGCTTTGATGGCCACGAACCTGTCCCATCTGACTCTATCCTGCATTTCTTGTTCTCTTTCTTTCTTCCAGACACGTGGAGCAAAGCAACCTGTTCATGGAGGAAAGGAACAATTCTCTGCAAATGAACACCGAACATTCTCAAGCCAGAGTGTTACACGCCGAGCAAGAAAAGGTAAGACCGAGAGGAGAGGAGAGCCAAGATAGCTTAGAGATGACGAGAGTTGGCTTCTACCCAGCATTTAACTTGAATTCCCCTTGATCCTGGGCTTACCATCATCAGAATCCCACACGGGGAGGGAAAACTGGAAAGCAGAGAAGAAAACAAAACTCATCCTGTTCCCCTTTCTCTCCCTTTCTCAAATAACTTAACTTTTTTTTTTTAAATTTGATTTATATGCCGCCCTTCTCCGGAGACTTACAAGGCGTTAAGCAATAGCCTTCATACTTTTGTATATTTTATACAAAGTCAGCTTATTGCCCCCACAAACTGGGTCCTCATTTCACCTACCTTAGAAAGGATGGAAGGCTGAGTCAACCTTGAGCCTTGGCGAGATTCGAACCAGCAGTAAATTGCAGGCAGCTGTGTTAATAACAGGGTGCGTAACCACTGTACTATCAAGGCTTGAGCTAATTTTTTCCCTACTTGGGAAACTGGGAAGTAATGCTTAACTTCAAGAATTAGAAGTGGTTGTAGATCTATAAGCGGTCGAAACAATGACCTGAAAAACTCGTACGTCTGAGAAACGAAGTGGTTTTGAAGAACCGGTTGTGAGCAGCGGTGGGTTTCACATTTTGTTGCTATCGGTTCGCCATAGCGCGCACGCTTGGTTCGCGCATGCGGCCGGCCTCAAAACCATGCCTAAATAGGATGGCATAGAGCCGGGGCGGGTGAACGGTCCCACCCGTGATCTCCGCTACCGGTTCTCCCGGCTGGACAAAGTGGTTTTGAAGAACCGGTACGAACCGGCTGAATGCCACTCAGAGTTGTGTGACAGCGAGGTGGATGGCAGATAAATTTAATAAGTCAATAAAAGTGAAATGGAATAAATAAGCTGGGCTCCTCGGTTGTAGGCCCGGGAGGACTTCCCAGTTGGAAGGATGGAACAAGCTCCTGAGGACATTTCTTTGCCATCCAAGATGGTTTTTAGGGTTTTATGGCTCCGCCAGCCAGCCGGTAGTTTCAGGCACTGACGGGGCATCAGGGCTAGGAAGAAGCTGGTTGTATTTTGAACAGCCATCGTGGGTTTTTTTTTCAAGTGTGCCAGGATGTGACTCACAATCTTTTCTTTCTATTTTGGCTAACTCGTCTCCTCTCTGTCGTCTCCTCTCTGGCTTTCGATTCTGGTGGAGTTAATTTTCCTTCTCCTGTCACTGCTTCCTTTTTTTTTCCTCTAGTACCTGCTGCCACTGGATCGGGGGTGGTGGGATCAGGTGAGGTTCTCTTCTCTGGATAACCCGGAATTTCCCCTTTTTCAACCTGAGCAGGAAAATGCCAGTCCCCCCCCCCTCCTCTTCTTCAAACCGTTTTACCTGCTCAGCTTTTCTGTCCGAATAACCAGAACTCAGCAAATACGGGTTTCCGAGAAGCTTCAGTGCTCTGCGTTAGTAATCTAGCATGTTTTCAATATTTTTTTTAAAACTTGGTTAAGCCTGTGACAGCGATGGATTTGATATATTCTTACCTCCAGTTTGCCCCGCGCACACTTTCTGCGCATGAGCTTTGCTTGCGTGCGAGCCTCCCGCGCATGTCCCCGATCTCGAAAACATCGCTAAATAGGACGGCATTACTATGGGGCGGGTGGGCTCGCTCCACCCACAGTCGCCGTTACGGATTCGCCCGAACTGGTCCGAACCGGTTGAATCCCATATCTGGTCTGAGCGCTGTATAAAATCATTCATGATTCAGAGAAAAAAACGAAAGCTCTTGTGCTAAGTTTACTCACTCTAAATTACCTCCCGTAGAGTCCTGTAGACGGTGGCACAAGTTGCACATTTATTTGGAAGTTAGTTCAAGCCGGCGTCGTTTATTCTGAATGTGCAAGGATTGTTCGGTTAAATGTGACTTGATCCATAATTCAAAGCAGTGGTGAAATCCAATTTTTTTTTACTACCGGTTCTGTGGGCGTGGCTTGGTGGGTGTGGCTTGGTGGGCGTGGCTTGGTGGGCATAGCAGGGGAAGGATACTGCAAAATCTCCATTCCCACCCCACTCCAGGGGAAGGACACTGCAAAATCCGCATTCCCTCCTCACTCCTGGAGGAAAGATATTGCAAAATTCCCATTTCCACCCCACTCTGGGGCCAGCCAGAGGCGGTATTTGTCGGTTCTCTGAACTACTCAAAATTTCCGCTTCCAGTTCTCCAGAACCTGTCAGAACCTGCTAGATTTCACCCCGATACAAAGTAATCGAAAGCGTTTCTTTTTTCCCCTGTTTTTAATTTTGTTTTTATTTATTTCTTTTTTTTTAATTTAAGACTTTTTAAAATCTCAACAAAAGATAAAATATAAGGGAACCAAAAAACTTGAAATGGTTGGAAAAATTTGTAAATATTTTTAAGACCAGGCTACCCATTTGCAGTATTTAATATTTTCAACATAAGGGGACGAAGACTGGGAGTTTTTTTCCTAAATCCACATAAAGGTTCATTCAGAAGCAACCCAATTTCATGCGTATTATTGGATGTATGACTTATTTCAGGCTTTTGAAGCAAGGCAGTTTTTAAAGCATGGATTTTCCTTCCTGGAGCGCAGGAAAAAAGTTTGACCGTTGAGTTAATTTTTGCTCAGTTATGGTGCAACCTACAATTTTGAATTTGCAAAGTATGATTAAGAAAAAGCACCGCCTAGTACAGTAATGGCAAACCTTTTTGGCACTGAGTGCCCAAACCGGAACGCCCATGAATGTGCGCACGCCGGAGCGCTGGAAACCAAAAATGGTCTGAAAACAGCCTGAAAAATGGCCTGGGTTTTTTGGCCAATTTTTTGGCCGTTTTCAGGCTGTTTTCCGGCTCTCTGGTGCCCGCGAAGACGAGCTGGCCAGTGTGCAAATGCGCGCCAAGAAGAGCAGCTGGCAACGGCGCGTGCCCACAGAGAGACTCTTCGTGCCACCTCTGGCACGCAGGCCATAGGTTCACCATTACGGGAATTTTTGGTAATTTTTGTAAGAGGAGGACAGAAAGAAGCTGGGGGCAGGCCGAGTGAAGAGAGGAATCAGCCTGGAATCATTACGTTGCCACAAGTGGTTTAATTCCAATCTCTTGAATTCCATTAACTCTTTATATAGCACCAATTTAATGCCGGCCGATTTAGTAGTTGACTAGATGCTCGGGTTTAGGCATGAGGAATAAATCAGTTTAATGCCTAGGCCTGATTCTTCTCACCTGACATTTTCCTACATGATCTCACTCTCTGGAGGGATCTCTCACCTGTTACCTGTGCTTCAATTCCCTCTTTTTTTTCTTTTGGAGAAAACTCTTCCACGACTTCTTCCTCTGCTTTTTTTCCCCCCCCTTATGGATCTTCTTTCACGTTGCAGGTTAAGGTTGCTGAGGAACTGGCAACGGCTACGGCCCAGATCTCCCGGCTTCAGCTGGAGCTGACCAGCCACCAGAAGAAGGAGATGGACCTTCGCTCCCAACTCAACGCTGCCCTGAAGGAAGCCGAGAGGCATGCTGCCCAGCTTAATCAGTTGCAGGCCCAGCTGGCAGGTAAGGGAAGGTGAGGAAGATGCTGAAGTAGAAGACGTGTTTCTACAGTACAGTAGAGGACCTTTCTCAGACCGGTGAAGGCCTCCTTGGATGGGTGCTTCAGTGTCTTCCACCTTCTGCAGAAGATAGGATTAACCCAACCTTTAGATCAACCCAACCTTTCTTCCTTGCAGCCCAAAACATCCTTTTTGACCTCATTTGGGGTGCCTCAAAGCTTGCGTTTGCTGCCACCTCTGTGCTTTTGTTCCTCTCTTCTCAACTCTTGTAGAACTTCAGGAGTCATCCGAAGAGGCCAAGAATAAATTCCAGGTGGAGAAGCAGAGCCGTAAGCAGCTGGATGGGAAGCTGGCTGCTTTGGAGGAAGAGCTGGCTGATCTACGAGTGGAGAAAGAGAACTTGGAAAAAGTGAGGACCTATTTAGAATTCTAGATTGTGCTCACGATACACATTCCTAGTTGGTAGGGATCTGTGTTTGCGGGTCGAGAAGTGGAAGGAACAGTCCGTCCCATTGTCCTTCCATTTTGCTCAGTCTGTCTGTTCTGACCTAGGCTCCCTTACCAAGCAGGCAGGAATTGGTCTCGGCAAAAGCTCTTTTATTTACACGACTGTGAATTACGTTCGTTCACAGTCAGCCAGGTTTGTCCAAACAGTTTTTCAAAGGCATATTTATCAACACAGACCTTATCTCATTTGGCAAAGCTGTCACTGTAACTTGTTTCCAACCGCAGTACAAGGCCAAACTTGGCACAGAGTCTCTCAGAGTCACGGAACGAACGAATTGTTTCCTGCAAAAGACCACTTCCCGTTCGCTCCTCTTTTATCCTATGGGCCAATCACCTCCAAGGTGTGGCTTTACTCCTGAGTCGACCCTGTTTTCTGAGATATTCTTGTCTTCTGGCAGCTCTGCGCACTGGGAACGGGCTCCAGCTGTTCCTCTGCCTCACTGCTATCCACCTTCCTCTCTGCCTCCGATGCAGAGCCCTCGTCCGAGCTTTCCCCAGCCCCCAAGACTGGCCCAAGTTCCTCCCCAACCTCCTCACTGTTCTGCTGCCAGCTCCACTGACCGCCAACGGGCCACAACACTGTCCCCCTCAACCTATGGCTGCTTTCAGCGTCTCTTGTCTTCTTCCTCCCCTTCAGAATCTTTCCGAAAGAAAGAAGAAATCCCTCCTTGAGAGAAAACAGGCCGAAGAAGAGGCAGATGAGATTCGCAGGTCTTACCAGGAAGAGATGGACCAACTCCGGCAGCTTCTGAAAAAGTCGCGGGCATCGTCCAACAACGTTGCTTCGGAGCAGGTGAGAGGCAGAAGTGAATTTGCCCCCAAGTTCAGCTGGGTGACAGATCTTGCAAATTTAACCTCAGGCTTTAAGCAAGTGAAGGAAATGCTACAGTATTGAGATATGTTCTTCTTCCTGTTAGGATCTATAGCTTTTTCCTTCCTAGAAATTCTGGTTTTTGTGAAATCCTTGGTGCTCCCTGAAGTTGGTTGTTTGCTTGCAGACATTTAATGACCCAAGTAGGTAGCACTATCAGTTTAGGAGGGAGTGTGGTGTCTGTTCCCTGTTTATATACAGTAGCTTACTGTTCTAGTATTAATGGTTGTGTGGTTTGCTTCCTTGATTAGGGTATTGTTTTCTCCTTGATTGACTCCATTGTAGTTCCTTGACTAGGATATTGGTTTCAGCTTGTTATTTGTCTGGTGTCAATCCCTGCTTATCTGGGTGTTGGCTGATGAAGATTTCCAGTTTTTGTTAATTTTCTAAAACCCGTTCCCTGCGGCTAAATAGGCCAATATGCCCCTTCACTCCCACACACTATCCACAGTGCTGGGGAAAGCCCCCTAACCACTCAGCCTCCTTTTGTAGAGGCATCATATTGCAAGGAGCCAAGTCACTGCAACGGCCTTTAATGGGGGTTTCGGGAGCAGGAAGGGCAGGGAAATCATTGTGTTAGAATGGAAGTCAATCCGTCTATTGTCCCGGGGAAGTTTTCCCTTCTGCAGGCCGAGCTGGAGTCCCAGTGGGAAGCCAAATGCGAGCGTCTGCTGAGCTCGGCCAAGGAGCAACACGCCCGTCAGTTCCAGGAAGTGTGCGAGCAACGGGATGACCAGCAGAAGATGATCTCCCAACTGGAAGAGAAGGTGGGTAGCGGTAGAAGGACAGGAGAAGAGCCCGGTGGTGGAGTCAAAAGAGGAATCAGCCTGGAGTCTTTACGTTCCCACGAAGAATCCGAATCCAACCTGTCTTGAATTCCGCTAACTCTTATCTAGTTCCAATTTAGTGTTGACCGCGAGTTGATTAGATTCTTGTGTACAGACACAACTTCACACGTGGACCTTATTCTTAGCGCCTAACGGTAGCCTGCCTTTCTCTCTTTTCATCCCCCACTTCCCCAAAGCCCCTTCCTCAGGATTGCTCTACCTGGTGGCAAAGAGCCGGAGGGCCTCGTTCCAGTGGGAGTGCCTCATGGCCTGGAACCGGCTGACCATCTCAGCCCGCTGAGCCTCCAGGCGCCGGGACCTGGCCTTGCACTCCCGCAGGCCTTCCCTCTGCTTGGAAAGCCTATGCTCCTAGTCCTCAGTGAGGTGCTTCTGCTGAGCCTCCTTCTCGGCTAGATCCAATTTGAACTGAGCCGGCTGTTTTGCCAACTCTTTCTCATGGTGGCTGCTTAGCTCCAACAACTCTTCCTGTTGGGGCCCTAAGGAGCCTGGGTGGGCAGGTGAGGAGTGGCTGGGAAGGGAGGGGCGAGTAGAGGCCGGCGAGGCGCCCCTCAACGTGAGTGACATCGAGTTGGCCACACCCACCCAGTCACATGACCGCCTAGCCACGCCCACCCACCCGGTCATTAGGCAGATCATATTAGTGGTCCGCGGCATTTAAAACTATAAATTTAGTGGTCCCTGAGATCCGAAAAGTTGGGGACCCTATGAAATAGACCATCGTGTGCTTAACTTGCACCGTAATACACAGCTAGTTTGTAAGACATTACAAGAGTGTTATTTGCGTGTATGTCTCTCCCCAATCTAGGCTCTTTCGTAAGCCACTATTGTTCTGGTTCAGCATGTCTGAATGTTTTAACCTGTGTCTCTGCTTTCTAGATTTCTCTGCTCAAGGCCAGCAGAAGCTCGGAGGACCAAAAATCCACAGAGCTGCAGGATCGAGTAGAAGAACTAGAGACAGTTAAAGGCAAGGTGAGATGCACCACTTTCCTAGGCGCACACATTAAGCATTATTTACGGTTTGGGATTTTTACGACGAGTGGCTGTTTTAGAAAAGTGACAGCAGGAATTTGATCCTCAAACTTGCCTTGTCTCTTTGAATCACCGGTCAAAGGTTTTCAGGGGTTGAATATCAGCCATAATAATAAAAAAAGAATTTCTGGCCGTCATTCCCTATTAGATTTGTATTTGTATATTCCGGTAAGCCCACTTATAAAATTTGCAAGATTAGCTGCCGGTAGGCAAGGAATTCTGTCCCAGAGCTGAAGAAACTTCTTTAGATGAGGTTTTCAAGGTTTTATTTTGGCTGAGTCCTTCGGGAGAAGGGCAGTATAGAAATTCAATACAATAAAATAAGTAAAATAAATAAATAAAAAGAAGAAAGTCCAGTTGCCTCTTGGAAAAAAAACACCTTGGGGCTACTCGTAAGAGTACCGTGTTTTTTCGGACTATAAGACGCCCCTAAATTTAGAAGAGGAAAACAGCAAAAAAATAGTTTTTGGCCTACCTTTTTTCAGGCCTTTTCCAGTCTTTTTTCAGCCCATTTTCGAGGCTTTTTTTGGCCCGTTTTGAGGGCTTTTTTCAGCCCGTTTTCAAGGCTTTTTGCGGCCTATTTTGGGGACTTTTTTCAGCCAGTTTTGGGGGCTTTTTTTTGGCCTGTTTTTGAAGCTTTTTTTGGCCTGTTTTTGAGGCTTTTGGGGGCCCTTTCGAGGCCTTTTGTGGCCCATTTTGAGGGCTTTTATCGGCCCGTTTTTAAGGCTTTTTGGGGGGCGTTTTTGAGACTTTTTCGGCACCTTTTTTTGGAAAAAACAGGCCAAAAAAGCCTCAAAAATGGGCCGAAAAAAGCCCTGAAAACAGGCCGAAAAGGCCCCGAAACGGGCCAAAAAAAGCCTCGAAAATGGGCCAAAGAAAGGCCTGAAAAAGGCTGAAAAAAGACCCCAAAACAGGGCACGCAGATGCCCCCCCCAAAAAACAGCTGGCGGTTGGGCAATATTCAGTCTATAAGACACACAGACATTTTCGCCCCTTTTTGAGATACAAAAAAGTGTGTCTTATAGTCCGAAAAATATAGTGTTATGTAAGCAGAGGAAAATATCCAATATTTTGGGTGTGTTTTTCAGCATTCAACCAGGATGGACTTTTTATATTCAAAGCCAGCGTGAATGATATAGTTGCCATGTGTTATTTCTTTTGTACACTTTTTTTTTTTAACGTATTATTCGTGTTTGATCGTGGTTAGTTAGTTGCTTTCTTCTTTCCCTCTTGCATTTTAACTTTGGAAATAAAGTAATTTTTAAAGAAATGTTTAGAAGAACCTGCAAAACTGGAGGCGAGAGTCCTGCCTCCATCACACCGATTATGTTCTCTTTCTCTGAACCCCATGCCAGTGTGCGGCCTTGCAGTCCCAGCTGGCAGACCTCACCGCCCATTATGAAGACCGGATCCAAGAGCTCAGTAAGATCATCAATAGCGCCCCACCGACAGCTTCAGCCGAAGAGGTACATCGGCCCCTCCAGAGAAACCTCTTATTAAATAGGACATTTTTTAAAAAAGAGAAACCCTAACCGTAACCCAGGAACTCCCCTCAATTGGCTGTTGGGTCCTTCTGGGATGCTTTCTCGGGTAACCCTTCTGGATCGCTTTTCCATTTCCAGGTGAAAAAAATCATGAACGGGGTCTTCCATTCCCTCCGAGGCCAATTTGAGTTGGAGGAGTCCTACACTGGAAGGATCGTTCTCGGGGTAGTTATGAGCACCATCAAGGTAACACTTCAGATCCAGGAGATGTTGACCTCCTTGGTTTCATAATCGTTCAGCGGATTATCTCCTTTTTTCTTCGCTTACAAGTCTCATTCGGCAGCAAGAGGTTGAGACCAGGGGTGAAATGCTACCGGTTCTGACCGGTTCGCCCAAACTGGTAGTTAATAAATGCTACCGGTTCGGGCAAACCAGTATTTTCAACAGAAATCCTGCTTTCTAGCAAATCTAAATCGCACGGCACAGCTGTTTTCTTAATCCTCCTTTTTCAGCGCTGCATGATAGTGCCTGTGGTGCGCATGGCGCTTGAAGCATTTGGCGTGCACCTCGCATGTGTACACAAAGCGAACCGGTAGCGAAGCAAACCGGTAGCAGACTTCAGAGCATTTCACCCCTGGTTGAGACTACTAATCTTTTTCCTTCCTTTCTTCCTGTTGCCAGGCAATAACTCTGCAGCTGCTGGAAAGGTCTGAAGAGCGTAGCCACGAAGAGCAGGGACCACAGCAGAGAGCAAGCCCAGTGGCCCTTGCCCGAGATCAGCCAGGCAGTCCTGATGAGACGCCGGCGGTGGCATCTCCTGTACCTTCAGACCATCTAGAGGAAGACCCAAACAACTCTACTCTCTCTTCAGAAGGAAGTCAAAGCAAGCAGGAACAGGAAACCCATCATTCAGACACGCCTGCTGAGTTGACCCCGGCATCCTCGAATCCTGTCACACAATCTTCAGAGGTGGAGAATAAGGAAGGGGTTGTGTCTTCTGGACCAACAGAAGCGCATGCTTTAGATGTTGGCGGTGCTGTTGAGGACACATCCGCAGATCCCGTTCCCTTGAAGCCATCAGCTGAGGAAGCTGTGCCTACACTGGACCCAGAAAGAGAAGAGGACACTTGCCCAGATGTTCCTAACCAAAATCCAACCTCCTTGAGCCTTCCTTCAACAGATGAGAAAGTCCAAACTGGGGAGATGCCACCACCGGCACCCATCTCTCTGAATGAGGATTCCAGGTCAGTGCCGATCAGAGAGGAGCTTCATGCCTTTTCTCTGTTTTGGCTAGGTTCTCGCATCATCCCAAGTCAGTTGAGGCACCCTGAGATCTCCAAATTTGGAGCTGGAGGAGGCAACGTTGGGTGGTTCTTAAAAGCGAGAACATCTCCATCCCTGGTAGGGATTTGACACCCATCAACATAGGACCTCTCCAGCTTGGGACTTTGCTTTGTTCTTCAAACAAAATAAGCCTCTTTAAGGATTTTCTATTGGGACGTCAGCAGTTTTCAGCCACAATTACAGACCGCTCTTGGGGGGGTAGGTTTCAAGTTTCTTCATTTCTTCATTTCTTGCAGCACCTCTGAGGATAAAGCCAATGTGATGAAAGCAACCAACTGTAAGCTGCCTTCATCAGGAGGTCCGCTGGAAGAGGAAGAGGATGATGAAGAACTGGTGAGGCCTGGGGGGACTGCAAGGTTGTATATTCACACACACTCTGAATGGGTATTTCCGACGATCAGCTGTGCCGCACGGTTTAGCTTTGCTAGAAAGCAGGATTTCCTGCTTTCTAGCAAAGCTAAACCGCGCGGCACAGCTGATCACCCTCCCTCGCTTTTCTACTTACCTTCCCAAGCCTCCATTTGGTGCGCACTGCATGTAGCATGTGCCAAAAGGAGCCTTGGAAAGGTAAATAGAATAACGGGATCAGCTGTGCAGCGCGGTTTAGTTTTGCTATAAAGCAGGAAATCCTGCTTTCTAGCTAAGCTAAATCACGTGCCACAGCTGATTTCCCCCCCCACACACACACTTCTACTTACCTTCCCAAACCTCCTTTTGGTGCACACTCCACATGCACGTGTGTGTGCAGAGTGCGTGTTTGGCACGCAGTGCGCATGTGCGGCCAGCGAACCGGTAGCAATCCGGTTCGGATTTCACCACTGGTTTTAAGTCGAGAACTACCTGTACACCCGTCTGTGGGGGTCGTGTGGTCCTCTCTGGGAAGCGTTCCAATCTCACACTTGTCTTCCTTGGTCCTCCAGAGCTTTAAGGGACGGCCTCCCCCGACCCCGCTCTTCGAGGACGACGAAGACGACGATGATCTGGACTGGCTGGGATGAGCAACGGATGAAAGCTTGGAAGGAGACTTGCTTACGACGGAGATATTTTGCTTGATTGTTTTGCACAGAGGGGGGGCCTTGGGAACTGGCTGGCACGCGGGCCACCTCCGCAAGATTCTGGGATTGCCCCTTGTGCACCTGGGGAGTGGGCCTTGAATGCCAGAGGTTTCTCTCCCTGCACTGAAGCACATAAACAAGCCCTTTTCTACATTAACCTCTGAAATTCAGGCCCCTGCTCTTTTCTTTGCAAGCGAGAACGTCTTCACGGAGGGACAAGAGGAGCTGAAATGGTCCTTTTCGTGCAGCGCCAGGTTCCTTCTGGGATGCACATGTGAGAATCCCGAATTTTATATATATATATTTTTCCCTTCCTACCCAACCTATCTCCCCATCGGTGCTTTTGAGGATTCCCTGCTCACTAATATGCCTACACGAGGGTTTTAAATGGCTAGCCAGGAGCCTCTTTTTCTACAAGTCCAGGGAAAAAGAAAGAAAAGAAAGAAAGAAAGAAAGAAAGAAAGAAAGAAAGAAAGAAAGAAAGAAAGAGAATAATAAGAATAAGAATAATAAGAATCAGTCGCTGGAGTTTTTGCAAGACAGAAAAACAGCAGGATAAAAACAGCCCAAGGACCAAGAGACAGTTTTTAGCAACGGAGGAATGAATAGATTCAGGCTTTTAATTTTCGGGCGATTTTTCCATCCAGTTCTCCTATTTCTCTAATAACCTGAAGGAGCATCTGCGTGTCGAGCAACTCCTGCCTTATTGGTGAGATGGATTCTTTTTTTTTCCGGTGGGCCAGCTTCTCCACGTTTCGGTCCTTGTCTGGGTCAAAACGGCGACGATAGGAGCGGCTCCTTCATCCCTATGCAATTTTATCTCCCTTTCCCAAAAACTTTCGGTCTGGAGTTCTTTTCTTGCAGCCTTTTCTTAGGGTTCAGTGTCCCCCACCCCCCCTTTTTTTTAAGCAGGTGGTGAGAGAGACCTTGTCATATTCCCAACCGAAGGGGATAGCCATCCTTTCTAACTCTGCTGGGATGTCATTTGCTCGTGAAGGGGATTCGCCCCCCAAAAAGTGAAAAAGACTCTTCAGCATTTAAGGGGAAGGGGCTACCTGGAGCAGGAGTGTCTGTTCTGTTTCTAATAGGTTCAATACGTCAGATCTGTGGCTGACAGGCACCCTAAATGTTTGAAAAAAAGGGGGTGTCCCCATAAGCCTTTTTTTATGTAAGGGTTGGTTGTTTTGAGTAGAAGGCAAAGCAGATTAACTGAGCCTTCGCTCTAGCAAGTCTTGTTTTAGAAGGAAGCAATGGGAAATTTTCTTTCTCATCAACACAGCCCGTAGAAGGAAACACCGATTGGGGGAGAGGGGGGTCTTTGGGGATGAACACCTCTCCCCTCCCCAAAACTCCCATTTCTCTGCCCTCCTCCTCCTCCCCCGAAATCTTCCATCTTCTTTTGCATCGTCTGCTGTTGTCTTTACAACTTTGCCTCACGTCGGTTGAGGATTTTCCTCTTCGGATGCAGAACGTAGCACTAACTCTGTTGGACCAAATTTCCCAACTTTGTGTCTTTCATTCTTTTTCTTTCTTTTTTTTGGGGGGTGGTGGGGTCGGGGATGGAGGGTGGGAAGAATCACAAATAAAAGTGCAATTAAAGGAAATGAAATCGCCACTCGTCCCGACTTTCTTTTCTAAAACTTACGAAGAACGGTTGCAGGAACCGGGTGTGTTTAGTTTAATGAAGAGAAGGACCAGGGGTGACATGATAGCAGTCTTCCAATATCTCAGGGGCTGCCCCAAAGAAGAGGCAGTCAAGTTATTCTTCAAAGCACCTGAGGGCAGGACAAGAAGCAATGGGTGGAAACTAATCAAGGAGAGAAGCAACTTAGAACTAAGGAGAAATTTCCTGACAATGAGAACAATTAATCAGTGGAACAACTTGCCTCCAGAAGTTGTGAATGCTCCAACACTGGAAATTTTTAAGAAGATGTTGGATAACCATTTGTCTGAAGTGGTGTAGGGTTTCCTGCCTAGGCAGAGGGTTGGACTAGAAGACCTCCAAGGTCCCTTCCAACTCTGTTATTCTATTCTATTCTCTTTTAAAGAGAGGGTGGATCTGGTTGCGGGGCCCTCCTCCCTCCGTATTCACAGTTAAAAGTTTTGTGTTGAATTTCCAAAGTATAACAATCTCCAAAGTTTCGTGACAAGGGGGTGGGTTAGCTTAGGGGTGGGGGTGGGCTAGGGAGCATCTGGGCAGAGGATTTTAAAATGGGGGTACATGTGTGCGCATTTTTTTAAAAAAAAATTCTGCTATGATTCTTGGTAGGTTTTCCATTTCAGAAAAGGGACAACTTTGCTTATGGTCTTAAGGATGATCTCGTGATGGCGTCAGGCTAGAAACTGGGAAACTGGGAGTTCTATTCTTCTAATGATTTGAGGTTCCCCTAGTTTTTTAAAAAGGAACATTTTATTGCAACTTTCAAAAAGTTTTCTATAACATGACGTGATAGGAGAAATGGTCAAAGAATTGTCAGTCCAAGCCCATAAAATATGTCAAGTTAGTTGTCCCCAGTGGCTAAGATGGCTCAGGATGAAAGTAGTCTTGGAAATCATCTATCCATCCATTTATCAATCCATCCACCAATCCATCCATCAATCCCTCCACCAATTCATCCATCCATTATCCATCCATCCACCAATTTATCCATCCATTCATCTACCAATTTATTTCATCCATCCATCCATTATCAATCCATCCAATTCATCATCCATCCACCAATTCACCATCCATCCATCAATTTATCCATCCATCTACCAATTTATTCATCCATCCATCCATCGTTTATCAATCCATCACCAATCCATCCATCCATCCATCCACCAATTCATCCATCCATCCACAATTTATCCATCCATTCATCTACCAATTTATTCATCTATTCATCCATTTATCAATCCATCCACCAATTCTTCCATCCATCTACCATTCATCCATCCATACATTTATCCATCCATTCATCTACCAATTTATTCATCTATTCATCCATTTATCAATCCATCCACCATTCTTCATCCATCCACCAATTCATCCATCCATCCACCAATTTATCCATCCATCCATCAATTTATCCATCCATCCACCAATTTATTCATCCATCTATCCATCCACAAATTTATCGATTCATCCACCCATCCATCCATCCACTCTGTACCCTATAGAAACCAGAGCCCTCTAGCTGATGCTAATCCACATCTTCCAGCATCCTTCATCCCTGGTCATGCTTGGCTTCAGGGTCCTAAGAATTGTAGATCATCACCGATAGGAACAACTGTCACTTTTGCTTGCCATGGAGAAAATTGTGCAAAGTCATCACAGCAGCCAGAAAGAGAGCAATAGATTGACAGAGGCGATCTCATCACTGCTGGATCAGAAAGTCCTGAAGTCATCGTCTAAATAATCAAGCAGGAGAGGAAAGTAAATCTAGGAGCACGATGTGGGTCCTTTGTTTGTGGAAGCAGCTACCTCTTGCCCATAGGACCTTCTCTCTTGCTTCTGGCTGAGATCAGACCGGGATACCTCCTATTTCTCACAGGAGAACTTCATCGTTCCTCAAGGGGTGGAGCTCTTCTTGGGACACGGTGGTGCATCTAGCATTCCCTGCCTCAAGAAAAGACCAGCGTGAAGAAGATGGAGACCACAAGAAGGATCAGAGTCACCGCAAAGCAAATGCGCAGGTTCTCCACAGATGCAGGAGCTGAAGATGTCCTCGGAGGCATCTCTATCACCACGGCATTTTGCATCTCCTGCAGACGGAGCCCGTTCCATATCTCCGCATGGAACCCCATGGGAAACGCCGGAACGATGCTGCTGACGGTGAAGATGGGCGAAGTAGGCCTATAAGTGTACTCCAGAGACAGGGCCACATTGCCAAAGGACCAGTTGGAACCTCTTGTGGAATCTTTGTCTTCTTCCAAGCCATCTTCAGAGGTGGCCTGGGATTCCTCCGCTCCGGGTGGCCCTATCTCTTGTAGGAGGGCTTCATTGTTCCTCAAAGCCTTGAGGCCTTCTTGGGGCACGAGGGTCACCATCCGGCAGAAAGGGCAGACCACGAAGGAGACCACTCTGTTCTGGCAAACCAGTTTCCTGAGACAGGCGAGGCAGACGGTGTGGGAACACCAGAGAAGCTTCGGTACCCGCCTGGTGGAAACCTCTTGGTAGGACTCATAGCAGATGTTGCATTCCTTTCCACCGCCATCAACAGAGGACAGGAGGGCCATGTCGTCTTCAGGACTTGAGATCAAACTCTAGGAAACTTGGGATTCTCCTAGAGCCCCCAACTCAAGACAGTTGGGTTTCTCCTAGAGCCCCCAACTCAAGACAGTTGAGTTTCTCCTAGAGCCCCCAACTCAAGACAGTTGGGTTTCTCCTAGAGCTCCCAACTCAAGACAGTTCCTTTCTGAAGATCCTCGCTGGTCACCTTCATAGCTTGCTTTGGCTATCTGGCTTCTTCTGAACCCAGAACAACATATGCTAGGCGAACAAGACCTCACCGCAAGCAACTCTTCGAAGCCCTCATTCAACCTGTCTTGCGCGCTCCCAAATCCGAGAGTGCCCGGACACTCTTTAACGCTTCCGTATAATCAGCTGAAGGTGGGTTGAGCTTTCCAGTCAACGTAAGGAGTTGAGAACCACCGACCAGACCAGTAAATAAAATCCAATCTCTCTCCACCCCCTCTGAACTTTAATCCTTAATCAATGACTTGTTAACTCAACGTTGGTGGGAGTTTACTGGCGGTAACTGTGCCAAAGGCTGAAAATAGCCTCCTTCCACCCCGCCCCAAAAAGCTATTCCTAGAGTAATTTAAGTGATTTAAGAACACGAGTGGACTTCCTCATTCATAGCTCCTTCTAACAAGCTGGACATCCCCGTTTTGATCTTGCAGAGCCTCGAAGGCACACGGAGTCAGTCCTTGACTTCCAACAGTTGGTTTAGTGACCGCTGCATGATTTCTTTCATGCTTAACTCTCTTCGCAGTGTCCCCATGGTCACCTGATCAACATACAGACGCTTGGCCCCTCGATTCGTATTTATGACAGTCGCAGTGTCTCACGGGATCCTTTTTTACGACCTCCTGACCGGCACGCTCCATGGGGAAACCAGGATTCACTTAACGACGCTGGATGACCGCAAATCATGACTCTCGCTGAACAACCGTTGGCAGGAAACGTCGTAAAACGGGGCAAAACTCAACTTGACCGCTGTCTCGCTTAGCGACAGCGGGCTCAGTTGCGATTCGTGAGGACTATCTGCCTCGGCATTGATCGACTCGGCTGAAGGCATCTCTGGAGCTTGGTGCCCGTCCCCCCCCGCCCATTTCAGAAGCTAGAAATTTGGGCATACTTAAAGAGAGGTTCTCATGGGTTTGCCCAATGAGGGGGCATTCAGCCCCATCCACCCCGCCCACCCTCACCGGCGTTAGGCCGTCCTATTTAAGTCACGTTTTTAAGCCGCGAGCATGAATGCAAGCTGCGCTCACTCGTGCAAAGCCGCACTCACATTGAAAAGGTGGTAAAATTATGTGAAATCCCCTTCTGCTATGTGAAACTAACCTGTTCCGACTGTTCCAGCTTAAGTTTGTTTATTTATTTATTTATTATATTTCTATACCGCCTTTCTCCCGTAGGACTCAAGGCGGTGTACAGTCAAGAAAAATATAGACACACAAACATCATAAAATTGCTAATTAAAATTATTACTTAGTTTGGTCAATTAAATAAAACCCAGAATTAGATAACATTTAAAAAATCATTCGCATATTTGTATGTTTAGCCCTGCCTGTTGGAACATCAGGGTTTTGAGGTCACGGCGGAAAGCACGGAGATCAGGGATATTCCGTATCTCCGGGGGCAGTTCATTCCAAAGGGTTGGAGCCCCCACAGAGAAGGCCCTCCCCCTGGGAGTCGCCAGTCGACATCATTTGACTGACGGTATCCTGAGTAGTCCCTCCCTGTGAGAACGAACCGGTCGGTGGGAGGCTATTGGTGGCAAAAGACGGTCTCGTAGGTACCCAGGTCCTAAGCGATGGAGCGCTTTAAAGGTGATAACTAACACCTTGAATCGCACCCGGAAGACCACCGGGAGCCAGTGCAGCTCGCGTAGGAGAGATGTTACAAGTTGTGTAGCTGCTGCCAAGTCATCGGATGCATTGTTTAACCTTGAGTTAAGGGACATGTCACCTTCCTGGTCTTTTCCCCAACAACCCACATCATTGGTTGGGCCAGGGGGAGGATGCATCAGGTTGTCAATTCAGTCTTATCTTAAGTTCAGCCAGATGTCACTTTCCAGTTGGCTGAAAGTCCACTGTGGGTAGGACAGTTGGTCCTAACCAAATCTTGGCCATGTTTACAGGGAAAGGGCCGTTTTTATAAAAGGCAAAGCTTTTTTTTTTATTTATTTCTTCTGGGCCCTCAAAAGGAATAACAGTATCAGAGTTGGAAGGGACCTTGGAGGTCATCCGGTCCAACCCCCTGCTCACGCAGGAGACTTGTACTAGGGATTCGAACCGCTGAACCGCCAACCTTTCTGATCGACAAGCTCAGTGTCTTAGCCACTGAGCCACCCAGTCAGGAAATCTTTCACCCTATCCTGCAAGACGTACCGAATTTTGATTTTACCGCTTTCGAGGATTGGGAGGAATAATACCTTGAAAACGTGAAAACGTCTGAAAAGGTTACAATCGTGGCCACTGGATCAAATTTTATTAAAACGGGAGACGTTTCGTTACTCATCGAAGTCCCGTCTTCCGTCCATTTGGGGGAAGTCGCAGAGTCTCGTCGGAATGAAGGATGAGTTAACGAAAAACGTCCCCGTTTTAATAAAATTTGGCCCGGCTGCCACGATTTTAACCTTTTCAAGGTACTTTTGGCCTGGGTGATTTGAGTCTTCATTTTTACATGACGGGGGGTGGAAATAACATTTTGGAGTCCTGCTTTTTAAAACGAAGGAAGTTGGAGGAGCGTAAACCGTCTTTGATGCTACTGAAGGACGTCACAAGTCGAAGCTCTGGAATTTTATTTCTCGGCTGACGTACGTATGAAAACATTACATGGCAAACAGATCGATCAATGTAGGCAACCAGACAAACATGCGGGAAGTTACGGTGGGCCCTTCTTGAGGATTTGGGGAAAGAAAGCTCCACCTGGGCGATGGCTTCCGATGTTCCTCTCCTCCTTCTTCACGGCTTTTCACACAAAACCCCAGGAACTCCAGAACTGGGTAATTGGTGGGGACGGACGGACGGACAAGCAGCTAGAGAAGTCTTCCCTGGAGTTCCCAGTGTCTGTCTGGAACAGCAACGGATAAAGCAGCGATGGCGAACCTTTTTGGCAACAAATGCCAAAAAGGGAGTATGCGCACATGCACTTCATGCGCGCACTTCTGGACCGCAACCCAGAAGAGGAGCTGCCCAGGGTCCATGCGCGTGCCCGAAAATGAACTTCCGGTTTCAGCTATTGAACTTCTGGTTTCAGCCAGCTACTCTTCCGGGTTTCTGACACGCATGTGCGTGCGACGATCAGCTAGCCGGCATGCACGCTCACGCGGGAAAAACGGAAGACCAGCTCTTCCAGTTTCCAGCTACTGCCGCACGCAGGAAGGCCAGCTGATTGTCGCATGCACATGGGCGCCAGAAACCCGGAAAGAGGAACGGGCGACGCCGCGCGTGCTAGGTGACATGGCTCCACGTGCCACTTTGGGCACGCGTGCCGCAGGTTCGCCATCACGGGGCGAGAGGTTCTCCAGGGGGAAGGTGGATGAGAGGATCATCGGAACTTGTCGGACTTGCAGCCAAGACCTCGTGTGTCCAACAGAGTTTTGGAAACACCCCCTCTTACCAACACAAAAGCAATGTCCTCGTGACTTCAGATGCCCCTTTGCAACCCTAGGAAGATTGATGCAATAATCAGGGCGAAGGTGGGAATTTCACAGTCCCCTCAACCTCCAGATTCTATAATCCAGAGTGTCCAACCTTGCCCACTTTTGAAGCTTTGTGGACTTCAACTCCCAGAATTCCCCACGCTGGTTGCTTTCAGGACCTTTTAAGTCTTAAAATTGACAAAGTTGGGCACCTCTGCTTTTTTTCCCCACCTTTCCAGTTGGGGGAAAAGAAAGACCCCCCCCAATTCCCATCATCCTCGAGGCTAAAAGATTCAAGGCAGCAGATCCAACCCGGAAGGTCCTATCTGGACTCTGGTGCAGCCCCAGAAAGATGGGGTGGGGGAGAGGTGGGCGGAGAACATTCCCCCCCCACCCCCTATGCCAAAGGCTCTTTCGAGCATCCCGGAACGAAGGCAAGTGGTTCAGTCCAAAGAAAAGTGCAGATTTTTCAGGAGGCGGCAGGTAGAGAATGAAGTTTCCAGTCCTCATGGGATCCTGACCTTGGTGGTGTTCCTGCCCACCACTCTCGCCCGATTTCTGGGGAAGAGCGTGCCCAGGCAGTTCACGTCCACTGACTGACTAATTAACCAAGTTATTAACTTACATGCTTGCCAAGCAGAACAGAGCGGTCACTCAATTGGGCGCCGCCTTTCAGTAATCCAGCCTACATTTTGTGCCACCCAGGTTCAACTTTCGTCTCTAAGGGAGCAGTCATGCTAGGCTGCCATCTTTGGCTGGGGAGATTCCTCCACTCGGGGGGAAAAGCAGAGAAGAAGAATTTCCCTTCTCTTCCACTCCAATATTTTGGCGAACGGCTCCTCCTTTTCAATTACCCAAACCTGAAGAGGAAGATAATGGCAATCCCCTCCCACTTGCAGGAAGGTTCGAATAATTTCAGTGAGGACTAGTAGCTTGGGAGCGATCCAGGCGGAGATTCCCTGTTATAAAAAGCAGCTTTTTTGTTCTCCTAGTGCTTTTCCAAAAGGCTATTGGAATTTTTTGGTTTCTCTTTTTCTTTTCCTTCTTTTCTTTCCTTGAAAACCTTTGGCTTCTCATCCAAGAATTGGAAGAATTCGCTTCGAAAGATGAGAAGCGAAACGTTTTCAAGGAAAGTCCCAATTGCCTCTTGAAAAAAAAAGAAGACTTTTGGGTGTCCTTCAGTTATTTCAACAGTTGCCTGGACATTTTGAACTACAGTATTTTTTGGTGTATAAGACACACTTTCCCCCCCCCCTAAAAGGGGGTGAAAATTTAGGTGCGTCTTATACACCGAATGTAGCCGGGCCCACCCACTGGCTCCCACCCTTTGGCCTCTGCCTCGCAGCAGTTACCTCCTTGCAAGCAAACAGCAAGAAAAAAACAGCTCCTTTCAGCTTCAGCACAGGCTAATTAGCACAAGTTGGTTGGATCCGCCTCCCGACTCTCAGTTGATTTGCTCTCAGCTGTTTTGCGCAGGGCTCTGCTGCTTGCTTCAAGGAGGTAAATTGCTGGAGTAGATTTTTTTCCCCCCTTGTGCTAATCAAGCTATGCTGAAAACGAAACTGAAAGTAAAGCAGGCTGTTTGCTGCAAGGAGGCAAAATTGCTCAGAGGCAGAGGGAGATTTTTCTTCTTTTCCTCACCAAAAAAGGTAGGTGCGTCTTATACTCCGAAAAATACGGTAATCACACTCCTCGCGGACAACAGTGAGCAAAAAAAAACCACCAGCATATATTATTTAGTGCAAAAGGCGTGGCGCACACTTCCTTCCTGCCCCATCGTCCGGCGTGCGCGATTACCGGAAGTGAGTGCTCGGAAACACAAGACAAGCATTCCGAGCGCGCAGTGATGATGAAACAAGACGTGCAAAAATGAAAGGAGGACGGCTGAAATTCCAGGTGGGTTTTTTTTTTTTCCTCCCTCGGTTTCTCTTCCAGGACGGTGAGAGGGGGAGAAAAAAAAAACCTCCTTTCCCTTTTCCATCCTCGAGTAAGCTAGCCGCTGTGGAAAAGTCGGATCCGTTGCACGATTTCTTGTCGGCAGAGTGGACAGGTGTGCAAGGCTTCGGAGCAGGTCTGGCAGCAGCAGACGTGGCCGCAGTTCAGAAACACGACTCGGGCCTGGAGAAGGAGAAGAGGCAGGAGGGCGGAGTCAGGCCGCGGGCGCGCGGGCGCTCAAGAGAATGGGCGTCTTTTTTCACAGGCGCAAAAGGGGCAGCGAAATAAAAACAGAAGGTTTGATTTAAGGAAAACGAACCCGCAAGCAGAATTTGCCGCGGTGGCGCTAGTTGGTTAAGAGTGCAGTACTTTCAGGCGGCTTCTGCTGATCGCCGGCTGCCAGCAGTTTGGCAGTTCGAATCTCACCAGGCTCAAGGTGGACTCAGCCTTCCGTCCTTCCGAAGTGGGTCAAATGAGGAGCCAGTTTTTTGGGGGGGGCAATAGGCTGACTCTGTAAAACGGCTTAGAGAGGCTGTAAAAGCACTGTAAAGCGGTATATAAGTCTAAGTGTTATTGCTAGTCCTTCCTTCCTTCCCTTTTTATCCTTCCTTTCATTCCTTTTATCCTTCCATCTTTCTTCCTTCCTTCCTTTTATTCTTTCCTTCCTTCCTTCCCTTTTTATCCTTCCTTCCTTTCATTCCTTTTATCCTTCCATCCCTCCTTCCTTCCTTTCTTTTATTCTTTCCTTCCTTCCTTCCTTCTGCTGTGGTGGCACAGTGGTTAGAGTGCAGTACTGCAGGCTACTTCTCCTGATCACCGGCTGCCAGCAGTTTAGCAATTCGAATCTCACCAGGCTCAAGGTTGACTCAGCCTTCCATCCTTCTGAGGTCGGTCAATGAGAAGACAGTTTTAAGGGGGGCAAGAAGCTGATTATGAAAACCGCTTAGAGAGGGCTGTAAAGCATTGTAAAGCGGTATATAAGTCTAAATGTTATTGCTAGTCCTTCCTTCCTTCCTTCCCTTTTTATCCTTCATTTCTTTTATCCTTCCATCTTCCTTCCTTCCTTTTATTCTTTCCTTCCTTCCTTCCCTTTTTATCTTCCTTCCTTTCATTCCTTTTATCCTTCCATCTTCCTTCCTTCCTTCCCTTCGTTCCTTCCTTCTGCCGTGGTGGCGCAGTGGTTAGAGTGCAGTACTGCAGGCTACTTCTGCTGACTGCCGGCTGCCGGCAATTTGGCAGTTCAAATCTCACCAGGCTCAAGGTTGACTCAGCCTTCCATCCTTCCGAGGTGGGTCAAATGAGGACCCAGATTGTTGGAGGGCAAGAGGCCGACTCTGTAAACCGCTTAGAGAGGGCTGTCAAAGCACTGTGAAGCAGCATATAAGTCTAAGTGCTATTGCTATTGGGTTGCTGGGTAGGCTAAGGTGGGCCACAAAGAAGGATGAATGTAGTAGTCTGTCACTATTCCCGCCGTCTCCAAAAGGACACCCGGAGGGCTTACCTCTAGCTCCATACAGACGACACACTCGCAGTGGTGTTCTTCTGCTGTTGGAGCCGACGGGACTTCAGCGTTGGTGGACTCTTCTCTAAACTCTGGAGCAGTAGGTCCCGTTTTTTCTGCTGGCTTCAACAGTTCTGCAACCAGATGGAAGGGAGGCAGAGAGTGAGGAAAAGGGAGGGCTCAAGGAAGAAAATGGGCTACACGGTGGGATTGGGAGAAGACCGTCAAGGAATCTCAGCTGCATGTTCCAAAGAAAGTTGACTCTCTTGTTGAACTCAAAATCTTGGCGCCCTGATGGAACACCGTTGTCAACTTTTTTTTTTTTTTTTTTTTTTTATTATTAACGTTTGTATTACATGTATTTTTATCGTTCGCTGTTCACCGCCCTGAGTCCCTTAGGAATAGGGCGGTATATAAATTTAATAAATAAATAAATAAATAAATAAACTCGCAAAGCGTCCCTGTCCTGCTCTCGAGTTGCCATAGGCCAGGGGGGATGGGAAACCGGTGAAATGGCACAGCAGCCAAAGACAGATGTACATTCCATGCTTATCTCTCTCAAGGCTGTATCCCAGGGTTACTTACAGCAGCCGAGGGGAGTGACCTCTACAACTCCCGAAATTCGTTGGCGAATGTGATTTATGACACATTCTGGGGGGAGCCGGGAAACAGGGTCATAATTGGAGTTACGTAGGGTCAGAGCTGGCTTTACTTGGGAGTGCAGACATGAAGCTCCTAATAAATAACTGAATTTCTTTTGAAGCTTGGCTCGAGACTCGTGATTTCATTAGGGCATCCCTCGGAAACCTGACAACCGTATTGCAAGAATTTCCTTGGGATTTTTTTCCCCCCCCATTCCTCCCATCTACGCTACAATCCTAAAATTGCTAGGTGGTCTCCTCTCCCTGCCATTCAATGCAGGCTATCCTGAGATGGCTTGCCACTTTCCCAAATGAGTTGGACTCCTGGTTCAAAGACCCAACACGTACAGACAGAGCAAAGAAACCTCCTGGAATACGAAAGGCTTCCCCAAATGTGCCCCTCATTTCCCCCACCCCCAGCTCTGGGGACATCCGAAGAAGGTAACCTGGTATTGTTTCTGCAACAGCTTGTATCTCCCGAGCTTTCTGGATGATGGCGTGCTGCAAGCCAGATTCCATTATCCCGATCTGCAAATCAAATTAAATACATAAATAAAAAAAATAAAAATAGTAAAACCACGGTTAAGCGAACCGCTGCGGTTGTTAAATGAGTCACACGGACATTAAGTGAATCTGGCTTCCCCATCGCCTTTTGCTTGTCAGAAGGTTGCAAAAGGGGATCTCTGCGACCGTCATAAATATGGGACAGTGGCCTAGCGTCTATATTATGATCCGGTGTCCATGGGGATTCTGGAAAGTTGGTTATGTGTGAAAAATGGTTGTTAAGTTACTTTTTTCGCAACTTTGAACGGTTGCTAAATGAAATGTTGTAAATCGAGGATTATCTGTAATAATAAGGAATTTATACTTCCCACCATCCAGTCAGAGAAGAAGAAGCTCCTCGGATGAGAAGCAAAACGTCTTAAAAGAAAAACAAGAAAGTCCAGTTGCCTTTTGAAAAAAAAAAGCACCTTTAGGACAATCGTGACCTGGATGGACGCCTGAGAATCTCCCGAGAAAAGGGAATTGACAGTGTAAAAATGACCCTTGTTTCTGACCTCGGCCAGGTCTCCAGGGACCATGCTGCTGAGCATTTCGAGTGATATCCGATGATGGGCGAAGATGGGGAGGTAGTGCTCGGCCGAGAGGTCCGTCAACAGTTTCACTAGCTGCCTCTCCAGGCCTTCTTCCTGCCGGGAGAAAGAGAGAGAAGGAAGGAATCAAACGACCTGGCCTGCTTCAGTTTGGGGGGTATCGAGGCAAGGCATGTCAGCAGACAGGACACCAAGGAGATTGTCCAAGAACGGAATGGTGGAAGAACGAGAGAAAAAAAAAAAAAGAAATGAGATTTTTCTCTGCCTCTTGGCCAATCACCTGCAACCGGAGAGAGAGAGGTTTCTGGTTTAGCAGCCGCTGGTATTGGATCAACCAGTAGTTCTCCTGCTTTGTCTCGCTCTTGGCCTCCAGTTCTTTCTGGAAAAAAAGGAGAAAGGAAGGCGATAAAGAGATGATGGAGCCTTAGCTATCATGCCTCAGGACCTGGCAGATGTGGAAATGGGGGAGGGGGAGGGAAAACTGTTCTAAGCGATCCCAGGAGGTCGAACGTGCCCCTAAACAACGGCCAGACTTTGGTTCATCTATCCCTGGTGACCCCCTCAAGCAGCTGAAGTTCTCCAGAGGTCCTTGGGGGTTCTCTGAGTTTGGCTGTTTTCTTGCAGACAAGTTGCAGGAAGCAACTTTGTTCGTTCTGGCCGGTTTAAATTCAGAAGCTCCGTTTTGGCTCTGTGCTCTGTGTGGCCTTGCAAAGCTGATTGCCGATTAGGTCTTTGGCAGCGTGCCAAGGGAGATGAAGGTGGGTGTTTATCAGCCTTATCTGTGGCAGACCTCTGTTGGACTCTTTACAAACTCTTTGTGACTCATCACGGGCTGGGAATGAACAGAATTCGCAGCCGTTGAAATAAAAAAAGAGGGTTTTGGGGACTAATCGTGTGCTTTTTACTGTCTCAGGAAGCCTCGGTCAGAACAGTATGAGTAGATGAATAGGTCCCGCAGGCCAGCTGCCCCCCAAGACCCTTTTACCAAGATGGCTTGCAGCTCCTCTTCTCGCTCCTTCTTCTCCTTCAGCAGCTGCTGCAGCAGCTGACTCAGCGTTTGCCGTTGCTCTCCGATTGCTTCCTGCAACACAACGTGGGTGGGTGTTTAAGAAGGGAGACTGAACTTCCTTCCCTGAGGAAGGAATCACCCCGGCCTAGAACACAAGAGTCTACCCCATCTCCTTTGCCCCCCGATTTCTAAAAAAAAAACAACTTCGCGCTTTCCCTTGGAAGTTAAAATTCAGCGAGGCTCAAAAGCAGTGGTGAAATCTGAACCGGTGTGCTACTGGTTCGGCCAAATGCGGACTGCGCGCACCAAAAGGAGGCTTGGGAAGGTAAGTAGAACAGCGAAGGGGGGGGGCGCGATCAGCTGTGCTGCACGATTTAGCTTCGCTAGATTTCCTGCTTTCTAGCAAAGCTAAACCGGGCGGCACAGCTGATCGTCGGAAATACCAGTTCGGAGCAACCGGTAGCTTTTTTAAATTACCGTTTCGCCCAAACTGGTAGCTTTTATCACTACCGGTTCACTACCGGAGTGAACCGGTAGCATTTCACCCCTGCCCAAAAGGCTTCGTGACCTTATAATTCTCTGCCGTCAATCATCCCGAGACTCCGTCATTGAGCGGAGTCTTCTTGTGGTTCATTCGCCCGGCTTTTCGCGACCCTTCTGACAAACCAAGTCGACGAGGGAAGCCAGATTCCGCTTTAACGACCGCGTGACTAACTTAACCACAGCGGCAATTTCACTTCAGAAAACGTGACAGGAAAAGTCGTAAAAAAAACCCCACAAACAAACGGGGCAAAACAGATTTCTCACTTCACAACGTAAACTCTGGGCTCCATTGCGGTCGTTAAGTCAACCGCAATATCCCCATATTCTAGGCATCAAAATCCCATCCAGCAAGGGTATAAGAAACAAAACTTTAAAAAAAAAAAATCTTTCAATTTTTAATCGCGTGGATTTGTTCGCTTCTTAAAGCAAACTCTCTTCCTGGTTCTGATTTAAAAGAGAATTTCACGGGATGCGTTCTACGTCCATAAGGATTTAGAAACGGATCTTTTTTGTTAAAAAAAACAAAAAAAACCCCCCAAACAAATAAAAATAGCTGTTTTTGGGAGAGAAAAAAAAAACATGCAATCCTGGTTTTGTCGCCGGAACAGAATTTGTGCAGCTGGAGAGATGGAATGTGCCGGTTGGAATGGAGGTCGGTTGGTAAAAAGGGTGGAATAAGCACACCGAAGCAAAACTAGCCAGAAAGAAATCATAGGTCCAAAAAATAAAATAAAATAAAATAAAATAAAAAAATGAAATGCTCAGCCAGCTTCTAGAGGTAGTCCTCAACTTACAACCATCCGTTTCGTGACAACGGCAGTGCAAAAAAAAGTGATTTTCACACTTAACGACCGTGGCAGGATCCCCGCAGTCACGGGATCAAAATTTGGATGCTTGGCAACTGGTTCCTATTTATGACGGTCGGCAGTGTCCGGGGTGGGGTTTTTTTTTTTTTCGTGTGATCCCCTTTTTGCGACCTTCTGATGGGGCAGGGGGAAGAGCCAGATTTGCTTAACGACCGTGTTCCTAGCTTAGCGACAGCAGCCATTCGCTTAACGAGCGGAGAAGAGAGCCTGCGAAGTAGGGCGAAACTCACTTATAATCGTCTCCGCTTGGCCACGGAAATTGGGGGCTCCGTTGTGGTCGTAAGTCGAGGACTGCCTGTAACCCCTTTCACCCCACATTCCTGCCCCCCTCCCCAAAAAAACCACCAAGATTTCCAACTTAGCATCCCAGCCTGGTTTTCCGACAAGGCATTCCTCCAAAATCTCTACCCCAACCGATGCCAGAATCCCTGGCAGCGTTTGCGAGAGAGGCCATCGAGCGAAAGGAGGAGACCGGGATTGATAAACCTGGAAAATTCTTTCACTGGGCCTTCTTCTACAAGTTGCTAAACCAGAGGTCGGGGGGGGGGGAATGAGGAGGAAGGAGGAAGGAGGAGGAGGAGGAGGAGAAGGAAGCCAAGCAGGAGGGGATGATGGTCTCAAAAGGAGGTGTGGGATTGGGGTGGGTGAGGGGTGACATACCTGCAGAGCCTCTGTGTCCAGCTGCTGCCTCTTTAACTCCAACTGCGTGAGCTGCAGTAACTCTCTCTCTATTAACTTAATCTAAGGAGAAGACGAAACAAGGGAAGCGGGAGGTTGCGTGCGTGTTTTTCCCTCCCTAACCGCAACAGCGTTTTGGGGAGGCTACACTTCACAAAGTACTAGAGGGGCGGGGGTGGAGGGGGGCTACACCTCCGTCAGCCAAACAGACTTTGGGTATGAGTAACTACTCGGGAGTTCCTCGCAACACCGGACAGGGAATGCACCAGCCCCGCAACTGATTTTACACGTCACGAACATAACTTCCTGCCGTCAGGAAACACGCCGAGGAAGCCGAGGTCTGCGACGTGACAGCATCTCAACACCCCAGCTGGGGGGCAAAGGTGACCTACCCACCTAAGTTTAGTCATTTCTGGAGCAAATGTCTTTCTAGGATCTAACGTATGGGGTATCCTGTGCTAGTTTCTAGTTGTTTTCCATCTGGTAAACACCGACTGTGATTTGACGAGGGACTCAGTAGACGAGAAAACAATGATAAAACGTTGTGTGTTGCACCGTCGGCTTGGAAAGGGAGCTGGAGTCCGTCAGATTATTCATGAACTGGCAGAGGCATGGTAACAAGGTCAGCCAATGAATAGGCATGGCAACTAAGTCAGCCAATTGGGAGCTGAGACAGACTGGAGCCAGGGCGTGTCTTAGTCTGCAGCTTCCGAGTCTCTGCAGAGAATTGCAACTGAAACTAAGCAGTCTGTGCGCTTGTCTGCTCTGCTGAAATGAAACTAACTCTCCTACCTTGTAACTGCTACCACGTTGAAGAATCAACTATTGGTATTGTAAATACTTCATCTGTTATTATGTATATAAAGAAGTTAATGAATCCAGCTGCGTCAGTTATCTGTGTGCGCTTCTGGATTTGTTTTCTGCAACAAACTCTGATAGAGTCTTAGGTGACCCTCAGTGGAAATTCTCGTTTTGGGAACAGAGGCGCGCTCTTCATGAAGGGCCTAACGGACAGATCAAGGATAAGGGGAAACGCCCTAAGGCGGATAAAAAAAAAAATACTCCTTCTTTGTATGTCACCCTAGACATGAGGGACAGCCAGTGAAGGACTCTATGCAAACCCTCAAGCATCTGGAATACTTTGGAGTCAATGAATGGAAGCTACAAGCTCTGGGCATCCAGCTTGTTTTTGGAAGACGTGAAGTTCAAAAGACTCTGAAGCTTCCTTGGCCTTTTTTGGGGAAGATTCAAGAAATCGTTCTGGTGACTCAGAGCTTGTAGCACCGTAGAGAAGCCACCAGAGAACAGGAAAGTCCACAAATGCCCTTGACCATCACCTATATTAGTAAACTAAAGGCCTGGATAACCCACTAGAGAGACAAAGGATAAAAAAAGGTGCAGTCGGGGGGGAGGGAAAAATGGGGGTTGGAGAAATTGCAAATTCTACCCATCCGAGAGCCTCTGGCAACCGTTCCCTCCGGCAGTGATCCTGCATTCATAAAGCAGTGCGCATCGATGTTGACCAAAATGGACTTGGACAAGCAACAGAAACAAACGACGATGGACACATGAAAACAGAACCAATGGAGATGAGGTGTTTTTTTTTTTAATGGACTGTTGGCAGGTTGGAAATGCAGCGACGCCGTCCCAGAGGGGAGGCAAGCTAAACTGGGCCAGAAAGATATGACTCGTCCCAACCCCAAACTTTTCACAAGGATTGGTACCCAGGCTAGATTTGAGAAGGGAGGAAGTCTGCTTGTTCAGGAAGCTATGAGGGATGCTGCCTCCCCCGTCCCTTGCATCTCTCCCCAAGTCTTAAATTTTTTGCACTCACCTGGTTTCTGATCTGGCAATGCATGAGGTCTCGCTTCACCTGGAGGGCTTCGAAGGCTGCCTTCTGCATCTCACTCTAAAAGATGGGGATCGAGTGAGCACCTGAAGCGGCCTTCAACTACCCGAGACCATCGGTCTATCCGTCTCAGCATTATAGCCCTCCCTCCTAACAGTCTCTCTTCCCTCTCTCCTAATAGTCTTTCTCCACCATGAAGTCAGCAACATTCCCACAAAACTCTCCGGGATGGAATTCTCTGCAAGCAAAGACGATCCTCCCACAAAGCTACGAGGTCTTTCCTCCCTATTGTGAAAATTCTGCATAAATAGAGAAGTCCGTTTCATCTAGGGCTGAAATTGCAAGGCAGATACGACTCTGCGGGTTTCACAAACAAAGAAGGGTCTTTTTAAAATCTCTGTTACCTGATATTTTTTTTAAATAGAAAGGTAGGACTGACTTGACGTTGGTATCTCTATCCCACCCACCAATAGATAGATAATGATAGATAGATAGATATATAGAGATATGATAGATAGATAGATATGATGGATGGATAGATAGATAGAGATGATTGATTGATTGATTGATTGATTGATAGATAGATAGATAGATAGATAGATAGATAAACAGACAGACAGACAGATATGATGGATGGATGGATGGATGGATGGAGATGATTCTATCTATCCTATCAACTCCATCCATCCATCCATCCATCCATCCATCCATCCATCCATCCATCCATCATATCTGTCTGTCTGTCTGTCTGTAGATAGATAGATAGATAGATAGATAGATAGATAGATAGATAGATAGATAGATAGATATGATGGATTTTCCATATGATGGAAAAAATGCTTTTAAAAAAAAAGCTTCTGATGATTGCGCGGCTCAGCTGGGCATGGGGTTGGCGGAGAGCATGAATTTTTGCTACCGGTTCTCCGAACTACCCGCCGCCATCGCTACCGGATCGGGCAATCCAGTCCGAACCGGGAGCATTTCACCCCCGCCCCCAAACCTAATTTGCTTAGTTCTGGCTCTTGTAATGTGTAGCTTCAATCGAGCTGCGGTTCAAATAAATTCCCATTAAGATCACTTAAAAGATGAAGGGAACTTCTACGCATCACTGGGGACGTCTGACGTCTGAAGGGCATCTAACATTGTGGTCATGATGGATCCTGTGGTCCACTAGAGAAACCTTCTAGCTTTCTAAGACTACAGTCCTTATCATCTCTGTCCATTGGCTGTGCTGATAGGAACTGTAGTCCTACGCATCTCAAGAACATCCATCCGCCTATCTCTTAGGCAGGTGAACCAGATGGCTTCTAATATTTGTTCGTTTTCCTGGTCAAGGTCCTGCTTAGTTCCTTCTCCCATGAGCGAATGCCCTTCCTCCACCACCAACACTCCATAATACCTCCTGCAGGATCTGGCTGATGGCTTTGTTCTGGTCCAGCTGCTGCCAAGCCAGGATCTGCTGGAACTTCTCATCCATCTTGGCAAGGCTGCAAGAGAAGAGTTCTTGGATGACTCTAGTTGCACGTTGGGGAAAGGGGCGGAGACTACAGCCCATGAGATGTCACAGTAGACTGAGGAGGCCCATTTCATTAAGGTATTGTGATAATTCTCTTGCTTTGAGCCTTAAGTCTTAGGAGAAACCAGGAAGCATGGCCTATAAACTTGGATTTATGTGTTAACATATGCCAACACTACCAATTATGGCTCCTTCAAATCGTTTTTAAGTGTTTTGGATTTTTCAGAGAAGGTCAGAGGATGATATCCAGGGACACCAGCAGACCAGGTAAGCACTGTTCTCTTCCTGGTTTGGCATCAGAACCTGATCAAGTTGGGTTCTCCCACGAGGTGTAGGAGCATATTGCTGAGATATTTCACCAACTGGACGACAGGCGACCTCAGAAGTCAAGGAAGAAGCTTTCATCTCTTTTTCTGGAAGTTCTCAACTTCTTGACCTAGCAGGTTTCTCCAGGAAGTTCTGGAGAACTTCCACAAAGCTCTGGAGAACCAGCCAAGGTTCGATTCAATGGGGGAGATGTTGTGGCCCACCAGCGGCCAGTGGATCTGGCAGCAGATTCGGACAGTGAGGAGGTTGGGGAGGAACATGGGCCAGTCCTGGAGTCTGGGGAGGGCTCTGATGGGGGCTCTGCGTCAGAGGCAGAAAGGGGGCCAGGGCCGTCTGACAGGTATCAACTGCCTTCGGAGTCGGACATCAGTGAGGCAGACGAACAGCTGGAGCCTGTTCCCAGTGTGTGCATGCACAGAGTTGCCAGACGAAGGGAACAGCTAAAGAACAAGGGTCGACTCAGGAGTAAAGCCACAGGTGGACGGTGAATGGCCCCTCCCAGAGGGAATAAAAGAGGAGTGTAAGGGGAGTGGAGTTTGCAGGAGACAATTAGTTCATTCTTGCATCCTTGCCAAATATTGCGGGCGTCTGAAAGATATCAGCCTGGCCACTCTCCAAGCCTGATAAAGGTCAGTAATTCTGAACTATCTTGAAAGACTGTGGGAGAGGAAAGACTTTGCTGGAGAGGAATTCACTGAACATTCAATAAAAGGGGTTTTTGTCGGGACAAGGAGTCTGCTTCGTGGTTTGGGGAAGCCTAGATCAGAACAGGAGATTTCCCTAGTCTTGTGACTGAGAATTAAATTAAAACGAGAGCGGATCAGGTTCAAACTGATGCTAAGCAAAGTTGGGCCCATCGTTCTTCCTCTGCTCACCTAACTTGCCATGTTCTTGCACAGAAATGGATGCCTACAGTTGTTGTTTCCCAGGCTCTTGAATGGGCGGGCACACCCATGAAAATAATATTCCCCCCCCCCCCAAATCTACGTCTTCTTCAGTACCTGGAGCACGTCTGGTTGACGAGGTCCTGCCGGCGAGACTCGTAGGCTCCCTGAAGTAATTTGTTCTTGTAGGTCTCAGACAACATCTGTTTCATGGCCGCTGGGAGAGCGAAATTGGGGGGAAAGGAAGAATTAAGAACCTTTTTTGGGCTCCAACGCCAGCATTTGGACATGCCTGCCCAAAGCAAATCGTGCCTTAGCCCATGTTAGAATGATGGCAACGTTTCCAGGAAAAACCAGATCAGGGAGCTACCTAGAAGACTTCTAGTCCAACCTCCTGCTCAGGCAGGAAACCCTACACCATTTCAGACAAGTGCCTGTCCAATCTTTTCTTAAAAACCTCCTGTGTTGGAGCATTTACAACTTCTAGAGGCAAGTTGTTCCACTTACTAATTGTTCTAACTGTCAGGAAATTTCTCCTTAGTTCTAAGTTGCTTCTCTCCTTGATTAGTTTCCATCCATTGCTTCTTGTCCTGCCTTCGGGTGCTTTGGAGAATAGCTTGACTCCCTCTTCTTTGGGGCAGCCCCTGAGATATTGGAAGACTACTATCATGTCTCCCCTGGTCCTTCGTTTCATTAAACTAGCCATGCCCAGTTCCTGCAACCGTTCTTCTTTATATGTTTTAGCCTCCAGTCCCCTAATCCTCTTTGTTGCTCTTCTCTGCACTCTTTCTAGAGTCCCATCATCTATATGAAAGCTGCCTGGGTGACTAATCACTAGGAGACGGTGAATTCTAGTCCCAGATGCTCAGGCATTAAAACCACCTGGGTGATTTCGGGCTAATCACCAGGACATCCTGCATCTGTCTTGGCATGTACCCGTTTCTCAATCATTGTGCAGGGGGGGTAGTGACATTCATAGTACATGCACGAACTTGATGAGTACCAGGACGAGGTTTTCGCATTTTGAGTACCAAATTCAATGAGTTTCAAAGCCGTTGAGTACCAAGGTAACACTGTACTTACCGGCTACTTCTTTCCTCCTCAGTTGTTCCGTTTCTTCTTGAGTGATGGCCATCAGCTGCTCCATCCGGATCCTAGGAGCGATACAAGAGAGTCAGGTGCCTAATTGTTCCCCTCAACTTTTCTCAAGAGTTTCGATCTCTCCACCTTTCTCCTTCACCACACTGCGAGGTTCAGTTGGGCTACAATCATCTCCAAGCCTTACTCCCAAGTCGACCCTGTTTTCTTAACTGTTCTTGTCGTCCGGCAGCTCTGCGCATGCGCACACTGGGAACAGGCTCCCGCTGTTCTTCTACCTCGCTGCTCTCAGACTCCAGAGGCTGCACATAACTATCAGATGGCCTTGGCTCCCTCTCTGCCTCCGATGCAGAGCCCTTGTCTGAGCTTTCCTCAGCCCCCGGGACTGGCCCAAGTTCCTCCCCACCACCTCACTGTCTGACTCTGCTGCCGGCGGGCCACAACAGCTCTTCCCCTCCAATTGATCAAGTAAAGCAAGAAACTCACCGGTCGTTTTCAAGGGATTTTAAGATCTCGGAACTCTGTTTCTGCCTAAAAAGATTTAAGAAATAAGGAGGGTCAACTAACAAGAGTCGCCATAAAGCATTTATGCCAATCAGCTCCACTGAGGACACCTCTCCGTCTTTCATGGGGTAAGTCTGGATCCTGGTTGTACAAGCTAGTCGTCAACTTACAACAATTCATTTAGCAACCAATCGAAGTTCAGCACTGGAAAAAAGTAACTTACGAACCCTGCGGGCACTTGATCAAAATGTGGGCATCTGCAACCAGAATGTATTTATGATGGGTGCAATGTCCTAGGCTCTCGTGATCAATATTTCCGACAAGCAAATCAATGGTGGAACTGGATTCACTCAACGTCCATGGCACAAAGGTTGTAAAATTGGGAGTGGCTCGTTTAATGATAGCTTAGCAAAAGGAGTTCTGGTCTGAATTGTAGGTCGTAAGTCGTAAGAGCTGTGGTGGCGCAGTGGTTAGGATGCAGTATTGCAGGCTAATTCTGCCGACTGTCAACAGTTCGATGCTGACCGGCTCAAGGTTGACTCAGCCTTCCATCCTTCTGGGGTCGGTAAAACGAGGACCCAGATGGATGGAGGCAAGACGCTGACACTGTAAACCGCTTAGAAAGGGCTGCAAAGCACTGTGAAGCGGTATATAAGTCGAAGTGCTACTGCTGTAACTGATAAGATGTTGCATTAGGAGCTGTGATGGTGCAGTGGTTAGACTGCAGTATTGCAGGCAAACTCTGCCCGCAGCCTGGAGTTCGATCCTGACTGGTGGACTCAGCCTCCCGTCCTTCCGAGGTGGGTAAAATGTTGGGGGCAAGATGCTGACACTGTAAACCGCTTAGAGAGGGCTGCAAAGCACTGTGAAGCGGCGTATGAGTCTATGTGTTGCTGCAACTGCTAGTAAGTCAAAGAGTACCTTAACCCTACCCTCCCATCTGCTGCAGCAGTCAAGGGCGCAGAATTGATTCTCTGGTTTTCAGATACCAGCAGATTCCCCGACAGAACAAGAAAAAATAACAAAAACATGGCCCTCTCCTGCTCACTGGATCTCCTACCTTTGATTATCTTTCAGCAGTTTCTGGATCCTGCCCGCCACCCCCTGTTCCATCTGTTTCAGCTGCTCCAGCAACTTCAGGCGCTCGGCTCCCAGGCGCTGCTGATGGCGGGTCAGGCCTTCGTCCAATTTCATCTGCTCCTGAAATCAGAGAGAAAGCCATCCCCGAGCTGAAGCCACAGGGCAAGGAAAAAGAACTAAGCCCAATTCACACCCCCATCAACGTCAACATCCTCTAATGAAAAAAAGAGAATCAGGAGTTTTAATTCAAAAAAGGATTCAAAGTCTCGGAAGCTGCGATATAAACTTCCGGTCCTAATTTAGGACCGGAGTTCATGAAAACAGACATTCTTTGAACATGTGGAATCTCTTCATCCAGGGTTTTTTGGGTTTTTTTGCAAGATGGGCTGAAGCGCCTTTTATCGTTTTACAGGGACTTACAACCATTCGTTTAGTGACTGACTGAAGTTATAACGCAGTGTTGGCAAACCTTTACGGTACCGAGTGCCAAAACGGGAGCGCGCGGGGGAGCGCCGGGAACCGGAAGAGCAGTTCCCCCTAAGCTTCCGGTTTCTGGCATGCATGCGTGCCATGGAACTGCTCTTCCGGTTTTCTGGCACTCCCCCGCGCACGAAGACCAGCTGGCCGGCGCACATGTAAGCCCCGGAACCCGGAAGAGAACGGGCGACGGCTAGTGTGCCCAGAGAGATGGCTCTACGTGCCACTTCCGTAGGTTCGCCATCACGGTTATAACGGCTCTGAGAAAAGTGACTTATGACTCTTTTTCACATTTAAGACCGTAGTCGCATCCCCGTGTGATCAAAACACGGACGTTTGGCAACTGGCTCATATTTATGACGGTGGCAGCATCCGTGTGTGTGTGTGTGTGTGTGTGTGTGTGTCACGCAATCCCCTTTTGTGAACTTCTGACAAGCAAAGTCAACAGAGAAGCCGGATTCACTTAACAACCGGGTTACTCCCTTATCAGCTGCAGTGATTCACTTAACAAAAACATGGCGAGAAAGGCCATGAAATGCGGGGGGGGGGGGGCAAAACCCACTTAACAGCTGCCTTACTTAGCAACGGAAATTTTGGGCTCGGCTGCGGTCCCTAAGTCCAGGTCTCCCTGCAAATTTGCAAGCCTTCCCTCATCTGTGAATTGTTTCCTCCTAGAATTCCTCCCACTTGCTCACCATCAACTTGGAGTTGTAGTACTGCCTCTGAATTCAACTTGTAGGGTTGGACAGGTCTGGTATGAAGGCGTCTGGTACAGCGGTGGGTGGGTTTCAGATTATATGCTATCACCGGTTCGCTGCGCGTGCGCGCACTCGCATGCCCCATAGATGAGATGAATAGATTAACAGAGTTGGAAGGGACCTTGCAGGTCATCTAGTCCAACCCCCTGCCTAAGCAGGAGACCCTACGTCTGCCTCTACCTAGGATCGAACTCACAACCTCCCGATTGTGAGGCAAGAGCTCCACCTCTAGGATGGCATAGAGCCGGGGCAGGTGAGAGATTTCCGCTATTGGTTCGAGTGAATCGGTCCGAACCTGCTGAATACCATCTCTGGTCTGGTAGGACTGGGGAGAGAAAAACTGGAGGCGTCTTACCTTTTTCATGCTTTGGAGAAATTCTCCTTTCTGGACGTGACTTTGATGCATCAATTGGATTTGTTCTCTCTGCTCCAGATCCAGCCCACGCTCAAAAGCCAGCTTCTCCTGCATCTTCTGCTCCTATCAGGTAAACAGAAAACACTGGTCAATATATATATCCGTGACCTCACTGTATTCAGCTCAGGGCCTTGCTCTCTCGAGCCATCGCTGGAAGAAGACAATCATCTGTGCTTGTCCTTTGACCCAGGGCCTTTCAAACCAGGACCATACCCTTACTTGGATTCGAACCTGGGCTGCCTGCATGTTAGGCAGTTGTATTAACCTCTGAGCCACAAGTTCTCCTCCCTTCATCATCTTGAACCAGGGGAGAGATTAAGTGATTTTCTATCGAGACACCTGATCTACCCTAGCATGTGGGAGGGAGCGAAAGGGATGCAGTATGCTCCCTTTGGACCAAATTTTGACAGGCAAAGAAGAAAAATTTATAACAAAAGCATATAAGTATCTTTATTAAATATTAGAGGTAGAAATGGAAGAAGAAATAGTGAAAGGTCCAATGATAACATGGGCACCAAATATAGGCTGTAATATAAAATTAGAGGAATGGGAAAAATTATGGAGGAAAAATTATAAATTAACTTTGTCAACTGCATACAAAGAAAATCAGTACAAAATGTTTTACAGGTGGCATTTAACACCGGCGAGATTGGCTAAAATGGATGCAAATATGAAATCGGAGTGCTGGAAGTGTAAGTGCAAAGATGGAACATTTTATCATATGTGGTGGCAATGCCCTAAAGCAAAAAAATATTGGGAATAGATAAGGGGATGGCTGCAGGAGATAACAGGAGAACAAATTGAATTTAAAGCTGAATTATTTTTATTAGGAATGATTAACCGAAAGATCAAGAAGCAACTCCAATACATTATTCTACACATAGTAACAGCAGTGAAAATTATCTATGCTCAATGTTGGATGGATGACAAGGTTGGATAGTTAGATGGGAGGGAGGGAGAGAAAGAGAGAGAGAGGGAGGGAGAGAGAGATATCCATTTTTGCACAGAGGCCTTGTACACTCAAGATCTCATCCCACCCAGTTCCTAACTTTGGATAAGGAGTCTTTTCTGTTATGGATCTTACTTATGCCACTTCCTGGCTGAAGGACGGAAAGTTAACATCACAAAAAGGAAAGAAAGAGAGCTGCGGTTTTAAGTCAAAGAATAAAAACCAGACTGATTTTCTACGGTGGTCATTTTTTTAATCCTATATATCAACTCCCACCTGCAGATGAATGTAACAGGGTTGGGCAAATCCCACAACGAGGAGCAGCGTTCACGAGCATCCTTACCTTTCGCTTCTCGTAGTCTAGAAACCTGCTCTGCAATGAAAGTGAAAGGAGAAGTAAGCAAGGTTGATTTTTAACAAGCCACCAAACACAAACATGATGTGATTTTGCTTTTCTTCGGAAGACCTGGCTATTCACCTCGGCCTTTAGCCTTTTCTTGTTGATTGTTGTGAGCCACCAAAAGCCATTGGGAGACCGATGGCAGGCATGCAAGTTTCATAAATAATAATTTTGCAATTGACTGCCGGCATTGACAAACTTCCTATTAGTCAATTGCAAAAGGAAGCTTGGCTTGGAACAGCTTACATCCTGGGAAGATACCTTGAATGCCATCAAATAATGACATCTCCCTATCCCAGATCTAAACATCTGGCTGACTGTGCAACTAACCATAATAACAACACCGGACACTGTGGCATTGACAAAATCCCCATCGGTCCATTACAAAAGGCAGCTTGACTTGAAACAGCTTACATCCTACAGCCAGTCCTTGAACACCATCAAAGTACAACATCTGTCTACCCCAAGTTCTTGGGAAGGACTGAGTAGGTAGACAAAAATGCCAAATTCAATCTAAACATCTGGTTGACCATTGCAATAACTATAATGACTTTTATCGTTTTCTCCCATTGTTCTCTTGGGAACAGAATTCGAGGGAAGGGGTTGCTATCCTTTGTGTCCCTGCCTAGCAACTGGTTTTTGGGGTAAAAAAGGAAAGGGAAAGGTTCCCCTCGCATATATATGCTAGTTGTTCCCGACTCTAGGGGGCGCTGCTCATCTCCGTTTTAAAGCCGAAGAGCCAGCGCTGTCCGAAGACGACATCCTTGGTCAGGTGGCCGGCATGACTCAACGCCAAAGGCGCACGGAACGCTCTTACCTTCCCACCAAAGGTGGTCCTTATTTTTCTACTTGCATTTTTTACGTGCTTTCGAACTGCTAGGTTGGCAGAAGCTGGGACAAGTCATGGGAGCTCACCCCGTTACGCGGCACCAGGGATTTGAACCACTGAACTGCCGACCTTTCGATCGACAAGCTCAGTGTCTTAGCCACTGAGCCGCCTACGTCCAGTTTTTGGGGTAGACTTACTCTAAAAGTGGAAGTTCTACATCAGCTCTGCGGGGAAATACCCTGGTCGGAGGCCAGTCCACAAAACGGGTTCCTGCGAGTTTAGAAAAAAAAATCTCCTAAAAAGAGATTCTTGTATTTTTGGGAAGAGTTAACACTCACTTGCCACTCAGCTTCCTGTTCCATGTATTTGCCAGCTGTCCTCCGGATACCGTCCGCCGATATCTCTCCTCCATCACTTTCCAACACAGGGAGTAAGTACTGAGAGGGAGGGTTATACTCTATGCCCACTTCTGGAAGGAAAGCCACGCATCACAATATCACAATGCAGGCAGTCCTCGATTTACGCCAACAACGGAGCCCCAGATTTTTGTTGCTAAGCGGGAGTTATTCCGTGAGTTTCCCCAGCCACCCCCGTTTTATGACCTTCCTTGCTGCAGTTGTCCGGTGAATCTGGCTTCCCTGTGGACCCTGCTTGTCGGAAGGTCACAAAAAAGGGGTCGCCTAACCCCGGAATACTGCAACTGTCATAAATACGAGTCAGTTGCCAAGCATGCAAATTTTGATCACATGACCGAAAGGATGTCGCGGTCATAAGTCACTTTTTTTTCAGTGGCCGTTGTAACTTTGAACGGTCACTGAAACGGACTACTGTAAGCTGAGGACTGCCTGTGTACGGATAGTCCTCGAGTTACGACTTAAATGCTCACTTTCACAGAGGAACCGCTGGATGGCCTCGGTGCCTGCGCTGCAAACCTCATTTGGAGGGTAAATCATCGCTGTCGCATCCAGGGACAAGGTCTGCAAGAGAGGAACACACATCCCGCAGCTGCCTTTAATCCGCATTAAATCTGCATTTTTTCCCCGAACACCATCACTCTGCTAAACAAATAATTCCCTCAACACTGTCAAACTATTCATTAAGTCTGCACTACTATTAATCTTCTCATCCTTCCTATCACCCATCTCCTCCCACTTATGACTGTATGGCTGTAATCTTGTTGCTGGTATCCTTAAGATTTATATTGATATTGTTTCCTAATATGATTTGATTGCTTATTTGTTCCCTATGACTCTCATTAAGTGTTGTACCTTATGATTCTTGACAAATTTTCTTTTATGTACACTGAGAGCATATGTACTGACAAATTCCTTGTGTGTCCAATCAAATTATGTCGACTGGCGACTCCCAGGGGGAGGGCCTTCTCTGTGGGGGCTCCAACCCTTTGGAATGAACTGCCCCCAGAGATACGGAATATCCTTGATCTCCGTGCTTTCCGCCGTGCCCTCAAGACCCCTGATGTTCCAACAGGCGGGGCTAAACATACGAACATGTGAATGATTTTTTAAATGTTATCTAATTCTGGGTTTTATTTAATTGACCAAACTAAGTAATAATTTTAATTAGCAATTTTATGATGTTTGTGTGTCTATATTTTTCTTGACTGTACACCGCCTTGAGTCCTACGGGAGAAAGGCGGTATAGAAATATAATAAATACATACATACATACATACATACATACATACATACATAAATAAATAAATAAATAAATACTTGGCCAATAAAGAATTCCATTCCATTCCATTCCATTCCATTCCATTCTTCTCTATTCTATTCTATTCTATTCCATTCCATTCCATTCCATTCCATTCCATTCCATTCCATTCCATTAAAAAGCCAAATGCCGATATTTATAACGCTACCTCCAAGGTTCGGATGTGAGCCAGCGTCTGCGGCAACTCCTGCACCGAATTTTCACTGATGTCCAACGTTCGTAAACTCCGCAGGCCCTCCAAAGTGGAAGGCAGTTTCTTGATCTTGTTCCCTGCAAGGAAAACCAGAAAGCGGAAAGTAAAAAACATTTGTTAAGGTCAGGGCCGAAGAATCTGTTCGAATTCGATGGCTGCCACTTCAAACTATTGTTCAACCAATAGTTGCCGAGTCAAAAATGACCTGCGTTTTAATTTTAGTTTTTCTCCTAATCAACAGAGATCTTAACACTTACAATATTCATGCACTGAGATACAGGGGTTTGCTTATACTAAGCTGCCCTCTGGAGGCCTTCAGCCTTAGTTCTATATTAACTGCACTTTGTACTGATTGATCGTTATTAGGGGACTGGAGGCTAAAACATATGAAGAACGGTTGCAGGAACTGGGTATGTCTAGTTTAATGAAAAGAAGGACTAGGGGAGACATGATAGCAGTCTTCCAATATCTCAGGGTCTGCCCCAAAGAAGAGGAAGTCAAGCTATTCTCCACAGCACCTGAGTGTAGAACATGAAGCAATGGGTGGAAACTAACCAAGAAGATAAGCAACTTAGAACTAAGGAGAAATTTCCTGACAGTTAGAACAATTCATCAGTGGAACAACTTGCCTCCAGAAGTTGTGAATGTAAATTCTAAATTAATCAAATTTAAATTAAATTAAATTAATTAAATTTAATTTAATTCTAAATTAAATTAAATTCTATCATTAATGTGCAACAAAAATCAAAACTGAAATCCTGGTGACCGACCAAGATTGGATCCTGGGACACATATATCTGCCTTCATTCGGGGGGAAAAAATCAATTTTGGAACTCCTTATTAGGATTCCAAAGCAAAATTTATCCCTGCGTGGCTAAATTATGCTTGATTATTGTACAGAAACCCGGTGATTATATCCCTTGGATGCAAAACTCAAGGTTGCCGCATCCTCTTCTAAAATTTTAAACCGGAAAACCGAGCCATTTTCAGCAAACTTTCAGTTCAATCTGCTGTTTCTTGCATCTCCACCCCCCTGCAAAAAAACATATATTAAAAACCAGAGCCGCTGTTCTTTCCAGATTCACGCAGACAGAGTTTTGCCATACCTTTCAAATTCAGCGTCTGAAGCTGAGCGAGATCCCCGATGGAGTCCGGAAGAGCTTTTAAAATATTCTTTTCTACGTTCAAAACCTACCAAGGACAGTAAGGTAAAGGTAAAGGTTCCCCTCGCACATATGTGCTAGTCGTTCCTGACTCTAGGGGGCGGTGCTCATCTCCGTTTTAAAGCCGAAGAGCCAGCGCTGTCCGAAGACGTCTCCGTGGTCATGTGGCCGGCATGACTCAACGCCAAAGGCGCACGGAACGCTGTTCCCTTCCCACCAAAGGTGGTCCCTATTTTTCTACTTGCATTTTTTAAGTGCTTTCGAACTGCTAGGTTGGCAGAAGCTGGGACAAGTAAACGGGAGCTCACCCCGTTACGCGGCGCAAGGGATTCGAATCGCTGAACTGCCGACCTATTCGATCGACAAGCTCAGTGTCTTAGCCGCTGAGCCACTGCGTCCCTTACCAAGGACAGAAACAAAAGGGGCAAAAATGCACGTCTTGAACCTGGCGTGTCGAGTCTACCCTGCGCGATCTGCAAAACCTCAGTCAAATGTGCAAATGTGAAACCACATCGAAAGAGAGCGAAAGGATCACGTTGGGTCCTGAAACTGCCAAGAGATTCCCGAGCATCCAGCATTTCTGTTACCTGAAGAGAAGTCAACTGGCCAATATCAGCGGGAAGGGAGGTCAGCTGGTTGTCATGGAGATCTAAAACCTGGAAGAGAAGAATAAAGGGATCCATAACCATCCACTCCCAAGGGTGCTTCTCAAGAGGTTATTCAACTCCAGTAATCTTCTGGCTAGCTATTGTGGTCCGCCAGCAGCCTGCGGAGCTGGCAGTGGAGTCGGACAGCGATGAGGCTGAGGAAGAACATGGGCCAGTCCTGGAGTCTGGGGAAGGCCCAGATGAGGGCTCTGCGTCGGAGGCAGAGAGGAGGCCAGGGGCCATCTGGTAGTTCTTTGCTGCCTCCGAACTCTCCGGAGTCTAACATCAGCGATTCATCTGTTCATCTGCCCCACTGATGTCTGACTCCGAAGGCAGCTGATAACGGCCCTGGCCCCCTCTCTGCCTCTGACGCAGAGCCCTCATCAAAGCCTTCCCCAGACTCCACGACTGGCCCATGTTCCTCCCCAACCTTCTCACTGTCCGAATCTGCTGCCAGCTCTGCTGGCGGGCCACAACACAACAGTTGATGAAAAGAACTGTGAATCACCTTTACTGTTACAAGATTAGAGAGGCTGCAGGATTTGGGGACGAGGGACGTCAAAAAATTCGTGTGAACGATCAGCACCTGAAAGAAAAAATGACAGAGAAGGTTGTTTCACAGCTGACCCGGCAAGGAGAGAATAGTTAAACTGAGTTATCTGAAAGTACAAATGAAAGAATTTGACGGAAGAGTTTGAGATACGAAATATATCGGATCGAAGAGAAGCCTGAATATAAATGCAAACAACGGGAAGAGTGGATAAAACATTGAACAAAACCCGACTCTCACAGTTTTGAGAATTTGAGGAACACATTTCTGGCCCTCAAGGGAATTTTCTGTTGTCCCCATCTAGAAGCGTTTAATGAAATTCAAGGTATTTCATGAAATTCCTCCTAGTGACTCTGAACAGTCCTCTTTAAAATGAAAACTATTAGCTTTTTGGACATTCAAGATGGCTTTGCATATTTATGAAAGTTGGAGAAGATGGAACTCAAATCCTTTGGCCACCTAATGAGAAGGAAGGACTCCCTGGAGAAGAGCCTCATGCTGGGAAGGATGGAGGGCAAAAGAAGAAGGGGACGACAGAGAAGGAGGTGGCTGGATGGAGTCACTGAAGCAGTTGGCGTGACCTTAAATGGTCTCCGGGGAATGGTAGAGGACAGGAAGGCCTGGAGGAACGTTGTCCATGGGGTTGCGATGGGTCGGATACGACTTTGCAACTAACAACAACATTGCATCTTGGATCTTGTGCTAAAATTCCATCTTCCTTACCTTCTTTTGCAACACTCGGCAGGTTGCAAAGGCACCATAGGGAAGCTAAAAAGAAAGAGAAAGACAATTTTTGGTGAGACAGAAGCCATCAGAACCATTAAGGAAGCATTCGAATAACGTTCTGGGCCAGTTCAGACAACAGGCATGAGAAGATCCGGCCTAATTTAAAACAATTTTTTTCCTGGGTTCGAAATGCAACCTGTGTGGCATTTCCTTATGTGGAAATCTCCAATTCAGCATCAAGGATCTTTTGCTTTAAATCTGCCAGTTGATTCTCATCAGATGTCAAGTCGGGTTTCTTTTGCATATTGGCAATTGGCTGTTTTCACATATTGGTAGCAAAATTCGCTGAGGGGATTCCTTTCAGAAGACGAACCTGCCGCTGTGTGGGTAGCCCTAGACTTATGACCGTTTGCTTAGCAGCTGTTCGAAGTTATGACTTAGAACTGGTCCTTATATTTACAAATCACTGCAGCGTCCTCACAGTGCCATGGTCAAAATTTGAGGGTGCCTTGACAAAGATTGCAGCCTCCTGGGGGTCATGGCGACCCCTGTTTGCAATCTTCCCCGATGGCTTCCGACGAGCAAATTCAATGAAGGAAGCCAGATTGGCTTAACAACCCCTGAATTCACTGAACATCTGCAGTGGTTCGTTTTAACCACCGTGGAAAAGGTCATAAAATCAGTCGCTTAACAGCCGCCTTGCTCAGCAACGGAAATTCTGTGGTCGTAAGTCGAGGACTACCTGTACCGGGAGCAAACCTCGATGTTGTTGTGGCCCAATGCTGTTCTTCTACCTCAGACTCCGGAGACTTTGGAGGCAGCAAAGAACTATCAAATGGCCTTGGCCCCCCTCTCACAACACCAAGGTTTGATTTAATGGGGGAGATGTTGTGGCCCACCAGTGGCCAGCAGATCTGGCAGGAGAATCGGACAGTGAGGAGGCTGGGGAAGAACATGGGCCAGTCCTGGAGAAGTCTGGGGAAGGCTCGGACGAGAGCTCTACATCGGAGGCAGAGAGGGGGCCAAGGCCATCTGGCAGTTCTTTGCTGCTTCCGGAGTCTGACATCAGCGAGGCAGAAGAACAGCGGGAGCCTGTTCCCAGTGTGCGCATGCGCAGAGCTGCCAGGAGACAGGAACAATTAAGGAAACAGGGTCCACTTGGGAGTAAGGCTTGGAGACGATTGGCCCCTCCCATAAGACATAAAAGAGAAGCAAATAGGATGTGAGCTTTTGCAGGAAGCAATTAGTTCATCTGCTCGGTAAAAGCGCTGGAAAAGCTCTGTTTGATTCTGTGCTAAATTTGGCCTTGCCCTGCATGTGGCAATTAGTTCTCTGGCAGCATTCCAAGGGAGATAAGGTGGGTGTTTGTAAACACCCCCCTTCAAGACTCTTTGATGAGCCTTTCGGACTGGGAAGGGCAATAATTCACAGCCGTATGTATACGTTCTAAGGAAGCCTAGGTCAGAACAGATGTAGAATACTGTAGAATACTCTGAGGTGGTCATGTTTCTGCCCCTCGGTATCTAAAATCAGGCTCAACTGAAAAAGAAAGACGAATATTAAGCCTTCCAAAGTATGACTACAAAGTTCCCCTACTATGAATTGCCATCGTTTGGGCAATTAACCCTACCAGGAACCAGAAATGGGAGAGAATTTACCTCAGAAAGTTCACACTTGGAGATATCGAGGATATCATCTGCTCCGGCTTCTTTGGCCTGTTGAAAAACGAGCAGATGAGTTTTACTGGCTGCAAAATCAGGGGGAGGGGGGGGGAAATCACACCATTTCCTCAAATTAGCCTTCATCTTTATCGTCTACTGAACTAAAGTAAAAACCGGCTAGGAAAAGAGGGGGAACTGAGCAATATTGGTGACTCCTATTGAGTTTCCCCAAGTGTGGAGAACTGAACTTTTGTTCTTCGGTGGTTCGCTTGGCGTCTCTCGTAAACAAACCCTACTTCGTTAGCAGATCCATGGTGTCTTTGAAGACATGGGACTGTTAACATCTACGGAGCCATGATGGGAGATGAAGAAGTCTAGCCATCACAAGGATGGGGGGGGGACGTTGTAACTTAAGAGGGAGCAGTGGTCAACTGGGCTCTATCCTACCTCAAAGGACCAGGATGAGAGAAGACTTCTTCTAGTTTGGTCCTTCAGGAAGCTACTGAGGAACGTCTACCCATCTTACAACCCAAACAAGGGTTCCTGATAGAGCGGTGGGGCCAGATATTCAGGACCTAGGTGTCTTCCCATGACTTACAAGACACATTTGGTATTCCAGACGTTTTCGGGCTTCGCTGCTCGCCTTCCTTTTCCGAAAGAAAAGCAGCATCTTGCCTCCTGTCTCCATTTATCCCAGTTCAGCGGAAAAGGTGGCTGCGACAGGACGGCGATCAGAACCTGAGAAGCAGGAAGATGAGGGTTACATCCCAGGTCAAGTCATCCAGAGATTGGCCTGCTCAGCAGGTTCTGCCTACCGCACCCTAGGTAATGAACACCATCCTATCATCCTGACATGGTGATCATCCTGTCACCATCCTATCTTTTGACACCCACTGTCTTTTAACCAGCTTCCCTGCAGTTGCTGTTGGGACACAAATCCCCATCAGCCCCAGCCTCCAAGCTCAACGATCGGGGAAGGTGAGGGATATGACAAAACCTCTAGAAGGTAAGCTGGGGTGAAGACTGGTTGATCGCCAACGGGAATGAAGATTAATCGCTAAGATAGGGATGTCCTCTTGAAAACACCAAGTATGACTTCTCTCATTGGTGCACTGACAATGTTACCTAGTTGGGTAACAAAATGTCTGCAAGAAAAACCACAAGAGACTCAAGAATCCTCCTCTTCTTTTTCCTCCACTCTGCAAACTCCCCTCCCCTCTAGCACGGATGACGTTACCTAGTTGGGTAAGGAAACGTTTGCAAGAAAAACCCAAAGCTCACTGAACACCAAGGATCCCACTATTTTCTCATTAAACTATCCTTGTGCTGAAGACCTTCTTCCTCCACCTAATTTCTGTATTGTTAGCATGTAAGCCAACATTTAGAGACAGTCATGGTTTATCACCAAAGTAATATGGGTGGCAAGGCCTGATCCTGAAAAAAAAAATCCTTCAGTGCCTCATTGTGTAATTATTAATCCCTAAGGCTCCATTAGGGACAGATCATCAAAGACAAAATCTATTTATGAGATCGCCCACAAAAGTGCGTATAGTCAAGGCAATGGTTTTCCCAGTTGCGATGGATGGCTGTGAAAGTTGGACCATAAGGAAGGCTGAGCGCCAAAGAATGGAGGCCTTTGAACTCTGGTGCTGGAGAAGACTCCTGCGAGTCCCTTGGACTGCAAGACGATCCAACCGGTCAGTCTTAGAGGAGATCAACCCTGACTGCTCTTTAGAAGGCCAGATCCTGAAGAGGAAACTCAAATACTTTGGCCACCTAATGAGAAGGAAGGACTCACCAGAGAAGAGCCTAATGCTGGGAATGATGGAGGGCAAAAGAAGAAGGGGACGGCAGAGAAGGAGGTGGCTGGATGGAGTCACTGAAGCAGTCGGCGTGAGCTTAAATGGACTCCAGAGGATGGTAGATGACAGGAAGACCTGAAGGACCGTTGTCCATGGGGTCGCGATGGGTGGGACACAACTTCGCGACTAACAACAACAAGAAGAGTTTAATCGGACATTTTTTATTGTCCCAAGTCAACCAGGACCTGATTCACACGCAGCTTAAAGTCAGATCACTTTTCCTGAGCTTTTAGATCTTTATTACACTGCCAAGTAAGCAGTCTGGGCTTCACACTCTGTGTTCTGACAACCAGGCGTTCGAAGGATGCAGTTTTCATGGAACAGCTACTGTAAAAACTGCCTGAAAGCACAAATTGAATCCTCCTTTCGCTCTGAGGTTCGCCAGAGATGTCTCAATCACTGATGCAGTGAGATCTTACAACGTATACAATGGACGAAGTCCAAGTTTGTTAAAGACTACAACACCCAAGGGTGTCATTTTTTGGGAGGTGAAGGAATTCCCTGACTACCTCACCTATAATAAATACCTCCTAGACTGGAGAAAAACAACCAGAAACCTTTCCCCTTGCAAATAGGTTTGTTTGTGAGATTTTAATTATCCTGGGCTCCAAGATCACTGCAGATGGGGACTGCAGCCAAGAAACTAAAAGACGCTTGCTCCTGGGGAGGAAAGCTATGGCAAATCTAGACAGCATACTAAAAAGCAGAGACATCACCCTGCCAACAAAAGTGCGTATCATCAAGGCGATGGTGTTCCCAGTTGCAATGGATGGCTGTGAAAGTTGGACCATAAGGAAGGCTGAGCGCCAAAGAATGGAGGCCTTTGAACTCTGGTGCTGGAGAAGACTCCTGCGAGTCCCTTGGACTGCAAGGCGATCCAACCGGTCAGTCCTAGAGGAGATCAACCCTGACTGCTCTTTAGAAGGCCAGATCCTGAAGATGAAGCTCAAATACTTTGGCCACCTAATGAGAAGGAAGGACTCGCTGGAGAAGAGCCTAATGCTGGGAACGATGGAGGGCAAAAGAAGAAGGGGACGGCAGAGAATGAGGTGGCTGGATGGAGTCACCGAAGCAGTCGGTGTGAGTTTAAATGGACTCCAGAGGATAGTAGAGGACAGGAAGGCCTGGAGGAACGTTGTCCATGGGGTTGCGGTGGGTCAGACACAACTTCACAACTAACAACAACAACAAAATTTAAGATGGGATGGAGAATAATCACAAAGCCCATTACTATCAGACCTGTGAAAATTAACAGCTTCAAAGATATATCCACAAATTGCTTTCTTCCTTTGCATTTATTGTTAATACACAAATGCCATTTCTGGAAAAAAAGAAATGATATGTACAGTATATGCACATGATAAAAGGCTTCCAAAGAGATTTAATACCCAATGCATATTTCAAACCCCACATTATTTTAACACATCAATGTTAACAGTATTGTTTTTCATGTTAATTAGAATAGAATTCTTTATTGGCCAAGTGTGATCGGACACACAAAGAATTTGCCTCCGGTGCATAAGCTCTCAGTGTACATACAAGAAACGAGTGATTAAATCACGATCGTAATCATCATAAAATGCATTCATCATAATCATAAGTGATAGTCACAGGATGCTAGATAAGCAATCAGCATAACTCATACTAGGATTCTAAACAAAACAATATAAATCGTAAGATACAACCCCCCCCCCCAAAGTTATAGTCATAAGAGGATAAAGAAATAGGAAAGATGAGAAGCATAATAGTAATGCAGCCCTGCTAGATAGTTTGACAGTGTTGTGGAAATTAGTTTTTAGCAGAGTGATGGCATGGGGGAGAAAAAAACATCCTTTCGTCTGGTTTTTTTGGCGGGCAATGAATGCCCCATAGCTATATTTTGTATTGATCAATTTTAAAAAATAATACAATAAAAAGGCAAGACATTCCAACTGCTGCATTTATCCAAAGGGAAGATAAATTCCATTTTCCAGATGGTTTTATATCTCCTCAAAGAGTGGATAAGAAGAAAACCAAACAAGTTTTTTTTCATAAAAAAAAAAAAACATGTTCACCATATTCATATTTTTGGTGAATCTGAAATTTTCAGTGTTCAAGTTATTTTTGGGGGGAAACTAAAGTATCTTCCATTCACAGACTATAGATGCAGCGCTGCGGCAACATAGAAAGAAATCTTTGAATACCTCGGAACCAGACCTCCGAAAGGGTGAATCGAATCCGTCATTGTGTTATTTAGAAGTAACAAATAACTCTGCCTTTAAGGGAGACACAGGCAAACAATAAAATCAGTTGGAACGGTGACATTGGCTGGACCTTGGCAATTAAAGACGCGCCTGGCATTTGTAAACAAGCGTCTGTCTTCTTCACTAAAACGTTTTATACTGAGCCGAGAATTACTGGGAGTTGGGCAGAACAGAATTTTTTAAAAAACAAAACAAAATATAATTAATATAATAAGATAGCTGGATAGCTCAACAGACAGAGCTCTGTAATTTAACACCAGCTGTCTGCAATTAAAGTAAGTTCGAATCTCTCCAAGGCTCAAGGTTGACTCAGCCTTCCATCCTTCCTAAGGTAGGTAAATTGAGGACCCGGTTTGTGGGGGCAATAAGCTGACTTTGTATAAATATACAAAAGTATGAAGGCTACTGCTTAACGCATTGTAAGCCGCCCTGAGTCTCTGGAGAAGAGCAGCATATAAATCAAATTAATATATGTATATAGATAGATAGATAGATAGATAGATAGATAGATAGATAGATAGATAGATAGATTATATATATATATATATATACATATAAGTCGGAAAAGGCACTTTGGAGGGGGGGAAAAATCACCCTGATTTTTGTTTTTTCTAAATCATAAAATTAATGAGCCTCTCCTCCTCCTCCTCCCGTCATTGTATGGTAATTGCATTCCATTTATAAATTATTATTATATTCTATTTACTGTATTATATTTATAAATAAAATAAATGCTATTCATTTCCTTTGGAGCTAAACCCAGCTCATTCGGGTGACAGTTCAGGCAACTTTTCTCCTTGCAAAGAGAGACCCCCCCCCATATGTTCTTGGCCCCTAAATTAAATTGCAACCTCCCCCTCCCCTTTTTCTTACCTGCCAGGAAGCCCCATGGCATGGGACTGAATGTTATTTCCAAGCAAACGCCTTGCAAAAATTCACTCTTGAGTGCCAGGGATCCAGGCAGACACTCAACAGGTGAAGCTGGATTTCTTGCCTGTCATGCCCAGCAGGAGGAGGGCCTTGGGTGGGTGGGAGGTAATCAGAAGCCAAAGCTACTTGCACTGATCTGATTGTGGGAAGAGAGGAGAAATAAAAACCCCCAATGGCTAAAATATAAAAATGCAGGAAATTGCAAAACCAGCTGGCTTAGCCACGCCCAGAAATAGGAGGGGGAGCACACAGCTAAGGAGCGGCCACGCCCCTTTCCTTGGATCCACGCCCAGAGCTTGAGGAGAAAAGCCCCGCCCGCCTCGCCAAGATTGTCCCTCCTCGCGGCCCGTACTTACCGTCTCTGTGAGACAAAAAAAAAAAAAAAAAAGGCTCAGAGGTCACCCCATTTCGCTTTTCTTTTCCCCCCGGGAAGCCGCCGCGTCGCCCCCCCCCCACCCCGGCTCCGCGCCTTCAGGAAAACACACGGCCCCTTCCCTTCAAAAAGTTTCGCTTCTTCGCCCCGCGCCGTTGCCCTTGGCAGCCATGGCGGCGGAGAGCCGCGAGTTCTCGCGAGAGTTGGAGCTGACGTCGCGTTTTCGGAAGGAGGAAATCGCGTTCTCCCCTTTGTCGAGACGGCCGTTGTTTTTTTGCCCGAACTCTCGCGAGATCTCGGCGCCTATATCTCGGGGAGTCGCCCTTCCGAGGCCTTTTAGATTTCGATTGCTCGGAGCCCGGTTGTCGGTTTGTGAATCCGCCGCCATCTGAATCGGACGTTGGCCGGACGTTACCGTAGCCATCATGCCTCCCAAGTTCGACCCCAACGAGATCAAAGTCGGTGGGTATGGAGCCTGCCTGGTTCTTCTCCTAGGCCGCATTTCGAATCGTTTTCTCCGTTAACGGAAAACAACGGTTCCTGCAGGGCCTGCACGTGTGAACGCTTCCTTGCGTGTCTGTCTTGTGTTTCTGTTCATTTTATTGATTCAGTATTTTTTCCTGATTTTTTTTCCCAGTCATTCCTATGGTCCCCTCTCCTATTGAACCCAATTTATCCCTCGTTTAGTTTAATAATAGTTAATAATTACATTAATTCGTTCAGAAGATGAATGGTGAAATAATGATGAATGAAATAGGCGGCATATAAATTTAACAAATTAAATAAAAGGGACTGCAGGGTGGTTAAAAAAAAGGAGTTGAATAGAATAGAATAGAAAAAATAGAAATAGAATAATAGAATAGAAAAAATAGAAATAGAATAGAATAATAGAATAGAAAAAATAAGAATAGAATAGAATAGAATAGAATAGAAAAAATAGAAATAGAATAGGAATAGAATAGAATAGAAAAAATAGGAATAGAATAGAATAATAGAATTGTTTATTGGCCAAGTGTGATTGGACACACAAGGAATGTGTCTTGTTGGTGCCTATGCTCTCAGTGTACATAGTATTATGTTTTAATAAGATTAAATTAGAATTAACAAAAAACCATTTTTATTAAATTTCCCCCCATTTTCTAGCCTTGCACAAAACTTCAGTGCTCAGTTGCAATTGTGCTTCCCTCTGAATTGCAAAATAACTTTTATCAGGTGCCTACTTTTGCCTAGAAAACCTGCCAGGGGGATCTCTATGCAACGGGAGCGTTTGGGGATTAATTTTTAATAGTTGCCATCGATCCTTATTATATATTGTGTTTAATTTTTCTTGCAGTGTTCCTGAGATGCACCGGAGGTGAAGTCGGGGCCACTTCTGCCCTGGCTCCCAAAATCGGACCTTTGGGTTTGGTATGTCTTTTTTTTTTAACGTTTTCTGAATTAGAGCTTTTTGTCTTGGTGGAATTTAATTGTAGAAAATTTCGTTTTGGCCCACCCATTTTTTTTTTTCCAAGCAAGCCCGTTTTGACTCAATTTGGAAAAATTAGGAGCCTTAGGAGGCTTTTAAATTATATGTGATCTGCTTCGAAGCCGCTACAGACAACCAATTTTTAATTGATTAAAAATTAAAAAGCATATACACCAAAGACAAATTCCTTGTGTGTCCAATCACACTTGGCCAATAAAGAATTCTATCTATTCTATTTTCCCCATGTTGATTAACCTGTAGTGGGTGAATTTATCCCCCTACAAAAATATTGGGCTGGAAGATTTATTCTTAAAAGTCTACAAAATCGTCTTCACCCATCCTTGGGTGTTGGCCATTAGAATCCCACCTAGAGTTTTGCTGAATTCACGTTCTCTGAGCTAATTTTTGGCATTGATTGTCTCATAGAGACGACTAAATTTAAGTGACTGGGCAGTTACCCCTTTGATTAGTCAAACATATGTCCTATTTCAGGGCCAGAATCTCAAAACACTTGGCATATATTAGCCAAACATTAAAAACAATACTTATAAAAATTCTGCTTCTGCCTTCCTTTCTCAGTCTCCAAAGAAAGTGGGAGATGACATTGCCAAGGCCACCGGCGACTGGAAAGGACTGAGGATCACGGTGAAGCTGACGATTCAGAACAGGCAAGCACAGGTACACGTCACGCCACAAGGGATGGCTCTCTGGTTAATGCGCCGAGTCTCAAGGATTGACCGAGCTGCCGCCATGAGCTGTAATCCCCGGCAGGGTTGACTCAGCCTATCATCCTTCCGAGGTCGATAAAATGAGTACCACTCAAATTTGCTCTGTGGGAGATCACTTAAGGCTGGACCTTGAGGAGATAGGGGGGCCTGGGCAGAAATTTTGGAAACTAGGCAGCGGAAGAGGGTAGAGGAGGGAGAAATACCTAGAACAAGCTAAGAAGCAGATAGAGATAAAGATCCAAGAGAGGAACATGGGAGGCAAGCCAAAAAAAGGCATAGAATTAAAGTATTGAAGCGGGCAAGAGACGATGGATAGATGATTTCTCTTTTGCTGTTGTTCTGATTTGCTTTTCCTTTTTTTAAGTAGGTGATGTGACAAGTTAGGATAGAAAGAAAACATCTTTTAATAAAGGGTGACATGATTAAAAGTTAGAATAAGAAATAGAAATAACAGAATGGGGAATGTTAGTGTATACGCCTTTATATAATAAAATAAAATCAATAACAAGAAAGCATGGAATAATTGAATAACAACAGCCTGCAACTTATAAATGTGTATCATTATTAGAAATATATAAGTTGATTGAACGTAATAACTATGATTAATTCCACTAGTTTTATTTTTTATTTTTGATTTATATGCCGCCCTTCTCCGGAGACTCAGGGCGGCTTACAATGCGTTAAGCAACAGCCTTCATACTTTTGTATATTTTATACAAAGTCAGCTTATTGCCCCCACAGTCTGGGTCCTCATTTTACCTACCTTAGAAAGGATGGAAGGCTGAGTCAACCTTGAGCCTGGTGAGATTTGAACTTGCAGTAATTGCAGGCAGCTGATGTTAATAACAGTGCTTTAGTCTGCTGTCCTACCAGGGCTCCTTTGTAGTAAATGTATGACACCCAGGCGCCACACTGCACGCATTGATATGTTTGTTAAAAAAAAAGTTTAAAAAAAAGAACTGGACCTTGAGTAGAATACAAGCCCTTTGGGAATCTGGACCTAGATGGTTTAATAAAAAAAATGTCCTGATAAATCAGTTAAGGGTGTAAGAGTTTGGCTGCATTTTGAGGCTTGGGAAATAGCAACCAGCTTCTTGCGTTTTGGATCCGTTGAGTTAATCCAGGTTTCCACCCTGCTTACTGTTACAGCATCTTTGTAACAGGCCTGTCCTCTTACTCTCACCTTGTAAATGGTTCAGGCATTTCACAAGTGTTGTGCCAAGTCAGAAGCTCGGCACACAAAGATTTGTAAAATGGGGCTCATACGTCTTGTTGAATAAATCACACTGGATCGAGTTCACCCAACATCAAAGCCGACTTCAGATTGCATTGTGGTTCAGGTAAAGGCACGGAGACGAAGTAGTTTGTGGGCCTATAATGAGATGGATTGGGGTGTTTTTTTTTTTTTTTTTTTAAGACCAGAAAGGTGATCATCTGCCGATCTCACAATTTGGCTTTTTGCCCCCTGTAGATTGAAGTGGTCCCATCAGCCTCTGCCCTGATTATCAAAGCTCTGAAGGAGCCTCCTCGTGATCGCAAGAAGCAAAAGAACAGTGAGTGTCTTACTTATTTTGTTTAAGTAAAATGTACATTTCCTGATTTCCATTGACTGCCCAGCTGCAGACACAGCCCAATTTTTTTTTGGGGGGGGGGGGACACACAAATGTTGGTTTGTAAAGATAGGATATGAAGTCAGCCAAATACGTATAGGAGGTTGTCAGGTTGTGATGCAAGCCAGCTTGAAAAGCCGATGTTTAAAATTAACTTTCATAGCTGTCACCTCCAGTAATACAGGTAATCTTCAATTTAAAATCAGTTCCTTTAGTGACCGTCCAAAGTTACGACACTGAAATCAGTGACGACAGTTTTTCACATGGCCAATGCAGCATCCCCATGGTCGCGTGATCAAAATTCAGACGTTTGGCAACTGACTCGTATTTATGACGGTTGCATTATCCTGGGGTCAGGTCATCCCCTTTTTACGACCTTCGGACAAGCAAAGTCAACAGGGAAGCCAGATTCACTTCGCAACCGCGTTACCAATTAAACAACGGCAGAGATTCACTTAATTGTGACAAGGTCGCAAAACGGGGCAAAACTCAACTGTCTCGCTTTAGCAACAGAAATGTTGGGCTCCATTGCTCAGTTGTAAGTCGAAGGCTAACTGCAATCGGAGGCCTGTTAATTGGGGTTGGAAAAGGACCCAAAAAAACCCCCCACCCCTTGATATGTGCCGAGGTTTTAGGGGTGAGGACACAGCAGTGATACCCTTCGCACCAGCCACCCGCCACTGTGCTTGCCTATTTTCAGCCGTGGCTTGCGCATTCCAGTGGTGAGCTGAGAAAAAAACACCCTTTCAAGGAAACAGAGCTATTCTCTCCCGTGGGTAACTCTGTGCCGAAGACTGGGAACAGAAGAATGGCGAGCACGCAAAGTTTTCTGACTCCCCTTGCAAAAAAACCCAGCTGGGTTCCTGTTTTGTGTGTGTTTTTTTCCCCCTCTTAACAGTTAAACACAATGGCAGTATCAGCTTCGATGACGTTGTCAATATTGCCCGTCAGATGAGACACCGATCCTTGGCCCGGGAACTCTCCGGTAAGATGGGATCATTTCTTCAGGGAAGGTGAAGAGTCTTGTTCTCAGCAGCTGGCAATTAGGAACTTAGAATAGGCTAGAGCTGGAAGGGACCTTGGAGGTCTTCCAGTCCAGCCCCCTGCTTAAGAAGGAGACCGTACACCATTTCAGAAAAATGGCTGTCCAGTCTCTTCTTAAAAACCTCGAGTGACGGAGCCCTCCACAGCTTCTGGAGTCTTTGTCCTGCTTCGAAACCTGCAGCGGCCTTACTCAAGAGTTACGGCAATTCCTCTAACTTAAGTCTCTTGATCTTCTTGGCGAGTGGCAGAAACCCCAGAGTCCAAGCTGGGGTTAGTAACCAGCCTTCCTCAATCTTACGTTGAAGAATCCATGATCCTAAAACGAATGGGTGTGGGAAAGGCCAGGATTGCAGCTCAAAAGAGAGGGTGATAAAAGAGAAACATCCAGTAAAATTAACCGGCAGTACACTTCTAAAATTGATAGTGAGCTAGGTACGGCCTTTCCTTTTGAAGTCTGCCTCCTGTGTTCAAACTCAATTTTTTACTGGGGTACCTTGAGACAAGCAGGCAGCCCTTCCTTAAAGGAGAAGCAGTTGATATCCTAAACATGGTGTAATAAACCTCTCCTGTGTTTAATGGACGATTGGGAGAGCCTCTTGTGGGTTAGGAAACACAAGGAATTGGGAATTCGCATCCTGATCAGAGAAAGGGGATTCTTTTTGCGAGACCCACGGTGACTTTTGCATATCTACATTTTGGGGGTGGGGGAAGCAAGTTTGCGTGCCGCGGCATGCACAGCAGGTGGACACCAGTGTGAATTCAGATGTTCTTGGTTGCAGGAACTATTAAGGAGATTCTGGGAACTGCTCAGTCGGTTGGCTGCAGTGTTGATGGGAGACACCCCCACGATGTTATTGATGACATCAATAGTGGGGCGATTGAATGCCCAGCGGTGAGTATTGGCCTTCCTAAAAGTAGATCGATTGGCTGCAACCTTTTGACTTAGTAATTACCGGGTTCACCTAGAAACCAGGAGACAGTGAGTTCTAGTCTCACCTTAGCTGTGGAAGCTGGCTGGGTGACTTTGCGTCAGTCACCAGGCGACAGTGAGTTCTAGTCTAGACTTTGAGCCAGTCGTTTTTTCTCAGCCCAATCCACCTCACAGGATCGTGGTTAGTGGGGGAAATTGGAGGACGGAAAAATATTACGTATTTTTGCTGCCTTGAGTTACTTAGGAAAAAATAAAGGTGGGATAAAAGGAAATCTAATAAAATAAAAAAAAATAAGTCTTACCCCTGTCAATAAAACTCACAGGGTGATTCCTTCCCTGGTCCTTGGTTGTTACAACAGAGAAAGGCAATCCGTGAATAATAAAACTGAATCGGCCTTTTTATTTTATTTTCCTTCTCCAACAGAGCTAAGTCTGCCACCTGAATGGACTGCATGCAACTGTATTTCTGTCCTCCCGTAACACCAGTAGTTTTAGTTTGGCTGCTGCCATGAAAGACGGAATCTTTAATCTTCGCCCACCTCCCTGCTTCGGCTTCTTAGGGCGTGATGCCATCACAGCCCCTTATTAAAATGTTGTAAAGGTGGTGTATGCATTTCAAATAATAAAAAATGTACCAGGTTAACTCCAGCTGTTTCTCAACTCTTATTTTAAAACCAATTACACCAGATTTGCCTTGTGGGTAGTTCTCTATAGAGATCGTCCTCCACTTACAACAGTTCATTTAGTCACCATTCAAAGTTACAGTAGCACTGAAAAGAGGGACTTAACGACCCTGTTTCACACTTACAACCCCATGGTCAGATGATTAAAATTTGGATGATTGGCACCTGACTCATGACAGTTGCAGTGTCCTGGGGTGATGCGATCCCTTTTGTAACTTTTTGACAAGAAAATTCAATGGGGGGGAGGCCAAATTTATTTTTACAACTGGGTTACTAACAGCTGTAGTGATTTCATTTAACAGCTGTGACAAGAATGGTCATGAAACGGGGCAAAATTCGCTTAACGAATATCTCACCAACAGAATTTTTGGATTCAATCGTGATCGAAAGTTGACTGTATGAATGCAGAAATATATGTCAGGGATTTAATTTTTTAACACACTTATCAAAACCTGTTCGGCTGAGTTTTAACAGCCAAAGGTTTTATTTTTCAGTATATAACTCAAAAAAATGGCAATATTCTAGCAGCATCGCCTATACTGTACAAATCCGATTGCGTTAAAATGCTTTGTGTACAAACACGAAAGGGTTTTGCATCTCCAGTGACCTGGTGTTTGTTTTTTTTGTTTTTTTTTATGTAAGGTCAAGAAATGCAATTTGGCATTTTTTTTGGTGCAAGTTTGTAAGCGTAAAATTGGCAAACGCTCTACTTTTTTTAAAAAAAAATGACTCGCTTTTCTATTCCACTATTTCCAATGGACTACTGGATTTTGTCCTCATAGTTTTTCATAGACGGATTCTCTCTTATTTGTCTTCTCCCTTGCTAATCTAACTCGGCCTGATGCCCAGAAGGCTTATAAACAAGAGAGGGTGCCTTTTTATGGGTTTTTTTTGTTTTTTTGCAAGCATGTATTAACCGCAAGCAGCCCACAGTTGTTACAAGCAGCAGAAATGGAGCGGGAAGGCTGGTTTCGTTGTCACTAGCTTCACAGCGTCGAAAACGGGCCCGTTTCGTGCTTCTTGGGTCGTCTCACACCTTGGATGTAGAAGCTTGGGCACTTGGGCAGACGAGCGTTGTATCCTTTGTCTACGTTGTAAGCCCCCGGACCAGGAGTCTCCTCTGAAAAGAAAAAAAGATGGTGGCAGGAGGTCATTTGATGTCCTTCGCGTATCTGGATTTTGCTCTGAAGCTAATCAAAATAGTACCCCAGGTTAGAAGGGACCAAGGTCTGGAGCTGTGAGGATTGGAGTTCAAGTTGTGGCCTGCCAGCAGAGCTGGCGGCAGACTGATGATGAGGAGGTTGGGGAGGAACTTGGGCCACTTCTGGAGTCTGGGGAAAGCTCTGATGGATGCTCTCAAACAGCTGGTAACCTCCCCTCCAGTCCCATGAGTAGCGAGACCTGGCTGGGGCTCGACATGCTCTGCGTCGAGAGCCAGGGCCGTCTCACATTTCCCAGCCACCGGAGAGGCAGCTGCCTTTGGAGGCTGAGATCAGTGAGGAGGAGGAAAAATAGCTGGGGCCTGTTCCAGATGCACGTATGCCTAGAGCAGTTAGGAGAGGAGAACAACGTGACTCGGGAAGCAAAGCATACATGGACGCTGAATGGCCCCTCCCTGGCTGGGGAATAAATGGAAGGAAAGAGGGAGTGGTGGTCGTAGGAGACAACAGTTGGTATTTCTGAAGATTTTACTCATTGTGTTTCGTGCATCAAAGACTGCCAGAACTTAATTTGTGGCCTTGGCTGGGAGCTCACGGCCTTGCAATTATCTCAAGGAACTGATAAGGTCTGTTGCTGCAGTTAACTCCTTGAAGGACTCTTGCCTGGACTTTTCGGTGGGGTGAATGCCATTAATTTACAAGAGGTAAGTAAATAAAGAAGGTTTACCAGGAGTCTGTTTCTTGCTTCTGCTAGGGCAGGGGTCGGCAACCTTAAACACTCAAAAGAGCTATTTGGACCCGTTTCCCACAGAAAAGAAAACACCGGGAGCCACAAAACGCTTCCCTTGCCTATTTCTTGAGCGGCCACAAAAACTAGCATATGTTGTTGAATTAAACGTTCTGTTTTCTTCTAAAACTTTTCTTGGATTTATCCATGGTTGGTCTACCGGGGGTTGAAAAGCTCAATAAATGGCGTGCCGGCAGGTGTCGCACATTGGCGGTTGTGATGCATATTTTGAGTGACAGGGAGCCGCAGCAGAGGGGTGAAAGAGCCACATGCGGCTCCAGAGCTGCAGGTTGCTGACCTCTGCCCTTTGGGGAAGCTCTGGTCTTCCGGAAAAAGTTAACTTCATACAATCTGAAGGAATGGATTCTGGTTCTCTTTTAATCAAAAGTGGTTTTTATTTTTGAAAAGGCCAACTGGGCTGATTTTTTTGGAGGAAGATGATTCGCTTCCTGGAAGCTTCATCCGTTGGGATGGTGTGGGAGATGGACAGTTATTGACAGTTGAGATTCGTTGGTGCTGGGAAATGATAGGTTCTGACAGGAGGGGGGGAGGGGAATGAAAATACTGTGTTTTCTTTGCCGTCAATTAAGGCCTTAACACTTTGAGAACCATGGTGATTATTTGAGGTTTTATCTGTGACTTCAAGGTCACCTGAGACCAGGTGTGGAATCATCTTGGAACAGCCAAAAGGACTATATTCCAAATGGGATAGGTGGTGATTTATCCCTCTTCCTCCGTTGAAGAGGAGAAGAGAAGAATTCTTTACTGGCCAAGTGTGATTGGACACACAAGGAATTTGTCTTGTTGCATACACTCTCGGAGTACATAAAAGATACATTCATCAAGAATCATAAGGTACAACGCTTAATGATAGTCATAGGGAAACAATATGAATCTTAAGGATACCAGCAACAAGGTTACCGGTTAAGTGACATAACATAAATGGCCTCCTTCAAACAAATGCTCCTCTCCATCCAAAACGGTCGTATCCAACAGGAAGCAAAACATATTTTCCCTCCAAAAATCACTCCAGTTGCCTTTTCAAAGTAAAAAAACCCATTTTTGATACCACGATGCCATGAGAATCCTCCCCGATTCTGATATACGTCTGTGCTTCCTCACCTTTTTCGATCCATTTGTACAGAGTGAGTGGGGCAGGGTTGATGATGATGGACGGTGGACGGTGAAGCACCAACGTGTAGGCCCGGTCGATGTTATATTGATTGGGTCCTGGCTCGTCTAGGATGCCTGCAGGAGAAAACGGGACACGACCTTAAAAAAGAATATTTGTAGCACAGGATTGAATATTTGTAGCACAGGATTGAATATTTGTAGCACAGGATTGAAGAATATTTGTAGCACAGGATTGGGGATTCTTGGTGTTCTCCAAGCATGCAGATGTTTCAATAGCCATTATCCTAAGGAAAAGAAAATTACTTGCACTGGAACACACAGAAATAATTACCTTTGGGATGTTCTATGGCCGTGATGGCGAACCCACAGCTGGCACGCGGAGCCATATGGGTGGGCACGCAAGCATTGACCTAGCTCAGCTGCAGCACAAATTCGCGCGCCGGCCAACTGGTTTTCGGACCTTCTGGGCCCACCTGAAGTCGGGAAACAAGCTGTTTCCAGCCTGCGGAGGACTTCCGTTGGGGGGTGAGGAAGGCCCGTTTTTCGCCCTCCCCAGGCTCCAGAAGCTATCTAGGAGCCTGGGGAGGGGGAAAACGGCCTTCCTCACCGCCCCAGAAGCTGGAAGCGGCCCGTTTGCTGACTTCCGGTGAGACCAGAAGGCCCGTTTTTCGCTCTCCCCAGGCTCCAGAGGCTTTTCTCCCCCGCGCCCTCCGGAGGCCGGAAACAGCCTGGGGCACATTGAATTATGGGTGTGGCCACACACACATGCGACTGCCCCCCCCCCCCCCCAAAAGGTGGGCCTTCACTGTTCTATGGGCTGGGACTCCCTGCCCATCTCCCAAATCCGAAACAAGACTGCCCTTGCTTAGCTCCAAGGTCAGCCAAAGTGCTTTGTTCAAGGTTCTCCAGATGTTCCTCAACCTCCTGGGTTCCCCTGGTGGCTTACCGAGAAACAAGAACGCCTTCCTATCCCCCGGAGAAGGTTTCTTGGGACCATCTCACCTTTCTTCGTTAAACAGTACTCGCCCCTTTGGCCGAAGGTGAAGTTCGGGGTGTTTGACAGGGTGCCAAGTTTGGTTCCTAAGAGTTGACCGTATTGCGAAGGAGAAGGCCACTGGAGGGGGAGGAAAAAAAGAAAGGGGAACTAGAGCAGATCCACCGAACTGTCTTGAAGTTTCATTGATGTCCGCTCACGGTGGACTTCTAGGCACCACATCTGAAGTAGCTTCCAGGAGCCCCTGCATTGTAAGCCACCACGTACGTTGGTTTCGGTGTTGAAGTCCACTTTCCTCCAGAAAGGGTTCTTGCTCATGAACCAAGACTTTTGCCACGCACGACGCCCTCCGCCTTCTAGTAAAAACAACACAAAAGTCGCGGCGCGAGGAGAGAACGCTTTTTTAAAAAAAAAAACTTGAGATTTCTCATCATTCAATCTCGCGCTTGATTGACAGGAAGAGACCAACGAGGTGACATTTTGGTCCCGCTTCTTTTGAACGGTTTTACATCTGAAGCTTCCGGCCAGGAAATCTTTGCCAAATTTCGGCAAAGATTCAACCCAGGTCTCTCTTTTTTATTAAAGTTTAAAGGATGCGGTGGCTAAGACGCTGAGCTTATCGACCAAAAGATCGGCAGTTCAGCGGTTCGAATCCCTAGTGCCGCGTAACGGGATGAGCTCCCGTTACTTATCCCAGCTTCTGCCAACCTAGCAGTTCGAAAGCACGTAAAAAATGCAAGTAGAAAAATAGGGACCACTTTTGGTGGGAAGGTAAGAGCGTTCCGTGCACCTTTGGCGTTGTTGAGTCATGCCGGCCACATGACCACGGAGACGTCTTCGGACAGCGCTGGCTCTTCGGCTTTGAAACGGAGATGAGCACCGCCCCCTAGAGTCGGGGACGACTAGCACTTATGTGCGAGGGGAATATTTTACCTTTTAAGTGTTGGGGTTTTTTTAACATTGGAAGCCAATTTAAAGCTTTCCTCGACTTACGGCCGTAATTGAGCTCTAAATTTCCGTTCCTAAGCGAGACAGTTAAGAGAGCTTTGCTCTATTTTAACGCTGTTCAGTGAACCTGCAGTTATTAAATTAGTAACACGGTCGTGGAAGTGAACCTGGCGTCCCCGTCAACTTTGCTTGTCAAAAAGGGATCACCTGACCCCAGGACACTTCGAGGGTCATAAATGTGAGTCGGTTTCCTAAGCGTCTGAATTTTGATCAGGTGACTTTGGGCACGCCGCCAACACCCGTAAAGGGTGAAAAACTGTCAAAAGTCACTTTTTTTTCCCAGTGCTGTTGGGACATCGGTCACTAACTGAATGCTTGTAAGGCGACGACCACCTGAAATAGTGTCCCACATTTTATGCCGCCACATCTGTAAAGATGTTTGACAATGAAACCCATCCTGTCGTTTCCCCTTGACTGGCTGAAGGATCTTGAGAAGATGGACTTAGCAATGGTTCCAGGTCAGCACTCTAGTTCGTGGTCCTTGCACCCCTTCCCCAATACCTCGAGGAGGAGTCTTCCAGCCAAATGTGTAGGACGGGGCGATGGTTTCTCTGCAGGCCATGGTGGGAGGGGAGTAAGCTGCTGGTCCTGGACTGTCCGTATTCAGTACGAACTGCAACCGACCTTGTGCCTTTTCTTCTAAAGAAAAATAAAATTAAGAAAGCAGTCTTAATTAAGACGGGCGATTTTCCAAAAACAGAGTTTTAGAAGGGTTTAGAATGGGGCTAAGGAAGGCAGTTTTGCAATCACTTGCAGCTTTTTCGTTTATCTCTCGGCTTCTCTTCTGTTTCCCAAGACTGTCGGGGCGAGAAACGCCAGTGGGGTTCATTTATTTTATTTTATGATTTTTATAAATAAGGCAGAGAACGTATCTAATACTATTTCCTATTTTCCTAATAACAACGATCCTGCAAGATGGGTTGGGTTGAGAGAGAGAGAGAGGAAGTGGCCTTAGCTCACCCAGCCAGCTTTCATGCCTATGGCAGGACTAGAACTCACTGTCGGCCTGGTGATTGGCCCAAAGCCACCCAGCCAGCTTTCATGCCTATGGCAGGACTAGAACTCACTGTCGCCTGGTGATTGGCCCAAAGTCACCCAGCCAGCTTTCATGCCTAAGGCGGACTAGAACTCACTGTCGCCTGGTGATTGGTCCAAAGTCACCCAGCCAGCTTTCATGCCTTAGGGCGGGACTAGAACTCACTGTCACCTGGTGATTGCCCCCAAAGTCACACCGCCAGCTTTCATGCTTAAGGCGGGACTAGAACTCGCTGTCTCTTGGTGATTGGCCCAAAGTCACCCAGCCATGCTCCATAGCTAAGGTGAAACTAGAACTCACTGTCGCCTGGTGATTGGCCCAAAGCACCCAGCCAGCTTTCATGCCTATGGCAGGACTAGAACTCACAGTCTGCCAGATTCTAGTGTGATGCCTTAACCACTTGATCAAACTGACTCCGTATTTCATTCAACCATCATCTCTTATGCTTGAACTGGACTAGGTATGTATGAATTTGACCCCCGAGATCCATCAAGATCTATCCAGAGGACACAAGTCTGATGTTTCCTTACCTTGGAGGCCGTTTTAAGTATATCCCAGATATTCTATTTTAAAAACTTTCTTAAAGTAGGTCTATCGATCTGGAATGGCAAAGGACGGCACTGAACACTAGCAAAACATGGGGAGGGAAGAATTCTCATGCCGGTGTTTGGTCTGTAGTCCTATTTAAATCATCTTGAATTAGAAAACAGTTCCAATATGCCTCATGATTACTGCTACTGTCTAAAGTCTCCACATTGAGGTGCAGTTTCTTCACTAAGGAGTCACTATAAAAAGAAACTTGGAGTATTGTCCTGAAGGTTTGCACTTAACTGTTTTTCTTTCCGCCGTAAATGTCCGGGAATAAGGGGGTCCCCCTCGATTCTGTGCCTCGATGAACCCTGGAAACAAAATGCCAGAATTCATCCAATGCATTCCTCTCCAATTGGCTAGTCGGGCGCTAGTCCTGCTCAATCAAAAATTAAAAAAAAAGAAGTTGAGATATTTACAAGGATCGGGGGTGTCAACGTGTCACCCACAAAAACTCTGCATTTACATATTTGATTATTCATATAATAACAGCGGCTAGAATTGTATTTGCACAAAACTGGAAAGCAGATAAAATCCCGTTGGAAGGAGAAATTATAAAGAAATTTTTAGAATGTGCAGAAATGAATAGATTAACATTGAGAATAAAAGATAAAAGATGAGTCAATGTATTTCAAGACATGGGATAAATTTTATGATTGGTTAGAAAAGAAATATGAATAAGGATATTGAACTGAAATAGATAGAGAATAGATGGGAGAAAACAATTAGACAAATAAATACCTAGATGATGTCAAGTCAAAGGAGAAAAGGGGGGGGGGGTAAAAGGGAAAAAAGTGAGATATTATAAAAATGTAAACGAATGATGAAATAAAAATAAATAATAATGGAATAAGAAATTGAAATGAGAAGATAATTAGAAAATCAGGGCTGCTCAAATACCACTTTAGATTGAACTGAAAAGGGAAACAACAGGAGAGAGGGGAAGGAGTACAGAGAGAGGAAAGGAGAAGAGAGGAGGAGAAAGAAGGAAGGGAAAAGGAGAGGAAGAAAAGGGAAGGGAAAGAGGAGTAGAGGGGAAGGTTAGAAGGGAAGAAGAGAGGAGTGGGGGAAGAGAAGGGGAAGTAGGAAAGAGAAGGAGAGAAAGAACGAAGGAAGGAAGTAGGAGAAGAGAGAGGAAGGAAGAGAAGGGGAAGAGAAGAAGAAAGGTTGAAGTAAAGGTAAAGGGTAAAAGAGCAGCCCTGAAAAAGTAAAAATGAAAGTTAAAAGAAAAGATGAATGAAAAATGATGAAAATGACCGTACATGTAAATGTGTTTATGAGAAATAAAAATAAAATTTTTTATATATATATATATGATTGACCCATTTGCAACACCGACTATGATGGATCAAAGTTGGCTTAGCAACAAACCACAGATTGGGGTGGGGGAACCAACCAATCCGTAAGATTTCTCCTACCTTCTTACTTTGCTAGACTGTTTTAACCTCAGGCAAAAGACGTAGGGATATAGCTAGATCGTCCCGTTTGGTGAAAAAAGATTGTACCTGCCTTTTACAAATGAGTGATGTTTGAGGTGTCTCTTTCTGGCTGCTGTCCAAGTATTTCTGAGCCATAAACTTGATATGTTTCTTCTGAGATTCCATTTCTATGGCTCAGGGATGTCGACCATACTCAGTCACCTGGAATTGCAGATATGTGACATCAGTGTGTTCTTACGTCCGAGGTTCCGTTTGGCTGGAGAGTTGGCCATTGGTCACCTGTCAGTTGGCCGTGGTGAGGTGGCATCTTTCAGGGATGCTGAAGAGGAGACCGGATCATGGAGGATAGTTTTGGGGAAGCCACCATGGTTTTCCCATTCATTCATGTGCAAGCTGGGATCTATATTGTGTCTTTGTTAAATGTACACCTTGGGTTAGTCACAACAACCCCTTAGGAAGGAGGCCAGGGCAAACCACTTCTGGAAAAGCACGCCAAGAAAATTCCAGGGATTGGTCCAGAAAGTCTCCCAGAGAATCTGATGCAACTGAATGGAAGAAAAAAAATACATAAATTACATTATAATATAGATTTGGTTCCTCCATTATATTTATGTTGCTGTTGTTAGTTGAGAAGTCGTGTCCAACCCATCGGGACCCCATGGACAACGTTCTTCCAGGCCTTCCTGTCCTCTACCATCCCCTGGAGTCCATTTAAACTCACACCGACTGCTTCAGTGACTCCATCCAGCCACCTCCTTCTCTGCCGTCCCCTTCTTCTTCTTTTGCCCTCCATCGTTCCCAGCATTGGGCTCTTCTCCAGGGAGTCCTTCCTTCTCCTTAGGTGGCCAAAGTATTTGAGTTTCATCTTCAGGATCTGGCCTTCTAAAGAGCAGTTAGGGTTGATCTCCTTGAGGACTGACCGGTTGGATGGCCTTGCAGTCCAAGGGACTCGCAGGAGTCTTCTCCAGCACCAGAGTTCAAAGGCCTCCATTCTTTGGCCTTCTCAGCCTTCCTTATGGTCCCACTTTCCCAGCCAGCCATCGCAACTGGGAAAACCATCATCTTGCCTATACGCACTTTTGTGGGCGATCTCATAAATAGATTTTGTCTTTGATGATCTTTGAAGCACGGATATGTTGATGGACCAGGAATAAAATTCAAAATTGGGTTTTTATTACACATTTGTAACAAAATCCGTGTTGCGTGTTGAATATATAATAGACATTGGCTAAAACACGGAGATTGTTGATCAGAAAGGTCGGCAGTTCGGCGGTTCGAATCCCTAGTAGAGGTCTCCTGTGTGAGCAGGGGGTTGGACTAGATGACCTCCAAGGATCCCTTCCAACTCTGTTACTGTTATATAGATAGTAGACATATTTAATATTATTATTTTATTATAATATATATATATATATATATATATATATATATATATATATATATGTATGTATGTATGTATATATATATATCAAACTATTCTAAAAATACGAGTTCCAGGTATATTAGTAAAGAAAGAATATATATATATAATATGTAATATAATGTATATAATATAATTGATATAATTATATATAAATAATTATATATATATAATTATATATAATATAAATATAATTAATATGTAATATATATAATATATATTATATTACATATATATAAAGATATATTTATTATTCATAATTTTTTATACCTATCTGTGCATTCCCCGCAGATCCCTACGCCCGCTTCTTCGCGCTCACACTCTAAAACAGACACGTGTGTGTGTGAATATCTCTTTAAAAGGACCACGCACCCCAGAAGAGGGGACGTCTCCTTTAAAAGGCGGGCCCAGCGCACCGCGCATGCGTCGGCCGGGCCTCCGCGGGAAGTCTAATAACCCGGCGAAGGAGGAGGAGAAAAAAAGGAACAAGCCGCCTGGGTGGGGTGGGGTGGGAGGCGGGGCTTAGATAGAAGAAGGGAGGGGGGGAAAGAGAGAGAGAGAGACAGAGACAGAGGTGAGGTCATCAGCAGCGGCCGCCGGCGGGCGGGTCACGTGGCGGCCGTCGCGCCGTCGCGCGGGAGGCCGGGTGGGCCCCTCCCCTCCGGGCGTCGCGGGGCCGATGACGTAGAGGCGCGGCTCGGGTTCTGATTGGGCGGCGGGCGGCCGAAGGGGGCCGGGCGGGCGCGGCGGGGCGTGCGGCCCCGCCCACCTCGCCCGCCCCTCCTCCTCCTCCTCCTCCTCCTTCTCTCGCTCCGGGTGTGCGCGAGGCGGCGGCGGCGGCGGCGGCGGCGCGTGGCCTCGTCGGCGTCTCCGTCCAGCGCGGCCTCCCCTCCTCCTCCTCCTCTTTCTTCTCCCCTCTTCCCCCTCCCCCCTCCCTCCTTCCTCCTCTCCTCGCCCAGGCCGGGGCCATGACCGACTTCAAGCTGGGCATCGTCAGGCTCGGCCGTGTGGCGGGCAAGGTGCGGGCCTCCCTCCCCTCCCCCTCCCCCTTACGGGCCTGAGGGGCTCCCCCCCTCCTGCGCGCGTTCCCTGACGTCACACCGGGCCCCCTCTGTGACGTCACCGCCCACCTCGGGGGGAGGGGGTTCCTCGCCCCCCCTCCCTTCTTTCTTGGGGAGGGGGACGGTTCCACTCTCTTCCCCCTCACCCGCTTCCCTGGGGGAAGGAAAGGGAGAAGGAGAAAGGGTCTCCCTATAGACAGGCAGCTTGTAAGTGGCTGGGACTCCAACTCCCATCACTCCCTCCTGGGAAGGATGGGGAGTCAGGATATTAGGTGGGTGGGAGGGTGTTTTCCCTATAGACAGACACTTTGTAAGTGGGTGGGACTCCAACTCCCATTCACTCCCTCCTGGAGGATGGGGAGTTAGGATATTAGGTGGGTGGGAGGGTGTTCTCCCTATAGACAGACACTTTGTAAGTGGGTGGGACTCCAACTCCCATCAATCCCTCCTGGGAGGATGGGGAGTCAGGATATTGGGTGGGTGGGTGGGTGGGTGGGTGGGTGTTCTCCCTATAGACAGACACTTTGTAAGTGTTGGGACTCCAACTCCCATCACTCCCTCCTGGGAGGATGGGGAGTTAGGATATTAGGTGGGTGGGAGGTGTTCTCCCTTAGACAGACACTTTGTAAGTGGGTGGGACTCCAACTCCCATCAATCCTTCCTGGGAGGATGGGGAGTCAGGATATTGGGTCGGGGGGTGTCTCCCTATAGACAGATACCTTGTAAGTGGGTGGGACTCCAATACCCATCACTCCCTCCTGGGAGGATGGGGAATAGCCAGACGCCTTGTAAGTGGGTGGGACTCCAACTCCCATCACTCTCTCCTGGGAAGGATGGGGAGTCAGGATATTGGGTGGGTGGGAGGGTGTTCTCCCTATAGACAGACACTTTGTAAGTGGGTGGGACTCCAACTCCCATCAATCCCTCCTGGGAGGATGGGGAATCAGGATATTGGGTCGGGGGGGGGGGGGTGTCTCCCTATAGACAGACACCTTGTAAGTGGGTGGGACTCCAATTCCCATCACTCCCTCCTGGGAGGATGGGGAATAGCCAGACACCTTGTAAATGGATGGGACTCCAACTCCCATCACTCCCTCCTGGGAAGGATGGGGAGTCAGGACATTGGCTGGGTGGGGTGTCTCCCTATAGACAAACACTTTGTAAGTGGGTGGGACTCCAACTCCCATCACTCCCTCCTGGGAAGGATGGGGAGTCAGGACATTGGCTGCGTGGGGTGTCTCCCTACAGCCAGGCACCTTGTAAGTGGGTTGGACTCCAACTCCCATCACTCCCACCTGGGGAGGATGAGGAGTCAGGATATTGGGGGTGGTGGGTGGGAAGGGGCAGCATCCTATGCCAGGCATGGAGATGCTGCCCGGAAAGGAGCCTTCTTCCTCCATTCCTCTTCACGATTTTCTCATTAGAGGCACCCTTTTATATGCCCCCCCCCCAAAAAAAATGGGGTGCCTTTGGGCTCCTTGGGAAAGGGTGACATCTTGGGGCCAATATCTACCAAAGGATTGTTGGTCTCTGGGGAAGGATTGCATGGGGAGGGTCTTCTAGGGTTTAATTGGGGTGTTTGCTGTGGGGGTGTTGGAGCTTTTGATGCTGGGGAGGGGGGTTGTCTGCTGTTTGGGGTCCCCCAGTGATGGGCATCTCCATGGGGAGAAGACCTTCCATAACTCCAGGTGCTGCAGTGAATGAGCCCCTGGCCATCATGTGTTTCAAATGTTATTCTGTGTCCGGGATAATCTTTATGAACTGTTGATATAGTTCCCACGCACGCATTATTTTTGTTTATTATATTCCACTGTTTTCCTTTTTGCTTTGTTGAAATTTCCTTTCTTCCTTCTTTTTTTTGTGGTTGGGAACCTCCTAGAGTAGCCCCATAGCAAGATAGGCGGCAAATGGTAATCATAATAATATGCACATCTGCCTATCTCAGGTCCTTAGAAAAGACTCGATCGGTAGACAAAAATGCCAAATTCAATCTCAACATCTGGCTGACTGTGCCACGAACAATAACAACAATATTAATAACTTACGTTTTTACCAGTCCCAGATTCTGAATCGAATTGAACATTAATTATTTAATAATGATAATGATGATGATAATGATGATAATAATAATAATAATAATAATAATAATAATAATAATAATAATAATACTTGGTTGATACCTAGGACGCTGGCAGCAACCCGTATCAACCATTAGCACTAGTCAATGGTATTTGTGATGCAATTTTGAATGTTCAGTTGACTTGAGTTTCATGTTTAATGAATAAAGTAAATAATAATAATAACCACAAAGATGTGCTCTGGTATATTTGTAGCCATGCTTTGTATTAAGCATAGGAAAATGTGGCAGAGAGGAGGAGGGATTAATTAATACGTTTTTCATATAGCCAAGAAGTGGGTAATCTTATCTCACAAAAGAGAAGTCTTTGAAGAGTCTTTTTCTTGGCAGCCGGTAGCTTCTGGCTGAGAAAGAAAGAAAACATTTGATAGTCTTTGTTCCCTGCACTTGTTTCTCAAAAGATCAAGTGGGGAGATGCCTCCACATCCTCAGAATATATGGCTGGAAACGCTGCTTCAAGAAATAGATCTTGCTGCATCGAGCAGATTTCAATTTGTGGAGGATCTAATTGGGTCTAGAGACTCTCTCCCCCATCCCAAAAAAAAAGTTTCTTTTTTGAAACACGTTTCTTGTAGTTTGCTCACTGAAATGTTAGAAGAAGTTATCAGATTCGTGTGTGTTATTGTTTTCCTTTGTCCACCACAGAGAGTGTTGTTTCGAATCGTTTTAAGCATGTTGCCATCTAAATACCAAAAGCCCCTGTTAATTTATGGCAGAGGTCTTCAAATTTCGCAGCTTTAAGACAGAATTCTAGGAATCGAAGTCCACCAGTCTTAAAGCTGCCAAGCTTTGAAGATGGCAATGTCTTCTCGCAGAATATTTCATTTTGATTTTTTTTTTTAATTGCAGACAAAATACACCCTGATAGATGAACAAGACATTCCTCTCGTAGAGAGCTACTCTTTTGAGGTAAGAATACAGGTTTTCACTCCCCTGTGGTAATTCTCTATTTTTTTTTTTTATTTGTCAAATCTGACCAGCTGGACCACCTTCCCCTCTCCCCCAGCCTCATTTCTGAAGCACTTTTGAGATCTCCGATTTCAGTTCCAATATTCCAAGCTTTTTGTGCACAGGCCACTGTTGATGTTTAGCGGTTTGACAGTACGATAAGAACCGGAGGGTTTCTGTGCCTACCTGTGTTTTGAAAGAAAATGTTGATTGTGTTGTGATGTGGCCTTGAGTTGCAGCTGCCGACCTTCCGTGTTGCTTTCAAACAACAAATCAACACCGATTGGTGTCTATAGGCTCTCTCTCTTTTTTTTAAAGGCTTCCGTTAACTCTTACTTTTAATTTCAATTGAAAATTGTATTCGCTGACTTTGCAGCAGGGTTTTACAATATGAGTATTGCTGGCGGTCTTGGAAAGTCGGTGGGCATTCGGATGCTTCGGAAAAAAACAACAACAACAACAGAGAATGGATTTTCCTTTTCTTATCCAGGCTCGGATGGAAGTCGACGCTGATGGAAATGGTGCTAGAATCTTTGCTTTTGCGTTTGACAAGAATCGAGGCAGGGGATTCGGACGTCTGCTGCATGAGTTGCTGTGGTGAGTGTCGTCGTGGAAAGGGAACCCAGCGACAGGTTTCCAAAGAGAAGTGTGTCTAAGAGAGGTAGCTGCTGAATAGAATAGAATAGGAGTAGGATAGAATAGAATAGAATAGAATAGAATAGAATAGAATAGAATAGAATAGAATAGAATTTTAATAGGAATAGAATAGACTAGAGGAGAATGGAATGGAATGGAATGGAATGGAATGGAATGAATGGAATGGAATGGTGAATAGAATAAATAGAATAGAATAGAATAGAATAGAATAGAATAGAATAGAATAGAGAAGAATGTAATAGGAATAGAAAGAAGAAGAGAATGGATAGAATAGAATAGAATAGAATAGAATAGAATAGAATAGAATAGAATTTAATAGGAATAGAATAGACTAGAGGAGAATGGAATGGATTGGAATGGAATGGAATGGAATGGAATGGAATGGAATAGAATAGAATAGAATAGAATAGAATAGAATAGAATAGAATAGAGAAGAATAGAATAGAGAAGAATGTAATAGGAATAGAATAGACTAGAAGAGAATGGAATGGAATGGAATGGAATAGAATAGAATAGAATAGAATAGAATAGAATAGAATAGAATAGAATAGAATAGAATAGAATAGAATAGAATAATTCTTTATTGGCCAAGTGTGATTGGACACACACAAGGGATTTGTCTTTAGTTCCTACGCGCTCAGTGTACATAAAAGAAAAGATACATTCATCAAGAATCATAAGGTACAACACTTAGTGATAGTCATAGGGTACAAATAATCAAATCATACTAGGAAACAATATCAGTATAAATCGTAAGGATACCAGCAACAAGGTTACAGTCATAGAGCCATAAGTGGGAGGAGATGGGTGATGGGAACAATGAGAAAATTAATAGTAATAGTAATGCAGACTTAGTGAATAGTTTGACAGTGTTGAGGGAATTATTTGTTGAGCAGAGTGATGGCGTTTGGGAAAAAACTGTCCTTGTGTCTAGTTGTTCTGGTGTGCAGTGCTCTATAGCCTCGTTTTGAGGGTAGGAGTTGAAACAGTTGATGTCCAGGATGCGAGGGGTCTGTAAATATTTTCCCAGCCCTCTTTTTGACTCGTGCAGGATACAGGTCCTCAATGAAGCTCGTGCGGGTTATACATTCAGAGGGATAGAATCAAGATCATGCGAAAGTATTAATTCCTGCTCTCTAGAGCCCTTGTTGATGCTCAACCTATCCCCCAAACTGTAGGCCCTTGTTCTTTCTTTGCAGGGAGAGGCACCGGGGAGGCATTGCCCCAGGGTTTCAGGTGGTGCATTTGAATGCCGTGACGGTGGATAACCGTTTGGACAACTTGCGATTGGTGCCGTGGGGCTGGAGACCCAAAGCTGAAGAAATCTCTAGCAAGCAAAGGTAAAGAAATGCAGAGAGAGGAGGAGGAAACAGAAGGTGAAGTTTAAGAGTGCTCCGGATTTCCTTTCCTTTCCTTTCCTTTCCTTTCCTTTCCTTTCCTTTCCTTCCCTTCCCTTCCCTTCCCTTCCCTTCCCTTCCCTTCCCTTCCCTCCTTCCCTTCCCTCTTCTCTTCTCTTCTCCCTCCCCTCTTTCATTCCCTTCTCCCTTCCCTAGTTTTCCTTCCCTCCCCTCCCCTCTTCTCCCTTCCCTCTTTCATTCCCTTCTCCCTTCCCTAGTTTTCCTCCCCTCCCCTCCCCTCTTCTCTTCTCCCTTCCCTCTTTCATTCCCTTCTCCCTTCCCTAGTTTTCCTCCCCTCCCCTCTTCTCCCTTCCCTCTTTCATTCCCTTCTCCCTTCCCTAGTTTTCCTTCCCTCCCCTCTTCTCTTCTCCCTTCCCTCTTTCATTCCCTTCTCCCTTCCCTAGTTTTCCTGCCCTCCCCTCCCCTCCCCTCTTCTTTTCTCCCTTCCCTCTTTCATTCCTTTCTCCCTTCCCTAGTTTCCCTTCCCTTCCCTTTCCTCTTTGCTGTCTTAAGTCACTTATATCTGGGGAAAAGTAAACCTGTCCCGAAAGATTCCAGTCTTCAGTAGGAAGAAAATTCCCCTCTGTATCCGTAACTCCTGTAAATGTTTGTGTTTTAAAAGTGCAGGGGGAAAAAAATGCAATTGTAGAGACAATGGGGTATAAAAAAGGAGCCCTTTGAAGTGAGCCACGTCAAGAAATGGACACAATGAGGACTCAGGCTAGTTCATTGTCGTAGGATATAATAGAAGAGTTGGCTGCCCCTTTGTCTAAATCCTCAGCACTTTTGGACCGTGTGAAAGGATGAGTTTTGTTATCCTGCAGAAGAAATGCCTAACTTAATTTTGTTGTTGTTGTTGAAGGGAACAAAGCTTATACTGGCTGGCGATACAACAGCTTCCCACCGATCCCATCGAGGAGCAGTTCCCCGTATTGAATGTCACACGCTACTACAACGCTAACGGAGACGTGGTGGAAGAAGAGGAAAGCTCGTGCACGTACTATGAATGTCACTACCCCCCCTGCACAATGATTGAGAAACAGGTACATGCCAAGCCAGGTACAGGGTGTCCTGGTGATTGGCCCGAAATCACCCAGGTGATTTTAATGCCTGAGCATCTGGGACTAGAATTCACCGTCTCCTGGTGATTAGTCACCCAGGCAGCGTTCATGTAGATGTTGGGACTCAGAGTGCAGAGAAGAGCAGCAAAGATGATTGAGGGGACTGGAGGCTAAAACATAGGAAGAATGGTTGCTGGAATTGGGTCTGTCTAGTCTAGTGAAGAGAAGGACTAGGGGAGACAGGATAGCAGTCTTCCAATATCTCACAAAGAAGAGGCAGTCAAGCTGTTCTCCAAAGCACCTGAGGGCAGGACAAGAAGCAATGGGTGGAAATTAATCAAGGAGAAAGGACCCCTGATTTAGTGCAATATTAAAAAAATGCAAATAATTTTTCTGTGGACCACCAAAATTTTCTTGCGGACCGCTGCTCTAAGGTCCCGGAAAACGTCGACTGATTTCCTTTTTTTTTTTCCCCCTTTTTCTCTCCCCTTGCTTCCTCCCTCCCTCCAGTTACGCGAGTTCAACATCTGTGGCCGATGCCAGGTGGCGCGATACTGCGGTTCGCAGTGCCAGCAGAAAGACTGGCCCGCTCACAAGAAGCACTGTCGGGAGAAGAAACGAGCCGTCCAGCAAGAACTGGGACCAGAGCGATGACCGGCTGGTCCGTAAACCTTCGCCGTAAGAAGGGCTCCTTCCCTCCCGGAGGGCGAGGGTCGGAAGGCGCCCGCTTTGCACAGACTGCTCACTTGAAGCCAGAGGCACTGACAACCAGGAGAAAAAAAGAAGGAAGAAAGAAAAAGAAAGAAAGAAAAGACGAGACACACACACACACACACACAAAAGACCATCTGTCAACCCCTGTGATGCTTGAGTGAAAGGGAACCGGCTTTTTTCCCTCTTAGTGTTAAAAATCTCAAGCGGGAAAAACACAGAGAGAGAAAGAGAGAGAGACTACTATAGAAGCTGTTCTAGCTGGGAAGCTTCTTGTTATTTATATGTTAATATGTTTGTAAAGTTGTGTACAGGTTTCTGTTTCGTTTCCGGGGTGGGGTGGGGTGGGAGGCGTTGTTTTGGGGTTTTTGTTTTTTCCCTGGGGAGGAGGAGGAGGGTGGGTGGGGGGTTTAGCAGTGCTCTTTATCTAGGACTCATTTACTGTAACGTTTCGGGTGAGAACACATTGATGGTTGAACAAAATAACTGTCTTTAATAGCGAAAGCTTTTTTTTTAATCCCTGGGAGAACCCCCGGGGATCTAGCACAGACATCAGCAGTTATAATCTGAACAACTCTGCATGGAAGTTGTGTTTTCAAAGTAAAAGGATTGGAATGGATCGCTGACTTTTTTTTTATTATTTTTTTAAAATAACTTTTAAGGACTTGCTTTCTCCTTATGTGGCCTGTTCCTTGCTGTTAACCTCCTTAAAAAAAAAAAAACATATTTTCCCCACAATATGGAATTGAACTGATTTTGGGACTTTTGTCAGCATCTGCTAATTATGCAGGTAGTCCTCGGCTGAACGACCGCAATTGAGCCCCAACGTAATTTATTTATTTATTTATTTATTTATTTATTGGTTCGATTTATATGCCGCCCTCCTCCGAAGACTCAGGGCGGCTTACAATGCACTTATAGCAATAGCCTTCATTCTTTTGTATATACCTGCTTATTAGGGCTTTTGGGCTCCCCCACCCCCATAAGCGGTGTTTCTACAAAGTCAGCTTATTGCCCCCACAATCCGGGTCCTCATTTTACCTACCTCGGAAGGATGGAAGGCTGAGTCAACCTTGAGCCTGGTAAGATTTGAACTCGCACTAATTGCAGGCAGCTGGCAGCTAAGTGCTACATAACAGCACTTAGTCTGCTGCACCACCAAGGCTCCTTTGAGCCCCCCCTCCCCCCCGCTTGTGTTGCGGATTGAGAATTAATGTTCCAGGGATTTTGCGTGTCAACGCACACGCAGAACACGAGCTGTGAGCTGTGCCCGCTACAATTCAGCGTAGGGAAGTTTATCATCTTAAATTCCTGGCGATGTTTGCACAACATCCTACGGACGATTGCCGATGGAGATTCTCAAGCCATCCAGGTCACTGTGATCCTAAAGGTCCTTTTTACTGGATTTTCTTTTGTTTTTCCTTGGAAGACATTTCGCTCCTCATCCGAGAAGCTTCCTCCGCTCTTGACTGGATGGTGGGGAATGGAAGTCGGAGCCGAAGAAGCTTCTTGGATGAGAAGCAAAACGTCTTCAAAAGAAAAGCCACCCCACCCAGTGGTGATTTCCCACCCGGATAGTGGCATTGATTATAGAGTGACTATTAGGATAGGTCTCTGCCAGGAATCCTTGGGGGAGGGAGCGGGAAAATGCCGCTATTTATATGCCCCCCCTGCTAGAACCAACTGCTCCGTTATCTTAAAACGAATCTTAAAAATTAAGTGAATTCAACTTCCCAAGGGTGTGTGGAATAAATGTACCGTGTTTCCCCGAAAATAAGACCCTGTCTTATATTTTATTTGGAACCCTGAAATAAGCGCTTGGCCTTATTGCCATGCGTTCAAAAGCCCGGTTGGGCTTATTATCAGGGGATGTCTTATTTTCGGGGAAACAGGGCAGATGGATGGATGGATGGATGGATGGATAGATGATAGATTAGATAGATAGATAGATAAATAGATAGATAATAATAATAATAATAATAATAATATAGATAAGTAGATAGGAGATATTTATTTATTTATTTATTGGTTCGATTTATATGCCGCCCTTCTCCGGAGACTCAGGGCGGCTTACAATGCGTTAAGCAATAGCCTTCATACTTTCGTATATATCTGCTTAATAGGGCTTTCGGGCCCCCCCTAAGCGGTGTTCTTTTTTATACAAAGTCAGCTTATTGCCCCCACAATCCGGGTCCTCATTTTACCTACCTACCTCGAAAAGGATGGAAGGCTTGAGTCAACCTTGAGCCTGGTGAGATTCGAACTTGCAGTAATTGCAGGCAGCTGGTGCTACTTAACAGCGCTTTAGTCTGCTGCACCACCAAGGCTCAGATAGACATAGATAGATAGATATGATAGATACCATGTTTCCCCAAAAATAAGACCCTGTCTTATATTTAGATAGATAATGATATAGATGGATAGATAGGAGATAGACGATAGATAGATAGACAGACAGACAGACAGACAGACAGATAGATAGATAGATATGGTAGAGACCGTGTTTTCCGGAAAATAAGACCCTGTTTTACATTTTTTGGGACCCTAAAATAAGCTTCGGCCTTATTTGCCATGCGCTCAAAAGCCCGATTAGGCTTATTATCAGGGGATGTCTTATTTTTTGGGGGGGGGGAACAAGGTACCTCTGTTTTGAGCACATCCAAACCACCCTTCCTTTAGGCGCAGTCAAGTAACGTGGGGACAAGAGTCCAAACGATACTTCTCCTGGGCCATTGATCCCACAATTAAAGTGGAATAAATTGTTTTAATTCCACTTTTAATTGTGGAAATTCATAAAAACAAATTAATTTTTTTTTTCCTGCTCAGGAAGAAAAGCCCCTCTCCCCCCCCCCTTACAACCCCCATCCCATCGTAACCTCTTCTCTTGCCCTGCAAGAGAAGGCCGCTTCCTCCAAATCAAATCTAATCTTTTATTGCCAGGCTCACAACATCTGTATAAGGAGCTCCAGATGTGTACAGGGGTTCCATACTCTTCCCCCCCACCCCCAAATTTTGCATGGACCCCAAATTTTGCACAACAAAAAAAAAAAGCTGGAGGGTTGCCAGCTTAACCCCCCCTCCAGATCCAACGCGATCTCCCCTATTTATTTTGCATTTTTTTCCTTTTTTTTAAAAAAAGGATAGTGTAGCTATACAGGAGGCGAGGTGAGGAAGGACTACAACTCCCGACAGGCTCTGGGAGGCGGGGGGGGCCGCTGGGATTTGTAGTCCTCCCCCAAAATAATAAAAATAATAAATAATAAGCAGCTGGTGGGCGCAAGGTTGAAGAAGAAGAAGCCAGCCGGCTCTGCTGCACCTGGGGGAGGGCGTGGCCACCTGGAGGGGGCGTGGCCAGGCCGCACACCTGGCGAGGCACCTGCTTCGGAACCCCGGGCAGCTCAGGGGAAAGCGGGGCCGGCGGGCGAGGAAGGCGGGGAGAGGAAGAGGCCCGCCTTAGCCTCGCCTCGCCTCGCCTTCCTTCTCCCAGGCCGAGCCGAGCACAGGAAAGGGCGGCCTGGTGGGTTGCTTTGAGGCCTGCTTGGAGAAGGGGGGGGTCCCTTTTGGGGAGGGGCGCTTTAGGGAGAGGGACCCTTGGGGGGGGAAGGTCGTGGGGGGGGTCCCTTTGGGTGGGGGGGGAGGGGTCCCGTTTGCGAAAGGTGGCTTGGAGTGGGGTCTTTTGGGGAAGGGTCGTTTGGGGGGGGAGGTCCCTTTGGGGAGGGGAGTTTTGGAGAGGGTCCCTTTGAGGAGGGGGGGCCCCTCGGAGTAGGGTCTGTTGGGGAGGGTCCCGTTTGGGAAAGGCGCCTTGGAGAGGGTCCCTTTGGGGAGGGTCTTGGGGGGGGAAAGGTCGCTTGGAGAGGGGCGTTGGGGGTGAGGGGCGTCCCTTTGGGGAGGGGGAGGGTCCCGTTTGGGAAAGGTGGCTTGGAGTGGGGTCCTTAGGGGAGGGTCCCTTTGGGGAGGGGAGTTTAAGGAAAGGGGTCCTTTGGGGAGGGGAGTTGGGGGGAGGGTCCCTTTGGGGAGTTTTGGAAAGGGGTGTTTTGGGGAGGGTCGTTGGGGGGGGAGTTTGAGAAAGGTGGCTTGGAGTGGGGTCCTTAGGGGAGGGTCCCTTTGGGGAGGGTCGTTGGGGAGGGTCCCGTTTGGGAAAGGTGGCTTGGAGTGGGGTCCTTAGGGGAGGGTCCCTTTGGGGAGGGGAGTTTAAGGAAAGGAGTCCTTTGGGGAGGGTCGTTGGGGGGGGAGGGTCCCTTTGGGGAGTTTTGGAAAGGGGGTGTTTGGGGAGGGTCGTTGGTTGGGGAGTTTGGGAAAGGTGGCTTGGAGTGGGGTCCTTAGGGGAGGGTCCCTTTGGGGAGGGGAGTTTAAGGAGAGGGGTCCTTTGGGGAGGGTCGTTGGGGAGGGTCCCGTTTGGGAAAGATGACTTGGAGTGGGGTCCTTTGGGGAGGGGAGCTGGGGAGGGGAGTTTAAGGAAAGGGGTCCTTTGGGGAGGGTCCCGTTTGGGAAAGGTGGCTTGGAGTGAGGTCTTTTGGGGAGGGTCGTTGGGGGTGGTCCCTTTGGGGAGGGGAGTTTTGGAAAGGATTTGGAGTCCTTTGGTGAGGGTCCCATTTGGGAACAGTGGCTTGGAGTGGGGGTCTTTTGGGAGGGTCCTGGGGGGGGGAAAGGCTCCCATTTGGGAAAGGTGGCTTGGAGTGAGGGGAGGGTCGTTGCGGGGGTCTCTTTGGGGAGGGGAGTTTTGGAAAGGATTTGGAAAGGGGCCGCTTTGGAGAGGGTCCCTTTGAGGAGGGGCACTCGGAGTGGGGTCCTTTTGGGGAGGGGCATTGGGGGGAGTCTATTTGGAGATAGATAGAGTCTCTCTCTGACCCTTTGGGGAGGGTCAGAGAGAGGCTCTTGTGGCAGGGCCCTTTGGGGAGAGGGGGCCCATGTGCTTGTGGAGCGCATGTGGAGATACTTTGGGGAGGGAGCTCACTTTTGATGCCCCTGTGCACGGCTGGCTGCCCAGGTACTGCTCTGGCCCTCCCTGGCAGGATTATGTCAGTGAAAATTCCTATTATTGGATCGAGGATATTTATTTATTATTTTTACAGATCATGCAAGACCTGCCTTCCCCCCGAACATATTTAATACTTTTCCTTCCAGTTATTTTCCCTATAATAACAACAACCCTGTGAGGTGTATTGAACTGAGAAAGAGGGACTGGCCCAAAGTCACCCAGCTGGTGGAATTAGAACTCCCTGATTTTCTAATCTGATGTCTTAACCAAATTGGCTCTCAATTTTTAAAATTATTATTAGTATTTAGGAAATCAGTGGGAGGTTGCTATTTTTGGATTGGGATATTTGTTTTTTATCAGCCTTGCCAATCAGATATTATTGCTATTATTTCCTTTGGGAAGAAGTAAGGGAATGTGGGAACTATTTGAGAGATCACACTCATTGGATCAAGGATAGTATTATTACTATGATTATTACTATTATTAATATTTCCTGCCTTAAAAATGGAGGACGACCTTGGGTGTGGATTTGCTAATATTGGATCAAGGACATCATTATTATGACTGATGATTATTATGACTTTAGGATTTTATTTTTTTTAAGACAACATTGCAATTTGTCCAAATTATTTTGATTGCTGGATAAATTCCATATAACAGCGGGAGAATCGGAATCCATAATAAACTCTCGTTTTCTCTTATTTCTTCCCCAGCGCAGGATGAATGCACGTTGACATGGCTTTCAGATGCAAGGCAAAAACTTTGCAGGTGGTTGATACCGAATATAGTGCCGACGCGGTGGAATGGTGCCCGGTGGAAGGCTGGCACAACATCTTGGCATGTGGCACCTACCAGTTGAAGAAACCGGAGAGTGAGGTGAGCTATAGAACATTTTTCAAGAAACCGGAGAAAACTTATGAAATTGTTTTGCAGTTACAGTCTTAATAAAGGAGAGAATATTTGTAGCTCAGGGTTTGAAATAATTGGTGCGCTCTGGGCTTGTCTTGCAGACATTTCGTGACCCAACTAGGTAACCTCATCAGTGCTTGGGTGTCTGGTGTTTGCTCCCTGTTTATATACAGTAGCTTCTTTCAGTCTTGGAGGAGGTTGTTGTGGCCCGCCAGCGGCCAGCAGAGCTGACAGTGAGGAGGTTGGGGAGGAACATGGGCCAGTCCTGGAGTCTGGGGAAGGCTCGGATGGGGGCTCTGAGTCGGAGGCAGAGAGGGGGCCAGGGGCCATCTGGTAGTTCTTTGCTGCCTCCGGAGTCTCCGGAGTCTGACAGCGAGGCAGAAGAACAGCGTCAGCCTGTTCCCAGTGCGCGCATGCGCAGAGCTGCCAGGAGACAGGAACAATTAAGGAAACAGGGTCGACTTGGGAGTAAGGCTTGGAGATGATTGGCCCCTCCCATAAGACGTAAAAGAGAAGCAAACGGGACGTGAGCTTTTGCAGGAAGCAATTAGTTCATCTGGTCGGTCAAAGCTCTGAAAAAGCTCTGTTTGACTCTGTGCTAAGTTTGGCCTTGCCCTGCATGTGGCAATTAGTTCTCTGGCAGCATTCCAAGGGAGATAAGGTGGGTGTTTATAAACATTCACCTGAAAGACTGTTTGAGAAGCCTTTCGGACTGGGAATGACAATATTCCACAGCCATTCGAATTAAAGAGGTTTGCAGGGACTAAGTTTGTGCTGTATATTTTCTAAGGAAGCCTAAGTCAGAACAGAGGTGTGGTTTTCTCCTTGGTAGAGGCTTGGTTAGGGATATTGTTTTCTCCTTGATTGTTTGTCTGGTGTTAATCCCCGCTTATCTGGATAATGGATGCTGGTTGCGGAGGCCATCTACCGACTATTAACAGGGAGCAAACCCCACCCTCCCTCACACTGATGATGTTACCTAGCTAGGCAATGAAATGTCTGCAAGAAAACTACCATGCTCTGAGAGGACCCCGCCATTCAAATATTTTCTTCTGTTGGTACAACCTAGTTGGGCAGACCCTTCAGGGAGTAGTTCTGAGTTTCATCAGGATGACCAGTTGACTGTATACAATGGTTTTGGTGTGTGTTTTTTTTTCTCTTTCTGCTTCCTAAACAGCCTGGCCAGAGTCCTAGCGAGGACAGCGAACCCCCTGTGCGCCTAGGACGTCTCTACCTCTATTCCTTTGAAGATCAAATTTTCACGCCGCTGACGGAGATCCAGAGGCTGGAAACGGTGGCCATATTGGACATTAAATGGTTGGATGGATGCTTCTCCGTTTCGTTTTGCAAGTTTTTTTTTTTTTTACTGCTTCAAGAAATGAGATTAGCTGGGGAAAGGGTTATTTTCCTGTGCAAGGAAGATTGACCCATAGTGGAGAAAGTTGAGGGGTTTCAGATGGAGGAGGTGTCAGACTTGAGTTGAAGGCCTCACGGGGCAACTATCAAAGTTCTGATGTTCTCCACGCAGCATGGTCCACATCTTTGATCAGCCTTGATAGGGAGGGAATTGCAACTCTTGAGCATAAGAGCCAAGGGGTTAAGGCACCAGGCAGGAGAATGGGAGTTCTAGTCCTGCTTAAATAGGAAAGCCAACTGGGTGTCATTGGGCCAGTCACCAGGAGATTGTGAGTTCTAGTTCTGCTTTAGGCATGAAAGCCAGCTGGGTGACTTTGAGCCAATCACCAAGATATTGTGAGTTCTAGTTCTGCTTTAGGCATGGAAGCCAGCTGGGTGACTTTGAGCCAATCACCAGGAGATTGTGAGTTCTAGTTCTGCTTTAGGCATGAAAGCCAGCTGGGTGACTTTGAGCCATTCACCAGAAGATTGTGAGTTCTAGTTATGTTGGGTACGTTCACCGCCTTGAGTAATGTGTAAAAATAATCAAGGTTGGAGATAAATAAATAAAACGTTATTTTGCTCTTCCTTCTGTAAAATGGGTAGCGTGCTTTTTCAATCCTTTCGGTCAGTGTCATGATTTCTGGGTTGAGTCAAACTGGAAATGAAATATTCTTCCTTTTTTTCAAAAGAGGGAGGAAGGGAAATTATTATTTTTTCCCTTGCACCTCTGCTGATGTCTTTGCTATCTCTTCCGCTTCAAGGTGCCATGTTCCCATCGCAGGACATCCTGTTTTAGGCATCGCAAATGCCCAGGGAGCGGTGAAGCTCGCCCACTTGATGGGAAGCGAGGTAGGTGTCTAGAGATCCATAACCATCTATGCCAGTGGTGAAATTCAATTTTTTTTTTTTTACTATCGGTTCTGTGGGCGTGGCTTGGTGGATGTGGTATGGCTTGGTGGGCATGGCAGGGGAAGGATACTGCAAAATCTACGTATCCACCCCACTCCAGGGGAAGGATACTGCAAAATCCCCATTCCCTCCCCACTCCAGGGGAAGGATATTGCAAAATCTCCATTCCCACCCCAGTCTTATTCATATTTCCTTTCTAACCCATCGTAAAATTTATCCCATGTTCTGAAACACATCGACTCCTCTTTAACTTTTATTCTCAATGTTTGCATCCATGTTTTCTTGACCAAAGAAGCTTAGCATCTACACGATGATCATGCTAAGGTTTCATAACTGGTGCTGGAGACATGTCCATGTTCTGATCAATCTCCGTTTCTTTCCAGTAGAAGAGTTGCAAACTTCAACCTCTCTGCAGTGTTGACCTGGGAGATGACTGCCTTGCTTTGTCTTTGGACTGGTCCACGGGACGAGAGGAGTGGTAAGTGGTCTGAGGGCGTAGCACGGTGTTTCTCAACCTTGACAAATTTGACACGAGTTAGCAGCGAGAACAATTAATCGGTGGAACTGCTTGCCTCCTGAAATTGTGGGTGGTCCATCACTATGTTCTGACCCAGCCTTAGCAGAAGCAAGAAACAGACTCCTGGTCACGAAAATCCCCTCTTGTGAATTAATGGCATTCACCCCACCCAAAAGTCCAGGCAATAGTCCTTCAAGGAGTTAATTGCAGCAACAGACCTTATCAGTTCCTTGAGATAATTGCAAGGCCGTGAGCTCCCAGCCAAGGCTGCAAATTAAGTTCTGGCAGTCTTTGATGCACGAAACACAATGAGCAAAATCTTCAGAAATACCAATTGTTGTCTCCTACGACCACCACTCCCTCTTTCCTTCCATTTATTCCCCAGCCAGGGAGGGGCCATTCAGCGTCCATGTATGCTTTGCTTCCTGAGTTGACTCTTTGTCCTCCGTTGTTCTCCTCTCCTAACTGCTCTGCACATAGGTGCATCTGGAACAGGCCCCAGCTGTTCTTCCTCCTCACTCATCTCACGTAATTCATGAATGCGCGCACACCCCGCTCCTGGCATGTGATGGCCTGGTAGGCCCATTTTTCTCTTTCCCCAGGCTCCAGAGCCTTTCTAGGAGTCTGCGGAGGGCGAAAACGGCCTTCTCCACCCCCCCAGAGGCCAGAAACGGCCCGTTTCCTAACTTCCGGTGGGACTGGAAGGCCCGTTTTTTGCTGTCCCCAGCCTCCAGAGCCTCTCTAGGAGTCTGGGGAGGGCGAAAATGGCCTTCCCCTCCCAGGAGGCCCTCCGGATGCAAGAAACGGGCCTTTTTTGGCCTCCGGAGGACCTCTGGGAGGATGGGGAAAGCCGTTTTTGTCCTCAGACTCCTAGAAAGGCTCTGGAGCCAAGTGTGAGAGAAAAACGGGCCTTCCCCACCACCCCAAGGCCCTCCTACTTCTGGTGGGCCCAGAAAGCCAGAAAATCAGCATGCGCTCTCTGGAGCTGAGCTCGCATGGCCACTGATATGGCTACCCGCCACAAGTTCGCCATCACGGGTGTAGGGTCTCCTGCTTGGGTGGGAGGGGGGTTGGACTAGATGACCTACAAGGTCCCTTCCGACTCTGTTAATCTGTAAATCTGCAATTCCTGGACCTTCTGAAACTCCCCTGTCTCTTACAAGCATCACAGCAGAACCCACGCTGTGTCAACTTGCAAAGCTTTCAAGTTGCCATGAGCAGGAGGGAGGGAGAACTGAAGTGCATTCCATACATTCTTCCTGACCGCAATCAGAAGGAGGGTGTTAGGTTTCACAGCCAGCCAAAGTGGTTAATTGGAGAATGTGATTTATGACATGGCCAGAGAGGAGGGGAGAGACAGGGTCATAGGGGAACGTACATCTACGTAGGATCAGTCCTAACCGCATCCGAGTATTGCCGGAATGTTGCTCCTAATAAATGACTATATTTCCTTTGAAGTTTGGATCATGGCTCATGAATTAATTAAGGCATCTTTCGGAAACTTGGCACGCTGAGTTTTAAACTTTGCATCCTGGCTTCTGATCGATGCTGGATAGTGGTAGAGCTGGCAGGTTGTTTACCATTCATTCCTGCTTCTTCAGCAAACAAATTACCTTTTTTTAAAAAAACTATTCCACGCCAACTCTGCAGCGGCCACCCTCTGCAACTGGTCAGCAGCGATTCCAAAGGGAGAGTCAGCTTGCTGTCGGTGGACGAATCCGGTTCCTCGGTGCACGTCTTAGACCAATGGAAGGGACATGACTTCGAAGCCTGGGTCGCTGCGTTCGACTACTGGAACACTCCTGTTGTGTACTCAGGTGCGTCTTTGCTCTGATTGCAGTTGCAAGAGTCTCCGGGAAGCCAGGAATAGGTTGAATGTGAACCACTGTTGACCAACCGTTGCGGTGATGCGTGAATCAAAGATTGGCTTTGAAGCTTTCGGCGTGTCCTGTATTTCTAGTCTAGCTGGGGGACGCGGTGGCTCAGTGGCTAAGACGCTGAGCTTGTCGATCGAAAGGTCAGCAGTTCGGTGGTTCGAATCCCTAGTGCCGCGTAACGGGATGAGCTCCCGTTACTTGTCCCAGCTTCTGCCAATCTAGCAGTTCGAAAGCACGTAAAAAAATGCAAGTAGAAAAAATAGGGACCCCCTTTGGTGGGAAGGGAACAGCGTTCCGTGCGCCTTTGGTGTTGAGTTATGTCGGCCACATGACCACGGAGCCATCTTCGGAAACGGAGATGATCACCACCCCCTAGAGTCGGGAATGATATAATATAAGCCCTACCCCAAAAATAAGCCCCAGTTAAGATCGCCAACCAGACGGAGGCGTTCAGTACTGTATTTACCCCAAAATACAGAGCCTTGGTAGTACAGTGGTCTAAGGCACCCTGTTATTAAGCTGGTTATTAAGACCAGATGCCTGCAATTACTGCAGGTTCGAATCTCGCCAAGGCTCAAGGTTGACTCAGCCTTCCATCCTTTCTAAGGTAGGTAAATTGAGGACCCAGTTTGTGGGGGCAATAAGCTGATTTTGTATAAATATACAAAAGGATGAAGGCTATTGCTTAGCATATTGTAAGCCGCCCTGAGTCTCCGGAGAAGGGCGGCACATAAATCAAATTAAAAAAAAAAAAAAAGACCTAACCAGAAAATGAGCTATAATGCATCTTTTGGAGCAAAAAATTAATATAAGACCCGGTCTTATTTTGGGGGGGAAACGTGGTAGATAAGATGGATGGTTCAGGAATTAGATAATTACTTGGCATACATGAAAACCTTTCTACAGGCTAGCAGCGAAGCTAACTTATGTCCTGCTTTTTAGAAAAAAAATAGTAATAATCCGCTTTCGTCTTCCTAAAGACAACAGAATCATGTTATAGCAACTCATTTTTCTTGGTCTTCTCTTCCTGGATTTAGGTGGAGATGATTGCAAACTGCGGGGCTGGGATACTCGGAGCAGCTCAAGGGTTCCTCTCTTCACCAGCGAGCAGTAAGTAGTAGAATCTCTGAAAAGAATCGACAGCTCTGGTCTTGTGCCAGGAAGGCAGGAGGCGTGTGTTTGTATGGTGGATTGAACAGCCTTCTTTTGACGTGGGTTTCATTTCAGGCATTCTATGGGGGTCTGCAGTATTCAGAGTCACCCGCTGCGGGAAAATCTGCTAGCTACGGGAAGGTGAGTCTCTGGAGTATGTATATCAAGTCAATTTTAGGAGTCTCTTAAATTCCACATGGTTGTACAGGAAGTCCTCGATTTACAACAAGTTCGTTGGGAAAAAGAGAGACTTATGGCCATTCTTCACACTTGCGACCCCCATGGTCATAAGGTCACAAAAGGGAATCACATGACCCCGGGACTGTTGTGGCCCGCCAGCGGCCAGTGGATCTGGCAGTGCATTCGGATAGTGAGGAGGTTGGGGAGGAACATGGGTCAGTCCTGGAGTCTGGGGAAGGCTCTGATGAGGGCTCTGCGTCGGAGGCAGAGAGGGGGCCAGGGCCGTCTTGACAGTTATCAGCTGCCTTCGGAGTCGGACATCAGTGAGGCAGAGGAACAGCTGGAGCCTGTTCCCAGTGTGCGCATGCACAGAGTTGCCAGATGAAGGGAAGAGCTAAAGAACAAGGGTCGACTCAGGAGTAAGGCCACAGGTGGGCGATGAAGGGCCCCTCCCAGAGGGAATAAAAGAGGAGCGAAAGGGGAGTGGAGATTACAGGAGACAATTAGTTCTTTCCTGCATTCTTGCCAAGTATGAACGATATCGGCCTGGCCACTCTCCAAGCCTGATCAAGGTCGGTAATTGTGAACTATCTGGAAAGACTGTGGGAGAGGAGAGACTTTGCTGGAGAGGAATTCACTGTACATTAAACAAAAGGGGTTTATCGGGACGAGGACTCGGCTTTGGTCAGAACAGGGACACTGCAATGGTCATAAATACGAGTCAGTTGCTAAGCTTCTGAATTTGGATCATGTGACGACGAGGATGTTGCAAAATAAGTGCAAAGAGAGTTGCAAGTCACTTTATTCAGTGCCGCTGTAGCTTCGAATGGTCAAAACGATTGAGGACCAGCTGTACGGGGGTGAGGTGGGGGAACAGTTGTGGACGTAGGAAGGCTCTGCGGCTTTGGGAAAGGAGGAGAGAGATTTCTCGATTCTGTTTCCGCAGCTACGACGAGCACGTCCTTCTGTGGGACACCAGGAAGATGAAGCAGCCCCTGGCGGACACCCATGTGGAAGGCGGCGTCTGGCGCTTAAAATGGCACCCGTCCCAGGAGCAGTTGCTGTTGGCTGCCTGTATGCACAATGGCTTTGTAATCCTCCATTGTCCAAATGGTTTAGGTGAGTGTTTCGATTTGAGGAAGCCACACACACCCCCGTCACGACTGACTGCAGCTGTAATAGTTTCCAAATACAGAAGATGGGCCTTGGCTTAGGACAGGGGTCGGCAACCTTAAACACTCAAAAGAGCCACAAAGGTCCTAACCAGAAGCCCCCCCGTTCAATTCTGGAGCTGACCGGAAGTCCGATTCCCCCACCATAGAGTCTCCTCCTGGCACGCCCTGCTTCTCTTCCCCCCCTCCCCCAAACCGGAAGCTCCTCTCAAAATTGTGGTGCCGACTGGTGACAGGGAGCCGCAGCAGAGGGTTGAAAGAGCCACATGCGGCTCCAGAGCCGCAGGTTGCTGACTCCTGGTTTACGACCAGAGTCGAGCCCAACATTTCTGTTGCTAAATGAATCATTAAGTGAGTTTGCCCTCATTTTACAAACTCTTTTGCCCCAGCGAAGCGAATCCCTGCCGTTTTTTAAGCTAGTCACCGGGTTGTTAAGTGAATCTGGCTTCCCCAGGACTGTCATAAATATGAGTCAGTTGCCAGGCGTCCAAAATTTTGATTTACATGGCCATGGAGATACTGCAACTGGTGAAAAATGGGGTCATTTTTTTCATTGCCGTTGTAACTTTGGTCACTAAACGAACTGGATTACCTGTCGATGGGATTTTGACAGGGAGATTTCACCAGCCGGCATGACCGTGGCTAAGGATTCTTGGACTTTTGGAGTACAAGAATAAAACAACGGCTGACTTTGCATAGCCTTCTTAATCATATATAATGTTTAATATTTATATGCCACTCCTCTCGTGCTCACATTCTTTTAACCACTGCTTGCTGGATGGGAAAGGTTGGCTTGATTCAGGCTTATCCCAAAGATGGGATACCGCCCCCCCCAAAAAAACATAACATTTTCCCTCACCTCATTTACCTGAATAAGGAATATCATTATGTCCAGGTATTCTCTTTCTCTCCCCCTATTAGAAGAGAGCCAAGAGAAATGCACCATCCTTTCATCCTATGCCTTACACAATTCTTTGGCTTATGGAGCCGATTGGTCCAGGCTTCCATTGAGCGACTCTTTGGAGACGTCTACGGCGATGCTGACAATTCAGGAGGACCAAAGAGCCAGCCGGGAGGACCTGAGAGGGCAGAGCCTCAAGATCATTTACGAATCCCCCACGGCCACCTTCGATGTGCTGCTGGAGGAGGAAGAGAATCCACCTCCCGCGTCTCCATCCCGAGCGGAAGGCACCTTGGCCCCGCAGGGACCTTCTGGGGACGGAAGAGCTCCGGATACCAAAGCCAATGGGGATGTCCAAGCACCCAAAGCCCAAAGGGAGACCAGCCTCTTAGCAACGTGCTCCTTTTATGACAAGGTTCTACATGTATGGAAGTGGGAGGTCAGCCAGAATTCCCCTCTGGCTTAAACCCACTGTTGGGTTTGTGGATGGGAGTTCTGCCTCTTTTTTAAAAAAAAAAATTTCTATCTGCAGGGGGAAGAAACATGTTGGATGGATGACTTTTGGCAGAAGGGGGTTTTCTGAACTTTCGTCATTAAGACATTTTGTTACCGAACTAGGTAACATTATCAGAGCTAGAAGAGTGCAGTCTGCTGTGTGGAGGAGGAAGAGGACTGTAGGGTTCTCGGGACTCTAATGAGCTGGGTTGTTTTCTTGCAGACGTCTCATGACTCAACTAGGTAACATCATCAGTGCTAATGAGTGTGGTGTTTGCTCCCTGTTTACACACAGTAGCGTCTCCTTTCGGTCTCAATGGAGGTATGGTTTTCTCCTTGGAAGTTCTTGAGTAGGGTATTGTTTTCTCCTTCTCCGTCTGGTGTTAATTCCGGCTTATTTGGATATTGGATGCCGGGTGCTAGTTATAAGGTAAGCTACTGAATATAAACAGTACTTATTCGGTACTTTGGTACCTAGTTTGGTACTGAAACATCTGCAAGAAAACCATCAAATCTCAGAGAGCATCAAGGATCCCGCAGTTCAATTCCGAGCTACCAATATTCTATGTTTTTCTATTACTGCTGGGATCCTCCAGTGGCCGTGAGTTTTGAAGGATCTTATGTTGGTTCTTTCCACCAGCTTTTTTTTGTACTGCAGAAATAAGATTGTTCAGGTTCCCTAATTTCCTGCTAATTCCACTTTTCCCCTAAAATTTGATTCTTGCGACATTCTCAACCACCAGCTTTAACATGGGAGTGCCATTTGGCTCACCTTTTCCCCCCCCAAAGAAATAGGGAACCTGAAGTTTTATTCAAGCTTGGAAAAGAGACTGAAATTAAAAACGGCAACCAGTGATAAATCACAAAGATATTTTCTTGAAATCCAAGCACAAGCTCATTTGTGGGGTAGAATGGCCTTATCAAAGGGCATTATTTATAATCTGAGGTATTACCAAATTATGGCATTTTTATACCAACATGCTCATTGGCATTGTAAAGCACCTTTCAACTAAAATATATTTTTGATCTTTTTTACAATAAAATGTCTTTTAAGAGCCACGGTCTTTTTTATTTAAGCTACGGTATATTGGTGGGACATTAAAGAGTTACAAGTGTCAAAGCTTGCGTCAAAAAGTACTTTGGACTGGGCCAAATTTGCCTGTGTAGAGAATTGCAACTGCTAGGGATGGCAACTGTCTATGCAAGAGCTTGCTAGTTTAAACGATATAACGCAGGGGTCTGCAACCTTAAACCACTCAGAGCCATTTGGACCCATTTCCCACAGAAAACACCGGGAGCCACAAAACCCTTCCCGTGCCTGATTATTTCTTGAGCGGCCACAAAACTAGCATATGTAGTTGAATTAAACATTCTGTTTTCTTCTGAAACTTTTCTTTTCTTGGATTTATCCATGGTTGGCCTACCGGGGGTTGAAAAGCTCAATAAATGCCGGTGGATGTCACACATTGGCGGTTGTATGCATATTTTGAGTGATGGAGCCACAGCAGAGGGGTGAAAGAGCCACATGCGGCTCCAGAGCCGCAGGTTGCTGACCCTAGATATAACCAATTGAGGAAATCATAGCTAAGACCCAAGTCAGGTTTAAGAATTGTAGTTCATTCCCTGAACATACGAGAGCTCGAAGGTATGCTAATCCCTGTATTATTTTTTTAACTTTTGTGAAAAAGATCATTTCATTTTTTAATTTAAATCTAAGCAGCGCAGAAAACAGGAGCCCTTTCTCCCCACCAAACTCAGTACCTAAACTCCATAGCCAGAATCCCCATCATTTTAGTAACCTGCATTTCCCCACCCTTTGCAAGACCTCTTCCCAGGCGTTTTTTCTTCGAACAGAGACCCATCAACAACTCCACAGAGAAACAAATGTATTGAAGGCTTTTTTTTTTCTGGACACAAGTTTCAAAGCAGAAACATCAACACTTCCCAGGCAGGGAGGTGTAATATCCGCATTCTCTTTTATTCTTAACCCTCCTGCCCCAAAATCATCTGTTCCATAAGTCCCTTTCCAAGAAACTTTTGTCTTCTCTTTTTCCAGGAAATGGTCTTTTCTTCCAGGAAATTTCCCCTCTTCTTGCAGGAAATTTTCCCTTCTTCCAATAAATTGTCTTTTTTCCCTCCCTCTTCCTTCAGGATATTGTGTCTTTTCCTCCAGGAAATAGTCTCTTCCCCTCTTCTTCCAATAAATTGCCTTTCCCCCCCTCTTCTTCCAGGAAATTGTGTCTTTTCTTCCAAAAAAAAAATGTCTTTTCCCCTCTACTTCTAGGATATTGTTCTTTTTTTCCCTCCCTCTTCTTCCAGGAATTTTTCCCCTCTTCTTCCAATAAATTGTCTTTTTTCCCTCCCTCTTCTTTCAGGAAATTGTCCCCCCCCCCCCTTCCTCCAGAAAATAGTCTTTTCCCCTCTTCTTCCAATAAATTGTCTTTCCTGCCCTCTTCTTCCAGGAAATTGTGTCTTTTCTTCCCAAAAAAATGTCTTTTCCCCTCTCTTCTTCCAGGAAATTGTGTCTTTTTCCCTCTGCTTTCAATAAATTGCTTTTTTTCCCCTCTGCTTTCGATCCTGTATTTGAAAGGGCTTCAATAAAGTTGCAGTCCTGGGGGACAATTTGTCTCCACTGGGAAGAGTGTGTGTGTCTCTTTTTCTTTTCCTTCTTTTTCTCTTTCTTTCCTTTTTCTTTCTTCCCTTCCTTTTTCTTTCTTTTCTTTAATTCCTTCCACCCACTAGCGCACGAAGTTCTTGGGGAAGAGCTTGAAAAGCTTCCCCTCCTGGCTGTTCTCGAAGCCGTACTTCTCCAGGGCGTCGGGGTCGAAGGAGCCTTCCTTGACGTCCTTCTCGATGAGAGGCGCGGCGGTCCGCTGGAAGAGAGCGCGGGCGGTCAAGGGCGGCTCGCTACCCGCGGGCGCCCGGTAGGAGACGTAGGCCTTGAGCTTGAAGCCCGTCAGGTCAGGCACCATCAGCACCGGCACCTGGTCCTTTATCAGGCGGAACTTGCGGCTCGGCGTGATGGAGCCGAAGACTTTGCAGCCGCGGCTCTTGAAGAAGGTCCGCGGGCCCCGCTTGCTCGTCCAAGCCGACATACGGTCGGCGCCCCGGACCAGGCCTCGCGTCACCTCGCTCAGGAGACCCATAGCGAACTACTGCGGAAAGGCTTCAGCAGGCCCTCACCTCCGCAACATCGCCGCTTGCCATTGGGCCGTCCGGACGCTCCCAACCAATCCGCCTCTCCCGTACTCAAGTCCCGTTCGGATAGGGTGGGGTTTGAACCAATCGGATCCAAGAGGCCGGGTTTTTTTTGTTTTTTCCGTTGGTCACGCCCACCGCGGGGAATTGTCTCCTGATTGGGAGTTTGGTTCGGGATTCCTCCTGCTCGGCGGGGGAAGCCCGTGAGCATAGAGCTACGTAAAAGTGAAGAGAGATGCGGCTGCGGCGAATAAAGATATTTTTTTTAAAAATTATTAATTTAGAACCCGCCTTTTATTATCAATTATATTTTTATTCCGCCTTTATTGGTTTTTTTATAGCCCGTTTATAGTCCGCAGCCACCCCTCCAGAGGGACTTCAACAAACGGGCTGCTGCTGGGTGGGGACGATGGGCAATCCTAATTGTACTTAAAACAGCCCACGTTGGGAGGAACAGTACAACAACAACCCTGCGAGGTCGACCAGCTTTGGAAACTGAAAGTTTCAACACTGGAAGTTTGCAAGAAGAGATTGCGCAACTATTTCTCTGCAATGGTGTAGGGTTTCCTGCCTGAGCAGGGGGTTGGACTAGAAGACCTCCAAGGTCCCTTCCCACTCTTGTTATTCTATTTCTAGTATGATTGCTATTATTTCCATTTCTCAATTCAATTCGATTCAATTCAATCCTATGTATTGTACTGTATCCTTTATGCGTTGTATTGTATTCTCTTATGTATTGTATTGTGTTATATATATATATATATATAAATTTGATTTATATGCCGCCCTTCTCGGGAGACTCAGGGCGGCTTACAATGCGTTAAGCAATAGCCTTCATCCTTTTGTATATTTGTACAAAGTCTGCTTATTGCCCCCACAAACTGGGTCCTCAATTTACCTACCTTAGAAAGGATGGAAGGCTGAGTCAACCTTGAGCCTTGGCGAGATTCGAACCTGCAGTAATTGCAGGCAGCTGAATGTTAATAACAGGCTGCGCCACCAGGCTCTTTGCATATTGTATTGTATTCTACTGTATTCTATTATGTAATCTATTGTATTATGCGTTGTATTCTTTTATGTATTCTATTGTATTGTATTATGTATTCTATTGGTATTCTGTTATGTATTGTATTCCATAATGTATTCTATTGTATTCTATTATGTATTGTATCTGATATATATTGTCTTGTATTATGTATTGTATTGTATTCTGTTATTGTCTTGTCATCTATTCTATTATGTATTCTATTGTATTATGTATTGTATTCTTTTATGTATTGTATTGTATTGTATTGTATTGTATTGTATTGTATTGTATTGTATTCTATTCTATTCTATTCTATTCTATTCTATTATTCTGTTCTGTTCTGTTCTGTTCTGTTCTGTTCTGTTCTGTATGGTATCCTATTCTGTAATTGCACTGCCTTTCTCTTTATGTATTTCCTTCTGTATTGTATTGCATTGTGCTGTACTCCACTCTTATTCTTCCAGGTTTTGGGATTCCGGGACGGGCTTGAGGGGGGGGGGATTATGGGAGTTGCCTCCCTCCCTCCCCCCCTCCCTCCCCCCACAGGAAATTGGAATCCCTGCGTGAGGGGGGAAGGAAGAAGAGGGGGTTGGACTAGATGACCTTCCGGGACCCCTTCGCGACTCTGTGGCTGCCTAGGATGAAAGCCACTCCTGGCCTTTTTCCCCTGAGCCTCATTCCTCCGCCCTGACGTTTCCTCGGCTGCTGTGTCTCCAGCCTTGGGCGAACTAACCGCACCCATCCCGGGCGGGGAGGCCCCACCTGGTTGAAAGCCGCCCCCCCCCCCTCAGGGCACCCCTGACAGGCGGAAGTGACGCGGGTGGGCGGGGCGTGTGTGGGTGGGGGGGAAGCCCCCCCCCCCCCCGCCCAAGAATGACCCCTCAGCCGGGCAGCCGTTAGCAGCGCCGCCGCCGCCGCCCCCTCCTTCCCTCCGTCCTCCCTCCCTCTGTCCCGGCCATGGAGGACGCGGGAGCCTCGCCCTCCGACCCCCAGGTAGGGCCGCCTCTCTTGGCTCCCCACAAGCCCCTGGGACGCCAGGACTACAAGTCCCAGCAGCCCCAGCCGGGGAGAGGGTGGGGGGGTCCTGTCAGCCAGGAAGGCTGGGTTGGGAAAGGGGGGACTACAAGTCCCAGCAGCCCCAGCTGGGGAGGAGGGGGGGGAAAGGGGGTCCTCTCAGCCAGGAAAGCTGGGTTGGGGAAGAGGGGACTACAAGTTCCAGCAGCCCCAGCCGGGGAGAGGGGGTCTTGTCAGCCAGGAAGGCTGGGTTGGGAAAGGGGGGGACTACAAGTCCCAGCAGCCCCAGCTGGGGAGGAGGGGGGGAAAGGGGGTCCTGTCAGCCAGGAAGGCTGGGTTGGGAAAAGGGGGACTACAAGTCCCAGCAGCCCCAGCCAGGGAGAGGGGGTCCTGTCAGCCAGGAAGGTTGGGTTGGGAAAGGGGGGACTACAACTCCCAGCATCTCCAGCTGGGGAGTAGGGGGACTGTAGAGTGGGGTCCTCTCCTCCAGGAAGGCTGGGTTGGGGAGGGGAGGACTACAACTCCTAGCATCCCCAGCCGGGGAGAGGGGGGGATAGAGCGGGGTCCTGTCAGCCAGGAAGGCTGGGTTGGGAAAGGGGGGGACTACAAGTCCCAGCAGCCCCAGCTGGGGAGGAGGTGGGGGGGAGAAGGGGGTCCTCTCAACCAGGAAAGCTGGGTTGGGGAAGGGGGGACTACAACTCCAACATCCCCAGCTGGAGAGTAGGAGGGTGTAGAGCGGGGTCCTCTCCTCCAGGAAGGCTGGGTTGGGGAGGGTGGGACTACAACTCCCAGCATCCCCAGCCCTGGGTTGGAGTGGATTTCCCGGAATGGGATAGATGGGGGGGGTCTCCTGCATGAGCAGAGGGGGTTGGACTAGATGACCTCCAGTGTCCCTTTCTAATTCTGTCATTTCAGTCTTGTTGGATATGCCAGGCAGGGTGGACCTGGGGAGGGGGCATTGGGGTGAAATCAATCCTGGTTCTAGCAAACCTGGTTTAATGTTCCCCCTTCTGTCCTCTTTTTTATCTCTCTTTGATTATGAATTATTTCAGATTTGGGCTCTTCTCCCCCCCCCCACCTGTATTCTAACGCTTGCATTAACTTTCGCCTTCACCTTTATTGGTGGTTTAATGGTGGCTTGCTCCTTTGAAGTTGTGTGTGGTAATGGTTTGTCGGGACGGTCAATAAAATGGGGAAAACGATGGGACTACAACTCCTAAGATTCCCAGCCAGAGTGGTGTCAATTTCAGTCTTGTTGGTTATACGGGGTTGAATCCTTCAATCCTGCTTCCAACAAAAACATGGTTAATGTCAGAATCTCCCTTCACACATTCCCATCCTTTTTTTGGGGGGGGGGGGGTAAAGTTTTTTAAAAATTTTAAACATACATCAATATCATGTGAATGAGTTTTTAATGTTTTTAATGTTTTTTTAATTTTTCAATGTCTTTTTATAATGATTTTTAAATGTATTGTGAGCCGCCCTGAGTCTTCGGAGAGGGGCGGCATATAAATTTCATTAAATTAAATTAATTAAATCAATATCATTGCCTGGACAGTGTGGCATCTGAGTATCGTTCATTTTGGTACAAAACCCATATTAATACAAATAAAGAATTACTACATTAATCAAACAAGCATAATCTAGTGTTATATATATTAATATCAGCGCATATTCCTTCATTTTTCAATGAATCAGTATTTACTACATCCTTCTAATAGTCATAACATTGTTCTTGAGCCTATCTAATATCATCCTTTTTTCAAGATCTAATCTTAACCTCTGACGATCCCTTCAAATACGTTATACAAAAACGTGTATAACAATATTCTCCCTAATTCTAATCTTTTAAATCTATTTAACTTCCTCTGCTTATGAATTTTCAGTGCTCGGCTTTCTTTCCACATGTATTTTAACGTTTGTGTTGGTTTTTTATTAGCGGTTCGGTTTAAAAAAAAAAGTTTTTAAGTTGTGTTGCAATGAGTTTGAGATTGTGATTAAAAAAACACCCCCTCCTCCTACAAAGTGATGTGTTGTTAATGATTGTGTGTACGGATTGGCGTGATTTGATTGCATTTATTTGTCACGGAGGAAAAGAAAAAAAAATACCGGTAGTCCTTACGACCAGAATTGATCCCGCGACCGTCATACATAGGAACCAGTTGCCAAGCGGCTGGATTTTGATCATGTGACTGTCGTAGGCGTGGAAAATGGCCATTTTCCACGCCTACGACAGTCACGTGATCAAAATCCAGTCGCTTTTTTCAGTGCCTCTGTAACTTTGGTCACTAAACGAGCTGTTGTAAGTCGAGGACTAGCTGTACAACCCCTTCATTCTTTGCAAGAAAAGCATTCCTGTTTCTTCCACTGTTGGGTAATCCTCCCAAATGAATTTTCCTTCTGGGTTGCCTATTTATTATGTCTTTGTTTCCACATGGAATGAATATATATATACTGTATTTTTAAACAGAAACGTAGTGTCTAAGCATTCCTGCTTGTTTGCCAAAATTTTAACTTGTATCCTGGGGGGAAGAAGGAAAAAAACAAAAAGCATTTTCGTTACAATATTCTTTTGGTGGATACTTACTTCTTGTTCTTTATCCCTTGCTGAACTTCCAGAGTAACTGGTCTCCTTTTGAATTTATTTCCATTAATTCGAAGCCCACTTTTCCTGCGAATTCTTTGTACGCTGCCTGCTAACCTCTCTCGTGCTCCACAATTCAGCCGAAATAGGATATATAATTGCTGGTTATTTGCATCCCTCTCCCCCTGTTTTACCCTGCTTTTACAGATTTACAGATTTAACGGAGTTGGAAGGGACCTTGGAGGTCATCTAGTCCAACCCTCATCCAATGCAATGGGTTCCACCCCACCCCCTGCGCATACGCACACAACCCTGCCACGCTCCCCCCTCGCTTTTGGCATGCGATGGCATGATGGGCCCAATAGGCCTGTTTTTTCACCCTCCCCAGGCTCCAGGGCCTTTCCTGGAGCCTGGGGAGGGCAAAAACGACAAAACTCACTTAATAGGGACGTTGGGCTCAATTGTGGTCGCAAATGGAAGAATTAATTAGCTGTATTTTATTTTCTCCTTTCTCCTGTCTTCTGGTTGTTTGGTTAGCGTGGGAAGCTCTTTCTGGCCAGCGCCCTTGTTTGAATTGTAAAAGTCTTGGTCAGCCACGAAATGATGACAGTTTAAAATTGAATCATTGCCTCCGAACGGTGACTCTGTGTGTCATTAAACCTACAAATCGGCAAACCTGAAATGTGCATCTGTGTGTCGCTTTCTGAGCTTCCCTTTGGAGAGAATAATGCGCTTGTCCTGTGTATCGCTTTGTGAACAGAAATAAAGATCGAGTTTTGCATGGCTGATTTTGTGCCGTTTGTTTAACTGCTTGGACCTTAAAAGCAGAACCTTAATTGCGTAATTTTTCTTTCGTCCTCCACCATTAGATGGCATTGCTTGTCCAGTCAGCTCTTAGTCCTTACACAAACCACCCTTGAAAGTTAAGGGTGTGTATTTGTCTGCTGTCAAACCTTTGGGTTTGGTTCTGAAATGCTTTTTGGGTCTTTCAAACAAAGGAGCCAGAATTTTTCAAAGGAGGCCGAGCTGCGTGTTTGAAGACTGATTTTTTCTCTCTTGCTTCCGCGTAGGGCAATCTTGGCACAGATCCATCGTAACACAGGTACAATTTATTTGAAACGGTCCAAATTCCACTTGGGAGGAAAAAAAAAAACAACCAAACCCCAAACCTTGATGATTTATAAAGAGAAACAGCTCTTTAGGAGATTTTCTTCTCTCGTTGCGAAGATGGAAACCATCAGCAGGGAGTTTGAAGCGGAGATTAAAATCATTGGCTGGAAAAATCAGGGATGCTCTTTAGAAGAATCGTTCCGTTGTTTTCATTTCCGAGCTTCAGTCAGTTTTCAAAAGTGCGAAGTTTTCCCTAAGTCTTTGGGGAGAAAATGTTGGTTCCTCTCCAACGTACGGTAGTTTATATACCTTTGGTGTTTTTATCCTTTAGGTCAGCCTCTTAACAAGCTCCGACCTACGAACTCGAGTTCTCCAATTTGTAGAAGAGAGGATTCAGACAACTATGGTAATGTTTGGGAAAAATTTTGGAGAACGTTTGAAACAAGACTTCTCATTGACGTGTCTGCTCCAAGCAGGAACATCTGTTTTGTTTTGGTTTTTTTTTAAATAATTTTTATTCAACATTTACATTTTTAACATCCTTGTTACATTTTTACAGCTTTCTGATACCGGCATCTTTGATAATATCTATTTTCTCTTTTAACCAACTATATACACGTACATTTTATATATTACTTACTAAGTTCTATATTCACTACAATTTATACCTATCTATTATACAATAACTATTTCTCTCTTCTCTAATATCTTCTCTTACGGTTATACATTTATACATTAATTTTGGATACCCCCGGCGAGATTGGCCAAGATATCCCCCCAAAAATGCACCAAATTGCTGGAAATGCAATCATCAACATGGGACATATTTCCACATGTGGTGGACATGTCCCAAAGCCAAGGCATATTGGTTAAAAATCCAAAAATGGTTAGAGGAAATGACAGGGGGGAAAACTTGCTATGAAACCCAAACTATTTTTATTGGGAATTATAAAAGAGAAGATTAGGAAAGAAATTTATTATCTTATACTTCACATAATTACGGCTGCCAGAATTTCATTTGCACAAAATTGGAAACACAGATTTGCTCCATCAAATACAGTGATCATAAAAAAAGGTGCTAGAATGTGCAGAAGCAGATAAATTAACAATGGAACTAAAAGACCGAGAGGAAATTATTTATTACGAGACAAGGAACACCTGTTTTTACATCACACCCAATTTCCCTGTCCGCGTTTCCTTCCCTTCTAACCAAAATTAGAGGATTATTACGGCTGTAATAAATGTTGAAGTGATGATGATGTCTGATTAGTCATGTCCTAATCAGACCTGGAAATGGCAGTTTATTAATGCGGCCCAGGAATCTGCACATTCTGGTTACTCGCGAGTAGTCACAAAGTCTCCAAGGCTTTGTCCCGTGGCCTCCAAAACAGCATAAGATCACGTATAAACGTGATTTATGAATGCATGAATGTAAAGAGCGATTTAGTCATTGTGAATATTTCAATTTTAAATCTATTGTCTCAATACACGTAAAAGAGGATAGTGTGGCCTCCAAAACTGCATAAGAAGAGAGAAGAGCCTCTGTTGTAAGCTGGGCGCTGGGGTGATGATGAATTTATAAGATTTATTTTATTTTATTTTTTTGCTGTTTGGAAGCAATAGAGATGCTCATTTTTTCTCCCAAATCTGCAGCATTGATTCTTGGTTGCTCCAGATTAGGAGTTTATTAAACTACTAACCCAACACAGGTACTCCTCGATTTACGACCGGTCACTTAGCAAACCTCCCTAGCAGTGGTGGGTTTCAAATTTTTTTACTACCGGTTCTGTGGGTGTGGCTTGGTGGGCGTGGCATGGCTTGGTGGGTATGGCTTGGTGGGCATGGCAGGGGAAAGATACTGTAAAATCTCCATTCCGTTCCCAATCCAGGGGAAGGTTACTACAAAATCCCCATTTCCTCCCGATCAGGGGTAACTTGGGAGGCAGAGAATAGATGGGGATGGGGCCAGTCAGATTTTTACTACCGGTTCTCCGGTAATTTTTAAGTAGTTCGGAGAACCAGTAAATACCATCTCTGGCTGGCAGTATCCTTCCCCTGGAGTGGGGTAGGAATGGAGATTTTACGGGATCCTTTCCCTGCCATGCCCACCAAGCCATGCCATGCCACGCCCACCAAGCCATGCCATGCCATGCCATGCGCTGATGATGTGACCTCGTTGGGTCGTGAAACGTCCAGGAGAAAACAACGGAGCTCGGAGAGCGTTGAAGACGCTCCATGTTTACCTATGGTTGAAGATGAACTGTCTTTTCACTTCTGTCCGCAGTTAACCGGGATAGCCATTGGCGCAGCGGTGGCCTTGTCGCTGATTGGGATCGTGGTGTATTTTGTGTACAAGAAGGTGAAGGAATCGAGTAAGTCTGACCGCTTAGCACGAACCCGTCGTATGTGGGTAACAGAGGGGAACGGTGCACGGTGGAGCAGCTGGGAGGGTTAAGAGACCAGATTTCTCAGCCTGTTGGAAATAATAATCGGCTCATAATAACGCATCAGAAATGGGTCTCCAAGAATCGAGAGCCAGTTTAGTCTAGTGGTTAGGACACCAGGCTAGAAAGTAGGAGGCCGTGAGTTCTAGTCCCGCCTTAGGCATGAAAGCTGGCTGGGTGACTTTGGGCCAATCACCAGGAGATGGTGAGTTCTAGTCCCACCTTAGGTATAAAACCCAACTGGGTGACTTTGGGCCAATCACCAGGAGACGGTGAGTTCTAGTCCTGCCTTAGGCATGGAAACCGGCTGGGTGACTTTGGGCCAATCACCAGGAGATGGTGAGTTCTAGTCCTGCCTTAGGCATAAAACCCAACTGGGTGATTACTCACCAGGAGATGGTGAGTTCTAGTCCCGCCTTAGGCAGGAAAGCAGTCTGGGTGACCTTGAGCCAGTCCCCCCTCACAGGGTAGTTGTGGGGAAAATAGGAGGAGAAAAGTGTGTTTGTATAATGCTCGCCGCCTTAAGTCATTTGTAAAAAAATAACAAAGGATACCAACGAACCAATAAAATCAACCTAAATGAGAAGCCTAGGTCAGTTAAATTAACCTACGCCTCCCTTTCTGTATATTTGATGCCACTGCGAATTAGACTGTCTGTAGACTTTGGGAAAGTGGACCTCCAGGTGATGATGGCTCTTCTTTTGCTTTTCAGAACAATCTCAGGCACACGTGCCCCAGTACAGATTTCGCAAGAGGGACAAAGTGATGTTCTATGGCCGTAAGATCATGCGGAAGGTAAGGGTTAAGGGTTCGAGTCGAGCCGAGCTCAGCGGTGAGGTTAGGTTGAGTTCAGACGTGACCCTCAGTGGTTGAATCCGTGATTGCCGCAAACTCTCCTGGGCTTCGATATTAAACTGCGCGGTCCTTGGCGCTCTCTTGAGCTTGGTGCTTTTCTTGGAGACGTTTCATGACCTTACTAGGTGGCATCATCAGTGCCAGAAGGGAGTGGGGTGTGAGAGGAGGAAGAGGAGGACGAGAACTGTGGGATCCTTGATGTCATAGCTCCGAATGGTCACTAAACATACGGTTGTAAGTCGAGGACTACCTGTACCATGTCCACAAATCCTTGGAAAAAGGTGGATCTCCCTATACATTCTTGAGATTTCCTTGAGGTCCCCGGAACTCGGATTTGACGGAAGGAAAAGTAGCCAAGGGAAGGAACGGCGTCTTCCCCTTGCTTTAATTAACTGATTAATTAACTCCCTCTCCCTTAATTGGTTAATGGACTAAGGATAATATTATGCTGCAATAAAGAAATGTAATTCAACAATTAAATTCGTGGGTTCTCTCCTCTCCTCTCCTCTCCTCTCCTCTACTCTACTCTCTTCTCTCTTCTCTTCTCTTCTCTCTTTTACTCCTCTTCTTCTCTACTCTACTCTATTCTATTCTACTCTATTCTCTATTCTCTCTTCTATTTTCTCTTCTATTTTATTCTACTCTACTCTGTTTTCTCTTTACTCTCTTCTCTTCTTTCTTCTCCTCTAATCTCTTCTCTCTTTTCTTCTACTCTCTTCTCTTCTCTTCTTCTCTACTCTACTCTCTTCTCTCTTCTCTCTTCTATTTTATTCTACTCTTCTCTCTCTTCTCTTCTCTTCTCTTCTCTTCTCTTCTCTTCTCTTCTCTTCCCTTCCCTTCCCTTCCCTTCCCTTCCCTTCCCTTCCATTCTTCTATTTATTCAATAGGTGACTGACTATAAGTTGAGAATTACTAGAATTGTAGTTCTGGGTCTGCTCCCTTTGCAGACGAATTTCAAAGCTCAGTAAGACCTTTGCAAGCGATTTCCACCCTTCTATTGGTCTTTAGAATTTACGTAGGCTTTACGTAGGCTTTGTTCCCTGCAATTGTGTGCAGCATCTTTGTTAGTGCAGTTGGGGCGGTTGTGTTAACGGTCACAAGGTCGTCGCTCCCTCAGCAAACCTAAGGCCTGGTGCATTTTTCCTGAATGCTTTTCGTCACAATGCAACGTTCTTCCTTGCAGGTGGTCACTCTACCAAACTCGCTGGTCGGCAACGCGATGCCTCGTCAGCGGATGCGGAAAAGGGCCAAGGTGCTGTCCTTGGCAAAGAGGTAAGGTTCCAAGGGCAATTTTGAGCATTTTGGATAAACTCTACATAATTTCCTCCATAAAATACAGACTTAAGAGAGTTAGAAGGGACCTTGGAGGCCTTCCAGTCCAAAATAATCTAAACCGTCTCTTGCTTTTCAGAAAAAATATCCCTCTCTTTCTTTCTCCCTCCTGGGAACCCTGACTCTATTCCACCAAAATACTAGACTAAACCACAATGAAGTTAATCATGATTATGTGATGATCCCCAGGGACTGAAATATGAAGGTTATTCGCTTTGCCCCAAATCCTGGCTATAGATAAACATTGATTAATATTTCCCTGGTGAGGAGCATTAAACCTACAGATAAGAAGGAGCTGGATCCTTCCCAGGACCAAGGAAGTAGCAGTAAATGGTTCTTTTGGTCACCCTTGCAGGATTCTGCGCTTCAAGAAGGAATCTCCCATCCTGCAGCCCAAGGACCCACCTCCCTCCCTGCTGGAAGCCGATTTAACGGAATTTGACGTCAAGAGCTCCCACCTGCCTTCTGAAGTTCTTTACATGCTTAAAAATGTCCGGTAAGTTCGTTGACTCGTCAGCTTGCCTGACACGGTGGAATTCCCAATTAGTTGCAAAACAACTACTTCAGAAGAAGTCCTTCGGGATAATCACCAACCTTTATTTTCTTTGACATCCTGCCAAAGGCCTTACTTGGCAAAGCCCCATGAAGTTCAGAAACAAACAAGAGATGCCGACTGGAAACAGAGTTAGCAATGTTGCTTTCCTGCAAAAGGCCCAAGTGCCTTTGTTTCTCTTTTAAGACTTATGGGAGGGGCCAATCATCTCCTGGCCTTACTCCCGAGTCATCCCTTTTGCTTTAGCTACTCTTACCTTCTGGCAGCTCTGCGCAATGCATGCACTAGGCTCCTCCTGTTCCTCTGCCTCTCTGCTGTCCGAATCTGGGGGCTCCGGAGTCCGTGCATCACTCCCAGATGGCCCTGGCCCCATCTCTGCCTCCGACGCAGAGCCCTCATCCAAGCTTTCCCCAGCCCCCAGGACTGGCCCATGTTCCTCCCCAGCCTCCTCACTGTCCGACTCCGCTGCCAGCTCCGCAGACTGGGTGGCGGACCACAACAGACAGTGAGGAGGTTGGGGAGGAACTTGGGCCAGTCCTGAGGGCTGGAGAGAGCTTGGATGAGGGCTCTGCGTCGGAGGCAGAGAGGGAGATAGGGAGGCAGAGGAACAGCTGGAGCCTGTTCCCATTGTGCACATGCGCAGAGCTGCCAGAAGACAAGCACAACTCAGAAAGCAGGGTCGACTCGGGAGTAAAGCCACACCTTGGAGGTGATTGGCCCCTCTCATAGGAAACAAAAGAGGAGCGAACGGGAAGTGGGCTTTTGCAGGAAACAATTTGTTCGTTCCGTGACTCTGAGAGACTCTGTGCCAAATTTGGCCTTGTACTGCGGTGGGAAACCAGTTACGTGGCAGCTTTGCCAAACGAGATAACAAGGTGTGTTGAGAAATATTCCTTTGAAAAACTGTTTGGACAAGCCTTGCTGACTTGTGAATGACCGTAATTCACAGTCGTGTAAATAAAAGAGGTTTTGCCGGGACCGATTCCTGCCTCCTGCTTGTTAAGGGAGCCTAGGTCAGAACAGGAAGACGGTTCAGCCTCTTGTCTCGGGCTCTGCTTGGTTTTGCAAATTCTTCTCTCCCCCTCCCCAACCGCTTGATCTGTTTTCCCCAGGGTCCTCGGTCACTTTGAGAAGCCCCTTTTCCTGGAGCTGTGCAAGCACATGGTTTTCGTGCAGCTGCACGAAGGGGAATATATCTTCCGGCCTGGACAGCTGGACAACAGCATCTACGTCGTGCAGGACGGGAAGTTGGAAGTCTGCATCCAGGAGAGCGTAAGGAGCGTTCCGCGAGGAGATCGGAAGGGCAGATGTTTGGAAGGGAACATCAGGAGCTCAGGGTTGCAGTGAGGGGGTTGCCTCTGCCTTGGCTTCAAGCACACAGTGTCTTTTTCTTTCTCCGACTTTCCCCCAGGATGGCACAGAGATGGTGGTGAAGGAAGTCTTGGCCGGAGATAGCGTGCACAGCCTTCTCAGCATTCTGGACGTCATCACGGTGAGGCCCGCGACCCATTTGGCTTTCCGAGTGGTGCTCTGTCCCTTTGTTTTGATTTGAATAAGTGGGCAGGGCTTCCGGGAAGGGGGTGTGTCCAATCAGGGTTAACCCGATGGCGATTGCAACGAATTCGGTTCCTGCGTTTGCCATGGCAAATTGAGAGCTTCAAAAACATCCCTTCAAGGGCTAGGAACCCTGAGATCAATTCTCGCTTCGGTTTCTGGAGGAGAAAAACGGAGGAGCCAAATTTATCGACGCGCTACGGGTAGTCCTCCACTTATTGCATTTAGCGACGTTCAAAGTTACAACGGCATGGGGGGGGGGAGAAAAAAAAGCGATTTATGAGCATTTTTCACACTTAACGACCGTTGCAACGTCCCCATGATCACGGGATCAAAATTCAGACGCTTGGCAACCGACTCGCATTTATGACCGCCGCATTGTCCCGGGGGTCTCCTGACGATCGAAGTCGATGGGGAAGCCAGATTCACTTAGCAACTGAACTGCCGGGATTCATTTAACGACGGTGGCAAGAAAGGTTGCAAAACGGGGCAAGCACTCACTTAACAACGGTCTCGCTTAGCAGCAGAAACGTTGGGTTCAGTTGAGGTCGTAAGTCGAGGTCTACCGCCTGAGTGTAACTTTATTCTTCATTGCACGTTTCTCTTAGCATAACAGTCATTTTTAGCACTCTCCGGAGGTAAGTGTTCCCAAAACTTGATTGCTCCAGCAACCCGGTGGGTCTGAGTTCGAAAAGCCTTCCAGAATCTTCAAAAACCCTGCGGCTTCCTTTTTCTTTTCCCCCTGCCAGGGCTCGTATTCAAGACTTGCCAGCTCATGTCCAGCCAACGCTTACTCCATTATCTTTTTTATCTCCTGTAATTAAGAATTGATCACCCGGTCGGGGATAAAGCAATTAAGCTGCCCAGAAACCAGTGGGGGATTTGTATTTTTCCCAGGGCTGGGAAGAACAAATATGTGGCGGGAGCGACTTTTTTTTTTTTTTTGGACTGGGAAGATGTTCGGAGTCGGGGCGGGTTTCGGGTTTCGGATGGAAGGTTGCGTGTGTCCTGACAAAAGGAAAGAACAGAAAATATTCACAGCTGAACCATGCAAGATCTGGTATGGTGGAGTTTAAATGTTTCAATCCAGGGGAGCGAACTGCATACATATTTTTCCCTTTATCTTTGCCCAAAGCCTAAGGCAGGACTAGAACTCCCAGTCTCCTGGTGATTGGCCCAAGGTCACCCAAGTCTTCCCATGTTTTAAGGCAGGACTAGAACTCCCAGGCTCCTGGTGATTGACCGAAAGTCACCCAGCTGGCTTTCATGCCTAAGACAGGACTAGAACTCCCAGTCTCCTGGTGATTGGTCCAAGGTCACCCAAGTCTTCCATGTTTTAAGGCAGGACTAGAACTCCCAGGCTCCTGGTGATTGACTGAAAGTCACCCAGCTGGCTTTCATGCCTAAGACAGGACTAGAACTCCCAGTCTTCTGGTGATTGGTCCAAGGTCGTCCAGTCTTTCATGCCTAAGACAGGACTAGAACTCCCAGTCTCCTGGTGATTGACTGAAAGTCACCCAGCTGGCTTTCATGTCTAAGGCAGGACTAGAACTCCCAGTCTCCTGGTGATTGACGCAAAGTCACCCAGCTGGCTTTCATGCCTAAAGCAGGATTAGAACTCCCAGTCTCCTGGTGATTGGCCTAAGGTCGTCCAGTCTTTCATGCCTAAGGCAGGACTATAACTCCCAGTCTCCTGGTGATTGACCGAAAGTCACCCAGCTGGCTTTCATGCCTAAGACAGGACTAGAACTCCCAGTCTCCTGGTGATTGGTCCAAGGTCACCCAAGTCTTCCATGTTTTAAGGCAGGACTAGAACTCCCAGGCTCCTGGTGATTGACTGAAAGTCACCCAGCTGGCTTTCATGCCTAAGACAGGACTAGAACTCCCAGTCTTCTGGTGATTGGTCCAAGGTCATCCAGTCTTTCATGCCTAAGACAGGACTAGAACTCCCAGTCTCCTGGTGATTGACTGAAAGTCACCCAGCTGCTTTCATGTCTAAGGCAGGACTAGAACTCCCAGTCTCCTGGTGATTCACGCAAAGTCACCCAGCTAACTTTCATGCCTAAGACAGGACTAGATCTCCCAGTCTCCTGGGGATTGGCCCAAAGTCACCCAAATCTTCCATGCCTAAAGAAGAACTAGAACTCCCAGTCTCCTGGGGATTGACTCAAAGTCACCCATTTCAATAACTTAGGCAGGTCTGGAACTCACCGTCTCCCCTTTTCTAGCCTGGTGATTTAACCACCAGACCAAACCAGCTATTTGTTTTGTTTGGTTCTATTTTGGACACGCCGCGCGAGCTATTGTCGCCTGTCCGTCATGTTTACGGCTTTGCCTTAATGAGGAAACCCAGCCAATTGTAATAAATTGGATAAATTTGATCGTGTAAGCCGTGATTAGCACAATACATCAGCCCAGCCGCAACACAATAAGGAATCATTTCTTCTGGGCAGGCGAGATGTCAGCTCAAGGATGAAAACAATAACCCTCTTTCTGCAGGATTAAAAACACCTCCTGCTCACCTTCACCTTCAATTATGGAAAAATCTCTGCCATAAATAACGCAGGCAAACTTTCAATTTGTCCCGTTATGTTTCCCCTCTCCTTTCCCCCCCCCCCCGAGACTCAAAGCTTCAGTCCGTGCTTCTAAAAATACTGAATCACCAGCCTGAATTGAGGGATTTACCCATTAATTCCTTCCATCTCTCTTCTCCCATTGGAGAAGAAAACCTGTTCATTTTAGCGGCTGTAGAAATAAATCTGTGGTTTGGCCGCTGCAGGAAAGCCAGGTGACTGGAATTGGAGTAGTGGTTATAAGGTAGTCCTTGACCTATGACCATAACTTAAGGCCGACGTTTCCAGTATTAAGCAAGGCGGTTTGTTCAGTTAGTCACATGCCCTATTATGACCTTTCTTGCCACGGTTGTTAAATGAATCAATGCAGCTTTTAAACGGGTAACACGGTTGTTAAGTGAATCTGGCTTCCCTGTTGATTGTCGTTCAGCAAGCAAGTTGTTAAATGAGTAACGCTCCTGTCGCGTTCGAACCGCTTGCCAGTGAACCAGGAGGGAGGGAAGGGTGAGATGGAATGTGCGCTCCAGACATCAAGAAGATGAACGGCGAGAGCCAAGGACACTTCAGCAGGTGGTTGCCAGAGCCAAAGACTTTTTCTCATAACAATACAAAGAGACTCAATTGGCAATGTGACCTGCTCTAATAGGGGGAGGGAGAATCCTATATTTTAATTACGTGGGTTTGCACGGGAATTAGCTAGATCTGGTTTTGTCCTCATCGGTGCCAAAATTGCCAAGTGTCCGAATTTTGATCACATGGATGCTGCAACAGCCATAAGTGCGAGGACCGGTTACAAGTCCCGTTTTTTTTCAGTGTCGTCTTAACTTTGGTCACCAAACGGATGTTTGTAAGTCGAAGACTTAACCTGTGCGACAAAAACATGTCGGGCCTCTTCTCCTTCCTAGGGTCATCCTGCTCCGTATAAAACCGTTTCTGCTCGAGCCGCGATGCAGTCCACCATTCTGCGTCTCCCAGCCAACGCATTTCAAGACGTCTTCCAGAAATACCCCGAGACTCTCGTCAGAGTCGTGCAGGTGAGGCCGGGCTGATTCACAAGGCCCCGGACTCACGCAGTGCCTCTCCGAAACGAGAGAAGAGCAAGAAAACTGACGGAAAAGCATACAAACCATCATTTCTGCTTTCTATATCTCTAGATTATCATGGTGAGGCTGCAGAGAGTCACTTTCCTGGCTTTGCACAACTATCTGGGACTGACCACTGAACTCTTCAGTTCTGTAAGTGAAAGCTTGTGGGGGACGCTGGTAAATTTGGGGGAACGTGGAATCACAGGGCGGGAATGGAGCTCGGAGGTCTTGTACTCCACCCTCTCTTTTGCCCAAGGGTACGGTTGGCTGAAATGGCTGTGGAAATGGATGGCCTGAGTTTGATGGCCTCTAAAGCAGGGGTGAAATCCAGCAGGTTCTGACAGGTTCTGCAGAACCGGTAGCGGAAATTTTGAGTAGTTCGGAGAACCGGCAAATACCACCTCTGGCTGGCCCCAGAGTGGGGTGAGAATGGAGATGTTGCAATGTCCTTCCCCCAGGAGTGGGGAGGGAATGGGGATTTTGCAGTATCCTCCCCCTGCCAGGCCCACCAAGCCACGCCCACCAAGCCCCAACAGGCCCACCAAGCCACACCCACAGAACAGGTAGTAAAAAAAATTGGATTTCACCACCGCTCTAAAGCCCTCCATCATACAGGTAGTTCTCGTTGGTCAATAAATTTAATGAGAGAGAGAGAGAGAGAGAGAGAGAGAGAGAGAGAGAGGGAGAGAGAGAAGAGGAGAGATGATCGATGAACGATGAATAGATAGGTTGAGTGGATAGATATAATAGGTAGAATGGTTAGATGGATGGAGAGAGATGACAATAAATACACGGATAGATAAATGGTTGCCCATCCAACCACAGGGCTTCCTGACCCAAATTTTTTTTGTCACGCCTCTTCTGCCCCCCCAGGAGAGTCAGGCCATCCCCCTGGTCTCAGTTGCCAGCGTCACCTCCGGGGTCAACCCCAGCCGAGTGGTCAAAAGGCAGATGTCCAACCTGTCGGAGGAGGAGCGGGCCGAGAAGCTGGAGAGACACGCCTCCCTGGAGACCACAGGTGACGCTTTGCCCTCGGACAGGGCAATCTGGAAGGGGGTCACGTCTGCAAGGATTTTGCATATCTCAAGACGGGCACCCCCCCCCCCATTGATCAGGCTTCGGTTTGGCATGAGGGGTGCCAGTGCAATTGAGAAGATTCTACGGAGTGGGTGAAGTTAGTGGCTGAGGAAAGAGAGAGTTTTAGCAGAGATGAATTTATCTCTGGCTACTTGCCATGAGGGTTCTTTCTTTCCTTCTTTCTTTCTTTCTTTCTTTCTTTCTTTCTTTCTTTCTTTCTTTTCTTTTCTTTTCTTTTCTTTCTTTCTTTTTTCCTTCTTTCTTTCTCTCCCTTCCTTCCTCCCCTCCCTCCCTCTTTCTTTTCTTTTCTTCCTTCCTTTCTTTTTTCTTTCTTTCTTTCTCTCCCTTCCTTCCCTCCCTCCCTCTTTCTTTCTTCTCCTCCCTCTTTCTTTCTTTCTTTCTTTCTCTCCCTTCCTTCCCTCCCTCCCTCTTTCTTTCTTCTCTTTCTTTCTCCCTTCCTTCCCTCCCTCCCTCCCTCTTCCTTCCTTCCTTCTCTTGCTTTCTCTCCCTTCCTTCCCTCCCTCCCTCCCTCCCTCCCTCCCTCCCTCTTTCTTTTCTTTTCTTCCTTTCTTCTTTCTTTCTCTCCCTTCCTTCCCTCCCTCCCTCTTCCTTCCTTCCTTCCTTCCTTCCTTTTTTCTCCCTCCCTCCCTTCCTTCCTTCCCTCCCTCCCTCCCTTTTCCTTCCTTCCTTCCTTCTCTTGCTTTCTCTCCCTGCCTCCCTCCCTCCTTTTCTTTTCTTCCTTTTTTTCTTTCTTTCTCTCCCTCCCTCCCTTCCTTCCTTCCTTCCTTCCTTCCTTTCTTTCTCTCCCTTCCCTCCCTCCCTCTTCCTTCCTTCCTTCCTTCCTTCCTTCCTTTCTTTTTTCTCCCTTCCTTCCTTTCTTCCCTCCCTCCCTCCCTCTCCCTTCCTTCCTTTCTCCTCCTCCTCCACCTCCCTCCCCCTCTCATTGTGTGGGTTGGGTTAGCTTGAAAGAGGACCACAGAGTTCACCCCAGTTAGCGAGCCCTCAATCCTGGTTTAGACGGCCTAACAGTTGCCTCCACCTCCAACCAACCCCACCACAATACGGCCCTCGCCCTCTTGAGCAATTTCTTCCAAGGTGGATTATTTACATTTGCCAGCCAGTTCCTTTGCTGGGAAGCTCACCTGCGATGTTCCCAATTGTAGATTTTGGAAAACTTCCCGGCTCAGAGCTTCTGCTTCGAAGAAGCTTATCTCTGAACATCCCCTTTGGATATACGGATGCTGCAGGTGAGCGAGAGGGTAACCGGAGCGTACCTTGAGCTGTGCAGGTAGTTCTCGACTTATGACCAGCAGCGGAGCCCCAAATTTGGCGGTTGCCAAGTGAGTTCTGCCGTCTTTTGCGGCCTTCTCTTGCCACCGTTGTTAAGTGAACCGCTGCCATTGTTCATTTAGTAACACGGTTGCGTTACTACATCCTTTGACCACGGAGGTGTTGCTATAGTGCTGCGGAAAACGTTCCCAAGTTGCTTTTTTTCAATGTACCTTCGAATGGTCGCTAAAGGAGTGGGCTATAAATCGAGGACTGCCTGTAAGTGCTCTTCTGGGTCACTCCCTAAATATGTATATATATTTTTAAAAGAGGGTGGATGGAAAGGCTGAGGAGTCGAGTGTGAAGTAAGACCTTCTCTGTCCTTCATCTGTACCTCACTCAGGTGGAGCTAAATCAGACTCGGAAGCCGTCAGCGATAGGCACCGGATTGAAATTGATACTTCTTCCTCGGATACAACTGCTTATAAGGTACTTTTTCTTAGCCTTCTTGGTTCCTTTGGCGTTTAACGACCTATAGAAGAGAATATTCGTAGCTCAGGGTTGAACTTTGGGGTCCTTGCACTGATGACGCTACCTACCTGGGTAATGAAATGTCTGCAAGAAAATCACCATTCTTGGAAAGTATCTGGACTCCACAGTCGTCGTCTTTCCTCCTCTTCCTCTTCCTCCTCCTCTTCCTCTTCCTCCTTCTCCTCCTCTTCTTCCTCCTCCTCCTCCTCCTCCTCCTCCTCCTCATGACCTAGGCTAACTGAGTAATTACAATTCACAGATTAGTCCCAAATGAACCTATTTTATTATAACAGCTGAGAAGTCCAACCGGAAACTGGGAATGGTGTTGCTTCCACTTTTTAAAAATTGAGCCTTTTTGGTGCCTGGGGAAGAAAACGCGTGACTCTGCCGTCAGGAAAAATGCCGCCCAGGAACCAAAATGTTTTTTGAAGTCAATTTTTTTTAAAAAAAACAAATGCAAAAACAGACCCGAGGATGAGTTTCGGGATTAAATTCCAAGTCTAAAAATGGTGTTGCTTCTACTTTTTAAAAATCGAGCCTTTTTGGTGCCAGGAGAAGAAAAGGCTTTACTCCACGGTCAGGAAAAATCCTGCCCAGGAACCAAAATGTTTTTTGAAGCCAAATTTTTTTTTGAAACCAAATGCAAAAACGGACACCAGGATGAGTTTCCTGATGAAATTCCATGTCTAAAAATGGTGTTGCTTCAACTTTTTAAAAATCAAGCCTTTTTGGTGCCAGGAGAAGAAAAGGCTATTTACTCCGCGGTCAGGAAAAATGCTGCCAAGGAACCAAAATGTTTTTTGAAGCCAATTTATTTTTTTGAAACCAAATGCAAAAACGGACACCAGGATGAGTTTCAGGATGAAATTCCATGTCTAAAAATGGTGTTGCTTCAACTTTTTAAAAATCAAGCCTTTTTGGTGCCAGGAGAAGAAAACGCTTTACTCCACGGTCAGGAAAAATGCTGCCCAGGAACCAAAATGTTTTTTGAAGCCAAATTTTTTTTTTGAAACCAAATGCAAAAACGGACACCAGGATGAGTTTCCTGATGAAATTCCATGTCTAAAAATGGTGTTGCTTCAACTTTTTAAAAATCAAGCCTTTTTGGTGCCAGGAGAAGAAAAGGCTTTACTCCGCGGTCAGGAAAAATGCTGCCAAGGAACCAAAATGTTTTTTGAAGCCAATTTTTTTTTTGAAACCAAATGCAAAAATGGACACCAGGATGAGTTTCAGGATGAAATTCCATGTCTAAAAATGGTGTTGCTTCAACTTTTTAAAAATCAAGCCTTTTTGGTGCCAGGAGAAGAAAAGGCTTTACTCCACGGTCAGGAAAAATCCTGCCCAGGAACCAAAATGGTTTTTGACGCCAAATTTTTTTTTGAAACCAAATGCAAAAACGGACACCAGGATGAGTTTCAGGATGAAATTCCATGTCTAAAAATGGTGTTGCTTCAACTTTTTAAAAATCAAGCCTTTTTGGTGCCAGGAGAAGAAAAGGCTTTACTCCACGGTCAGGAAAAATCCTGCCCAGGAACCAAAAAGTTTTTTGAAGCCAAATTTTTTTTTTGAAACCAAATGCAAAAACGGACACCAGGATGAGTTTCAGGATGAAATTCCATGTCTAAAAATGGTGTTGCTGCAACTTTTTAAAAATCAAGCCTTTTTGGTGCCAGGAGAAGAAAAGCTTTACTCCACGGTCAGGAAAAATCCTGCCCAGGAACCAAAATGTTTTTTGAAGCCAAATTTTTTTTTTGAAACCAAATGCAAAAACGGACACCAGGATGAGTTTCCTGATGAAATTCCATGTCTAAAAATGGTGTTGCTTCAACTTTTTAAAAATCAAGCCTTTTTGGTGCCAGGAGAAGAAAACGCTTTACTCCGCGGTCAGGAAAAATCCTGCCCAGGAACCAAAATGTTTTTTGAAGCCAATTTTTTTTTTTGAAACCAAATGCAAAAACAGACACCAGGATGAGTTTCAGGATGAAATTCCATGTCTAAAAATGGTGTTGCTTCAACTTTTTAAAAATCGAGCCTTTTTGGTGCCAGGAGAAGAAAACGCTTTACTCCACGGTCAGGAAAAATGCTGCCCAGGAACCAAAATGTTTTTTGAAGCAAATTTTTTTTTTTTGAAACCAAATGCAAAAACGGACACCAGGATGAGTTTCCTGATGAAATTCCATGTCTAAAAATGGTGTTGCTTCAACTTTTAAAAATCAAGCCTTTTTGGTGCCAGGAGAAGAAAAGGCTTTACTCCACGGTCAGGAAAAATGCTGCCCAGGAACCAAAATGTTTTTTGAAGCCAAATTTTTTTTTTTGAAACCAAATGCAAAAACGGACACCAGGATGAGTTTCAGGATGAAATTCCATGTCTAAAAATGGTGTTGCTTCAACTTTTTAAAAATCGAGCCTTTTTGGTGCCAGGAGAAGAAAACGCTTTACTCCGCGGTCAGGAAAAATCCTGCCCAGGAACCAAAATGTTTTTTGAAGCCAAAATTTTTTTTAGAAACCAAATGCAAAAACGGACACCAGGATGAGTTTCAGGATGAAATTCCATGTCTAAAAATGGTGTTGCTTCAACTTTTTAAAAATCAAGCCTTTTTGGTGCCAGGAGAAGAAAACGCTTTACTCCACGGTCAGGAGAAATGCTGCCCAGGAACCAAAATGTTTTTTGAAGCCATTTTTTTTTTTGAAACCAAATGCAAAAACGGACACCAGGATGAGTTTCAGGATGAAATTCCATGTCTAAAAATGGTGTTGCTTCAACTTTTTAAAAATCAAGCCTTTTTGGTGCCAGGAGAAGAAAACGCTTTACTCCGCGGTCAGGAAAAATCCTGCCCAGGAACCAAAATGTTTTTTGAAGCCAAAATTTTTTTTAGAAACCAAATGCAAAAACGGACACCAGGATGAGTTTCAGGATGAAATTCCATGTCTAAAAATGGTGTTGCTTCAACTTTTTAAAAATCAAGCCTTTTTGGTGCCAGGAGAAGAAAACGCTTTACTCCACGGTCAGGAGAAATGCTGCCCAGGAACCAAAATGTTTTTTGAAGCCATTTTTTTTTTTTGAAACCAAATGCAAAAACGGACACCAGGATGAGTTCAGGATGAAATTCCATGTCTAAAAATGGTGTTGCTTCCACTTTTTAAAAATCGAGCCTTTTTGGTGCCAGGAGAAGAAAACGCTTTACTCCGCGGTCAGGAAAAATGCCGCCCAGGAACCAAAAATGTTTTTTAAAGAGAATTTTTTTTTTTGAAACCAAATGCAAAAACGGACACCAGGATGAGTTTCAGGATGAAATTCCATGTCTAAAAATGATGTTGCTTCTACTTTTTAAAAATCAAGCCTTTTTGGTGCCAGGAGAAGAAAAAGCTTTACTCCGCGGTCAGGAAAAATGCTGCCAAGGAACCAAAATGTTTTTTGAAGCCAAATTTTTTTTTTGAAACCAAATGCAAAAACGGACACCAGGATGAGTTTCCTGATGAAATTCCATGTCTAAAAATGGTGTTGCTTCAACTTTTTAAAAATCAAGCCTTTTTGGTGCCAGGAGAAGAAAAGGCTTTACTCCCGCGGTCAGGAAAAATGCTGCCCAGGAACCAAAATGTTTTTTGAAGCCAAATTTTTTTTTTGAAACCAAATGCAAAAACGGACACCAGGATGAGTTTCAGGATGAAATTCCATGTCTAAAAATGGTGTTGCTTCAACTTTTTAAAAATCAAGCCTTTTTGGTGCCAGGAGAAGAAAACGCTTTACTCCGCGGTCAGGAAAAATCCTGCCCAGGAACCAAAATGTTTTTTGAAGCCAAAATTTTTTTTAGAAACCAAATGCAAAAACGGACACCAGGATGAGTTTCAGGATGAAATTCCATGTCTAAAAATGGTGTTGCTTCAACTTTTTAAAAATCAAGCCTTTTTGGTGCCAGGAGAAGAAAACGCTTTACTCCACGGTCAGGAGAAATGCTGCCCAGGAACCAAAATGTTTTTTGAAGCCATTTTTTTTTTTTGAAACCAAATGCAAAAACGGACACCAGGATGAGTTTCAGGATGAAATTCCATGTCTAAAAATGGTGTTGCTTCCACTTTTTAAAAATCGAGCCTTTTTGGTGCCAGGAGAAAAAACGCTTTACTCCACGGTCAGGAGAAATGCTGCCAGGAACCAAAATGTTTTTTGAAGCCATTTTTTTTTTTTGAAACCAAATGCAAAAACGGACACCAGGATGAGTTTCAGGATGAAATTCCATGTCTAAAAATGGTGTTGCTTCCACTTTTTAAAAATCGAGCCTTTTTGGTGCCAGGAGAAGAAAACGCTTTACTCCGCGGTCAGGAAAAATGCCGCCCAGGAACCAAAAATGTTTTTTAAAGAGAATTTTTTTTTTTGAAACCAAATGCAAAAACGGACACCAGGATGAGTTTCAGGATGAAATTCCATGTCTAAAAATGATGTTGCTTCTACTTTTTAAAAATCGAGCCTTTTTGGTGCCAGGAGAAGAAAAAGCTTTACTCCGCGGTCAGGAAAAATGCTGCCAAGGAACCAAAATGTTTTTTGAAGCCAAATTTTTTTTTTGAAACCAAATGCAAAAACGGACACCAGGATGAGTTTCAGGATGAAATTCCATGTCTAAAAATGGTGTTGCTTCAACTTTTTAAAAATCAAGCCTTTTTGGTGCCAGGAGAAGAAAACGCTTTACTCCGCGGTCAGGAAAAATGCTGCCCAGGAACCAAAATGTTTTTTGAAGCCAATTTTTTTTTTTGAAACCAAATGCAAAAACGGAATAAGGTCTCTTCCAACTCTGTTACTCTCCTCTTCTCTCTCTTCTCTCTCTTCTCTTCTCTTCTCTTCTCTTCTCTTCTCTTCTCTTCTCTTCTGTTCTCTCTTCCTATTCCTATTCCTATTCCTATTATTTCTTATTCTATTCTATTCTACTCTTACTCCTACTCTACTCTACTCTACTCTACTCTACTCTATTCTATTCCTTATTCTATTCTATTCTATTCTATTCTATTCTATTCTATTCTATTCTATTCTATTCTATTCTATTCTATTCCCATTCCATTCAATAAACTGAAAGGTTTGTCACGGAGTAAAGATGCTTCAATGTCAGCCGATTATTTGTAGTTATCTTCTTAAATCTGCAGTGTGAAAAGTGACCCCTGGTCTTTTCTATTCCCCCCACCCCCGCCTCTCTGCCCTCCCCCCCCAGCCCATCTCGAAGAAAACCGTGACGGTGACCGAAATGCCTTCGGCCATCTTCCATTACACACAGAACGACACGCCCGTCCAGGAATCCGGTGTCACCAAGCAGGTCAACACCATCTTAGAAGCAGCCAAGAAAGACCTTCTGACTTTGATGAAGCTGGACGTGAGTGATCTTAGCGGAAGGGGACATTTGGGTGGGAATCAACCAGGGGTAGCTTGCTGGGGGTTTGCAGGGATATGGGAGAACCTCTCGCTAAGATTCTGTGCAGTTTGGAGAACCCCCCCAAATCCCACTCCTGGCTGGCCCTGCCCACTCCACCCCGCCTCTCCCAGGAGTCCCCACGCAGAGTGCTCTTCTTTTTTGTTTCTTTTTTATGCTTGTTTAGGATCTCTCTCTCTTGAACGGGAAAGTGACCCTCCATCAAGTCACGGCAGGGACGATGGTGTCACGACAAGGTGACCAGGTGAGCGTCTGTTGATGACCCGGGGGCGTGGCCCAAGGGCAATGTCAGCGTTCCAGCGCTGACATATGGAAAGAGAGGAGAAGCTTGAACTTCTGCCTACTTAATTCCTTTGAAGATTCTGTTTCCTCGGAGATGGGAGGAGGGGGGACATTCCTGTGATCTGACGGAGATGGGATGAGGAGAGTGGCTTGGAAGATAGCCAATGAGACGCAGAGAATTGGGGATCGGAAAGGGAGGGCTTGGGGGGCAAAGGTCAGTGCTGACTGCGAAAGAGCCAGGGACAGATCACTGTGCTCAATAAAGAGAAAATTTCCTCAAAGATCGGCAGTTCATTTCAAGTTCAATTCATTTATTTTGAGATAGCATCGAAACCTGACAGGCAACACAGCCAGAGAATAAGTACAAGTCCCTTTATTAGCTCCAAACTTTGCCCCCAACATCCCTTTACTCTCCGGTCTGGAGAAAAACCCTTCCACAAACATTGTAAGCAGACACACCTTCCCACCATAAATCCAACAGGGCAAGCTAAGGTAATTAATCCGGCAGGGCAAGCAAGATAAGGAATTCCAGAATTGAAGTAGCACGGCCGTAAATTAAACCAGTTGGGAGGATGCCAGGAACTCAGAGAAAGCAGTCAACATGCTTGCATGAACTCTGTGTTTGTTCCCGACAACCGTCCCTCCCATTTGCCTCTTCTTTTAAACTCCAGCTCCAGGTGTATCTTGTGAAGGGGATCAGGGCCCTTTCCTCCCTCGTAAGCCACACAGCCCATGTTGCTCTCTTCTCCGTTCTTCCCTGCGGTGCCCTAGGATGAGGAGGGGGTGGGCTTGTTGTGACCTAGGCCCAAGTAGTTATTACCAGACACAATCAGTCCTAAACAAACATATTTTATTAGAACAGCTGAGAATTACTTCATTCTCAGCTGAGTCCAAATTAAGTCCAAAACAAATTCTTCATCAACAGTCCTTCGGCCTTATCACCAACCTTTGTCTACTTTGGCACCCTGCCAAAGGCTTTTCTTGGCAAAACCCCATGAAGTTCAGGAGCAAGAGACGCCTACAAGAAACAAATGTAGCAATGTTGCTTTCCTACAAAGAGCCCAAGAGCCGTTGCTGCTCTTTTCTCATCTCCTGGCCTTACTCCCAAGTCGTCCTTTTTGCTTTAGCTGCTCTTGCCTTCTGGCAGCTCTTCGCATGCGTGCATTAGGAACAGGCTCCTCCTGTCCTCTGCCTCTCTGCTATCCGCCTCTGGAGGCTCCGGAGTCCGTGCATCACTCCCAGATGGCCCTGGCCCCATCTCTGCCTCCGATGCAGAGCCCTCGTCCGGACCTTCCCCAGATTCCAGGACTGGCCCATGTTCCTCCCCAGCCTCCTCACTGTCCGACTCCGCTGCCAGCTCCGCAGGCTGCTGGTGGACCACAACGGGGCTTTGGTCTTCATCAGAACCCCCTCTCCCTTGTTCTAACTCTCCCCTGCTGTACCCAGCCTGACTTTGCCCTTCCCTAGTTTCCTCCACAGCCAACGGAGCCATTCTCTCTCGCTCTCTGTCAGCGTTTCCTCTTCCATCTCAGAGTCAGACTCCGACAGCGGCATGACAGATAACATGTGAACGGGCGCGAGAGTGAAGTTGGGCCAAAATGGCAGATTCTGTGTTTATAACAACCCAGGATTGTAATTAGTTTTTTTTTTCTTTTTCCCGTCGGCTGCTGGACACATGGCTGGAAAATATAAAAAGAATCCTTCTGTAAAGATTCTTCCAACGCCTCCGGAGCAGGAAAGTTTGGCCTTCCGGCGAACTTGACGGGTGCGTTTGACTTGCTGTCTTGCAGGATGTCAGCATCCGGTTTGTGATCTCGGGGGTCCTGCACGTCTATCAGCGGAAGATCGATTCGGAGGAAGAGACCTGCCTGTTCGTGACCCACCCGGGAGAGCTGGTGGGGCAGCTCGCGGTCCTCACGGGAGAGCCGCTGATCTTCACCATCAAGGCCAACCGCGACTGCACCTTCTTGGCGATCTCCAAGTCCCACTTTTACGAGTGAGTCCCTCCTTTACTCCTCCTCCTTCTTCTTCTACAGGCGGTCCTCGACTTAACGGCCGTTCATTTAGCGACCGTTCAAACTTACAACGGGCACGGGGGGGGGAAAGGACTGTTTTTCACACTCGCGACCGTTGCCGCATCCCCATGGACACGCCGATCAAAATTCAGACGCTTGGCTACCGATTCGTATTTAGGATGGATGTAGAGCCCTGGTGTGTGTGTCACACTATCCAGAGGCAGGTTTCAAAACCCGTCACTACCAGTTCGCTCGGAAGCTTCCAGGCGGGTGGGCGGAGCCTCTCACCGCCGCTGCTACCAGTTTGCCCAATGCGGGGTGAACCGGTAACAACCCGCCACTGATGCTATCCCCTTTTGTGGCCTTCTGACCAGCAGAGTCGACGGGGAAGCCAGATTCACTTCACCACCATGTTACCGACTTAACAACCGCAGTGATTCACTTAACGACCGTGGCAAGGAAGGTCGCAAAATGGGACAAAAAAACTCACTTCACAAATGTCTCGTTTCGCCCCAAGAAAGTTTGGGCTCAATTGGGGGTCGTAAGTCGAGCGCTACCTTGCATTCTCCACTCGAATAGAAGGATTGACTCCTTAACATCTAAGTCGTAGGCTGGACTGATACTAGAATTCCCTCTCGCCTAGCTTAAAAGCATTCACGTCTTCCTAATTTTTTTTCTCCCGTTCTTGAAAGATGCTCTTTTTTTGGCAGAGATTTTCCTGGACTCTGCTCGTCCATACCCCAAACTTTCGCAAAAGGGCGGCGAAGAAGACAATCTAACAAGGTCAATTATGGTCTCCTTCCCAGGGTAGTGTCGACAGAGCCAGCTGAGCAGGGATGCCCCAGCCTTTGCCAGTGGCATGCCTCTGCCACCCCAGGATTAAAGTATGGAGCAGCTGCCAGATAATTACACATTTAGACTTGACGCCCAGCTGTGATGTGCTAAATACAGGGTCCCTGTCTTCTAACTAAGGGCACGATAGGAGGGCTCTTGGAGCCAGCTTTAATTAAACTATCACTGGGATGCGTGGAGGAGAAAGGAAGGCAGCGTAAAGAAGTCGAGAGGTTCAGATCAGGACTTTGGGTAGATCCTTGCTTAACAGAAGAGAGAGAGAAGGAGAAAGAGAGAGAGAGAGAAAGTCTTAAGAGAGCCAGTTTGGTCTGGTGGTACAGGTCTCCTGGCCTAGAAACCAGGAGATTGTGAGTTCTAGTCCTGCCTTAGGCAGGAAAGCCGGCTGGGTGACTATGAGCCACTCACTGAGAGATGGCGAGTTCTAGTCTCCCATTAGGCACAAAAAATTGGGGCCAATCACCAGGAAACGGTGAGTTCTAGTCCTGCCTCAGGCAGGAAAGCCGACTGGGTGACTTTGAGCCAATCACCAGGCGACGGTGAGTTCTAGTCCTGCCTTAGGCAGGAAAGCCGACTGGGTGACTTTGGGCCAGTCTCTTCCTCTGAGCCTACCCCACGTCACAGGGTTGTTTTTGTGGGGAGAATAGGAAGAGGAAAGAATATTAGATATTTTTGCCGCCTTGAGTTACTTATAAAATAATAAAGGTGGGATAAAAGGTAGGTAGGTAGGTAGGTAGGTAGATGATAGATAGATGATAGAAATAGATAGATAGATAGATAGATAGATAGATAGATAGATAGATGAGATAGATACTGTAGACAGAGATAGATAGATAGATGATAGATAGATAGATAGATGATATATAGAATAGCTAGCTAGCTAGCTAGCTAGCTAGATGAGATAGATACTGTAGACAGAAAGATAGATGATAGATAGATGATAGCTAGCTAGATAGATAGAGGTAGGGTAGGTAGGTAGGCGGGTGGGGTGGGGTGGGATAGAGAGAGAGAGACAGACAGACAGGCAGACATTTAAACATACATGAATACATGCCAGTTGCTAAGTGCCTGAATTTTGATCACATGTCTGCGGGGATGCTGTGACGGTCATAAGTGCAAGGACTGATTGTAAGTGTCTTTTTTAGTACCGCTGTCACTTTGAATGGTTACTGTAGTAAATAGCTGTAAGCCGAGAACTACCTATATTGTGGGAGGTGGGGGTGTGTGGTGGCTTTGCAAGGAACCATGTTCTTAATCGCTCAGCTCCCAAATGCTTTGAATGAGCCCTTTTGGGATTCATCTCTTACCTACCCCACCCCCCCATTGGTGAACCTTTCTCGTGGGTCTCTCCTTTCAGGATCATGCGTGAGCAGCCCACAGTTGTCCTGGGTGTGGCTCATATGGTGGTGAAGCGCATGTCGTCCTTTGTGAGGCAAATCGACTTCGCCCTGGATTGGATGGAGGTAGAAGCCGGACGTGCCGTTTACAGGTAGGAGCTCGGGAATCGCCCAAGGATCAAAGACGGGATAGTCCTCAGCTTAACGACCGCAGTAGGGGCTGGCAAATTTAACAAGCCATTGTGAGGCGCCGCATGGCAGTGCCCGAACTCTACTGCTGAAGTCGTTAAGCAAAGCGCCAAGGTCCTTAAGGGAGACGTTGCAGGGCCTCTACCCTGCCATCAACTTTGCTGGTTGGAAGCCAGTTGGGAAGGTTGCCAAATGGCGCTCACGGACGGGCGGAGATGCCGAAACAGCCCTAAGCGTGAGGACTCACCGAAAGTCACATTGGCGGTTCGAGTCTCACCAGGCTCAAGGTCGACTCGACCTTCCCTCCTTTCTGAGGTCGCTAAAATGAGGAGCCGGATTGTTGGAGGCAATTCGTTGACTCTACAAACCGCTTAGAGAGGGCCGTAAAAGCACCGTGAAGCGGTGTATAAGTCTTAAGGGCTATTGCTCTTTTTTTTCCCCGCGCCGTCGTGACTTTGAAAAGTCACTAAACCAGCGGTCGTAAATCGAGGACCACCGCACAGCAAATAAAATCCAGAGGGTTGCTTTTCCACACATAACTCTACGTTTTAATAACGGTGTTGGAAATCCGAGGAGGGGGAGAAGGAGGAGGTCTAAATTGGAGTTGCTTGAACTGGCCATCGGCTGTTTCGGTTAGTCCTGCCTGGAGAAAGAAAAAACACTTTTTGTGTTCTTTTTCACGCTTTTTGGGGACCCTTTTTCACACACTTTCCTCCTTTCTCAGGACTCCGTGAAACCTCCTGTCCTGGCGGTTCCATCCGCCTTTCCCCCGTTCCCGACACCTTTCCTTCTCGCAAACCAACCTTCCTTTCCTCTAATCCCGTTCTCCTTTGTAGGCAGGGAGATCATTCGGACTGCACCTACATTGTCCTGAACGGACGTCTCCGCTCGGTGATCAGGTTGGACGACGGGAAGAAACACCTGACCGGAGAATATGGACGGGGGGACCTGATTGGCGTGGTAAGGAGAGGAGGGGGCTGGCTGACAGTCTGACCTTGGGCTTTTAGGAGAAATCGCACGACCGTCACAGAATCACAGAATCGGAAGGGACTTTGGAGGTCATCTAGTCTGCCTTTCTTTCTTTCTTTCTTTCTTTCTTTCTTTCTTTCTTTCTTTCTTTCTTTCTTTCTTCTCTTTCTTTCTCCCTTCCTTCCTTCCCTCCTTCTTTCTTTCTTTTTTCTTTCTTTCTTTCTTTCTTTCTTTCTTTCTTTCTTCTCTTTCTATGTATCTATCTATCTATCTATCTATCTATCTATCTATCTATCTATCCTGTTTCCCCGAAAATAAGACAACCCCTCATAAATAAGCCCAATCAGGTTTTTGAGTGCATGTGCTAAAATAAGCTTCCCCCCGAAAATAAGCCCTCCCTGAAAATATTTAAACGCAGAGCGGAATTCAGGTAAGATGGCAAGAGGAGCCCCGTCTTGCTGCACGCGCCCGAAATAATAAGACCTCCCGAAAATAAGACCAAGCGCTTATTTCAGGGTTCAAAAAAATATAAGACAGGGTCTTATTTTCGGGAAAACACGGTATATGGTCTGCGAAATACAGATTCACGTGTGTGAGTTACGGGCAACTTCTCTTTAAGCCAAACTCTGCAGCCCAACGAAGCGACTTCCGTAGTGCCAGGCTGCCCCGGTGCTGGTGATATATCACCGCGCATCTGAAATTAAATTAGCAAGAGCTGCTCGAAGCCAGCTGGTGAGGCAGCAAATTCCATTATACGCTCCAGGAGAGTGGGATAAAATAAGCCAGCGCGAAACTTTCTAGTTAATTCGGCTCATAAATATTAGCGAGAAGGGGCCAAGGTGCAAACCGCTTGTGTTTCTCTTGGCCGGGAACTTAAAGGATTTCTTGCCTCTCGGAGCCGCTGGCTTTCCTCCTGCGGAGAGGAAAAATCGGGGCTCCAGCGTTGAAGTCGAGTGTTTCAAGCAGTCTTTGCAAATGCAACTCGGCGAGCCCTCGACGGACCATCTACCGTTGAGCCCAAAGTTTACGTTGCTGAGTGAGAAATTTTGTAAAACGGGGCTTTGTTTCCATTTTGCGACTCTTCTTGCCTCAATTGTTAAGAAAATAACTCAAAATAACTCCAGGCCGGTGAACATTATCTAACCCCCCCTTCCTCCTCCTGTTTTCCCCAAAACAACAACTCTGTGAGGTGGGTTGGGCTGAAAGAGAGAGAGAGACTGGCCCAAGGTCACCCAGGCAGCTCTCATGCCTAAAGTGGAACTAGAATTCACTGCCACCTAGGGATTGGCAGAAAGTCACCTAGCCAGCTTTCATGCCAAAAGCGGGACTAGAACTCACCGTCTCCTGGTGATTGGCCCAAAGTCACCAAGTCAGCTTTCGTGCCTAAAGCAGGACTAGAACTCACAATCACCTAGGGATTGGCAGAAAGTCACTTAGCCAGCTTTCATGCCTAAAATGAGACTAGAACTCATCATCACCTGGTGAATGGTCCAAAGTCACCTAGCCAGCTTTCATGTCTAAAGTAGATCTAGAACTCACCATCTCCTAGTGATTCGCCCAAAGTCACCCAGCCAGCTTTCATGCCTAAGGTGGAACTAGAACTCACCATCACCTAGGGATTGGCAGAAAGTCACCCAGCTGCCTTTCATGCCTAAGGTGGAACTAGAACTCACCATCTCCTGGTGATTGGCCCAAAGTCATCCAGCTGGCCTTCATGGCTAAGACAGGACTTGAACTCACGGTCTCCTGCTTTCTAGCTTGCTGCCTAACCACTAGACCAAAATGGTTCTCTTAGGGTTGCAAATTACGGTTTATTAAAAGCCCGATAAGCCGACATTGTGAAGCAGGGAGTCACATTGGCCTCCACAGAGGCTCTTTACAAACTTAGGTTTCAAATACCGGTAGCATCAGCCAGAACAAAAAATAAGGTTAAACTTGAGCCATAGGTGCTGACTTTGAGAAATCGCCTCTCAACCTCTCTTACAACAGTCCATTTTGGAGATTTGCGGAAGCTTATTTTTATCGTTATTATTGAAATGCAGAGAGCCTCAGCTATTTTAAAGATTTTTTTTTTTTTTTGAAAGATTGATGGTAATTGATGTCCGTGAGCAGCCTGTTACACCAGGAGGACTCCGGAGAATAAAATCTTGAATAAGTGCCCAAACCTTCACCGCTTAGAAGGATTTTCTTTTCATTGGCTTTGAACGGTAACCCCAAAAAAAAAATAACCCTGTCCATCAAAAACAATCGATCTCGGCTAATTAAAATGTGCTCCTGCTTTGCTTAATCAACTTGCTCTTCCCTCGACCGGTTTCCGAGCTTTTTGCAAAAGCACCAAACGCTCGTGTGTGCGTATAAGTGCTTTAAGTGCCCTGCCTCTTGAGAATGAACAAGGATTCTTATCTTGACCAGAAAAAAAAATAATAATTACATGATTAATCCCTCGTTTTTATCCAGGGACGCAAGTAGTAATTTTCCATGGAGGGCTTGATTAAATGCCGGGTTGAAATCCGAAGAAGAGTCCCTACCTCGAGTAGAGCGCCAATTAACTTACTCTTTAAAGGGAGATGGCTTTGATATGTAATCAATCTTCTTGGAGCGTCCCTCGTTTGGGCTCTTTTTTTTGGAAGTTTTTCTTGCAAAAGTACACACTTCGCAACCAGGCTTCCGAACCCGTGAATTATTCGTTCCAAATTAAAGGGCCCTTCGGAGATTTCCCAGGACATAGAATCGTAGGGCTGGAAAAGGTGGGACCTTGGAGGTCTTCTAATCCAGGCGGTAGACCTTATACCAGTGATGGCAAACCTTTCTTTCCTCAGGTGCCGAAAGTGCGCACGCACGATAGCAGACGTGTGTGTGCCTACACACATAATACAATGCCCCACACCCGCCCCCCTGGCGCATGCGCGCACAATCCCCCCGTCCTGCCCTGCCCCACTGTGCAGGCACGGGGGACCCCCCCCTGCCCCCCTCCCCCCCCCTGCGCCCCCCCCCCCCCCCCCCGTGCCCTGTTTTGGGCCTAGCAGGCCTCCCTGAAGCCTCCGGAGTTCAGAAACGGCCCGTTTCCAGACTTCCGGTAGGCCCGTTTTTCACCCTCGACAGGCTCCGAAGGCTTTCCTGGAGCCTCCAGGAGGGTGAAAACGGCCTCCCCTGGCCCTCCGGAGGCCGAAAACTATCCCGTTTCCAGACTTCCGGTAGGCCCGTTTTTCACCCTCCACAGGGTCTGAAGGCTTTTCTGGAGCCTCCAGGAGGGTGAAAACGGCCTCCCCTGGCCTTCCGGAGGCCGGAAACGGGTCATTTCCAGACTTCCGGTAGGCCCATTTTTTATCCTCCCAGAGTCTTCGCGCAAGCTCCGTACTTACCTGACATCCAAAATGGGCCGCGTGGAGACTCCTGAGAGGGGAGGGGCGGCATGGGCGTGCGCGCGCGTCTCCCGCATGCACAGCAGAGACCCGAAAATCAGCTGATCTAGGGCAACGGCTCACGTGCCCACAGAAAGTGCCATAGGTTCGCCATTACGGCCTTATACCATCCCAGTCTACACTGGTTACCTTGGTACTCGGCTGCTTTGAAACTCATCGAATTTGGGTACTCCAAGGTTTTACGTGAAGCTAGAACGAGTCAGTGTCGGCTGCCTTATGACTCACTACAGTATTCCTTACGGGGGCAGAAGAAGGACGGAAGAAGGCAAAGCCATTCCTTTACTCCTATGGAGAAGTTCACCCCCTTCTACCGGCCGCGTTGAGGTTCTCCTTCTCCTTTGATATGTCCCAGAGGAGACGAGCTCTTCTGGAGACACGTTTCAATGCCGGACGTCTCCTCTTTTTCTGGCATGGTGTACGGACTCTGCTTGTCTGCTCATCAAGCGAGAGAGCCCTCCAGATCTTTGCTCAACTCGAAGTGTCTTTTGGCGGCCTGGACAGTGCAGTACAAATGTTGGCTTTCCTTCAGTAGGATTGAGATCCTTGGCAAGCAGGAGCGGTCCTAAGTGGGTTTTCGAAGGAAGAACGCTCTGTTCTTGCCGAATCCTCTAGTGTTGTCTTCTTCTTCTTGGCTCTTCTTCTTTCTCCTTCTCCAATCCCGTCCCGAAGCGTTCATCCACCCCTTTCCAGACCCTTCGGATGAAGAGAGACCTGCTTGGCTAACAGTTGCGGTGTTCCATTGTGCCCCCCCCGTGTGAAAAGCAATCAGCTAAAAACAGATGCCATTTTCCTTCACGTCACTTGCTAAAAAAATAAAACAAAAACCAACATCCAGTTTTGGTCATCACGATGTAAAAAAAAAAAAAAAGGAGGTTGAGACTCTAGAAAGAGTAGAGAGAAGAGCAACAAAGATGATTAGGGGGCTGGAGGCTAAAAGAGTTGCAAGAACTGGGTATGTCTAGTCCGATTAAAAGAAGGACTAGAGGAGACATGATACCAGTCTTCCAATATCTCAGGGGCTGCCCCAAAGAAGAGGGAGTCAAGCTATTCTCCAAAGCAACAGAAGGCAGGACAAGAAGCAACGGGTGGAAACTCATCAAGGAGAGAAGCAACTTAGAACTAAGGAGAAATTTCCTGACAGTCAGAACAATTAACCAGTGGAACAACTTGCCACTGGAAGATGAGAATGCTCCAACACTGAAAGTTTTCAAGAAGAGATTGGACAACTATTTGTCTGAAGTGGTGTAGGGTTTCCTGCCTAAGCAGGGGGTTGGACTAGAAGACCTCCAAGGTCCCTTCCGACTCTGTTATTCTATTCTATTCTATTCTATTCTATTCTATTCTATTCCATTCCATTCCATTCCATTCCATTCCATTCCACTCCACTCCACTCCACTCCACTCCACTCCACTCCACTCCCTTCTATTCTTCTACTACTTTCAATAGTAAAATCAGCTCTAAAGCAATCAAAGGAAAGTGTATAAACGGTCAAAATGCAATTTAATCAGTTGTCAGTAACTCTTCTCTTCTCTTCTCTTCTCTTCTCTTCTCTTCTCTTCTCTTCTCTTCTCTTCTCATTATCTCCTTCTGTTGCCCTTCCCTTCCTTCTCCTCTTCTCCTCTCCTCTCCTCTCCTCTCCTCCTCTCCTCTCCTCTCCTCTCCTCTCCTCTCCTCTCCTCTCCTCTCCTCTCCTCTCCTCCTTTTTTTTGTTTGTTGTTGAAATAACCATTTTTGGCCTCTTCCTTTCAGGTTGAAGCACTAACTCATCAACCCAGGGCCACCACCGTGCACGCCGTTCGGGATTCCGAGCTGGCCAAGCTTCCAGAGGGAGCGCTGATCTCCATCAAACGCAAGTTCCCCCAGGTAGGAAGGTGTGATCCGCCCGTCCTCTCCACTCAGGCGAAGAATCATCCCTCCAGAGAGGGACTGGACAGCTCACCTAGCAGACGCCTCAAGCACAGGCACAGCGATTGCCGTCGTGTGTCACTCTGACAACTTGGGTTTGTGCGTTAACGTTTGAAAGCTGGTTTATTTTTAGAGGACGGCTCCCATCTGTCTGTTCTTGCTAGCAAAGCGGTTGTGGCGGTGGTTTTTTTTTCCGTTGGAGAACTGGGGCCCGCGGAGCTCCGTTCGACTTATTTTTCCCTGCCCTACTTAACTAAGCAGCGGCTGAAAGCTCCACTCCGATTGTGACCCGACGAAGCGAAGACCGTCCGGGTTTTTTCTGACGGATGCGTTGAGGGCGTTTCCTGAGCAGCATCAGAGAAAAAAAATACTGTATTTTTCGGAGTATAAGACACACCTTTTTTCCCCCTAAAAGGGGATGAAAATTTAGGTGCGTTTTATACACCGAATGTAGCCCCGACAACCCACTGCTCTTTCTTTCTTTCTTTCTTTCTTCCTTCCTTTCTTTCTTTCTTTCTTTCTTTCTTTCTTTCTTTCTTTTTCTTTCCTTCCTTCCTTCCTTCCTTCCTTCCTTCCTTCCTTCCTTCTTTCTTTTCTTTTCTTTTTTCTTTCTTTCTTTCTTTTCTTTTTTCTTTCCTTTCCTTTCCTTTCCTTTCCTTTCCTTTCTTTCCTTTCCTTTCCTTTCCTTTCCTTTCCTTTCCTTTCCATTCCATTCCTTTCCTTTCCTTTCCTTTCCTTTCCTTTCCTTTCCTTTCCTTTCCTTTCCTTTCCTTTCCTTTCTTTTTCTTTCACATGTTTCCTGACGTCTTAGGCATCTAGAAATGGAAGTTTTTCCTCTCTTTCCACGGAAGAGGGGCGGGTGGGACAGCATGCCTCTTTTCCCCGAGCAAAGCAGCTTTTAAACTCCCAAGCAGAAATGCGTGCCAGACGCATTGTTCCAACCCAAAATTGATGTTCCTGCTAGGTTGCCATAGCAGCCGCAGAGTGACTCACCCAGTGGCAGAAGGCAGCACGCTGTGCTGGGGCTCCACAGTTGTTTTCAAGCCCATCATAGTCACGTGAAATCAGCTTTCAGAGCCCTCACTCTCTTTCCCACCCCCACCCAACCCCTCCCTGACCTTAATGGGCTTCAGAAGTTCACGGCCGGAGTCTTGAACATCGTTCACACAACCAAGCCTGCCTCTTGGCCATCCAAACATCTGACACCAAGGAAGCCGGACACGTGGCATTACTTCTTTCCAATAATATTTATTACATTTTGCAAAGCACGGCACGTCAAAGAAACCGGCATAAACTCACAATCCAAAGAAGCAATGAATAGGAAAAAAAGAGAATAGGGAGAAGAAGAGAATAGAAGTGTGAAAAAAAAAAATGTAAAGAAAGGAAAAGAGAAAAGAGAAGTCCTTGATGCTCTCTGTTTGGCTGCTCTCTTTTTCTGACGTCTCATTCCCCAAACTAGGTAACTGTCAGGCTTCGGTGCTATCTTAAATAAACTTCATTCTCAAACGCAAAGTCTCTAATGAATCACTTTTATTTAAGAATAGAAAAAAATCCGACATTCCTGATTCAAGTTGCAGCCAAACTGGCCCCTCCTTCCAACCCCCTCCTCTTCCGCTCTCCAACCCCAATGTCCCATTGTCCATCATGCAGAGCCATCTCTACGTCCCAGCACGCTCTTTTCACAGGAATGTGGCCCCCACCCTCCATCACCCAGGTAACACTATCTGTTGCATGCAGAAAACTAGGTAAAAGTTCATCTCAGCAATAAATCAACGCTTCTGCTCTCTGCTTCATTTCGTTCATGTCAGCGCTGGAAGAGAGCCTAATTTGGAACGCTGACAGTAACATCAATAGCGCTAGAAGGGAGAGGGCAAAGCCCATTCCCTTTTGTCACTGATGATGTTACCTAGTTGGGTGATGAAACGTCTCTGCAAAAAAACAGCCAAGCTCAGAGAGCACCAAGGAGCCCTCATTTCATCCTTAGGCTACAAAAATTCTCCTCTATTGAAAACACAAATAGATGCAAAGAATGACTTCTGACTTTTTTTCCAAGCATGTAAAGAAAGCTAACTTTTAATTCTTATGTCCATTTCCCCCATAATGTGTGGAGTTACTTCTGACGAGTGTCTTTATGGTCGTTCGCCTACAGACGGAATCTTGCCAGAATGAAACAATGACCTGCAGAACTATAAATATATACTGTGAGTTGCTATGGACTGGGTCCATCCTGCCCACACAATATTCCATCACTAGAGATTTTAAGAAGAGACTGGACAGCCATTTGTCTGCAGGGTCTCCTGCTCGAGCAGAGGGTTGGTCTAGAAGACCTCCACAGTTCCTTCCAACTCTGTTGCGGGCACCACCCACAGCCCAGATTTAAGCAGCTGGAATGAATGCCACGTTGTGAGAACACAACCACGAATGGAAGAGGGCCTTGTTCTGACCTAAGCTTCCCCAGCATCAGGAAGCCGAGTTCACAATTACCGACCTGTATCAGGCTTGGAGAGTGGCCAGGCCGATATCTTTCAGATGCCGCAATACTTGGCAAGAATGCAGGAATGAACTAATTGTCTCCTGCAAACTCCCCTCCCCTTTTGCTCCTCCTTTATTCCCTCTGGGAGGGGCCCTTCATCGTCCACCTGTGGCCTTACTCCTGAGTCGACTCTTGTTCTTTAGCTGTTCCCTTCGTCTGGCAACTCTGCGTATGCTGGGAACAATCTCCAGCTGTTTGTCTGCCTCACTGATGTCTGACTCCGAAGGCAGCTGATAACTGTCATACGGCTCTGGCCCCCTCTCTGCCTCTGATGCACAGCCCGCATCAGAGTCTTCCCCAGGCTCCAGGACTGGCCCAGGTTCCTCCCCATCCTCTTCACTGTCCGAATCTGCTGCCAGATCTGCTGGCGGGGCACGAGAGGCCTTCAAGCTTCATTCTGAAGTTGACCCATCCTTGGCTGAGCAAACCTAGAAGACCTTTTATTCCTCCCTTCTCTGATTTTTTGCCCCAATTCCTCCTTGCTGTTTATCCAAATGGGCTTGGAAAAGTCCCCGGGACTCATAACCGAACCAATCCTACCCCATTTTCTCCACCCGTTCACCCGAACGAGATGAATTAAGTCCAAAATAGGATGAGATCCTGACCTTTCACGGAGTGTCGGCACGGATTTGCAGGAAGTCCCCTTGACAAAAGTCGCCGGGCTGCCCTTTGAACAGAATCGAAAAGATTAAGGATAATCTTTTGTCTTTTTAGCCCGACAATAAAAGATATGGATTTTTTGTTTTGTTTTTTTCCTCCATAAAAGGTCCTTTCCATTTTTGGCAGCCCTCCAACTGAAAGTTTCTTCTGATGCTCTTAAGGCTGTTCTGCCCCTCTTAACGGTTTGAATCAGGGGTGGGATTCTGCCAGTTCGGACCGGTTCAGACCGGTTTGGGCGTACCGGTAGCTTCCGACAATCAGCTAAGACCGAACCGGTTCACTCCGACAATCAGCTGGCCCCGCCTGTCCCTGTGCTATACCTACCTATATTTCCTTTGTTTGTAGCCCAGCTGATAGGCGCGGTAGAGTGGATTGCCGCGCCTCAGCTGTTTTACATGTAAAGCGAATCCATGGTTGTGATTACATCGCTGTTTCTCTCTCTCTCTCTCTCTCTCTCCCCCCCCCTTCTCTCTTTGCTCTTCCAGGTCGTGACGCGACTTATCCATTTGCTCGGTGAGAAGATCCTTGGAAATCTACAACAAGGGGGTAGGATATGGAATGCCTTGGCTCTTTCTCCTGCTTCTTGGGATAGGGGGTGGGTGGGGGAATGGGGGGAATGGGGTGGGGGCTTGTGCATGCAATTACGGGAGGATGAATGGGACAACCCATCTGTCCTTGACTTAGGGCCAAAACTGAGCCCAGGATTTATCTCGCTAAGCGAGAAATTGTTTCAGGGAGTTTTTGTCCCGTTTTAATGACTTTCCGAGGCCCGTTTGTGAAATGACTCTCGAAATTGGTAATTTAACCCCTCAAATATTGAAAGACTGCTATCCTGTCTCCCCTGGTCCTTCTCTTCACTAGATTAGCCATGCCCAGTTCCTGCAACCGTTCATCGTATGTTTGAGCCTCCAGTCCTTTAATCATCTTGGTTGCTCTTCTCTGCACTCTTTCTAGAGTTTCAACATCTTTTTTATACTGCGGTGACCATCGTAAACCTGATTTAGCCTTATTAGCATGAAACCATGATGGCAATAAACCAGGTTGTGGGGTTCCCATATCTATAAAGTCTGATGCTTGAACCTATGGATTGGAGACGAATGGCTTCTTACCCAAGCCATTCCAGCAGGGGTGGGCGAAAACGGCCTTCCCAGGCTCCGGAGGCCCTCTGGAAGCCGGAAACGGGCCCATTTCCGGCCGTCCCAAACTTCCGGTAGGCCCGTTTTTCGCCCTCCCCAAGCCTCCGCGCACACCCTGCACTTCCCTGCATCCAAAACGGGCCGCGTGGGGACTCCTGGGAGGGGTTGGGTGGGCGGGGCCAGCCAGGGGTGGGGCTTGGGGGTTCTCCGAACTGCACAGAATCTTAGCTAGAGGTTCTCCCGAACCACTGTGACACCCCCCCCAGCCGCCCACCCCTGCATTTCAGTCAAATTCACACATAATATTAAGATAGTATGTGTGAACTTGACGGGAATGGCTTGCGTTGGAAACCCTGGTCTCTTACACGATGGGCTCAACACATCCCTGACTCCAGGTCATGTAATGAATAAACCAGACTGTGTCACATTTACCAGCTCCTCAGGCATAAATTAGAATGGGCAGTAAACATTCTTAATGCCCAGCTGTTCAACCGTTTCCCCCCTCAAAAATCCCTCTTTTTTTCTTCTTCTTAAACTGGCATTTCAGGTTGTAAATTCGGGGACATCGGAAAAAGCTTTTTAAGGGGAATCTCTTTCTCCTTCTCCTACCTCATCAATCCACATATCATTTCTTCATCCACCTCAGCTGTGGCTTCCTTCCTTCTTTATTCGGTTTATACCCCGCGTTTCTATTCTTAGGGTGCTCGAGGTGTCTGCCAGTCAAAGGAAAAGACAGAATAGTTAAAATCCCCGTAATTATGAATCCCACTCAAAAAGCCCAATGAGGGGAGGGGAATGAGTTTCTTGTCTCCTTTGGCTGGTTAAATGATCTCGCCCGAGCAAGGAGAACTTAATTAGAATAATTAGAATAACAGAGTTGGAAGGGACCTTGGAGGTCTTCTAGTCCAACCCCTTATTTGAGTAGGAAACTCTACACCACTTCAGACAAATGGTTATCCAACATCTTAAAAACTTCCAGTGCTGGAGCAGCCACAACATCTGGAGGCAAGTTGTCCCACCGATTAATTGTAGGAGGTGAGCCCGAGGGAGGGGTCAAATGCGTCATCGGTCACGAATCCCTGCGCTCCCACAAGAGATCTAAGCCCAGCTCCCTTGAATGCCTTTCTGATCTCCGGCTAATTTCCTTCGACCGTTAGTAGTTCAGATTCTTTTAGAGAGCTCAATAAATCTTTAATACTCATTTGAACTGCCCGAATCTCCTGATTTCCCTGGGCACTTGACAGACCCATTTCTATTGTATCTCTGAGAGTTGGACCCATCTTCTCAAGTTTTACATTAATGCTAGTTTTCTGATGGGGTTCTGGATGCTTCTTCCCTCGTCCTCAGATTGGGACGTGGGCAAACAGCCTACAGTCTTCTCCAACAAGTTTTCTTTTTTCCCAGGGCACCAGTTGGGTCTACACACCGCCAGCAGCAAGTGGGATGCCAGCAACCCAGCCAGTAACCTCGCCACAGTGGCCATCATGCCTGTCTCAGAAGATGTGCCCCTCTCGACCTTCACCCTGGAACTCAAGCATGCCCTCTGCGCCATTGGTAAGACCTCGTTGGCTCTGATGGCTTCAGACCATCCATGAGATAATGAGTGTTCCCAACCAAGGCTTCCTGAGACAGTAACAATCACATGCTTAGTCCCCAAAACCCTCTTTTTATTTCAACGGCTGTGAATTCCGTTCATTCACAGCCCGTGATGAGTCACAGATAGTTGGTAAAGAGCCCGACAGAAGTCTGCCACAGTCCTTCGGGATAAGGCTGATAAGCACCCACCTTTATCTCCCTTGACACACTGCCAAAGACCTAATCGGCAATTAGCTTTGCAAGGCCACACGGAGCACAGAGTCAGAACGGAGCTTCAGAATTTAAACCGGCCAGAACGAACAAAGTTGCTTCCTGCAAAGGCTCACGTCCCTTTGCTCCTCCTTTATGTCTTATGGGAGGGGCCAATCGTCTCCAAGCCTTACTCCCGAGTCAACCCTTTTGCTTTAGCTGTTCTTGCCTTCTGGCAGCTCTGCGCATACGCACACTGGAAACAGGCTCCCCCTGTTCCTCTGTCTCGCTGATGTCCGACTCTGGAGGCTCCGGAGACAGCACATAACTCCCAGATGGCCCTGGCCCCCTCTCTGCCCCTGACGCAGAGCCCTCGTCCGAGTCTTCCCCAGACTCCAGGACTGGCCCATGTTCCTCCCCAGCCTCCTCACTTTCTGACTCTGCTGCCAGTTCTGCAGGCCGCTGGCGGACCACAACAATGGGAGGGACCTGGATGTCCAGTAGATACATCTCAAAATTGGGTGGCCCATCTGAATAAAACTGGAAAGGCCCCGTACATTGCGAGGTTCAATTTTTTAATCTGGTGCGGAGAGTGAATTTAATCATGTCTTGACTGAGTCATTATAATTCAAAGAAGGTCATTCGTCTTTCCTTAGCTGACAGGTCATCTGAGATCTCCTGGAAAGCCGCCAAGCCCCTTTCAATTGCCACTGCCATCCGATACTTAACGGTGTCATAATTCCGTTAATTTTAATAACAGAGGATCTATTTTTAATGCTCGCTCCGAGCGTATCATCTTTAGCTAAGGATAACATTGGGTTGAGAAAGCTGGTTTGGTCTTGCGGTGAAGCCTTAGGCCGGAAACCAAGGGAGGCTGTGAGTTCTAATGACGGAGCTATTGGAGTGATCTTGGGCCCATCGCTCTCTCTCAGCCAGGGGTGGGCTTCAAAAATTGTAGCAAGGGGTTCTCTGCCTGGTTGCTGGGTGGGCGTGGCCATGGTGGGCGCGGCCTAGTCAGCCTCCTGCACCATGGCAGGGGGGGGGGCATTTTTGCCTTCCCTGGGCTCCAGAGACTTTGCTCGAGCCTCCAGGAGAGTGAAAATGGCCTCCCCAGGCTCCGGAGGCCCTTTGGAGGCCAGAAACGGTTCGCCTTCCCGAACTTCTGGTTGGCCTGTTTTTCACCCTCCCTGAGCCTCCGCGTGCACTTACCTGCATCCAAAACGGGCCGCGTGGGGACTCCTGGGTGGGTTTGGGGGTTCTCCGAACTTGCACAGAATCTTAGCTAGAGATTCTCCCGAACCTCCTACGAACCTCCAGCGTCCCACTCCGGCCCTCAGCCCTAGGAAGCAGGCAGTGGCAAGCCACTTCTGGAAAATCTTCTGCAAAAATTCTGAAAACCTTCGCCGAGGAAACCGCAGCCCAACTCTTGGGAAGGAGTCCCGTCTTAAGATCTAAGAAAGATGCCCCAGCAAAGGGACGGATGGCGTGCGATGTGAGCTGCACATGCAGCTTTCCTTTATGCGCTGGAATGATGACTCATCCAGAAATGTTGATTTTGGGGGGTGTGGGGAGAGAGGGAAGGAAAAGGTAGCTGGCTGTGTGGATGCTTTTTTTCCTGTCCTCTAAAATGTTGGTCGGACAAAAAGCATCTGCTGTGTTGCAAAAGTCGGCCAGGGCTGGCGTGTGTCTTTGTGTATGTGTACCAGCGTGCCCGTTTCTCTTCGCCGTGGTAGCCCCCAAGCAGCGGCACTGCGGAGAGGGAAAAGGCCCCGGCGGCTGAGGGCCAGTTAGACCATCTTAACAAATCAAAATAAATAACCTGCATAAATCTGGCATAAACGGGACAGGGTTTATGACACAACCGATCACTCCGTCCTGCCGCAAAATACATTTAAACAATTGGTAATGGAATTAAAAGCCGGGTGCCATAAAACTTTTTTTTTTTTATTCCCCTGACTGCCAGTTGGGCGTCATAAATCTTCTAACTGGAGCAGGCCGTGGCTCAAAGTTGGAATGGCAGGAAACGATCTGTATTTTCATTTCAAAAGGTGGAGTTCCGGATTGTGAAAATACACAAGTACGAGAAAACAAACATCCACGCAGATAAAATGCCCTAACAAATAAAAACACACACACCGCAGACTGTCATTTTCTGTATCGGCTCACATTTTTAAACTTGCGCAAACCATGATCTATTTGGCTCCTCACGAGCAATCTCGAAATTCTTTGGCTGGCTGTGATTTAGTCTAGCCAGAATGATCTGCGTAGGAAGAAAAGAGGGAAGAAACAGATGTTAAGGAGGAGGGGAGAAAAATCCGAATATAAACAGAACAAAGACAGAATTTCAGATCGTGATGGAATAAGAGAAGCTAATTGAAACTCCCGCCGAGGAGAAGTGCAAAGGGATTTTTTTTTTGCAGCTTTGAAGAATAATTCTGTGTTCCTTTTCTCCCACCTGCAGCCTGTTTTTCTTTGAGGAAGCTTACTGGCAATCACCACAATAGAGAGAGAAAGAGAAAGAGAGAAAGACTGGTCGAGAGGGAAAGAGAGAGAAAAGTGAAAAAGATTAGGAGAGAGAGGAGAGAGAGAGAGAAACTGGGAGAGAAAGAGAGAGAGGCTGGGAGACAGAGAAAGACTGGGAGACAGAGAGAAAAGAGGGGATCAGAGAGAGAAAGCCTGAGAGAGGGAAAGAGGAAAAAAGCGAGAAAGAGAAAGACTAGGAGAGAGGGAGAAAAGAGAGACACAGTGAAAGACTGGGAGAGAGACAAAAGAGATAAAAAGATTGGAAGAGGGAAAGAGAGAGAAAAATATAGAGAGAAAAACTGGGCGAGGGAAAGAGAGAAAAAAACGAGAAAGATTAGGAGAGAGAGAGAGAGAGATAAAGACAGGGAGTGAGGGAGAAAAGAGAGAGAAAAAGATTGGAAGAGGACAACCCCATGGACAATGTTCCTCCAGGCCTTCCTGTCCTCTACCATCCTCCGGAGTCCATTTAAGCTCATGCCGACTGCTTCAGTGACTCCATCCAGCCACCTCGTTCTCTGCCGTCTCCTTCTTTCCCAGCATCAGGCTCTTCTCCAGCGAGTCCTTCCTTCTCATCAGGTGGCCAAAGCATCTGAGTTTCCTCTTCAGGATCTGGCCTTCTAAAGAGCAGTCAGGGTTGATCTCCTCTAGGACTGACCGGTTGGATCGCCTTGCAGTCCAAGGGACTCACAGGAGTCTTCTCCAGCACCAGAGTTCAAAGGCCTCCATTCTTTGGCCTTCTCAGCCTTCCTTATGGTCCAACTTTCACAGCCATCCATTGCAAAGATTATCATACATATAATTGAAAACCATTTCTATTTTGGCTTGCTCTCCCAAGCACGGCTGTCCTTATCGCTCCTGCCCTTTCTCTCTGGCTCTTCTTTTTTATTTAATCTCTCTCTTCCTTCCCCCCCACTTTCCTCCCCCAATTTAACACGCTGCCGAGCTGCACTTATTCTACAGGGAGAGGAACTCTTGATGCCTTGTTCGCCTTTAAATCTAGAAATCAAAATTGCCCATTCAGCCCCCCCCTTTTTTTTTTTGCAGAACTGTAACAGGGGATCCTAAAACGGGGGTGGGGAGGGGAAACGTGCCCAGGAGTTAAGAAATGCAAAGGAAAAGATGTGGTTAACGACGAGGGGCCGTTGTGGAACTTGGCTTGCAAGTTAGGGCAAGCAGGCTCTTGTCACCAAGCAACGTGGCAGAGACGTGTGGATCGATCGAAAGCATGCTGGCTCTTTTTTTTGTCTGTCTCATCCGTGGGCCACAAGTGAGAAACGTAGACTGCCAACCGTATGAAGGCTAATTGTAACATGGGCGAAAGAAAATAGGATAGGGATAGGGATAGGGATAGAGAATAGAATTAGAATTAGAATTAGAATTAGAATTAGAATTAGAATTAGAATTAGAAAAGAATAGAATAGAATAGAATAGAATAGAATAGAATAGAATAGAATAGAATAGAATAGAATATGGAAGGGGAGGGGAGGGAGGAAGGAAGGAAGGATGGAAAGAAGGAAGGAAGGAAGGAAGGAATCTAGTCATAAGTGAGGAATGAATAGAATAGAATAGAATAGAATAGAATAGAATAGAATAGAATAGAATAGAATATTTATTTTTATTATTCATATTTCTATGCCGCCCACTCTCCGAGGACTCTGGGCGGCTTACACCAAAGACAGTACACTAAATAGCATATTGTCCCCAACAATCTGGGTCCTCATTTTACCCACCAAGGAAGGATGGAAGGCTGAGTCAACCTTGAGCCGGTGAGATTTGATCCACTGATCTGCTGAACTAGCAGTCAGCTGAAGTAGCTGCAGTACTGCACCCTAACCACTGCGTCACCTCGGCTCAATAGAATAGAATAGAATAGAATAGAATAGAATAGAATAGAATAGGGAAGAGTAGAGTAGAGTAGAGTAGAGTAGAGTAGAGTAGAGTAGAGTAGAGTAGAGTAGAGTAGAGTAGAGTAAACTGGAGCAGGAGAACCTATACCATTTTGGATAAGTGACTGTCTAGACCAGCTATGCTGGCTGGAGAATTCTAGGAGTTGAAGTCCACAAGTCTTAAAGCTGCTGGATGGATGGATGGAAACTAATCAAAGAGAGAAGCAACCTGGAATTAAGGAGAAACTTCCTAACAATGAGGACAATTAATTAGCGAAACAGCTTCTCTCCAGAAGTCCATCCCTGGAGGCTTTCAAGAAGAGTATTGGACAACCAATACGCTCTTCTGGTTGAGTAGGGGGTTAGACTACAAGACCTCTAAGGCCCTTTCCAATTCTGTAATTCCTCACTATATTAAATCTTTCAGTCACCTTAACCTCCAGGATCTCCTCGGAATTCCACACCTTCTCGGTTTGCTTTGATTGACAGCACTTTCAGTCCCAAGGTTTTGATTTGGCTTAGCTGCACCCTTGAGGGGTGTTGAGCTGGCGACAGGAAAATCAAAAGCGCGGGGAATTGGCAAAACACTGGATTTAAAACCAGGGGTGAAATCCAGCAGGTTCTGACAGGTTCTGGAGAACCGGTAAGCGGAAATTTTGAGCAGTTTGGAGTTAACCGGCAAATAACCACCTCTGGTTGGCCCCAGAGTGGGGTGGGAATGGAGCTTTTGCAGTATCTTTCCCCTGGAGTGAGATAGGGATGGAGATTTTGCAGCATCCTTCCCCTGCCACCCCCACCAACCCACGCCCACAGAACCAGTAGTAAAAAAAAATTTGGATTTCACCATTGTTTAAAACATTTAGGGGATATCAGTGGCTCCCGTTTGTTAAGTGGCTTATTGTCTTCTTCTCAGGTCCCACCCTTCTGCTGACCAGCGACAACATCAAGCAGCAGCTTGGCTCCGCGGCTCTGGACAGGTAAGGACTGTCATCGTCCCCTGAACCATGTCAGCAAGCCGTAAAAACTTGATGTCAGGCCTGGAAGCCATCTTTTGCATTGGGCCTCCAGGCCGACCACATTTAGCGCTGTGGGAAACTGGGAAGGGGGATTGTATGGAGCAGAGGAGTTGCTTAAACTTTAATCCCCCACGAGTCCCTTAAATTGCAGAAGCCGAGGACGCTGGGAAGACTCTTCTAGGCTTCCCACCTGTCCAGCAGGTTGCAGCTGATGCTGCGTGACCAGCTTCGAAAAAATTCACAGCCTTCTCCTTCCTCTTCTGCCCTTCTCCTCCCTTAGCATCCACGAGTATCGGCTGTCCAACTGGTTGGGCCAGCAGGAAGACGTGCATCGCATTGTGCTCTACCAGTCAGACAGCAGCCTCACCCCATGGACTCAGCGCTGTATCCGGCAGGCCGACTGCATCTTGATCGTGGGCCTGGGGGAGCAGGAGCCGACCGTCGGAGAGGTGAGATGCGCTGGAACAAGTAAAAAAAAAATTAACATTCAACCTACTTATATATTTCTAATAATAATACACATTTATAGTGTTGTAGTTTATCATTATTTAATCATTCCATGTTTTAATATATTGCTTTAATGCTTTAATGCCATTCACCATATTTTTTTTTATTTGATTTATATGCCGCCATATAAATTTATTTTTTATTATTTTATTTATATTTATATTATTGGATCGTACATCATAATACCGCCATTCAATTTCTAAGCTTCCCTCTTGTTATTGCTTTTATTTTATTATGTAAAAATGTATACACTCATATTCCCCCTTTCTCTTATTTTCTATCTCCGTTCTAACTTTTAATCATATCACCCTTTCATTAAAAGACGCTTTCTTTCTATCCAGCAGCTCTCTCCCACTTTGGTGCTTCGAATCTTGCTCACTTTTAACTTACCTCCCATATTTCACTCTTTACTTCTATTTGTATTAAGATACAATCATTCATGATTTCATTATTCAATACACAATTCTGATACCAATCAGAAGGTAGGCCAACCATGGATAAATCCAAAAAAAGAAAAGTTTCAGAAGAAAACAGAACATTTAATTCAACTACATATGCTAGTTTTGTGGCCGCTCAAGAAATAGTTAGGCATGGGAAGGGTTTTGTGGCTCCCGGTGTTTTCTTTTCTGTGGAAAATTAGTCCAAATGGCTCTTTTGAGTGTTTAAGGTTGCAGACCCCTGATTTAGACATACAAAATTATTGCCCACCGGACATTGTAAGGTCCATGACCTCTTTGCCCTCTGGGGAAGAGCCCCTCCCTCCCTCTCCCGACTCCACCCTACGTTCCCCCTTAATGATCAACTGACCTTTCCCCCCCCCACTTTCTGTACCAGTTGGAACGGATGCTGGAGAACACGGCGGTCCGAGCTCAGAAACAGCTGATCTTGCTGCATCGCGAAGACGGATCTCTTCCTTCCAGGACCGTGGAGTGGCTCAACATGCGCAGCTGGTGCTCGGCCCACCTTCACCTCCGCTGCCCTCGCCGAGTCTTCTCCCGACGGAGCCTGCCCAAATTGGTAAGAGGCCGCATGACGGCGGGTCCCCGATCCATGCCTGACTGGTATGCAAGGAAAACCCCCATTGGCTGTGGTGTCACCCAACTCTGTTGGCATCCATGTCCTTCCTTCCTTCCTTCCTTCCTTCCTTCCTTCCTTCCTTCCTTCCTTCCTTCCTTCCTTCTTCCTTCCCTTCCCCTTCTTCCCTTCCCTTCCCTCCTTCCTTTCTCTTTCCATCTCCTTCCCTTCTTTCCTCCCTCCCTTCCTTTCTCCCTCCCTTCTCTTCATCTCCTTCCTTCTCTTCCTCCTTCCTTCCTTCTGCCATGGTGGCGCAGTGGTTAGAGTGCAGTACTGCAGGCTACTTCTGCTGACTGCCAGCTGCTGCAATTTTGCAGTTCAAAACTCACCAGGCTCAAGGTTGACTCAGCCTTCCATCCTTCCGAGGTGGGTAAAATGAGGACCAGATTGTAAACTGCTTAGAGAGGACTTCAAGCACTGTGAAGCGCTAATAAGTCTAAGTGCTATGGCTATTCCATCTCCTTCCCTTCTTTCCTTCCACCCTCTCTCTCTTTTTTCATCTCCTCCCTCCCTCCCTCGCTCCCTGCCTTCTTTTTTCATTCTTCCTTCCTTCCTTCCTTCCTTCCTTCCTTCCTTCCTTCCTTTTCCTTCTCCCTTCCTCCCTCTCCCTCCCTCCCTCCCATCTCCTTCCTTCTCTCCTTCCCTGGTTTATCGATATTGCAATTACCAGGCGATGCACGAATCGAAGAGAAACAGCTAGGGAAAAAAAATAACAAAATTTCGTGATTTGAAAAGGTATAAATCAAATTAATATGCATTGATGTTATGAGGGAAAAGCACTGTTATTATGAGAGTACTATTAGAGAATACTATTATCGTTACTGTGATGCTTATTACTCAAAAGAACTGTCACCAGACAACACACTTTTCTATATGGATTTTGAATATGTTGCTCTTTTTTATTTATATTAATAAAAAGGAAAAAAAAAACAAAAAAAAGGAAATTAAAGTTGATCGACTGGGGAGGACGAAATCAGTGTGGTTGTACCAATAGTAATAGGAACCCTTGGAGCAATCTCCAAAAAGCTGCCTAGAAAGATGGAAATTTTGAATTTATTAGACCTGAATATCCTGGCTTTGTAAAACAAAACAAAAAAACCCACCTTACTCGGAACAGCTTATATATTCAGACGTTACCTTAACAGCTCTTAGGTCCTTGGTTAGGACTGTTAAGTTTTTAGCTGTCCCAGACTGTAAGTCGAATGGAAGATTAACCATAAAAATGGTCCCCTTTGGTTATTCACTGGTGTCTGTGAAGGTAAAACTTATATACAGAGGATGGCTCCAAAAATATTGTGCTTAGGTGTGATTGATGTAAGATTTCCTGCTGAGGGCACTGAACGAAGAGAACGGGCACTTTAAATAAAAAAAAAACTGGGGATCTTCTGCATTTTGCTTGTACTAAATCAGGGGTCAGCAACCTGCGGCTCTGGAGCCGCATGTGGCTCTTTCACCCCTCTGCTGCGGCTCCCTATCACTCAAAATATGCGTCACAACCGCCAATGTCCGACACCCACTGGCACGCGTGTCAGGTTTCGATGCTATCTCAAAATAAAGGAATTTGCAAACTGCCGATCTTTAAGGAAATTTTCTCTTTATTGAGCATAGTGATCCGACCCTGGCTCTTGCGCGGTCAGTACTGACCTTTGCCCCCCCAATCCCTCCCTTTCCGATCCCCAATTCTCTGCGTCTCATTGGCTATCTTCCAAGCCACTTTCCTCATCCCTCCTCCGTCAGATCACAGGAATGTTTCCCCTCCTCCCATCTCCGAGGAGAGAGAATCTTCAAAGGGATTAAGTAGGCAAAAGTTCAAGCTTCTCCTCTGCTAATATATGTCAGTGCTGGGACGCTGACAACGCGATTCATTGAGCTTTTCAACACCCAATAGGCCAAGCATGGATAAATCCAATTCAGAAGAAAACAGATCGTTTAATTCAACTACATATGCTCAAAAAATAGTCAGGGACGGGAAGGGTTTTGTGACTCCCGGTGTTTTCTTTTCTGTGGGAAACGGGTCCAAATGGCTCTTTCAGTGTTTAAGGTTGCAGACCCCTGTACTAAATCTATCAACCAACACACCCAGAAACCTTTTGCCCGCTCAGCCGTATTCCTGCTTTCCTTCCTACGGTGTTAACGGTATTGTGTTGATCTCTGGTTTCCCGCTTGCAGAAAGAAATGTACGAACGCGTCTTCCAGAAACCAGCCGACAGACACTCCGACTTCTCCCGGCTAGCTCGTGTCTTGACTGGGAATGCTGTTGCTTTGGTCCTCGGAGGAGGTGGCGCACGGTAAGAGTGGCTTTGAAAGGCCTCTTGGCCAGGGATATCCTGAATCTGATGTTCCCTGGGAAAACCGGATCCTTCAGCCTTCTTCATTGCACCGCGACAGCATCAAATGGCTGGATCTTTCTCCTCCTTCTCCTTCTCTATCTTCTCCTTCTCTATCTTCTCCTTCTCCTCAACTATCTTCTGTTTCTTGTTCTTCTTCTTGACCATCCTCTTTCTCTCGTTCTCGTTCTCCTCTTTCTTCTTCTATTCCTTCCCCCTTTTCCTTCTCCTCTCCTCCTCCTTTATCTTCTCTTCCTATCTTCTTCTTCTCCTTTTCCTTGACGAACTTCTCCTTCTTGTTCTTCTTCTCCTTTATCATCTCCTTGTCTTTCTCCTTCTCCTCCTCCTCCTCTATCTCCTTCTCCATGTCTTTCTTCTCCTTATCTATCTCCTCCTCCTCCCCTCCCCACTTTTCCAATGGTTACATCCAGTGGTGAAATTCAATTTTTTTTTACTACCGGTTCTGTGGGTGTGGCTTGAATGGGCGTGGCAGGGGAAGGATACTGCAAAATCTCCGTTCCCACCCCGCTCCAGGAGAACCGGCAAATGCCACCTCTGGCTGGCCCCAGAGTGGGGTGGGAATTTGCAGTATCCTTCCCCCAGGAGTGGGGACGGAATGGGGATTTTGTTTGTTTGTTTGTTTATTATATTTGTATACCGCCCTTCTCCCGAAGGACTCGGGGCGGTGAACAGCCAGCAGATAAAATACAGAAAATACAAAAATTAAAACAATATTAAAAACCGATTAAATTAATTTGGCCCACAGTTAAAACACCCCTATATTAAAACCCATAATTTAACCATTTAAGATTAAAACAATTTAAAAAGTTAGGTCAGGTCAGCCCGGCTTGATGAAACAAAAACGTCTTTAAGGCACGGCGGAAAGCATGCAGATCCGGGATCCGCCGTATCTCCGGGGGCAACTCGGGGGCAATTTTGCAGTATCCTTCCCCCAGGAGTGGGGAGGGAAGGGGGATTTTGCAGTATCTTTCCCTTGCCATGCCCACCAAGCCACGCCTACCAAGCCACATCCACAGAACCGGTAGTAAAAAAAATTGGATTTCACCACTGATCCAGATTGCTTTAATCAAGATTCCTCAATCAAGCAGGGGGGGGTTGGATTAGATGGCATTACGGCTACCCTTGTACAGCCCACTTAAAAACAGTTGGCATACACCCGTTCTGTGCGCCCCACTCACAATGCCATTGCAATCTGTCCTTGGGGTCAGAATTCAACCCGCTGCAGAAACTAAGCTGTCATTTCTAAAAAAAAAAAACCTCACTCGAAATTTGCACCAGAACTCTGGTTTCGAAAGACAAGATGATTTCAAAACGGCTTTTTTTGTTGTTGTTGTTTTATTTTTCATCCCACCAAGGTTGATTTCAGGATCCCTACATTTTTCTTACTTACTTACTTACTTACTTACTTACTTACTTACTTACTTACTTACTTATTTATTGGTTCGATTTATATGCCGCCCTCCTCCTGAGACTCAGGGCGGCTTACAATGCTTTTAAGCAATAGCCTTCATACTTTTGTATATACCTGCTTAGTAGGGCTTTTGCCCCCCCTAAGCGGTGTTCTTTTTTTATACAAAGTCAGCTTATTGCCCCCACAATCCGGGTCCTCATTTTACCTACCTCGGAAGGATGGAAGGCTGAGTCAACCTTGAGCCTGGTGAGATTTGAACTCGCAGTAGTTGCAGGCAGCTGGCAGCTAAATACTACTTTAACAGCGCTTTAGTCCACTGCTCCACCAGGCTCTTATTTTCCTTCCCCTCTCTGCCTCCTTTCTCTGCTTTCCCGGTTCGGTAACCTTGCATCCCCTGAAAAGCAGCTTCCCGTCCTCCTCCCTCTTACATCCTCCGTGAAACTGCTCAGGTTTGAGATAATTTAAGAGCTTGGGGGCTTTGCAACCGGCTCTTGAAAATGTCACCCTCTTTTTGTCTGTCGGAGCCGTTCGGGTGGCAGGGTAGGGCGGGGTAGGTTGGGCTGATGGCTGCCGCTGTGTGCCACCAAATGAACCTTGGAATTTTCTTGTCTCCTGTACTCTTCAGAGGGGTAATTAGTTCCTGGCTCCAATTCCCTCGTTTGATTGTTCTAGTATTTTGGGAGAAATGCCATAAGTTAAAATCGCCCACACGTTTGTTCCAGCAATTCAGAGCTGTTTCTGCCTCTCTTCCTTTTGTTCGCATCCTAGATCCCTCCCTTCCTCCCTTCCTTCGCTTGATCCCAGTGGAGGAGGAGCAGCAGCAGCACCTCCAGGCATTGGTGGGGAGGGAGGGGTGGGGGGGCGAGAGACGGGAGTGAACCCCCAACACCTAGCTGAAAGTCTTCTGAAACACAAACTCGTCAGAGATCAAGTTATGGTAATTTTTTTTGTTCTTCCTTCGGGTTGCTTGTTCGCTTGCAAGCAAGAGCCACAGCTTAGACTTATATACCACTTTATACTGTAAAGCGGTATATAAGCTTAGATTTATATACTGCTTTACAGTGCTTTTACAGCCCTCTCTAAGCGGTTTAGAGAGTCAGCTTATTGCCCCCAACAATCTGGGTCCTCATTTTTACCCATCTCGGAAGGACGGAAGGACGAGTCCACCTTGAGCCGGTCAGGATCGAACTGCTGGCGGTCAGCAGAATTAGCCTGCAAGTACCGCGTTCTTAACCCCTGCGAATCTTTTCTGAGAAGTTGTGACAGCCCTTAAGTCGAGGACCTGGCCTTACAGCCCCTTTTTTTTAAACAGCAGCCATTAAGCCAATCACGCAATCCGTAAGTCTGGATGCATTCCGCCAAACGGGTGCCTTTGCCGGAAACCCAGCAAACTGTAATTGCAAAACTGTGCATTCAGAGGACCAAGAGAAACTATGATAAATTAACCACGGTTGCCAAGCACTTGAAGTGCATCTTGAATTCCCAGTTCCGAATGAAGCTTTCCCCCACCACCATCTCTTGAGTTGGTTGGAGTGATAATCCTTTTTTCTGCTGGCTAGTTAAGTCTGGGTCCTTCCGGTCACCCCCCGAATCTCCAGAAAAGTCGGATTTTAGCAAAGGCACTTTCCTTTTTTCTTTTCTGGTCATCTGGAAGTTCTCGTGCAACTCAATCTGGGTTTAACTGCTTTGCAGTTTAAGAACCCACTGTCAACTTGCAAAGCTTTCAAGTTGCCGTGAGCAGGAGGGAGGGAGAACTGAAGTGCATTCCATACATTCTTCCTGACCGCAATCAGAAGGAGGGTGTTAGGTTTCACAGCCAGCCAAAGTGGTTAATTGGAGAATGTGATTTATGACATGGCCAGAGAGGAGGGGAGAGACAGGGTCATAGAGGAACGTAAATCTACGTGGGATCAGTCCTAACTGCATCCGAGTATTGCCGGAATGTTGGTCCTAATAAATGACTATATTTCCTTTGAAGTTTGGATCATGGCTCATGAATTAATTAGGGCATCTTTCGGAAACTTGACACCCATCTTGCCTTGTTCGTTTCCTACGAAGCCAAGAAAGAAAATTCCTCGCACCGAATTTGGGAATTTGGGAAAGGACTTTTCTGTAAACCGAAACTGATTGCAGTTCATCGTCCAGCTTCTTGTGAGCGTCGTCGCTTTCCTCTGTTAGCGAACAGGAGTCTTTCTTAAAATGTACACTGCAAGAAATTAAATGTTTGTTTGTTTGTTTGTTTTTTTAAAAAAACCTTTCTTTTCCCCAACTCTGCTGCTCTTGCCTCTCCAGAGGGTGCTCCCAAGTTGGGGTGATCAGAGCGCTGAACGAGGCTGGAATCCCCATTGACATGATCGGTGGCACGTCCATCGGTTCCTTCATGGGCGCCCTGTACGCGGAAGAGCGGAGTTACACCCAGATGAGGATCAAAGCTCGGCAGTGGGCCATGGTAAGAGATACCTCATTGCCAGTCGAGCCAGTCGGGTGTAAAAATAAGAGCAAAAAAACCCTGCCTTCTAGCACTGATGATGTTACCTAGTTGGGTCATGAAACGTCTGCAAAAGGACCCCACTATTCTCTCATTTCACTCCCTGGGTTGCTGAGTGGATCCTTTCTGGCTATTCAGTCTCTCCTTAAAGCTGGACTTTAGGGAGTATGGAAAGTATTGGTATATTTTATTTTAGATATTTTTCCCCCTTATCCTGTCTTTATTACTTTAAAAATAACTCAAGGGGGTCAACATACATAATATCCCTTCCTCTTCCTATTTTCCCCACAGCAACAATCCTGTAAGGTAGACTGGGCCGAGAGGGAGGGACTGGCCCAATGTCACCCAGGTGGTTTTCGTGCCTAAGGCTGGACTAGAACTCACGTCTCCTGGAGATTGGCCCAAAGTCACCCAGCTGGGCTTTCGTGCCTAAGGCTGGACTAGAACTCACGTCTCCTGGTGATTGGCCCAAAGTCACCCAGCTGGCTTTCGTGCCTAAAGCAGAACTAGAACTCACGTCTCCTGGAGATTGGCCCAAAGTCACCCAGCTGGCTTTCGTGCCTAAGGCGGGACTAGAACTCACGTCTCCTGGTGATTGGCCCAAAGTCACCCAGCTGGCTTTCGTGCCTAAGGCGGGACTAGAACTCACGTCTCCTGGTGATTGGCCCAAAGTCACCCAGCTGGCTTTCTGCCTAAAGCAGAACTAGAACTCACTGTTTCTTGATTTCAAGTCTAATGGTAGAGCAGACTGCCTATCTAAAACCTTTGCTCCGCGTTTAATACCTCTCCCCTCCGGCTCGTCTTTCTCTTCATTTTCTTTTCTCTTTCTCTCCTTCCACATGCTGCCCTGCTTAGAAGGAATTGAGGTAATGGCTGGCATTGAGTGATTTTTATCGTGTTTGCTGTTACGGCCACAGTGGAGCCCCCCAATTCATGTTGCTAAGCGAGACATTTGTTAAGTGAATTTTTATGGGCAGGCCCACACGTTAAACGTTAAAGGAATCGCTGCAGCTGTTAAATTTGTAGCATGGCCGTTAAGCGAATCGGGCTCCCCCGTTGATTTTAATTGTCAGAAAGTCACCAAAGAAAATCGCATGACCCCCCCCACCCCGCCTCCCCGGGGACACTGCGATTGTCGTAAGTACGAGTCAGTTGACAAGTGTCCGAATTTTGATTGTGTGACCTTGGGGATGCTGCGACGGTCATTAAGTGTGAACAACGGTCACAAGCCGCCATTTCTCAGTGCCGTCGTAACTTCAAATGGTCACTAAAAGAATGGCTGTAAGTCGAGGATGACCCGTCTCCCCTCTTTTTATTTTTTTGGGGGGCCGAGGCCCTCAATGCAAGGCTGCAACCTGTCTCTCTCTTCTCTTGTCTTGTGACCCACAATAGCTTAGGAGGCGGCCGGCCAAAGCGGAAACAGGTGTGATGCTCAGTGCCAAACATCCTTGGTACGGCAAAAATGCCTGCGAGCAGAAGGGACGTGACAGGTCCCTGGTTCCAAAGACAGCCAGTCCCTGACTTTATTGGGGAGGAGGAGGAGGAGAAAAGGAGGAGAAAAAAAGAAAGGAGCGAGGGGAAGGGAGGAGAGGAGAACAGAGGAGAGATGAGATCCAAGGAGAAGAGTGAAAAGGAGAGGAGAGGAAAGGAGAAAAGTGGAGAAGAGTGAAGAGAGGAGGAGGAAGAAGAAAAAAGAGGAAGGGGAGGAGAGGAAAGAAGAAAAGTGGAGAAGAGTGGAGAGGAGAACAGGAGAATAAAAGAGAAAAGTGAAGAAAAGAATGGAGAAGAGTGAACAGAAGAGAGGGGAGAGGAGTAAGAAAAAAGGAGCTAGGGGAGAAGAGGAGAAGAAGGACGAGAATAAAGGAGAAAAGTGAAGAAAGGAGAGGAGAAGAGAAGAGAGGGGAAAGGAGAGGAGATATGAGAGGAGGAAGAAAAAAAGAGGACGGGGAGGAGAGGAACGGAGAAAAGTGAAGAGAAGAGAGGAGAGGAGGAAGAAAAAAGCAAGGGGAGGGGAGGAAAGGAGAAAAGGGGAGAAGAGAGAGGAGGAAGAAAAAAAGAGCAAGGGAGGAGAGGAGAACAGGAGAATAAAGGAGAAAAGTGAAGAGACAAGAGGAGAAGAGAGGGGAGAGGAGAGAGGCGAGGAGGAAGAAAAAAGCAGCAAGGGGAGGAGAGGAGAAGAGAGAAAGAGGCGAATAAAGGAGAAAAGCGAAGAGGGGAGAGGGAATTGGTCCTGCCCCATTGTAGAGCTGAGGTTGCCCTGGCACGCTTGACTGTGCAAAATGGGGGCGAGTGGGGTGGGTGGGTGCTCTCTTGCCCCCAGACCCTCGAGCCTGGACCTTGCATTACCTCTTCCTTGTCTCTACCAGCTCCGCCTGTGTCGTTTCCACCTGTCAACTCATGCTAAAACAAGGCCGGAGATGGCTCTGGGGGCAGAAAAGAGGTTTGGGGTATTTTTAGAACATGCAAACGGGCACACACAGAGACCCACAAACACAAAGACACACAATCCTCCTGCTTTCTTTGGCAGGAGGGCATCAATCAATAGCAACCAGGTCACAGGAAATGAAGCTTAAAAATAAAGTCCAGAAATCGAAATACTGTGTATAACTTTTTGTTTGGGCACTTTCTGTTGTTGTTGTTTTTTTTTTCTTCTTTTTTTCTTTTTTGTATCGTCCTTGGTTTGCGTTACTGTGTTATCTCTTGTAATTGCGTTGTATAATGTATATATGTATAATAGAATGTACTATACAGGTCGTCCTCGACTTACGATGAACACCCCAAATTTCCCGCCGCTAATAAGCAAGGGAGTTGTTAAGGGAGTTTGCCCCGTTTTACGACTTTTCTTGCCCTCCCGGGGGATAAGGGAAGCGCTGCCATTGTTTGCATTCGTCACCCGGTTGTTAAGTGAATCTGTCTCGTCAAGACGGTCGCAAAAGGGGGATCACGTGACACCCCCACCCCACCCCGGGACGCTGCCACCGTCGTAATGATGAGTCAGTTGCCAAGCATCCGAATTTTGATCGAAACGGTCAGAAGGCAAGATAGGTAGTAAAACGGGGGGGGGGGGGCGAGATTTGCTTAACAACCGTCTCATGTAGCGACGGAAAAGTTTCATTCGATTGCGGTCGTAAATCGAGGACTGCCTGTAAAGTGATGCCGTCCGTCCACCCACCTCTGCTTTAGGCCAACAAGCCTGCGATGAACACACCCCACATTCTTTGTGTCCCGCTCACTTCCATCTCTCTCGGTCCTTCTCCTTGTTAACGCAAAAAAACCCCGGTGTTTGGTTGACTTCAACACAACGTGCAGTGGAAGTGAAGGGACACACAAAAAAGGCCGCTTGGTTTGGGAAACCGAAGCGGATCTTGTAACCAACTGGCAACCAGCCACACAGGGATGTCGGGGATCCCTTCCCCTCCCAACTAATCATGTACCCAACAGATTTGCCCTGAGTGACTTGTCCTGAAATAAAGATAAATGTAAAAATTCCTCTTGCACATATGTGCTAGTCGTTCCCGACTCTAGGGGGCGGTGCTCATCTCCGTATCAAAGCCGAAGAGCCAGCGCTGTCCGAAGACGTCTCCGTGGTCATGTAGCCGGCATGACTTAACACCAAAGGCGCACGGAACGCTGTTCCCTTCCCACCAAAGGTGGTCCCTATTTTTCTACTTGCATTTTTTTACGTGCTTTCGAACTGCTAGGTTGGCAGAAGCTGGGACAAGTCAACGGGAGCTCGCCCCATTACACGGCACTAGGGATTCGAACCGCTGAACTGCCGGCCTTTCAATCGACAAGCTCAGCATCTTAGCAATTGAGCCATCGCGTCCCTTTGTCCTGAAATACCTCACCCCAAATCTTCAGCAGATGAATTGACACCCCCACAAATGCCCTCTTAAGCCTCTCCTTTCCCCGCTCCGCTGTCCAAAGCTAAATTAATCTAGCTTTGCAGGATCCGATCTTGGGGTCCTGTTCTCTCCCTCTCCCCCCCCCCCCCCGTGCTTCTGGAATCACCAGTTTTGCTCCCTTTGCAGAACATGAATTCGGTGTTCAAAACGGTTCTCGATTTGACCTACCCCATCACGTCCATGTTCTCCGGAGCCTCGTTTAATAACGGTGTCAGCGCCATCTTCAGAGATAAGCAGATTGAGGTATGTTTACTCTTCTGTTTTTGACTTGTGTGGTGGGCGAGGGGAAAGCTTTCAGATGGACGGTGTGTATCATTTAAGCTTGGGGTTTTACGCCATAGGGCACTGCACACCAGAACAACGAGACACAAGGACAGTTTTTTCCCCAAATGCCATCACTCCACTTAACAACTAATTCCCACAACACTGTCAAATTATTTACTAAGACTGTATTACTATTCTTCTTCTCTTCCTTACTAGTATCTATCGCTTCCCACTTATTACTATAACCATGTTGCTTGTATCTCTCAATTTATATTGTTTTTATTTGTTTCTTAGTATGATTTGATAGCTTATTAGTAACCTTGACTTATCACTAAGTGTTGTATCTTATGATTCTTAATGAATATATTTTATTCTCCTGATGTACACTAAGAGCATATGCACCAAAGATGTCCAATCACACTTGGGCAATAAAGAATTCTCTTCTCTTCTCTTCTCTTCTCTTCTCTTCTCTTCTCTTCTCTTCTCTTCTCTTCCTTCTCTTCTCTTCTCTTCTCTTCTTCCCTTCCCTCCCTTCCTTCCACTCCACTCCACTCCACTCCACTCCACTCCACTCCACTCCACCCCACTCCACTCCATTCCATTCCATTCCATTCCTAATTTCTCTTCTCTTCTCTTCTCTTCTCTTCTCTTCTCTTCTCTTCTCTTCTCTTCTCTTCTCTTCTCTTCCATTCCATTCCATTCCATTCCATTCCTAATTTCTATTCTATTCTATCTACTCTACTCTACTCTACTCTACTCTACTCTACTCTACTCTACTCTTTTCTATTCTATTCTACTCTACTCTACTCTACTCTACTCTACTCTACTCTATTCTATTCTATTCTATTCTATTCTATTCTATTCTATTCTATTCTATTCTATTCTTGCCACCAGAAGCTGTTTTTTTTTAATGCATCCATTTTCAAAGTTGTCAGTTTCCTTCAGGGTCAACGGTGGGGAAACAAATTTAGCCCTTGGCCAGGCCGAGAGTCCCCGTTTGACAGACATGAAATTTGATCCTCCGTTATCCTCACGAGCAACCTTGTCAAGTGGAGGTGTTAAAAAAAACCAACCCAGTGATTAGTGTCTAGCAACTGTGTGGGTCAGAGAGCGATGGAAAGAAGTGTACAAAAAACCTGTAAATGAGGTTGCAAGTTCGGCTTGTAATTCCCTCCCGTAATCGAGATGAGAGAGAGACACACAGACTATCTCTTGAGTGGCACAACGCCACACTGGGGGAGCGCCTGGCCTCTTTCCGTTTTTCACCCTTCGGCACCATGGAGTCCTCGCTAAAGGACGGTGTTAATCCAGGGTCTACATCTGCGCAGGGAACTAGGTCTCCAGGGAAGAGAAGGGTAGTTTATGGAAAGAAGGAAAGAGTGATATAACCTTACAGGCAAAGGGGGAAATATAAATGGGTTTATAACCATTTTATTAAAAAAAAAAAAAAGATGGGAAGCTTTCTCCCTTCCCTTTTCCCTCTCTTCTCCTTGCTCCTTTTTTCTTCCTCTCTTCTCCTTTTCTCACTCCTTTCTTTTATCCTCTCTTCTCCTCTCCGTCTCCCTTTCTCTTTCTTCTCCTTCTCTCCCTTTCCCTTTCTCTCTCTTCTCCTTCCTCTCCTCTCCCTTTCCCTTTCCCTTTCCTTTCTCTTTTCCCTCTCCTCTCCCTCTCCCTTTCTCTTTCTCTCTCTCTTCGTGTTCCTCTCCTATCCCTTTCCCTTTCCTTTTTCCTTCCTCTTCTCTCCCCTCCTCTCTCTCCCTTTCTCTTCTCCTTCCTCTCCTTTCTTCTCCCTCTCCCTTTCTCTCTCCTCTCCTCTCCTCTCCTCCCCTCCTCTCCTCTCCTCTCCTCTCCCTTTCCCTTTTCCTTCCTCTCCTCTCCTCTCCCATTCTCTTTCTCTTTTTTCCTCTCCTCTCCTCTCCCTTTCTCTCTCTTCTTCCTCTCCTCTCCTCTCCTTTTTCCCCTAATATTTCTACTGCCTTTATCTTGCTAAAAGCTTCTTCTATAAGAATTAGATTAAAAGGAAGGCAGGCAAGTCATTCTTACGCTGCCTCTCAGCACCAGCAACGGCTGAGGACCGCGAGGGTCACCAGCAGCTTTTCCAGTGTGCTACCCCTCACTCATAGAGGTGAGGTCTACAGGCTCAGCAGGCAACTGGGCATCCCCGGGCATCCTCGGGATGTTCAGATCCGGTTTTGAATGATCTGCTTCTCGTTGATCCATCTCTCTCTAACGAGCTCTTTCCGTGTGGTAGGATCTCTGGATTCCTTTCTTCATCATCACCACAGATATCACCGCCTCAGCTATGAGGATCCACACGGACGGTAGGCCTGGGGGTGGGTGGGATTTGGGCAAGGAAGGCTGATAGGCTCTTTATAGACCATAGGCCGCAAAAGGGGATCCCGGGACCTTAACCGGGACGCTGCGGCCGTCATAAATATGAACCCGTTGCCAAGCGTCTGAATTTTCATCCGGTGACCATAGGGATGCTTGCAATGATTGTCAGCAGTGGTGGGTTTCTCTCAGTTCGCCCCGGCGAGCGAAGCGCACAAGCGCACGCTTCCAGTTCCGAACTGGTAGCGAAGTTAAGAGGAACCCACTACTGGTCGTAAGTGTGAAAAACGGTCACAAGTCTCCTTTTCCAGTGCCATTGTAACTTTGAACCGGTCACTAAGAAAACTGTTGCCAGCCGAGGACTATCTGTAAATCAAAGAATAAACTGTTTCCTCCCCCTTACGTCACACATCTAAAAAAAAAATAAGTACCGTGTTTTCCCCCGAAAATAAGACCCTGTCTTATATATATTTTTTGAACCCTGAAATAAGCACTTGGCCTTATTGCCATGTGCTCAAAAGGCTTATTATCAGGGGAGGTCTTATTTTGGGAGAAACGGGGTAATAAATTCTCTTTCTTCTTTATTTCTCTAATTGACTCTTGGAAGGAACCAAGATGAAAGCAAGAGAAGGAACCTCGCTAAGCCCCCCACCCCCACACCCCCACTCCCGGCTTGATGCTGCCTTCCGAGTGCTAAATGGCCTAGAATTGTAATTAACTAATTAAAAGACTTTTCGTTGACTTTAGTTCCCATCCGCCAATAAACCACTGACTTGACAGCATCTTGGCCGGGCGGGGCGGCCTTTATTTCCGAATCCTCCCCAACCGCAAAACGACCGCCTTGAAAATCACGCCGAGCGTCCCCAGATCCGTGGGTTGATTCTTTCGCCCTGCTGAGGATCTGTTTCGCTTCCTTTCTCGGGGTTCAAGAAAACAACCCCGAACTCTTAGCAACGACGCAAACTTCCACCCTGCTGGTTCATCCGAGCCGTGATTTAGGGAAGGCTCGGATTTTTCCACCTTCCCAACCCTCCTTGGGAGCAAATCCAAGCCTTTTCTGCTGATTTAAACAATTCGGCTTCTAACGGTGATAAATCTCCCCATTACGGGGCCGAAGGGAACGAATGGACCCAATTTAAGAAAGCGGCAGATTCTTTCCGTGCCACGCGGCTTGGCAGGAAGACCGAGTGGCTTTCGGCAGAATCCGGCTGCCCAGGATGAGTTTCCTCTCGGACTGTCTGGTCTGCTCCCCAAACCTACCTTGGGGAGAAGCCCAACCGAAGCAAATTTATTTCTTCTGCCCTCGCCAAAGTTTGGCCCAAGGTCATTGGGCAACCTGGTGAGATAATTTACAGCAGTCCTCGACAGTGGCGGGATTCAAATTTTTTTACTACCGGTTCTGTGGGTGTGGCTTGATGGGCGTGGCATGGCTTGGTGGGCGTGGCAGAGGAAGGTTACTGCAAAATCCCATTCCCTCCCCACTCCAGGGAAAGGATACTGCAAAATCCCCATTCCCTCCCCACTCCAGGGGAAGGTTACTGCAAAATCCCCATTCCCTCCCCACTCCAGGGGAAGGTTACTGCAAAATCCCCACTCCAGGGGAAGGTTACTGCAAAATCCCCATTCCCTCCCGATCAGCCGGGACTTGGGAGGCAGAGAATAGATGGGGGCGGGGCCAGTCAGAATTTTTACTACCGGTTCTCCGAACTACTCAAAATTTCCGCTACCAAAATTTCTCCAGAACTGGTCAGAACCTGCTGAATACCACCTCTGGTCCTTGACTTACAACAGTTCAACAGTCTGAAGTGGTGGAGGGTTTTCTGACTAAGCAGGGGGTTGGACTAGAAGACCTCCAAGGTCCCTTCCAACTCTGTTATTCTGTTCTATTTAAATGACTGTTTGAAGTTACAACGGCACCGAAAAAGTGGACTTAGGACTGTCTTTCACACTTACGACCATTGCAGGTATTCAAAATTCAGACGCTTGGCAAATGACTCAATCTATGACGGTTGCAGCGTCCCCATGGGGGGGGGGTGTCACATGATCCCCCTTTTGCGACCTTTTGACTGGCAAAGTTCAGATTCACTTAACCACCACGTTACTAGCTGAAGAACTGCAGGGATGCTCTTAACAGCCACGGCAAAGAAAGTCATAAAATGGGGGGAAAACTCACTGAGCAAACGTCTCGTTTAGCGACATGAATTTTAGGCTCAATTGTGGCCTTAAGTACCACGACGACGACCCATAAGAATTATGACAGGAGGAGGTGATGGCCAACTGAGATCTAGCCCTCCATGTTGGGAACGAGGGTAGCTGGGAAGTTACCACAGATTTGTTATTCCGGATCTATTCTCCTCCCCTTCAAAGGTTGCCTGTGGCGTTACATCAGGGCCAGCATGTCTCTCTCTCCGGTTACTTGCCTCCTCTCTGCGACCCCAAAGACGGACATCTCCTAATGGACGGCGGTTATATCAACAACCTCCCAGGTACTCGGGGGATTCCTGTTCCTTTGACATGGGATTCTTGTCCGTCCATGAATTCCTGCAGCTTCACATCCAGGAAAAGCCAAATGGACAGGTATAGCATAGGTGGTACCCGGACCAACAGTAGCAGTTGTGAGAGGGATCTTGGAATCCTAGCGTTGTGGCCTGTCGGCCACCGGCCCCTCCAACAGCCGAATCAGAGGAGGAGGAGGAAGAGGAGTGGGAGTCAGGATCAGCATCAAGGCAACCTGAGAGGTCCGAGGGGGAAGAGGGAATGGAGCTGTCAAAGAGAGAGAGAGGGAGGGAGGGAGGGAGGGAGAGAGAGGGAGAGGCAGAGGCAGAGCCTGGGCTGTCTGTCAGCCCTCAGATGGAGAGTCAACAGCCCCCAGGTCTGGAGGTGGCTGATGAGGAGGAGGAGGAAACAGCTGGGTCCAGTGCCTGATGCAAGGATGTGCAGAAAGCAGAGGAGAGGAGAGCAGTGGAAATCTATGGGCCGGTCCTCGGGACGAAAGAGCCACCGCTGCTAGCGAAGCTCCACCCTCGCTCTGGGGATAAAGATCTCAGAGCTCCGAGGGGGAAGAGGGAGTGGAACTGGAGAGAGAGAGAGAGAGAGGGAGGGAGGGAGGGAGGCAGAGCTTGGGCTGTCTGTCAGCCCTCAGATGGAGAGTCAACAGCCCCCAGGTCTGGAGGTGGCTGATGAGGAGGAGGAGGAGGAGGAACAGCTGAGTCCAGTGCCTGATGCAAGGATGTGCAGAAAGCAGAGGAGAGGAGAGCAGTGGAAATCTATGGGCCGGTCCTCGGGACGAAAGAGCCACCGCTGCTAGCTCTGAGGATAAAAGGCAGGGGTGGAGATGAGTAGATGTGGCAGACAACTATTCATCTTACAGACGGACGGACTTGTTAGCCTGCGGTGAGAGAGAAACTTTTTGCCGGAGCTGCCGGCGCTCCTAATAAAGGAATCTTTGAGTTCACTTCAGAGGATTTGTCGTGTTTGGGGATCATCAACCCAGGGATAACATCAACATCACGTGAAGTGTTAGTACCGGGATCTCCTGCCTGAGCAGGAGGTTGGACTAGAAGACCTCCAAGGTCCCTTCCAACTCTCTCTCTCTCACCTGTGTTCTGTCCCAACTTCCCGCTGTGTTTGTGAAGGACTTCTTGTCGCTTTTTCTTGCTCCCTTCCCCCGCTGCGAAATAGACGAGGCCAAGAAGGGAAAATCCTTCATCCAAGGACATCCAGTCCCTCACGCGGCTGGAAGCGTATTTGAATCCGGCTTTTGTCAGTTTGGTCTCCCGGCACTTTCTCGACGTCCACCGTGTTCAACCGTCCTCTATTGAAAAAAGAGGAGCAAACAAAAACTCTCGGTCGGCGCCAGCCAGCCGAAGCGCGATTGTTGTTTCTTTGAGGCGGAGTGGCATTGTGCGGAGAGCGGATTTGAAAACCGAGCCGCTAAATCTCTCGCTCCGTCAACCAGCCGGGAACTAAAATGGCATTTTGTCGTGGCTGCGCTCTCCGGGCCTCTTTCAAATTTCTTTCTCGCTTTCCCTTGTCTTCTCACCCTCGCCTCCCTGAGGGGGACGTTGAGTCACTTCTCCCTTACAAAGAGCCTTTTCTTCCTTTTCAGGCCTGGGTTTCAATGGGGAACAGCAGGAACGTGGAGGCCTCATAAATTGGTACCTGAATTGTGCTCGGAGGACTAGAAATTGGGAGAGTTTGGAGAAAGGAACTTTTTCCTGGCCGGCCCAGAGTCTTGTTTGAAATATTTGGTCTGGAGGAATTTAATTTTAGACCAGTTTGGTCTAATGGGGGAGGCGGTGGCTCAGGGGCTAAGACTCTGAGTTTGTCGATCGACAGGTCGGCAGTTCAACGGTTTGAATCCCTAGCGCCGCGTAAACGGGGTGAGCTCCCGTGACTTGTCCCAGCTTCTGCCAACCTAGCAGTTCGAAAGCAGGTAAAAAATGCAAGTAGAAAAAATAGGGACCACCTTTGGTGGGAAGGGAACAACGTTCCGTAC